ACATAAGCCGCATTCGTTTGGGAAAAACTGAGTATAATATAAATTATTCAATATATAGCGAATGCTTGGTGAATATTCTGCAGTTTAGCCGAAAGTCCGCAATTAGACACTATTATCAAGAGTGTTGCACCTGGAAAAATACTGGAAAATCTATAGCTAGGGTTAAAAGTTCAAATCCAAGCTAGACTCTGTTGCTGGCTTAGCTATTAGTTCTTATCTTATAATTACCAGTACAAACTTGCCCCTTTTACTTCAAACGACAAGAGAACACCTTATAGCGCTGGAATAGGCCTAAGGCAATTATACTGGAGCTATACTAATTTCTTGCCATCGATCATTTTAAAAAAAGAATATTTTGACACGAAGTGAGACAAAAAGGCAAAGCAATTATCAGAAAATTTGTTTGTAAATTATTGTCAGTAATTGGTACCGTCTCTAGAAAAATAGACAATTTGTACGTTTGTGAAAAACAGCGTGTATTGAAATCAAGAGACGAGAGAAAGAGAGAGAGAGAGAGAGAAAGAAAGAGATTGAGCGATGGAAAGGGTGAGAGAGAGAGAGAGAGAGAGAGAGAAAGCACTTACCATGTATAAAAAGAAGGTCGCGTTCAGTGCTGAGGTTAGTAGAAATTCTAGTAGAAAGTAATTAAGAAACGTATATTCAATTTGTAACAGGTACAACTAGCCGTCTCTTATTTCCGTTCAGCATTCGAGGAGAATGAACACTGGCTACCATCCAAAAATTTGTTTCCTCACTCTCGCTTGCAGGCTAAATCCAACTGAGCTTCTCATTTAATACGGATACGAGCCTTCCATCTAGGACGTTTATTGTACAAACTACGGGGAATATGATACCAGTTTATGTTAACAGTTTATCATCCGGGCTAGTTTGCTTCAAACTAGAGGAGCGGGGCTTTCGAAATCGCGATTTAACGGTCAAAGTCTAAGAATAATAACAATAATTCGCCAGTATTCTATTGAATAGCCGTTCGTACAACATAATAACTTATTTAGATAAAAGTACATTACCACATGTATTATGAAATATATTATGAAAAAGCTCTTTTATCTTTTTGAAAAAAAAATACTGTTACACTGAAGTGATTATACGTTAAGAGGCTATAGCATTAATTAATGAATTAATGAATTGATCAATGTAGTTAAAGAGAGAAGACTTACTATATTGACCAGTAATAGAAGAGAGCTGTTTGTTTATTGTACTTTGTCTTGTCAATTAACCCTGGAAAACATCAGATATTGGATGTTGTTTCATTACATGTGAAAAAGGAGAAAAAACATATGACATGAAAAAAAACAATGGAATGTGTATTACATATAGACACTTGATCTAAAAATGTTGAAAATAACCTTTTAAAAATACAAAAGAGACATCGTGATGTTTCTATGGTTACCGTTTCTAGCTAATGCCCTTTAGATAGGTCTTTAAGGAAATTAAACAACTTTATTATATAGTAGGAAATGTGTAAGGATTAAAGAATTTAAGCAAACGAAGTTAAATCATTTATTAATAGAGATAGTTTAAATACATTTTATAAGTAAAATTTAAAAAAACGATCGTTCATAGCAGTGGTTTATCTTGAATGGTTTTCTCTCTTCTTTTCTTTAATTGATATCAATTATTCAAGAAAACTTTTGCCAGGATAATTTTTTTTAGATCTCACACCATTAACTTACAACTTGGGCATAGTTCAATTGAGATAGCTAATTCTATTAAGAAGACCTTAAGACGTAAAAATATTGACGGTTTTAGCCAATTGGAATTCACAAGCAGAGCTGTGGGCGAACGACGAAAATAATAAGAATAAACCGACAAAACTCTCTGGAGAATGTTGATAAGGCGGTCATAATCATTTTCGACGCTCGGTCCTGGTGTCTATTAGTTGCTTATAACTTTTAGAGGGAAACAAAAGGCGCCAATAGAATAAATTCATTAAATTTCCATTGTGTCTCAAGGGACGATTTTTGATGTATTGCAGTCGACTTTTTTCGTTTTATCTTTTCTTCCTTCATTTACTTACACTCATAGACGTGTGCATACGCTTGTAGACGAGCCAGCTTGCAATATTATGCATTTATTATAGTCTATATCCGTCGCAATATAGCGAGTGACGTCACATTGAATTAAAGATAGTGGAAAAAATTATGATATATCTGAGAGTGTGGTCATAAACCCTCCCACTTTTTTTCGCAGGTGCGAAACTTAATTGAATTCCAGTGCAAAAGGACATAAAGGGGAATGTTCTCAACACGCCATTGCCTGCAATAAATCGGAGAATGCCGTGATGGCGTTCTTTTGCCGCTAGGTAACGGTGTGTAGTAAAGGGATAAAAATGAGTAATAATTTTTCGTATATCTTAGTTGGAAACGGCAATATGACCTATCGATCGCACCCCATTCTCCTATTTTGTTTCTCCTTTCGGCGCTGGACGATCCGATCGTGTTAAGGCTCGTTACCGTAAATCTGTTTAGATAGGAGGAACAATATTCCACCACGCTACCCACCATCGAATTGGTTAGTTTAATAATGGCCACAAAGATGGTGAAATCTATTTACGCTGAGGAATATCTGTCGGAAATTATCGACGTCGATAGTCAAAGGCGTATCGCATCCGAATCTGAAAAGGCGTTTGTTGAAAAATATAAAGCAGAGTATAGTATCAACAATTGCTATTTGCATTTGTGGTAATCGCTCCTAATCCAGTTGCCAATGACTAGTCACTTTGTAGGTAACGTTTAGACGTCAGCGAAGGCCTATAAAAGAGGCTTGCTCAAAAACGAACAAATGCCTTAAAGCTGGTTGCATACGGGATAAAAGGGATGCACTCTGTCGCAGGTGTTTATGTAACGATAGTTCCGAAAGTCATAGCCTCAGGAAAATACTTGTTCTATCTAAAAATTCCTTTCTTTTTGTACTCGTTTCACTCCATTCATATCAAGCTCCGAAAAATCAGAAGGAAGTAAAATGAAAAAAAAAACGGAAATAAAATCCACAACAGGTGCTGGTAGTCTCTTCTTAGCTGTAGAGAATCCTGTCCGATTACAAACGCCTTTAGGCCCGTTCTTACGCTTTCCAGATCCCCTTTTTTGCGGCCCTAATCTCTCCAGAATGTTCTCTCTAGGAGTACTAGGTAAGTAGGCTTTTTTTTGTGTACACAAAAAATGCTATGGAAGGAGCAGCCCTCATAATCAATCGCTCCCGTTTCTTTGTAGCATTTTTAGGAAGTATTCTTAACGAATGCAAGGTCGTTTGTGTATGACCGGACGTTTGTCAATCCTAAGATAAAAGCATTCTCATTGAAGGTAAGAGTCGTTTTTTTAACGTCAATATATTTTTAAGTTGAGCTTAATATAACGTCAGAGAATATCTTCTTATATTTAAATCTAAGATATATAGACGTCCAAACGTAAATAGAATTCCCTTTTTTTCCACGCAGAGATTTATATATTGAGAATACTATTCGCATGTGGTCGCTAATAATTTCATGGCAACCGTCTATTGGGTATTATAGACTGATCCGAGAGCGTCTGTTTTATACAATATCTTTGCAATTTAACTAGGACTTGCAACATTCAGTAGCTTGAAGAACTAAAATTACTCAGTCCCGGATGTTCGTTGTATTTGCGGAAGTTCTAACGGGATCCGAAAGGAAGTTAGGCTTTGGAGTATTGGAGAAGGACATTTTTTTCAAAATTAGAAAAATAATCGGGCATGTATTACTAGAGAATTACCTACATGGAAGACGATAAGTATAGGCTTTAAACCCGTCCATCAACCACTAGTCGGCGGTATCGTCGTTTTTCTTCCAGAATATCACGAGTATTTCCTTTTGTCGTTATAGGCCTAGTTAGTTTTTATATCATCTATATAGACGGCGCGTCAACGGTTACTTCGACGATAGTCGATAAGATTGCGGTTAACTTTTTTCCGCTCACGTCCACCACTCGTTTATCACTTGCGATCCGAGAAAAATGTGTTGAGAGGGTGGAATATTCCTTTTGCTGGGTTATAATTTATCAACTCGGTCATATATAGGGCTTAAGGGAGATTTCAACATCATATCGGCAAAGCGAATAGCTTATAATACTGCATATAACACGAACATCTTTTTAAAGAAGAGAGCTTCTTTTTCTGTTTCTTTCCCTTAATCTTAACGCCATCTACCTTGTTATCTTTATACTAAAGCGAATTTCCTTATAACAAAAAGCCTATTGGGAAGAAATGCGTTGACGTCGAAAAATAAATAATCTTCAATAATCTAACTTGACATTTACGAAGCTGACTTCCAGTATATTCCGTACATTTTTATAATTAAAGGACAGGGAAATCTGCAACCCAATGCAGCTTAAAGCACTCTATTAATTTACTATTTAATTCCAGAAATATTGGATTTACCATTTAAATAATGCCAAATAAACCAATATAATCTAAAGGAAACCAAAAAGCATTCTTGTATAAAAAAGAGATTTATCAAGTAAACGTATTACTCTGTAATTAAAACAAACTGTTTTCTGTTACATTATCCTATTATTTAATTAAACGAACAAAGGCGTCACTTCTTTAGAGAAATATCTTCTTACCAACTATACAAATCAGCTTATACCTTAGATCATTCCTGTCTTACAGCATTTATTATTTAACAAGTTTTTATTGTAATATTTCTATTCCTTTATCTACTCTGTATGAGGGTGAAATTTTTGGTAGAAGCCCAACTATTTAATTAATGGCTGTATTAAATACAGAAAATAATGAATTTTTAAAAAATTTATAGCTAAAATTAGATACATAGTGTGAAAAATGCATGAAGGAAGCATTAGAATCAAAGCAATTAATTAGTCTATATTCATTATTATTATCTTTATTAATTTATAAGAATTTTATTTACTTCTGTGTTGTTTCCTGTAGAATCACATCTACAAAGTGAGGTTGTCTTTTGAAATAATCAACCGGTTAATTTCCTTTGAAAAAACCGGTTCACAACCGTTTTAACCGGAAATAAACCACCTTGGAATATTTGAAAAAAATGGCGGTTTGATTTCTCTGTTGTTATTCTTTCAAAACACTGCCAAAAAATGTCAAATATCGAGAAATTATTCGAAGATTTATGTGAGTTTGAAGCATGTCACGCTCGAACGACAATAAATTCTGCAACTGCTGAAAAACTTTTTGAATTAATGTATGGAATTCGTAAAAAGATGGAGGAATTGGACAGTTTGAAAAATGCTGCTAGTGAGGTTAAGCAGAACGTTAGCGAGTTGATGAATGACGTTGAAGATAGCATTGATACCGAAACCACTTCGCTAGAGAGAAGTGGCGAAAGTTTAACGCAATTTAAAAATTCGCATGAGAAGCAGGTACAAAGCACTAATTACAACAAAATATTTATATAGCGGTCTTTCTAAAAACAATTCAGTTTGATCATATATTTTCGTTTACTTTTAGATCGAAGCATTAAATCGAGATTTAATTGCGAAAAACGATGAAATAAATATCAGAAAAGGAAAAATACAAGCAAATGAAGTCAAATTGAAAAGAACTCAAGAGTTTACCGTCATTTTAAAGAGAATGTATGAACTTTTAACGAAAACGCGCCTAGAATATGCCAAGAACGGTGAATATCGGGGTCTTGCTATAAGCAATGGGAAAATAAGGCCTTTCGATATTAACATGAAAGAACACAAGGAGGAGTATATGTCAGATCTCTTATGGAACACTATCATTGAATAAGGCCCAAAACTTTTTTACTTTCTACTTTTATATTAAAAACAAAAGTTATTAATTTTTAATCAAAATTTTTTAAATACACTAAGCCTAATCTTCTGTATAAAATATTAATATTTACAACAATGCCCTAAATCCTCCTTGTAAACTCATGGTCGGTTAGTAAACTGTACACAAGCGCCATCTATCGTATAATTTAGTAATAACATGAACTGGAAAAGTAGCTGGCGTGGAGAAGAAAAATAAATAATCTGCTATAATCTGACTTGACATTTGGAATTTATAAAGCTTAGGCAAGCGGTATATTCTGATAGTTCTATCTCATACAAAATATTCTTGATGAAAGATTAAATGCAAAAGTCGAAATGTATTCGGGAAAACTTTTTAATACATAAGAGTATGGCATTAATTTTTAATTGAATGGAAACTTAACGTGCAAATTTTTCTCAACACACTGAAATAAATAAATAAATATGTATATAAATATGCATAGATTAAAATATACACATATAAATTATTATATACATTGTATAAATAGATTTTTACGCTCCAAAATTAATACTTATTTTTTTTTTTATAAAAAAAAATATATATTCTTTAGCACCTTATTCTTAGTAACCAAACGAATTCATGCATAGTAAACGGGTAGTTCTTTTTTTTTATTATTTCTTTTTAGGTACAGTGCATAAAAATGTTAAGTGCATTTATATTTTCATATGCGTGTATGTTTATATTTATAGTGTACATATAATATATATATATATATATATATATTATATATATACTTGAATGAATTTATGCTTGTATGTGGTTTTTATGTAGAGCAAGAAAAAAAAAAGAAACATTCTGCATATAATGTATACGCAACCTAATTCTAAAGGGGCGTATTGAAATAATTAGACGCTACGAATAAATTAAATTATAATAAATACGAGGTCTAACTACCTGGAACTATAACGGCAACTATTTACTGTGTGCTGCAAGGAAGAAAAGGCACTGCACGCTTGCTTTTTCATACTTCTTAGAAGAAAAGGAGAAGAAGAGGGCGGCGCTGGAATGGTGCAGGGGAATGTCTATAACTGGTCGTTCCCATCGCGCCGGAATGAAAATAGGAGAGTGGTCCAATCAAGTGTCCAATAACGGGTCAAGCGTGGGTTGAAGGTCGTTGAAGAGGAAATCGATGGATGACGGTAAAACGGAAGACGGTTCGGAAGGAGTCCCGACAATACTTTCCAGCCAGTCGTCGAGCTCATTGGACGAGCATGAAACACTGGGTGGTGTAGGGGCTAGATTTGATGCCAATGTTGTATCAGTCGGCACTGGCAGCTGCATCAAATCATCATTCCATTCCAGTGCGCCGTTAATACGTTCCGCCTCGTCCGATAGCAATACATCTAGAACATCCTTGAACTGCTTTTCGGTCGTGGTTCCATCATCAATTTGAACTTCGACTTGTTTATTGCTTAATTGGTCCATAATCGGGTTAACGAATTGCATAACCTCTTCGCTTCGGCCCCTGACAACTTGTTCGTAATTGGGAGGCATTTTGGTAGTCGGCGTTTCCGATTTCGTCGAACTGATAAGAAATAGGGATTAGATACAGTTTTGTTGTGTTTTTTTTGGTACGAATTTCTAATAAATTCTGACTTTTCTCACCTTTTTGCGCTATCAATTGTATGATTTGATACGATCACTTGATATTGGCCGCTGGGGGTTGTTCTCAGATGGACAACCTTCGATCCAGTACCCAAACTCATTCCTTGACCTAGTGCCTGCTGTAGAGCATGAGCGATAACCATTTTAATGTTCTGAGAAGGTGGGTGAGCGGAATTTGAGCCATTGTTGGTCGGTAAAACGCGAATTTGGGCGATTAGAGGCGCCGATGATGATTTGGGCGGCGGAGCTGGACGAATAGGCTGGGGAGTAGGTTTCCCTTGGCCTTCTTTCTGTTGCAGTTTTGCTTCAGACATTGCCAGCGCCTTTTTTAATTGTTCAATCTCCTGTTGTTGTTGACGAAGCAATTCATCTTTGTTCGGGTTATCGTTTACGTCTACAGAATTAGGCGGCGACAACTGCGGTGGAGAGGTAACATCCGCCTCCTCCTTTGTAGGGGTCTCAGGGGTCGACTTTAAAGCAGCATTATAATTTGTGACAATTTCTTCAGCAAATTGCTTTAATCTTTCCAACAGATGTGGTTTGGGACCCGATACCGGTAGGCTACGCTTACGACACTCACTCTTCAGATCATTGACCCGAAGGTCATCTAAAGCTTTGATCGGCGTCTTCGGGCTCGTTTTCACTGGTTTCGGATTTGGGGGAGGCGTTACAGGAGTTGGAGGTTTTATTTGAGTAGAATTTTGCTCCCAATCTAAGTACATTTGCTGCTGTTTAAGAATAGCTCCATAGTTTGTGTCTGGAGGCGGCTCGTCGTCTACAACGACTGGTGGAGATGGTTGAGATTGCCTTATCGGACTCTTCTTACGATTTGGCGGCCCCTTATACTCATGGAATTTTATAATTTTGTTTCGCTGTGTAAACTTTTGCTGTCGTATCTTATCTCGTGATCTTCGAAAGCTGCAAATGTTTGCTCCAGCCGTGCTACTAGCTGTACTGCAAGTACTGGAAGCTGGCGAAGTCGCTTGAGAGCAATTAACTAAGTTGAACGTGTTCGATGAAGTGTTCGCTCCATCAAGAAAACCTTCTTGTAGTCTATCAATCAATGATGTAATATTTAGATCATCCACTTCTAAATCATCTGTTAACCACTGCTCATCATCCGCCGATTGACTATCATCATTCAGTAAAGCCTCTTGTAAATCTTGATCTGCTGGTAGAATGTTGTCCCTCACTAAGTCTAACGGACCAGGTCTATTTTTTAAATGCTCTGATAAATCGTCTTGTAGTCTGGCTTTCTTTAATTGCCTCTGTCTATCGTACAACGATGGATCTATATTGCAGTCATCAAGAATGTTCTGGTCAACTAGCGACTTCCTGTCCGGCCTCTGCTCGATTTTCTGCTTTAGAAGATCGCTCGTCTGTTAGGTATTAAAGACTTTCAGTAAGATTAAACGAGTTAAAGACGATCGTAAAACGGGGTTAGTTATGTTGATGTTCCATCAGGTGAAGTCGATTAGGATGCGCTGTACACACTAATTACATACACAAGCCGCTTTCATCTATTATACGAATGATTTCCATACTTAGTTGCCGAAAAGCCAAAACCTTGACTTTTGTAAACGAATAAAAGAATCGCTATCTAGGCTTACTTTTTTTCAGATAAGCTGATGAATGAAATTGTATGAAGAAAAAAGACTTTCTTAGTAATTAAAAGCTTTCCATATGTCACGAATCAAGCGCTAGTATTCAAAATAAACACCATTCGCTATTCTCCAAGCGAATGGCATTAGAAGAGGTGTTTAGTCGAAAAACAATCAGCGGAGCAAAGAGTGGAGCCGCGTGCCCGAGATATCGAATATCTTAATAAGATTTCCTATTTCGTTTCCGCCTAAAAATTTATATACTTTTTGTTTATCTTTCCCCGCATTTGCCTCTGCTAGTAATGTTTTTTTTTTAATAAAAAAAGTAAGGCGCCTTAAACTAAATAGAAAAAAGATTTCAGTTAGCATACTAGGACATTTTTTATCGCTAGATTACTTTGTTTATGGGTACCATTTTTTTTCTAACTATTTATCTTCACTCTTTACATGTATCTTTTATTTCTCTCTCTCTCTCTCTCTCTCTCTCTCTCTCTCTACCACTCTTTTCTCTTTTCCGTCTCTCTCGCGTTATCTACTTTCCTTTCTTTTTTTATATTATATTCTTAAAAAATCTTACCTTGGAAAGTTGCAGTTGTTTTTGTTGGGTGGCGTAATGAGGTGGAGTCGATAAAGCTGTTAAAAGAAAATATTCAGTTGCTTTTTAGAAAATAGTTATGTAGTACGGATAGCCTCGGAGAAGGGTAAACAGAACGAATGAAACGTTAGCCTTATAATAAATCAGCAGGGTGAATGACTGCTGACGTAATGCTTAGTTTGCTGTATTGCAGGTGAATATCGCCTGCCCACCATGGGGAACATAAACAAATATCTCTATTTTTTCGTATTGTTCAATCAATTCCTTAAACTAGATCTAGTATAATTTTTTTTCCAAGAAATCTCTAAAGATACATACCTTGGCCAATTGATTCACTGATAGATCGTCTCTGGTTTAATCGCCTTTCCAGTACGTCTCGATTCTTTTCTAAATCATTCGACATGTGCTCGACTTGAACGCAAGGTGACGATGGTGACGCTTCGTCCTCTCCGCAACGTTTTTGCTCTTCCATTCTACACTCTCTGCAGTAGATTCTGTTTTAGATACATGTCCAATTTACGTTTTTAAGACAAATTATTTAACCACATTTTCGTAAAAGGCCTACATACCTATGGATGAACGTAATAGTATCTGAGTCTAGACCTTCCTTTAACTCCGGAGGAGTTGCGGGTAATAGACAGTCGTCGTCGTCCGTGAAATCAGCGACGGGCGTTGGAGAAGACAGTGGACTAAATGGGCTCGACTTGGGACTAAAATCACTTCCGGCACTACCACCGTTAATAGTCGTAAACGGATAAGGAGATGATGAAGAAGTATTTGTTTGGTTCTCCTCCGTTCTTTCAAAATCTACCATTGTTAAAAATGAAATATACTATAAATTAATAAGGTCAATAAAGAAAATAATAATAAAATGAAAAGGGTGAAAGGAGATAAAAACGCGTTTGGGGCTTTCGTGGAATGTAATTAAGATAAGCGTGTTATCTCTAATCTTTAACGACGTTGCACGGGCATGTCAAATCGAGTTTTCTCGGAGTTAGAAAAGCAGAAAACAATATGTTAAAAGCTCTTTCTTCTTTCCTTTTATAAACGGATGAAGAGGATAAGAGGTTTAGAGGAATGCGGCCAATTAGTATCATCAAAGGGGCCGCTTGTTGACATTTTTATCTGGCTGGCGGTGAGGTCCCCTTTGAAGAGGGTTCGACGGGACGGGGCTATTCCAATATACTGCCATCCGCCGGCTATTTTATTCATTAGAGATAATAGACTCTATCTCTTCATATGTCGTATCGGATGTTGTGCCACGTGACCTCCCCTGTCTTCGATAGGAACCCCGTGCAGAACATAGCCTTATGGGTGACAAGGATTGTCAATCAGTCCCTGCCAAAGTCGAACGAGAGGCAAAACAGATCAGATAAAGGTCGACATAAGCGGTAAGAAAGAATCCTAGAAAAGCGTGCCAGTTGATAAAGCGTGTATAGATTTAGCGGTCGTGTTTAGATAAGGAATGTTCGTAGGCGCGTGTCTTTAGGCGCAATGGCAGGGCGTGACAAGATAACGATAAATACTCGCGTCTTTGTTTTATAACTCTCATGCGGCCTCAATGTGCACTACAAGTTCTGTAAAATGTGAAAAAGGTTACTCCCCATTCTTATAAATGTTTTTTCACATATTTCTGGTAATGAAGTATCGTAATGAAAAGGGAAAACTGCCAAGCGGTCTTTGAATTATTTCAGGAATGTAGAAAAGTTTTAGAATCCCAGGCACCCCGGGACAAAAGTCGAACGCCACCTGTTTTTCGTAGGCCACAACCAGTAACCATAGGAACGTTTTTTTTTATAGTGACGTCATGAATTGGTTAAAACAACTTTTTTCCAGAGCGCTGCTAAACTTTTACTCGCTTTTTTTTCTTTCACATAAGACGCGCACGGCTTTTGGCAAATCCATTACTCTGGGTGGTTTTTAGAGAACGCGCACTCTGTATTCATTATTTAGAATATACGTCCCGAATACGTAGCCTTTCATCTTCTAAAGTGCTTACGAGTGCTCGTTTAGTAAAACGGAAGGATAAAAAGGTTTGGCGGCGGCTTTTGCAATTTGGAAACCGATGCCAGGAACACAGAACACTCGCCTTCATTACGCAATGTACCACTTAAAACTTACTTTTTGCCCTGCCATCATTTATATTTCGTAGCATGCAGACGACCCTTTACCCCTTTCCCTACTTTCCACACCCTTTTCAATCTCTTTTTTTTATCTTCCAGACCAAATAAAAATTCTTCGCGGAGAGTGAAAAACGAGCACGACCTGCAGAGTGTATAAGACAAACAACGACAAACAGCCGGGATGAGAAACGAGGAGCACCCGGTTTATTACGTAAACAGGCGGGAAAAAGACTACAGCGACTGCAAGCGCTCCGCTTTTTGCAGTTGTTTATCGTCGGGCTGTGAGTCAGCAATCGGGCATTTCTCCCCCTCCCCCCCCCGCTCCCGCACATATACTTACTCTTTCACTCTCTCTGTCTACCTCTTTACCTTCTTGCTCGTTTTTTTTTTGCAGAGGCATGTAGGCGAAATCTTACAGCAAACAAACGTGGCGAGCTTAGTGGGGGTGTTAATTCGTTAATTCGGTCGAACGCTTTATCGCTTATAATTAGATACGGCAACGAATTATGCTCAATAAAACAAGTCACGTGACTCAAAGTAAACTTTTATGTATGTTTTCTATTAAAGATATGTGCGTAACTATCGAAGGGAAAGGGTAAAGTGGAAGTAAGGTATATATTTAGATATTGCCTTTTTATCAGAATGGTAAGAAAATTAAAGCCATACCTGAACGGTTGTTAAATTCTGTGGTTTCGTCGAAAGAATGCTCGATTTCTTTCTCTTCGTCAAACTTTCCTGTTTTCAGCATCGATGGAAAAAGGTCAGCATGTAATATATATCAAAGGTCATGAAGCGTTCTAGACGTTTCGTAAAACGATAACAGCTATCGGATAACGAGGAATTGGAAAAACAATAAACGTTTTATATCTATATGTATACATTAATGTACACATAACGCGTATGGGGTGTACTGTCATTTGTCGCCCGAGGGATAGGTAAGAGAATGTTGACAGTAGCTGACACGTTCACGGTTATTTATTAATTAGTTACAGATTCCCTATTCCGTGAGTAAGACACTCTTATCTCAACGAATAAATAATGAGTAAATAATTATCGACAGAAAGATGATAAAAAAATAAGAGCTAAAGAAAGTCTCGTCTACTAACTAATTCTTTAGTGATTACAAACTTTTCTTTTTGTTTGCCATTGCCATGCTTTCATTTTCGCATACACTCGGTCCTACATTCACTCTCATGCACATATATACATACACACTAACACACTCACTCACACATATACAGACACAGGCATTCTGTGCCCCTAACTCACTCACTCACTCATTCACTCACTCACTCTATAATACGAAACACAATGTGCAAAGAACGCCTATCTGGCCCTACCGTTAAGTTTTTTGGTAAGTAAGTGACGCTCGAAGCGTCACCTAGATTTAGCTATATAAGTTTAGGCGTCGCTTTAGACCTACCTTTCTTCACTGCTGGCTCGTCGTCATCGCGTAGCGATAGCGTCCGTCTGGATGTAAGAAATCGGCGAAGATGTAGTTTTACACGTTGAATATGTTCATCCGGAGTAACTAGGGGTGGCTGATGCTTAGATGGACTCTTAGATGGACTTTTCGAAGTTTTCTTGAGCGCCGAGGCTCCTGGAACGTATTCGCTGCACCTCATCCCTCACTCATCTTTCACTGAGTGTCTGCACAGACTAACCATGAGTTTGCCAGTTTGCCAGGAAGGGGGCGTGGTCTGTTGTCTATAGCAACGGTCGGACCAAACGTGCGAACCAGATGCTGAGCCCCGATGCTGTCCTCTAGCGGAAAATAAATGTTTGCTTTGTCGATGACACGGAACCGATCGTGTTCTATATGTATCTGGTATGTCGGTGAGGATTGATAACCCAATAAGACAACTTTATATCCCAAAACCTAGTTTTTCCTAAGAGTTTACATAGAAAGAATCGATGGCCAAGAACCAGTTGATTCTGAGGCTGTTTCAGGAGAAATATTCGTCAAAAAATTCCGTGGTAATTATACTGTCAGACACACCTGTTGGCTACAATCTTCCTTTCCTTTTATCTTGCGTCCATCCGTTGAAACCCAAGAACTTCTTATTCCATTTCCAATTTATCTAAACAGCTTTTAACTGCGCAAGCTGGCTTTTTTCGTTATTTTAAATAGTGATTTATCATAGTTTTACCGAGTTTGTATATTCGATTGTATAACTCATTTTACGTAATCATTTTGACGTATAGGAGGGGGGGGCCATCTGCTTATCTTTTTTGGCCTACATAACCTTTTTTTAGACACCTTACACCAATTATTTATAAATAAATTCTATTAAATTTATGCTTAAGGAGAGCGCTAGGTAATATATATATATATATAAGTAATAAAGAAGATAAGGAATGTAATATGTATACAATAATATACGTATATTTCTGTATTTATAAATTCCTAAGAAAATTCTGAAATGGAAAACACATTCTTTTCAAATGCCCAAACGTCGACGTGCCAACAGTTGCCCGCTTGCACCTGTATACATCATATAGAAAGTTTAAGAAAAATGTGTTTAGTAAGCGATTTTCAAGGTTACGTGCCTATAATAAACAAGGCAAAAAAGGTTTATCCAAAGTTTTTTCCAGCGATGCGCAATGCATGATAGAACATAGCTTATTTATCTCATACGTTTATATCTTCCTTTTCCAAACAAATTATTTCCTAACCCATTACTTTTTCTTTCTTTCTCTCCCCCCCCCTCTCTCTCTCTCTCTCTCTCTCTCTAACTTTCCTTAGGTAGATTTAAACTTGGAAATTTTTCTTTCCTTCTTACAAGCTACAGTTTGTACATTACAAAAGTGTTAATTTATGTTTGTCAAATGGATGTTTTTAAATAATAAAACAAACAGAAAAAAAATAAAGTACAGTATTTTTTTTTAACATTTCATGGCTTTCTTCACTTTTCTTTTTTATTACGTATTGAAATAAAAAAGAGATAAAAAGTAAAAAGCATAAAAAACAATAAAGACTGAAATTTTATTCGCAATAGAACGCGTATATACAACATATGGCTGAAAAAGTAGGAGCGTTAAACGCATAACTAGTTTGTAAATCAGATTCGACGTCGGATAAACAACGTGAACCAATCGTAATGCCACCTCTTCTTTCTACTATATGAAGAATAATTGTAAATTTATATCTTTTGATATGTAATGTCTTTATTAGGTCATTTATTTTATCGGTCAATTCTTTGACCTTAATTCTCATTATTTCAGCTTCATATTTTAAGCCTATCGGAGAAAAAAATATATACAGAATGTTTAGATTAGAATAAGAAAACAGTCTATTTAATGTTTTTTTTTCTTTATAAATCTATCGGAAAACGAATTCTGGATTAATTTATCTACTCTTTTTACCGGTTAAATTACCATCAAGTATCTTTTTAGCTATGTTACGCAATAAAGACTCTTTTAATTTGCTATCGGGTTTCAATTTGTACGTATTCTCTAAACGTCCAATTGACTGTTTAACGTCGCTCTCAGCCCTATTTACTTTCATTGTACGATTCATAACTATGTTTTTAAAAATATAGATTCTTTTCTTTTGCTGTTTTAAATATCCCATTGACGTCATTCTAAATGTTACGGATGTAGGAGTGAAAAATAAAATCCCTCCCACAACTTTTTAAATGTTTTCTCTCACTTTCAACACTAGATGTCGCTTTTATATTGAAAACAGTTTTTTTTTATTCCATCACTTTCATCCTTTTATCTCGACCTTTACAAAGTTTTTCTCTCTCAGTATCTAAATCGACTATCTACCGACTAATTATTTATAAAATAATAATCCAATCTGTTTATTATATCTCAAAATCCAGTCACCTTTTTCTTCCGTATTATTATATACAATTGTATTATAAAACTTTGTTCGATTCTGTTTATCGGAGAACAGACGAAACCATACGAAACGTTTCATCGGTATATGTCTATTGAGATAACAATAAATGATAAAGTAAACTTTTTACAGAAGTCTTATATCAGTAATTCGAATAGATTTAAAGTGAAAATAAACAAATAATTGAAAAGTTAAGTAACGAAAGACACAATCAATCAGAGAATAGAGAATCTTCTTTAACTAACGGTACTTTTTCCGATTTATTTGATATTATAAACTCATTCGTTCTTTGTTCTTCTTCATCCTCGCCAAGTTCAATTCTATGTTCTTTCCTAAGTTAGTAATATAATTCTTATCTTTTAAAAAGTCTAGATTATTAATCACTTACAAACAAGATGAGTAATTGCGCTTTTCGTTTAATTTCTTACAGACAAACTTGAGAAGTATCACCTGTTGCGTAACGCTTATATCGAATAAATTTACAAGTAAACAATGAATCTTACAATAATAACGAAGCTAGAAGTAATTATTAAGAAAATAATGTATATTTTTTCTAAATTCTTCTTACTCTCTCTTCGCTGGATAGGATGTCTGTTTAAGAGGAAAAAAAATAAATAGGCCTAGATCGGAAAAGAGGTCGTTATCAAATTTTTAAGGTTATTTACTCAAGAAAAGCCTCTTCTGGAATCCAATAAAGAGCTGATGGTAAAGAAGTATCAAAGTGAGAACTACCTATTACATAAGAATTTAATTGTTGATTCCATTGAAAATTTTTAGCATCCAGATGGTCTATATTTACACTCTTTGGAAGTCTATTGTTACATAATTTATATACATTAAATTAATTAACACTATTTACTTTAATAAACTAATTTATTTCTTTTTTTCATATACCGGAAATACGTGACTCCATTTGCTGTTTTAGTAAATTCATTCTTAACACCTTTCCTGGCATTCACGTGATTTCCTCTTTCGGGCTTTGATTTAGTGCCTGTTCCATTAACGTTACTCCGTTTCCTTACGTAATGCAGGGTATCTCTCTTAACTTGATTAGCTAATCGAATGAGTTTGGCTTTCATCCACCGTTCGTTCTCCTTTAAATCTTTGTAAGATGGTTTAGAATTTTAATTAAGTAATCGATAAATTGACTTATAAAAAACTCTCTACCGCTGCCAAATTCAATCGTTTCGCTACCGTTGAAAGTTATAGAATTACCATCAATCCAAATTTCATGTTTATTTTGTACAAACCGGAAATAGATTACTTGTAATAAAACGTATAAACTTAAAGTTAATTTGTACATTGTTTATTGATAGAAGACGGTATATTTAAATAATAGTGATGATGTCAATCCTCCTATTTAAATATTAATATAGAGATATGATTGAGTATGAACAAAAAGAGAGACAACAAGTCAGTTTATTTTAGATATTATCTCATAAGAAATGCTCATTTGTCCGAATAAAAGCTTATATGTATGGAATTTTCTTTTTATATTCGAATAAGTTGGCAATTGTTTTCCTTTCATCTAAATTTTCTTCAGAGAGAAGGATTGTTACTTACCTCTCCTCCCACGTCTCTTTTTTTTTTGTTTTTCATTATTTTAAAACGCATTGCGGCAGATGGCGTAATTAGTTAAACTTTTTATACTTAAAGATATTTATGCATTTGCTACATTTCTATTTATGACCTACGAAAGATATCCTCTTTCACCTTACAAAGATATGCTTGAATACGGAAGCTAACAGGCGTAAAATTTAAAGGGCGTTTACAAGTCAGCTTATAGATGGAGCCAGGTATTTCATTAATGCTCTTATTTTCCAACGCTTACTGAATTCAAGTATTGATTTGCTTGAACAATTGGCTCATTGCACGTCCCATATAGAAAGAACTCTGCAACTGTGCTTTTATTACTAATTAGGAAAAGACATAATTGAGGCCAGAGAGAAGAATAACAAAAAAATACACATTAATTACGAATCCTACTGTATAAAAATCTAACCATACGGAATGATTCATTAAAACGAATGGAATTTGAATACGTATTGAGAAGCTGTCAGTTCGATCCGCACTATCGAACAAATAGCAAGTCAGTATATAGTATACCGCCGCCTCTATAAAGCATTGGATGGATAACCTAGGCCTACTTTTAGGATGTTATTAAACAATTTTGCAAGGGATTATCGAAATCATTTTCCAGCTTACTGTCAAATTGTCAAGACTGATTTAGGATCAACGATTTTATCTAACCACCGTGTTTACGACGGTTCTAAATTGGTTGTTCATGGATTGACAAAGCAATCGAAGGTATTGGGTACAACTAAATCAAGATATTTTTCAATACCATTAACATATCAAGGAAAATTCAAGTTTAAGCCTCAAATATTTGAAGGTGTAGAATCATTATTGAGATCCCACCCAGAATATCTCGTTAGAGTTGTACGAATAAGTGATAATGACTTACCTATATCTGTTGGAGATATAATTAAATTTAAACATATCGATACATTGCAAAGACCGAAGAAACCTTACATAAAATGTGAGAAAATAGATCCTAAAACTGGAAAGACCAAAGACTTTAAACTGCCAATATCATCCAGAGCGGTGTTCGAAGAAACGAATAGTTCTTACAACAATGTTTACAGCATTAAGGATTTACTACCTTTCATCGAAGATCAGACGATTTGCGTAGAATTAGTTATGAGGAGCAGCGATCAAAAAGATGAACGTTTCGATCTACCTCTAAACGAGTCAATTGTTCTACATAGTATCTTTGTAGACTCAGCAGTTTACATTAGTTTGAATCATCCGGAAGCTCCGGCTTTTCACCTACCCATTAGGACGAACATATACTTAGAATTATATAGATCTATTCCGAAATCGGAAAGTCCTCTACTCACAAAGAAGCCCAACATATTGTCTATGATGGATCGATGTGCCGAAATAGTAGACGCCGATTCTTTTCAGGCTCTTCTAACTAATAAATCGTTTGATTCTATGAGTTTGAAAAAAACTCGAGATTATGACGATAATTTAGTTTTCGATTTCTCTCGGTATGAAACCTTTGAATATATAGACTTTTTAGATAATTATCCCACATAGTATTGAAGTTTATATATTTTCCATATATGCATTAAGGCTTGGTAAAAAGATTAAAGTTTTTATTTTCTCAATTCTATTTATAGATCCGTAGCTACCTCATCTACTACATTCGATAATGAATCGATAATCAACGGATCGGTGTTTGCTGGCAATTCAGGAACTCTGTATAAGCCCAAGAACCCGGTTTCGAAATCTTTTAATGATTTACTATTCGACGGTAATTACATAAAAAGATTAGTTACTTTTTCCTATTTTTCCAAATCATATATATACCATATTCGATATAGTTTTTCTATCTCTCTCTCTCTCTCTCTCTCTCTCTCTCTGTCTCTCATACACATCCTTTTTCCTTATATCTATTTTATCTTTTATTCGCTTTTCCAAAGCGCCCACCTTTAACACCCTTTTCTATCTCCTGCCCCCCCACAGATTCCATTTCTTTCTCATTCCCCTGTCCCTCTTTAGCCTTTCAAATAAAAAATTTTCTTTTTATCAAAAATAATTCGTAACAAATTTTCAAAAATCTAATCTCTAACACGCGTATAATTAACCTTCAGCTGAATTCGATCAGTTCTACACCAGATCGTATACACCGCGTTCAGGTAGGCCTAAATTATATGACCAATCTTTACTTTTTTTACATGTTTCGCTAAAACTCTAATATCAATCTTTTTATAAAAACTTTATATATATATATATACAGTATTAAAATATGTAAGAAAAAGAAGTTTAAGGTCAACATTCAAGCATGATCTGCTTTTTTGTATGCTTTTTCTATATAAAAATAAACAAAATATGATTTCTATTGATTTTTTCTTCATAAATATAATTTTTTTATTTTCTTAACCGCATTCTTTCATAGTTTTTTTTTCCATTTTTTTTCCATTTGGAAAATAATAGAAAATCCACAAAGTGTCCACGAACGAGTTCGGTTAAATAGCGAATACTACGAACAACAAACTTTGGCTGAGAAGAACGCTAGGAAGCAACAAACTTCCGGTTTGAGTCTTTATTTTATTAAGAATATCATATACTACAGACAGTATAAAAGTGTAAATAGTATACTGTATAGAAAAACAAAAATTTAGTGCCGAGTACAAATTCTATATAGCTTATGCTGTATATATACTGTACATTGCCTGAATTTCATATAGTAATTGTATAAATGTAAAGCATATACAGTAGTATACTGTATATATGTATATATTTATATAATTTATATGAATGCGAAAGTATAAGCTCATTAAGTAAAATGCGCTACGTTTCGTGCAGGGGATAATCTGCCCGGAACAGCTAGAGTCTACGTCAGGAACAATGAGTCACACGAAACGAGTAAGCATAAACTTTCCTTGTTAATTAAATAATTGATGAGTTCATTCGTCTTTCATATATCATTTCCCTTCACAGAATTTTCAACGCCAACTCTAACAAACGAAACTGAAGGTTGCGACCTTTCTACTTTTCTTTTAACATAAATAAAGATAAACAAAGATACACAGTACATATATGCAAGTAGACAAGAGCAAACGGGGGGGCGGGAATGGTTAGCTTGTCAGGTAGAGCAAGAGGAGGGAGTATTTCGTAAGGCTTTATCTAGACTGTATAACATTACGCTCTACAATCTAAAAACGGGTGACTTAATCAATCGACACTTTTTGTAATGAACTTTGACCTTTTTTGACCAGAAAATCCCTCTCAACAAAACGGAAATGTAAATGGGACAACTTCAGTAATGCATAGCGTTCCTCAGTTTCCAACAGGTAAAGTAAAAATATCATATGTAAACGTAATGTGTCTATACATTTATAAAATTTATGGGCGACTGCGTCATAAAGGAATATTATAATTATCATAATACTCTTCTTCTATAGGCGTACCTCAGAATGGTATAATCCTACTCCCACTATCCATTCCTCAAACTAACGGATCCGCTCAAAGTAAGAATATTTTTTTTGCATAATTTATGTCCGCAAGTCGTGACAAGTTCAGACATTGATCGCATCTGTTGCTGTAAAATTGTATGTATGGTATAAAAACACACATAAATCTATTCAAACACTGTTCAATGTATAAAGATATATACACGTCTAAAAACTGAAAAATAACATTAAATAACATAAAATATTACAATAGCGAATAATCATTACAAACTATAATACATATGATATAAGCCAGCTTATATACTAGAAATATAAGCACAGTTTATTTAATATCTTCTGGATATTAATATGAATATAAACCACTCTATACTTTTTCCATTTTAATATGAAAGGTAATTTTGTAAACTATTAATTTTAAAAAATAGTAAATCGAAACTTATTTAGTTTTAAACGATCTAACAAAACTCGCTATTTTATTAACTTGGTCGAATCGATTTAAATCGATTTACTAGTATTTTTTTTCTTTGGTTAGGTGTTTTGTAGATACTGGGGAAGGAAAAGGGTAAAATAAATGAGGAAGAATGCGAAGGAGGGAGGGGAAGGAGAGAAAGATATTGAAAATTGAGGTAGGGAGAAAGTGATATAAAGTAAAATGACTTAGTGAGCGAGTGAGGGAAATGGGGTGGAGACAGAGACAGAGACAGAGAGAGAGAGAAAGAATGAGTGAGTGAGAGAAGGAAAACAAGGACAGAGATAGAGAGGAGAAAGAAATAGGGAAATTGTATATCTTTGTTATAAAGGAAAGGTGCTGAAAAAAAGAATATGCTTGTTTTGTTGACTGTGTAAATCTTTCGTTCTCCTTTCTATACTTTTCTCATTCCTTATTTTTTATCTTTTGTAACTACCTTTTTTTTAAATAAAACTTTCTCATCATCAGACGTCTTTCTACTTCCGGCAGAATCTGATGGAAAGGCGGACACGGCGTCACAGAGCGGATACGTTTTAATGCCGGTTCAAATCGCTAACGACGGTAACATTAAGAAAGCATCATCTATTAGTAACCTATCGACAAACAGTATGTTTCACAAATTTGTTTGTTCATTTTTCGTTTGTTTTAATTAAAAGGCGATAGATGGCGTTTTTGCAGGAAGAAATGACTTTGATAGTGACGATGAGGTAAACTCCTACGACCTTTTAAATGACAGACGAAAGTACATAACAGCTGAAGGCTCTCGTAGAGCTGGTAAGTTCTCTTTTTCTTTTATATCTATAGAGAACAAAACACCATGCTACTTAAGGTGATGTCGTATATGAAAGGAAAAAAATGCAGAAGCACATACAGTATAGTGTATACATATGTTTATATATGTTTATACACAGTTACATATGAAGCATGAATGAAAAAGTTAAATATATAATTATATTGTAAAAAAACTATATATAACTCTAATAAGTATCTCTACACTTTAACAATACAGTATTATACATTTATGTATTTATTTAGCCAAAAGACCTGTAGACATTCCTGCCGACGGCGATTTATACAACTTCTCTGTAAAGAAATTAACGGACGTCTTCCGAGAACTAAATATACCTGAAAATACGGTTCAAAGGTGTAGAAAGGCGAAAATTGATGGAAAGAAGTTTTCAAAATTGTCCCCCATTGACCTACAAAAATTGGGTTTGCACAGCAGTCCAATACTTCAACATTTCTACAGGAATACTTATAAGAATCATTTGAAACGCTATTGAGGAATATATATATATAAAGCACTTTATATAGTCGCTTCCCTCTTCTTTGTACTTTCTTTTTTTTGTCTTTTTATAATACTTTTTTCCGATTTTTTGGAAAAATGCGCCATCTAACGAGTTAATTTGAATGTTTATAATAGATTAAAAATTAACTCACGAATGTATAATTGACTTAATCTAATAAATGATAATTTTGTTCTTTAAATGCTGAATCAAATAAAACTTTATGAATAAATATTTTTTTATTAACATTTCTTGTTTTTTCAAAAAAAAATTACTAATATTTTTGCTAATTAAAATTACAGTTCTATCCATAATTTCCCATTTTTTTTTTACTTTTTTAAAGTCTATCGAAACGAAAACTAAAAATAAGGATGAAAAAACAAAACACCTTTTGCATTAGACTGTGTTAGCACAGTAACAAAACATTGTAAATGCAAATGTATAAACAGTAGATATTTTATAAATTATTATGTTATGTTATGTGCTGTTTATGCACATTAATTTGCGGATATACCATTCTTGATATCAACATATACGTGTAAATGTATATATGTATCTACATATATAGTGTGTATATGACGAATCAAGAACCATTTAAATATACTTGGTTCGTATTAAAAGCTTTACAACTACTGTCCTACAGAAGATAGATAAATGTAGTCTAAATACACTATATAACAAAGATATATACATATTTTTTAGAAATATATATATATATATATATATGAATATATGTATTTGTATAAATATATTCAGGTATTGCGGCAGCCAGTCAGAAAATAGACAAACAGCGGGTATGTGGCCCACAGTGTTTGCTATTGATCGCAGCGACGGAGGCACGACTCATTAGAAATTCTCCTTTGTTTTCCGACAGGTAAGAAATGTGTTTATAGTACTTTATATACTCCTTATACATATATAAATTTTTTTTCTTTGCAAGCTGTAAGTATATATAATATATGTGAGATAAATTGGGCAATATATAATATATATATATATATATAAATATAAATATATATATATATATCTATATATATAAATGTACATATATAGAGTATACATATATATATATATATATATATATATATGTACTGTATGTATTTAAATAGGTATGTGTATGTATATCTGTGTGTGTCCGTCTGGTGAATGTGAATGACTGGGATAAATGTAGAGAAAAAATACATAGATAGTAAATATCTTAATATACAGCTTCTTATATGTTTCTTGTATAACGCTATGTATTTCATGTACATATATAAATTTATATATATATATATATATGACTATATCTGTATTTATGAATTATTTGGCGTGCCATTATCGCCAAGCACGATAAACGCGGTGACAAACTAGAAAATTCAATACAAAATTTACCGACGAACGCCGCTGCACCGTTCAATAAAAAAAAACGTGGCAGGTGAATTGGAAACGGCGCAGGTGTCATCTGCAGACCCCACCTAACGAGAGCGGGACGCCAGCCGTCTTCTCCTATCGATCGACGCCCCGAAAAAAGAGACGCCTTGTAGATGGAGAGAGTAAAGGTGCTTAATTTATCATGAGGTGTTGCAGGCGCCAGGTAAGTTTGGCAAGCTGTTGCTAAGCACCAAGCCTGGGAGGGGTACACGCGTCAATAGCGTCTAGCGTCTCTGCTTTTTAGACGCCTTTACCTCTGCGCCTTCTTCGCGCGCGGCTATCTCTTCTCACGTGAGTATACATCGAGGCGTTTCATTTCTCTTACAGCGTCTCTCGCAACGTATCAATGTGTATAGGCTTAAAAAAATACCCCATCAAACTTCATCAGTTTGACAGTGAAGAAAGAGGCGGTGCAGCGGACTAATTCAAGGCTACGCAACTGCAAAACTGTATTGTCAGTTTATACAGCTAGCAGAAGGAGAATTCTGAAAAGAAAAATGTATAGTAGAGAATTATATAATGATATATATTTATATAATAATACGTAGATAAAGTATTTAAGAAAAATTTTATTCATGTATATATATACACGTCTAAGTCTTACTACGAGAAGTGTCTACCTTTTGAAGTGCATGACAGATGTATATGCCGAATGTATTTCTATATTTCTATGTAAGTGTGAATTCAAGTGTAAAAGTGACATATTGGATGAAAGATAGAGTGGGAACTAAATTTTGAATTCTTCAGTTTAGAATATTTGTCGTTATATTAATACGTGCTGCTCTACGAAGAAAAGGAATATACGTAAATTTTATATTTTATAATACGTTGCAGTTCAATGCCATTTTGTATATAACTATATATATATATATATATACTGTATAACTTGATATATATTTTATATAGGATCTCATTTAATCATCCATCTTAAAAATTCAACGTGTGCGTTTAGAATATACACCTCTCTTACTGATATTCAGCTATAGAAGCTTTAAAAATTAGTTCTTGTATATATATATATATATATATATTCTATATACGTGGAAAGATAAATTTGCTATTTTTATCTTGAGGAAAAACGTGCATACTGTATTTTGTACATTCATATATTTGTGGTTACTGTACATCATATATGCAATACATACTGTATATATGTATGTATTCTCCACAATATATGCGGCAGGCGTATAGGAGAATAATAGCGGGAGCGGTTGTCACGATTTTAGCCGGTGTGTTTGCAGCCGTTGCAGTTTACCTGTTTCATTAATAGGCGCTGCAAAATTTTTTTTAGGCGTATATCGGTATAATTTCTTTGTCAGCATGACGTAGAATGCGTAGTTTGTTTCGAATTTCTTATTTTCTCTAAGGAAAAAAGAAAAAATTACACTATACCGCAGTAGAGTATGTATATCGTCGTGTATAAATATATTTAAACTATATATGTGTATATAGAGGCGACAGAAAACTTCCGTTACGGGTATTTGCGTGATGTAGTAACCGCTCTAATTATATGCTATTCACTTTAAATAATCCGTAGCGGACATAATGTAAAGGAAAGTTAGATGTATATATCGTTTTGTTTTATTGGAGTATGTACGTAATTAAAAAAGTGTTTTTATTTCATCGTGAAATTTTTTATCTATGCTATACAGAAAAGAAATGGCGGCAATTGAAAGTGGAGAAATGGACTGCAAAAAATTTCCAGTACGAAAGTCGGGTTCGTTAAAATTTTATATATCGTATAAAGAAGACGGAGTATATGTGGATGCGGGATATTGAAGGTTGTCATGACAATGCGCCAGGTGCAGCGTGTTCATGGGGGCATTCGGGTATTTGTATATAGGCCCGTGCGTTTAAGCTGGAAAAGAAAGGTGTAGAAGGTTGATGAGCGATTAGTAGAAACAAATAAAAGTTTTTTCAACGCCACAAAACGGCCGAAGTAGCAAGCGGCTATTGGGCTAATTAATTAAAAACGTAAGACGAGCAGAAGCGTTGCGGTCAGTTTGTCAAACGGTACACACGCACAGCAATATAGCATTTCATTACTTGAATTTCACCTGCAAAGCTCGATCTCAGAATCGTGACGCTTCGGTTCCAGTTTATAGACCGCAAAAACTTATCGACGGACAAACACGTTTTTGCGTCGATAATCGGTGTAGAATGAACGCGAACGTGGGTTCCGAGACGAGCGTCTAGATAATCGAACGACGCCGCCTTTGCCTTATGTCTTTGGCAAACAACGGCCCGGAAAAAAAAAGAGATAACGGCCGCAATATTTACCTGGGCGTCGTGTATGTACATGTATATATAAATTTTTATAGAAAAATGTATAAATATACTAAAATATATATAGTTTGCAATATATATACTATATATATATGTATTCAAAATTTGTTTGTAGTCCTTTATACTGTCTATACGATAAACGAATTCGAAATATATACACACACATACACACATATATATACTGTATATATATATATATATATATATACTATATGCAGTAATATAAAGATACACAGCGTACGTCTCTGAAAGGAAATTCTAAACAATGTACAGAATGGTTTAATACAGTGTGTACAGTTTGTCTGCTGTTCTGTAAATGTAAGAATAAAAGCGCTTGTGCATAAGTATACTGTCTGCGTAGGAATATTCATATTCATAGGTGTAACTGTGTCTACGTATATCGACCAGGAGAATGAATAGCGTCGTGACCTTCAACCTCAAACTCATTTCGGTCGTCGACGTCACGCTATAGCGTTAAGTCGTTTTCCTTTTTACTGTTTTATTTATCGTTTTTATTCTTTATTAGTGTTTCATTTAGACGCTAACGCAATTACAAGATAATATTCGGCACCCGGTAGCTAGTCAATGACACCAATTTGTTTATCGGTTGTTCTAGGAAACGCGAATTTAAGGAACGCCGATAAATAGAAACGAAAAAATATATACCCGCCTGTTCCACGTCACTAGATGGTTGGAAATAAATTTAAGCCTAATAACTTGCAGGGCCCTGTAGGACGCCAACGCCCGATAAAAACGGTACGGAAACGGACGGTATGGTAAAGAAATTGTCGGTAGCCTCGATATTAGAAAGGAAGAGAAGAGCAAGCGATGAGCTGAGTATGGACGTGAGCTTCGTTTATCTCATTATCTGATTATTATTTTCTCATTACCATTTAACCATTATTTATTATTCCTTAATAGAGCTCAAAAACCAGTGAAACAACAGGCGAAGATTTAAAAGATGACGAAGAAGAGAATGAAGAGGAAGATGAAGAGAAGTTAGCCTCGTCCGGTTTCGATCCTGAGAGATTAAAGGCCTTTAACGTATATAAATATATATATATATATATATATTACTAATATATATACTGTATATACATATATTTGTTTATTAAAAAACATAAGCTTTAAGATAATCCATAAGTTACTGAATTGTTTGTAAAGTTGTATATAAAATTATCGAGGTACTGCGCTCTTAATATTAAGAAAGTTGAATAAGCTTCAGTTTGATGTAACCTCAACAGTGCAAAATGTACTCTTTTTATTTCCTTTCAGATGTTTGTTAGATTGTTTGTGGACGAGAATCTGGATAGATCTGTTCCGATATCGAAACAGCCAAAGGATAAGGTACAAGCTATTCTCGAGGCTTGTGATCGACAGTTTCCAGAATTTCACGAACGAGCCAGAAAGAGAATTCGGACTTACTTGAAAAGTTGCCGAAGAATGAAGAGAACAAAAGAAAATGGCTGGGAATCGGTAATATCATGGGGAGAGGAGTAAGGAAGACGTTGTCTAATTTCCTTTTATACGTCCAGATGCGTCCGACGCCTCCGCACTTGACATCAGCTGCCGCTGAAGGCCTATTAGCGCAAGCCTGCGAGAACGAGGCGAATAACGCGAAGAGAATGCGTATGGGATTAGATCCCGTGCCTGTAGGTTCCCCTTTTGTATCCTTTGTTTTCCTCTTTTCTTCTTTCCTGTTCCTTTTCACTGCCGCTCTCTACTTCTCTTCTTTCCTTTTTTTTACTTTTCGATTCTCTATGACTTTAGCGTATTTTCCTTATACTTTACTTTTTATTTTTGTAAATTTCAATAGGCTAATCAGACGATTAATCAGCCGTCGCATGCAACATTGGGATCAACTGGAGGAAGCCAATCCGTTGCAAGTATATCTCCTCCAGCTCCGGCTAGAGAAGGTATAAGCGGTGTCGATATGACTCGACCTAACGTGTTCAGATCTCATGAACTGTCATCGCCCTTCTCTTTTACGAATGGCAATCTGTTCTTTAGACCAGGCTTTCCTACTGCCTACGCCGGCGTTCACCCGCTTGGTCTAGCCCCACCACTGCACTCACTTCAAAATGGTAAAATGTTATACAATATCCACCATATAAGAATTTAGCTTAACCATCTATATATTTCTCTATTGCGTTTTTTTTATATTACCATTTTTGGTCCTTTTACAGTTTCCTCTCCTCCAGGACCGGCAGATTTATCGATGAAGAAACTTGGTAGTGGAAAGAATGTGTTGAATTCGACGGAAATCAATACAATTAAGACGCTGATCGCAGGCTATAGAGAATCGGCAGCCTTTTTGGCCCGTTCAGCCGACGAATTGGAGCAACTACTTATACACTCCAATTAATAATTTAAAAAGTACAAAATTATTAGGAGAGGAGAAAGAAGAAAATGTCTATGTTTTTTTCAATCTACGTCCGACCGTAGGCTTGTTTGTTGTTCTTTTAAACCTCGCTATTAAAAAACAAAAAAGGCAAAAAAAAAATTTACTTTCTCAAGGTCGTAATAACAAAAAAAAAAAAAAACTCACTATTGGTGTTATTGTTCTTTTAAAAACTGGTATTTAATAAAAGAAGAAGAAGAAGATGATGATGATGGTGATGATGAAGAAGGTGCAGAAAAAGAAGAAGAAGAAGAAGAAGAAACTAAAGAAAATGGAGAAAAGAATAGGTCCGTCTCCGAAAAAAACATAAAAAAATACTTAAAAAAAAATAATCAGAAAGCATTCACGCATAAGCCTATTAAAAGAGAGAAGATACTTATATAATAAATGTGAAACAAGTGTATTTTCCGTTCCAAAAAATGATAAAACAATAAAAAAAATATATATATAAAAAAAAATAAGAAGACAAGCTTTCTCAGCTGTGATGTTAATAAATATTTACCTATTTTTTGACAAAAAAAATTATAAAAGTTTCCCTTTGTAAAGATGCTTTCATGTTATTTCTATTGGGTCTTGGTTTAACGTGGAAAAGTCGAAGAATTAACAAAAAAAAAAAAAAAATCAAGGGGTTGTTAAATGTTGTGTTTATATTTTTTTCCAATAAATATTTTACATGTTATCTCTTTAACTTTTCAGTTATTAATATAATGACTTCATTTTATATTTATCTTTTAAGTTTATCGCTAATTTTACCTTGTCTTATCGTTATCGTTTTTGAGCGAAAAAAGGAGAAATTTGCTTATAGAAGAATATTTTAGCTTACTTATTCGACAGAAGCGTCTCTTAATTTTGAAATTTTAAAGAATATTATTAATCCATTAAAATGGGTTCGAAGAATTCTACGATTAGATTGCAGCAGGAGGTTGTCAACAGCTTGACAGAAAGAACTGTTTTTAAGGATGAACAGATTCGAGAGCTATATAATGAATTCTTGAGTAATTCGAATAATGGCTATATGCCACTTGACGCTTTCGGTCAAACGTTCCGGCGTTATTTTCCATCATTATCAAATTGGATGAGGTATAAAAGTATCTTATTATCATCTTTATGCTATTCAAATGTGGAAAGAGAAGGCGTTATATTTTTCAGTTTTCCTTTTAAACAACAGTTTCATTACAATTGTTAAGGGGAATAATGAATCCGAGGAAGAGAAAATTGTATTTAATTTCCATCAGTATGCGATCGCATTAAACGCCTTTTCTTGTGCGGATATCGAGACAGTACTTGAATGGTCCTATGACGTTTTAAGCGGATACGACGAAGAAGAGGGCGAGGATAATCGATTGAATTACAAACAAGTTAAAACCGTTACAGAAGTAGGCCTATATTGCTTACCTTATATAAAATTTAGCTTTATAAGCCTATATGCTATATATTGAACGTGTTTACATAGGCCTTGCGAAGCGTTATAAACGACCGGGGAGATGAAAGCAGTTCGATCGACTTTAACGTGTCGATTACGAATGAATTAACCAAGAACAAACAGGATGTAGAAAGGGGAGAATTAACCGAAAGAATAATGAACAACTCATCTCTAAAACCCTATTTGAATTTCCTAAGGAATAGGGATGAAAACAGAGTTTAAAAAAATATTGCTTAAAAATGATTTATTTGTCAAACAATTCTATTATATTCAAAACAAAACAGTACTATTTTTTGGTTCTCACTTTCTCATTTGTGCTGTTTGTTTTTTATTTTAACTGCAAGCATTTTCGGATCAATCGATACGAAACAAAGTAAGTGACATTTCCAATATTATAAAATAAGATAAGTGGTAAAATATTCGTCAAAGTTACCATATCTTTCAATGCTAAAACGAGAGATTGTATAATAAACGGCAAGTAAAATACCAATTCTAGAAAGAGATGTATCCAAAAAACATCCGTCCCTCCTTCTCTTATCTGGGATTCGTCTGTCTTTAGGATTTCCCCACCTTCTTCTACATTGCCTATTTTATCACTAGCATTTGATTCCAGAGAATTCGTGACACCGTCTTTTAGGCCAACTTTTGTGATAAGAATGAGAAAACTAAAACTATAAACAACTAATAACAATTTTCCATAATATGATGGAAGATTTGTAGATGGAAAGCAGATTGCCGGTTGCCTCCAACGTATTGAATCAGGAGAGAGAGAAGTTGACAAAATAAACTGAATCGTTGTTAAAGCTGAGATAAATGACAGATAGGTGATTTCGACTCTTGCTTTGAAAATTCCCAGAGCCAATACTAGCACAAATGTTGTGCAAATTTCTACTCCATGTTTCAAATTTAACTCGATACAAGCAAATTCGTCCCAATCAAGACTCGAATCAAATATACTAAATACTGATGTACTAAGTAAACAAAACGATGTCCAACAGGTGGCATAAAATGCCTTTTTGCAAAAATATTTAAAGTAGAGTATGCAAACTATAATTGACAGAATTGCTATCAAAACAATCATACCAAAAATTTCTTCACTTTTAAAGAGCCAGATTCGAAAAATTGTCCATAGTTCCAAACTATTTATCTCAGATATGTAATTTTGGTAATCTTCGTCTGTCATTGAGCCGTTATACAAACTCTTCATCACCGAAAACAATTGTAAATGACGAAAATTCATTCGAAAGAGAACTTATAAGTAGACGGTTTAATGCTAAATATCATAACGTAGTGAATCATCCGGGGCGAACTATAGCAAAGTGCAAGGTGTTTCCCAAAGAATTCCCATAGAATTCCTCTTTTTCCAAGTGTTTGAATATAAACTAATGATAAACTTTCACGTGAGTCTGACTTATCAATTCTTGCTACTGAAGGAAGCTGTTCTATATAAAGAAAAAAATTTCTAAAATATTTGATTTGAAGAAATTCCACATACTGCATACGATAAAATAGTCAACTGACGGATCGCAGGTGAGTAGTCCAGTAGGCCAGTGTTGAATAAAGCAAACACTATAAATGTTCAAGCTATTTGTGTTCATTTACTGTCCATCCTTCGATATTGCATCTTGATAATCTGCAGTGGAAATTAGTACCGATATATCTGAGAAATATAGTTATATAAAGAAGCATACAAAGGTAAGAAGCACGAATAATTTGTAGGATATTGATTACTTGCTTTCATTTATCCTTATAATGAACTCTTCCTATAGACTTTTTACTATTTTGAAATGGAGAGACTGTTAGGCCTCGTAGTCCACAGATTTTCTTTTACAACCGAGTTTGCACAAAATAAATTTCCCGTGGCTCTGGCTTACGACACTGTTACAAAAGATGAATTATGGGAGAATTTTAATATTTGGCTTTGGGATAGATCAGATTTATTAAAGCTATGTTCGATTTTAACACTACTTTCAGTCTTTTGTTTATTTATAAGCGCTTGGTATATGCGCTTGAAACATAACTCAGCTTGGTTGAAAAGAACGCTATATATTGATTCATGGAATGGTTTATGCATTGTCTTGGGATCTATATACGGCCTATTTTACGAATCTAGCAATCATGCAAAATTTGCCTGTATAAAGAGCAATTTGAGCAGCTTCTTCAGTATTTTACTAATTGTTTTGGTTCTGTTCTTACTTGCTACTTTAAGAATTTCTATAAGATACATAACATATGATAACAAAAAAGATCTTCAACTGCCAAAGAGATTTCTCTATGCAATAACGATTTTTATGTTTTTGACTACAATTTACACAATAATTTTTCCAGTAAATGTTGAAATTGCAAACAGAATTTGTATTAAAGTATATGTACTTCCCATTTATTTTATTGTATTCCTACTCTCTTTCGGTCTCTTTCCAATTATATACGACCAGCTTTTAGTAATCCCAAAAACTAAACTCTCAGTTAGTGACAACATGAATGCAAACAATTCACTAACTCAAGAAAATAGACTGAATTTATGTCTAATTAGAGGAAGTCCTTGGATTTTCATGTCTCTGGTATTTATTTTGTCTCAGGCTTGCTCCTCGGATATTACTCTGTTTTATCTTATTTTGTATTTCCTGTTCTGTTTTAGTAACCTCCTCATCAATTTTGCTTTTTATGTTAAAATTGAAGAATCAACTTCAAATATTGTTTAAGAAGTGATTTTTACTACTAAAACTGGTACAGATATTACAAAATCAGGTATATTTACAATTTTTGAACTGAAAATTCAGTTAAATAAATAAGATAATTGGTACAAAGAAACACACTCAAAGGATGATGGTATTCTCAATCTGGGTTGAATTTTAAAGTTTCTGCATAGTAATTTTTTATTGTTATTGTTCCTTTTGATAATTTATATATGTTTTCCAAATCTTGATCCTGCGAGACACGAAAGAATAAAGTTAATGCTAATGGATAGGAGACTATTTAAAAACTAACATCGACTTGATCGCAATAAGTACAATCTAAATTTGTTAGAGATGACCCATATGACGACGATCGAAAGTCCCATCTCCAATCAGTAGTCTAAAAATAAACTTATTTTTTGTTTGTTTGTCAACCTGCAATAAATTATTTACCTCGAGTTCTATTATCTTATCATAGTCAGAGATCAATAGTTTAAAAGGCTGGCTGGTGATTGCCTTAAGACCTTCAACTTGTAAATTTTCTAATTGAGTACAATTGTTCAAGACAGCCTTAATAGCTGAATCAGAGATGGCTAGGATAAAATTAAAAAATGAGATTTAATGTAAAAAAGAAACTTTTTATATAAGTAATTATAACAATCCATACTGTAATTCCAGCTAATATTCAAAGCAGTTAAATTATCGAAATTTTCACTAAACATAAAAAGCACCTAGAAAAAGGGTATGATAGACTATGTATTGGATTACTTTTCATGTTAGGATAAACCTCATTATTTAGTCCTGTTTCAGTTCCAGTCAATTCTAAGGTTCTAAGCTGATGGCAAGTTGAAAATCCTCGTATCCATATTTCTGAGTCATAGGCGACGTTTGCAATTGTAAAATTTGTGAGGTTGACACATTTTTCCATAAGATAGGCCAGAGCATTTCCACTAATATCTTCAACCCATTTAAGGCTTAGAACTTCAATCTTTTTTTTTACGTGAAAATAAATTATCATAGAGAGAATGTGTGTTAAAAAAATATCTAACTTACTTGATGTGCCAGATACTCAGATAAGAGTTTTATGATATCGTCACTCAGAATAGCACCATCTAAATTTAAACTGTTTAAGGCACCACATTTTTTTATTGCAGGAAGTAAACAATTCAAAGTTGACAGTGTTTCTCCCAAACCTAGATGTTCTAAGTAGGAAAGCTTGGACGTATTATGAACACATTCTTCATTTAATTCTAAACATCCCGACTGGAATGATAAATAGAAAGAATTAGATGATGAAAATATTTTATAAAGAGAAAGACTATCATACTAGATCTAGACTCTCCAGATTAGGGCAATAATGAGCTATAGTGCTAATAATTTCTTCATCAATACAATCCCATCCGCGAAAAGAAATTTTGCGCAATGTTCGCGAATTATCCATTATTCCAGCTCTTAAACAACTTCGAATTGTTTGCTCATCGAGTAAAGAATGAATTGTATTTGTGGTGCATTCATCTTCTGGGATTATTTGCTCAGCAGGATAAGAAAGGTTTATAGAAATTAAACAGGGTTTTTCAACTTTCTTTTCTAATGAATAATAAAGAATTCTTGGATGAAGATTATAAATATTTCAGCAGGTATATATATATATAAATATAAATATATATGTACAGTACATTGATAAAATAAATTTACCTCTTTTTGATTTCGTATTATCCTTTTTTTTAAGTGCAGTTTTATCTGAGAAACAAAAGGGAAATTATTTAATATAAGTACACTGAAAGAAGAAACTCTTTCTTGGTTGAGAACAAAGGCCTAAATTTGTAACGTACCACTTAGCTTTACATCTACGGTATTATTTTCACCTTCACCATCATCTTCCAGATCAATCAAATGTAAAGTTGCGTTATCATCCATTTGCTGCTTTTTAACGCTAGAACTTGTTGAAGTGTCTAATATAACACTATCGAATTCGTTGATCATTTCAGGAAAATGTTGAATTAATGAGTATAATGGAGATAAATGTGTTGTTAGTTTGCAAGTCGAATCTAATATGATAAAGGAGAAAATACTTAGTATTTAAGTAAAAATGTTTGTCAAAATATAATTAATTGAAAAGTAAGATATTTCGTTTATAAAATTTAAAATTACCTGTAACAAAATGGGTTATTTGGGAAAGACTGGGGCACATCGACGAAAGACAGAGAGCCGATAGAGGTGTCATCTTTAAAAGAGGAAACAGAAAAAAAAATGTGAAAGTATAGTAGTGAACTATCTTCTTAAATACCGTAGTATAGCTCATATTTAAATATTTTAGAGTGTCTGAGAAGAGGATCATAATACAGGCAATTGTAACATCTGTAACGTTCGTGCAATAAGTTAAGTCGATATCAAAAAGAGTTTGTAAAGTTTCATATTTTCCGCATGCCTGTCGACAGAGGAGCATATTAACGACATTATATTCTTTATCATATAAATAATATCTATCTGACAAATGCTTACGTGAAGTTGTAGTAGTTCAATAAAACTGGTATCGTATAATTCTGTTATATGAATTAAATGTAAAACCTTCAATGAAGGTAATCCGGTCGATAACAGCTATACAGAAAGAGATAAATTAATTAATTAACAATTGCTTATTAATTATAGCAAAAATTTTTATAGATTATACCTCAACAATATCAAAATTATCGACATCCTGTATTTTAAGTTGAGTTAGGAAGGAATTCATTGATAGCATTTTACCGATCTCAATTTTTAGCATACAATCATCTTCGTAAGAATTCAATCCATTATATTGAAAGTCTGATAGGGTATTGTGAATAATTGAGGGACCCAAAATATAATCGTTGTTCTCGTAAACAGTATCATAATGCATTAAACTTGTTAAGTATAAACAATGGACGGATGGATTTATCAGCTCTTTGAGCAATTTAGCAGTCACAAATAAGTCATAATTGTGTAATATTTCCTGAACAACTTGGTTATAAATTCCAAAAGGGATTGAGCGTTTAACATCTTTCAAGAACAACAATTTATACCTAGAATTTAAATTTTCTTTATTCAGTTTAAGACGAAGCAGATCATTTGGAGAAAATCCCAAAATATAATGAACTATACATCGTAAACAACGTTTTTCTAAGTTTAACATATCAACTGGCAGACGATTTATTGTTTATCGATTGTTTAACTTTTTGGGTATCTCTAAAATACGGGTTACAAGTTAGCCAACAAGAGCCCAACAAAGAAGTTGACACCCCTAACGAACTTGCTTCCTGAGATTTGCTTAGCTACATGAGTGCTGTTTTGGACAGCTGCTATGGCAACTGGCATATTTTATTATTAAACATTGTTTAATAAAATTTCATAAATTAATATTCATTAAAAGTATCCAATCATTTAAATAATGTAAACAAGTAATGGTACTATAAGAAAACGAAATATATATTCTATGAGCATATTGATTTAAGTAACAATTTCATCTTTTAATTAAATTACAAATACTTAAAAACAGAAGAAGAAGTAGAAAAGAAAAAAACGATTAAAACATTCTTTTTTCATGGTCAATTTTAAACCATTACGCAATAATTCGATTTGTATGGGAGTTTCATTTAAGTATGTACGGTATGCTTTCGACTATTTAAAGTTTATTTGAATCCTGGGAATTTGATCAGCTTCCAAAGAGCTTCAATAGTATGTGTCCAGGATTACTGGTACAATATTTAGAGAAGTTGAGAGTGGAAGAGTCTATTTACATGATATCTTTATTGTATTTAATTAAGCTGATACTATACCAACTATAATAATATTTTTTTCTATTAAAGTGTATATATATATATTTCAATCTATTAAAACTTTTCATAGCTAGATGGAGCATTTGCTCCATAAATATTGCAATTTTTTAATATCTTATTTTACCATTTATGCGTACAAGATATCCGTAATTACAATATTTAAGATGATAAACAATGGATTTGTTCCTATCATCAAAAACTTTAAAATATTTTAAGTTAATTATCTTTTGTTTTTTTTTTAAAAAAAAAAACAAGATTATTAAATTCATCTTAAAAATCGACCAGATATAAGAAAAAACATAACTTTAAAAGCTTTCGAGGCCTCTACGAACAAACTTTCTCATAAGAAGAATTCTTTTTTGAGTAGTTGTCACTATTCAGCTAATAATCTTCTTTAAAAGATTCCACTATAATAAATATCTTCTAACACTTAGTTTTATATTCAAATCACTTCATTTTTTCAATTCTTAATTCTAGTAGGCCCACATTTAACAACTATCTGTCTAACTATATGTTTTATCTTTCAATCACGATCATTCAATCCCTCCGAAGCGTGAATCGTTATATATTTTACAGCGATTGGTAATAAAAAAAAGGGACAGAAGTTAGGCCTATAATAAGAATAGGGTCTAAATATAGCGCCGGCACGAAGAGCAATTAAGACTTGGGGGACAGAAGAAAAACATTGTAGAAATTCCTTAAAAAATAGCCAACCGACAGGCCAAATAAAGAAATCGTTTTTCGACTGTCTGCTCACCTTGTAATTTTTACCCTACGAGATTCCGACAGCGTCTATTTAAAAACTCTCTCACCAGTCACTAGTGACACGTGACAAACGTACTTCGGTCTTAGCACGCGCCCTCTTTTTTTTAAATATGAAATATGAACGTTTTTAATAGTTTGAAACCTATAGGCCCTACTGCTATAATATCTGGTAAATAAACACCATAAGCGTCTCCATTTCAGGTTAAGGAAGAAAATTAAAAAGAGTCGCCTGACCGATAAGTTAAAGTTATTTTAGGCGGACACGCGTCGGTAAGGAGATGAAAGAGAAGATGCGGCACGTTCCGGCTTATCAGGTCGAGGTTAAGGTAGCGAATGTAAACTTAGCTGGGATCAGAGCCGACATACCGGTTAAAATATCTTCAAAGCGGTCACGTGACTTAGAGATTGGAAAAAGTGATTTAAGCGAAGCTATGTTGAGTTTACATTTTGCATACTTTTCTTGTTTATGAACTAGGGTAAACACTTAAAAGTAGGGCGCAAGTCTTTTATATTCAGTTTATGTAGCGATAATTTCAAATATCTAAGTAACCTGTTAAAAAGAGGAGAAGAAAAAAAGAAGATAAAGAGTAAAAGGATTAAAATATCTCAACAGTTAATTATCATTAATTATTGAATTGTTGGCGAAATCTTTTAACATAAAGAAACTAATCATAAATGATTAAAGTAGAAAGATAATCTAATTAAACGTATGCGAGAAATTCCATTTGACATTTGAACAGGCTGGGTGGGCGATGGGGCGGATCCGAATAAAAAAGCATGAATTCCTCGAAAGAATTAGTTAAATGAATAAAAAGAATGTTCGATAAAATTTATGTTTCTTTTCTTTTTCTTTTTCTAAACTTTACATGAATAAATTATGTTAATTAGGTAATTACCCTCTAATCGTAACAAAACGGGATATATAACGTTCCATTCAATTTTTAACATACTATTAATTGAATAGGAAACATATATAATTATCTTTTTAATTTTTAACCCAACAGCTTTATATTGAATATATTGAAAATATGCAAATATAAAGATATCATTTTGCACCCTTTCACTTTGCTTGTTAGTAAACCGTAAAGGGTTACAAGGGCCATATATACAACATTCCTATGTTCTAAAAGTGGTCTAAACCCAAAGTAAGCCGAAATGTGGTAGTGGCAAGGTGGGCGGAGAAGAAAGGGCGGGGGGTGCAAAAAGTGGAAATAAGAAATTGGCAATTTCAATCTCCGAACTAAAAGCTGATTGGTGCGTGTCATTCGCGTTTCGGGTTGACGCTGTTGGGTCCGTCGCTCGCATGTCACAGGCATTTCAACGAGTGATTCAGAAGAGTGAAAAGGTTCTTAGCGTTTTTTAACTTTCTACAAAAGAAATACTCAACATGAACCAAACTGCTAATAATAAGAAAGTTCGTATCGTTTTACTTTGTGCCTTTTTTTATTCCAGAATTTATTGAATTTACATAAATCTATAGTATATTAAAATAATAAATATGAATAAATTAATATAAAGTGATTAATTAATGGAAAAGAAAAAACACTTATACCTTTAATGACCTCTTTAGTTATTTTTTTCAATGTTATCTTTAAAAAATTTACATATTTCCATTATCATTTTTCAGAATAATAAACCATTGATTGAAAAGAAGAGGAGAGCAAGAATAAATGAATGCTTATCACAGTTAAAATTGCTCGTTTTGCAAGCGATGAGAAAAGAGGTGGGTGAAGGCATTGAAATTTCCACTATAGTGATAAAAATCTAGCGCTTTTTCGCCCCGTTAATCGTTTTTCGACCACCCGTAACTTTTCATTTCAGTTGTATACTTTTAATAAAGAAATATTTAAATTTTGTATGAATCTAATTAATTAATTAATTAATTAACTTTCTTTTTTAATATTCTTTAATGTTTTTTATTCGTCGTTGTTTGTATTTATTATTATGATTTACAGACGGGAAATTACACTAAATTGGAAAAAGCTGATATTTTAGAAATGACCGTTAAATATTTGAGACAACAGCGCAGACAGCAAACTTTAGGTAAATATCTCTATTATTTTCTTATAAAACATAAACAATATATAAAGTTAAAAAATGGGTCAGAAATCTTTTACCATTTTTGAAGTTTTTCTCTTCTCATTAAAGAAGTAGGAATGCAATTTTTATATATATACATAACATGCGTATCGAATAGATGGACATTTATTGCAATACACCTAGGCCTATTTAACTAAACTCCGCCTATTTTTTGCGAACCCGATAGGAATGTTTGGAATTTTCCCTGTAGAAACTGGATACTGACAACCTTATCGAATCTGTTAAATTGATTTAGCGTTTAAGATGACCAGTAAAAATTGATTTGTTCCTATCCAAATAAAGTTATTTTAAGACTTGCACAGGTTTATTTATATATCTACATGTACAATGGCTAATCTTAATAATCAACTAATTAGAATAATCAAATGAATATGCAAATTACAAGCCTTTTTTTTATTGAAAAAAAAAAACATAGAGTCAGATCGAGAGTTAAAAAGCTTAACGTATAGGAATCAGTTAGTTGTAAAACTATCCTATTCATATAGACGATTAATCCCCAAGATAATATTCATTCTATCCTTTTTATTCGAACCGCCAGCGTTAAGGTGTACATTTTCCCTTGTACTAATTTAAATATTCATAAAAGAAAAAAAAACTATGTGTTAATTGGTTGTTTCAATTATTTTCTTCGACATGTTTAGTTAGAATTCTTAAAAAATTTTAATTAGGCATCCTTCGTGTTTATACATTCTCCTAATTGCACTTGAACATGCTACGCATAAAGGGAGAACTGTTTTTAAGTATGTCGTACAAAAATTCTTATAAAAAGACTAAAGTTAGTACATGAATCTCAGCGTTTTGGGTTATAAATTACATAACTCGGGCGTATTCAATGGGAGGAGCATTTAAAAGATTTACCCATATAAAAAAAAAGCTTCGGCCCTTAAATTAAAAGCTGGGCGGGAAACTCTTCTCTTACAAGAATGAACACTATATTAAAGAGAATAAAAGAATTTTTTTAACGTATTTAGTCAGATTAATTATGGATGACTATTTTAATTTATGTATTCAACTTCCCTACTATGCTGAACACCTCCCATCTTTTAACTGAATCTATTTTAACAAAAGAGACGTAAAAAATTTCCCCGCCTAATTTGCATATATCACTCTATTGCAAGCTGTTCAATGAATTTTATAAGTTTATTTTTAAAGTGTGTTCGCATTTTTAACATTCATTTTTTTAGGGCAAATCGAAAGTTAGAAACCATGCTAATTTACATTTATACCTCACAGAGCGTTAATTATAGAGCCCCTTTTCTTATAGAACCAGTAAGGAAAAAACTTCAAACACACAAGATTTTTAACTAAACTAGCAAACATTTCTGTTTTCTTTCTATTTTAATAATGTAATCATTTCTTTTATCTATCCCTTTCTTAGATTCAAATCCTATCAACAAGTATTTGGCTGGTTATAATGAATGCGCTAGCGAAGTTCAACGATATCTCTCTACATCCGATCTCGTCGATATGGATACTAGGAGTCGTTTGATTAATCACCTGTTTAAAAAGGCAAATAATTATTCGGAGAAACTTCATCCTTCTTTTGTGTATAATTTGGTTTCCGGCGTTCTTCCTTCCGGTCAATTGACAGCTTTACTAGTTCCAGTACAAAATCAAGTTTCAAAAGTCAAGGTCGATTCTGCAACATCAACGTCCGATGAGGATGAAGAAATGGAAGAATATGAAACCGATCATGAAAAAGAAAATGTTCCATGGAGGCCTTGGTAGAATATTCTGATAATATCATTACATAAACTGCTATAAAAGTGGATGATAGACCTATTTAGTTATCCAAACACTAGATCGTTTAAGTTTCCAATACATATCGTAATGAATTTTCAATACAATTAATCCAATTATAGATTAAAACCTTTTTGTCAATGAACTACTTTATTTACAAGATATACTTATATAAATATTCATGAAATTATAATATCCTTATTTTCGTGAATAAATTATCCAATTAGTTAAAAAACGATCAACTAGTCATTTTATAATTAGGGTTTTATAAAACTATTCCAACTGTTGGAATGTTTCCTGACCTAATACAATTTAAATAGCCAGCGGGTGGTGTCTTATTAGAGGATAGGATAGATGTAAAGAAAAAAGGGAATGGTTGACCATTTTTCTGTTTCTTGTGGGAACGCTCGCGGAATGCGAAAAGGGCAAATATTTACAAGGGCGACAGAAAAAAGGCGAGCGATATGGGTCGTAGGTCGGAAGATTAGGTGAGTAGGAACGAAACGTCAAGCTGTTTCGTATCCCGTTCTTTTTTTTGGAACCCGGGAGAGATTCAACCTTGTAAAAAGTAAAAATCTGGGAGCAGAAGAGAGGAAAAGGACCCATTTTTCAAACGCCCACTCCTATTATTCTTGAATCGATCGTTTGAGTTTGACTATCATTTAGAGCATAAAAAGGATTTATTTATTCCTCCTCTACCTCTTATTATCTTTATCATCTTTATTTAAACTCTTCTCTAAATGTCTTCATCAATTTCTAAAGGATTCTAAAGATAATGATATGATTGATACTACTGGCCAAAATAGTAGAAACAAACAGGAGATTTGATTTATCAAATCAAGCGTTATGAATTGAAATTAGCAGTTATCCGTTGTTGTCTTTATATACGGCAATGATACAACGTTTAAATCAATGATATTGTATTTATTGACGTTTAAAGTGTCGAAGCAGATGGCACAACTTTAATCTAAGAAAGGATGAGTCTATAATTTAAGCATTCCGCGGTAATTTCATTGAAAATTCCTTCATGTATAATTTGAACTTAACACGGTTCTTTTAAATTATTTGAAAATAATTTGTAAATTGGTTCCTTAAGCCAAATCAATCCATTTTCGCAGATTTATAACTTTTGAAAGTCACGTGACAATTGAAATGCAAACATCTCGCCATACAAATTGAGAGAACTGTTCAAACATTCTGATATTTATTCCTGTGGAAATTTTAATATAAAACATATTTAATAGATTTAATATATAAAGTATACAGAATTTTTTAGAGAAGAGATTAATGTTAATATACTTTATAAGTAAATTTATAGATTTAGTGGACAGATATAATTAAGTTATAGTAAACTGTACCTTCTAACTAGTTTTATGACAGAACAAGCTACTGACGTCGCTATCATAGCTATGATGATCAATAAAAACATTAAGGCAATCAAAATTGGCTTTAGGCCATCGTGAACATCATCTCTCAATAAGGCTGGTGTTGAATGGGGAAATGATTGAGACGTCGTTAAGCCAATGTCACTAATATTAATGCTATTATTGAAGCCGAGACTTTCGTGAATCGAAGAAATGGCTATTAAAAGAGATATATAAATATATGAATAAATTAGTTTTTCTCAATATACTTATTATTTATTACTTAACAGTTTTGAATGAATTTAAGTTACCGATTATTAGTAATGTTAACATATCCTGCCGAATCAACAAGTCATTTCATTCTCTTATTGGGCGAATAAAATATAGTTTAATGATGTTATTGATCTTTGCAATGAAATAAAAAGTACAAACACCAGTTGCAGTCGTAAAAAAATGAAGTAAAAAGCTATTCAACTATTCAATAAATATTTTTCATTCAATATCTTCATGTTCATGTATGACTTTTTATAATGAAAAAAAAAAGAAAAGACTCTAAAGACTTCACATACATTTCACCGAAAAGTATTTCTTTTTTATATCCTTGAATAGTTTAAAGAGTTTTCTTTTTGTGGACATTTTTTTTTGATTTTTATCGGAATTGAATCTGTGCAGTAGAAAAGAGTAGTTGTTCCCCAACTATCAATTATTCCTTATGGAACTAGAGAGAAATGGCGGCAAAGGATGAAATTCTTTTATGTAAAACTATCCTTTCATCGCTATATAATAACAACTTTCGCTAATCAGTATTTTTTAAAGGAAATAGATAAACAACATTAAAGATCTATAGAATATAACTTTAAAAAAAAAACACCAATGCCATTATTACACTTTAATTTATTTTATTGTTGTTGGTTCAAGAGCAAACATTTTTAGCATATCTATTTCCATTAAGTGCATATTTCCAGTTATTATAAACGAATGTAATGGCTCGCCCATATCTATACATGGAAATTCTTTTAATTTTGCTGCAACTATTTTTTGGTTCGCGCAGCCAACTCGACCTAAACCGACGCATATTGTATCCTCATTAAAAGCTGTTGAAAAAAATTTAATTAGTTATTACATTTCTTCAAAAGTGTTGTTTTCAACAAACCTAAGTCTGTTTCGCCATCTTCTTTCTTATTTTCTATAATTTCTAAAAGTTGTTCGGCAGCTAGTGAGCAAGGCATATATCGAGGTGGTTCGTATATTTTTCTTCCTCTATTATCACATTAAAGAATTGATAGAGCTTTAATTACACGTCGTAATAATATAAAACATTACCTCATAAGATTTTCTATGGTTTGCTCTTTTACTTTAATGTCTAATGAATAAAACAACCAACTTATTCGTTTTTATGAAAACTCTTGTTTACACTTCGAAAGTGAAAATTGTTCAAACCTAATAAACACAAGGTGTGGAAACCATTTTTTCTATTGACTGCTATTTTGTCGTAGAAGCTGTCAGGTTTTGACGTTTCCGTCCAAAAAACTATTGACACGGTCTGACCAAAATGATAGAGTTGTAATCCGCAACAACCAACTGCGTTCATGATTGATGCATTGTGAATAGTTGTGTATTCTATGTTTAATTCTTTGGCTCTCAAGATAAAATCAGTATGCGTCGTCGCTCTGAAATGTGAACATAATGAATGTTGACTCAAATTCTATTTAGGAGTTGTTTACCCAAAAGGGTCCCCTACAACTAAAAGAGCAACGTCCTCTTTATCTGCATCTTTTAATATCTCGTCTGCATATGTTATTGAGATATTATGTTAGTATTTATACTTGAACAAAATTACTCTTTAAGTGTTTCAACTTTACCCGAATTTTGCTCAACCATCTCTCTATCAGCTAATATTATTTCACGGCCATAAAATTCTTCCTAAAAATTTCCCAAAGTTATTTATAAATAATAATTTCCCTTAATATCACTCAAAACTCACGAGTTTTTCTTTCCCTCCTGTAATAATCGATGTATACGATTCTAAATATACTCTCTTTGCAGCTTTGACTATTCGTAATCCTTTGACAGTAATGTCTTCTGCATCTCCTAAGCCCAAACCAATAAAATAAAACATTTTGCGATAATTCTCTTTTCGAAATAAGCGGCACGCAGAAAATATTAAGCTTGCGTGGACTTGATAGAATACAGCAATGAAAAATAGACCCGGACTTTAAACATTTATTTGAATTGTGGATATTGCTTTGTTGCTAATGCATTGAAATGCGACACTTATCTTTCTCAGTACGCTTATTAAGAAGATCTTATAATCTTCCAAATTTCTATACCCTTTAAATCTATATGATTTCGCTGGAGCTTACATTAATTTCCATATTTTATGCATTATCAAGTTGGTGAACTCGTTTGTATAGTATAATACTTAGTTGGGCAGAAAATCTGTTCATCCCCATATATAGTTGACTAAGATAAGTGTGCGATTTACAATATCCAGCGAACTAATGAACTTTTAAACTATGGATTGCTAATATTTTTTATAGAGTCCTTGATTTTAGTACTGCCTGTCGTAACCAGTTTATGTTTACGAATGTTCTGAAGCCGCTCAAAATAAGGAACCAGTCTACGAATTTGAAATTTCCGTGTTCATTAAATCCCGTTTTATCGTCTATAATGTCATCATATTAAAGGATGAACGATAGACGACATGAAAAACGGATAGAGGTTCGTTGAGACATATTTTTATGCTAAAAAATTATTAGTTTCTCTGACTTATTCAATAACAAAGTTTTCCCGCTTCCGTTAAGTCCGTTAATTGTTCTCAAATGAAAATTTTGTAAGTAATACCTAATCTTAATTATTCAATGAAAGCCGTTCAACTTCATTTATAATAATATGTACAGATGGGTCTAAAAATAATAAAAAAGAGCCTCATATAACACGTATTGTTATTACCTTTTATGTATTTGAGCGATAAAAGGGGTTAATACAATGTCAACTTGTCGCAACAAGTTTTTGTCCAAGACACGCCATTTTAATCATAAGAGATTTTTCTCTGTAAATGGAATATCTTGCAAAAAATGGCGTGTTTAAGTGAAGAGGAATTTGACGGATTTAAGGATCATGATCTGTCTCTTAGTTCTTTTGAAGATTATGATGCGAAGTCGTTTAATTGCTCAAAGTCTTCCTCTATGACTGATCTATACTGTATTCAGGTTAATAACTATTCAGAGATAAACGTTTTTTAATTTTTAATAAAGTGACCTTTTTGAATAACTTAAAGAACATCAACATGAAAGAAAGCAGGGATTAAATAAATTTCTATTTTTTCACAGGATAAATATATAGTTACCTCTGAAGTAATAGGTCAAGGCGCTTTTGCTAAGGTCGTTCTTGGTTTTTGCAAAGCAACAAACGAACGCGTAGCAATAAAGAAAATTGACAAACGTATTACTCAAGAGAAAAATCTATTGGAAAGAGTTCAAAGCGAAGCCGCAATTCACCTTCAAGTTTCCTCTCATAAAAATGTCGTCAAGTTTAAGGATCTCTTCGAGGATGACTATTTTCTCTATTTTGTTCTTGAGCTTTGTGAATATGGTGATTTAAGATCGTACCTTACAAAACAAAATCAGGGTAAAAACTGTAGGTGCAGCGAGAATGAAATTCGGCAATTTTTACAACCCGTTGTGGAAGTTTTATATTTATTACATGAAAATGACATTGTACACCGAGACTTGTCTCTATCAAATGTTTTAGTAACCAAAGACTTAAAGTGCAAATTGTCAGATTTTGGTCTGGCTATAAAATTAGATAAAAACAAAGAGAATGGGGGAGGTAATAGAGCTTTTTGTGGAACGCCAAATTATATAGCTCCAGAGCTAATCAGAGATAAAGTCTATAGGAAAGAATCTGACATATGGAGTCTCGGAGTAATGTTTTATACAGTTTTAGCTGGTAAGATCAATATCTTTTTATTGATATTTGTATGCTAATAATTTAGAGAAGATTTTATAGCTTTTATTAATAATTTTTCTATTTACCTTCGTAGGTAAGGAACCTTTCGATGGACAAGACAGAAATCAAACTTTTAAAAATATATTAAGCATGGATGTTAAATCATATTTACCAGAGAATACAAGTAAAGAAGCGCATGATTTGCTGAACAGGACGATTTGCTTAGATTATAAAAAGCGATTATCACCCAAAGAGATTTTAAATCATGCATTTTTTTGGAAAACAGACATAAGGAGTGAATTCTCTTCAGATTCTGGCCGAGAAACACTAAGTTCGGCTTGCAAACCTTATCGACCCTCCATATATACAGATTCTGTAGTATCTCAGCCAACTCAAATTGAGTAAGTTGAATATGCGTTTTTACATATTATTTATCGATATTATTTTTATTGAAACTGTTTTAGTTCGACTGAAAGAACGAAACCAGAGAAAATATCAACAATTAGGTTAAAGCCAATTAAAAGTCATAACAAAGATACTATTATTGAAATTAGGAAAGATTCATATGTTACTCTCCACGTCCAAAGAAGGAGTGGTCGTGGATATGACGTATTTCAAGTCTCTCCAGACGGCGAACAAATAAACGTTTTTACAACGAAAACGCCTTTAGGTGAAGATGACAATCAATGCCCTCCCTCGAGTAAATCGTACACATATGATTCTTTACCAGTTAAATATTGGCAAAGATATGCCTACGCCACAAAGTTTGTTAGAATTGTTCGTTCTGGTACGCCAAAAGTTACAGTATATACTGAGAAGGCTAAATGTAAGCTAATGGAAAGCTTAGACGATTATGAGGCTATTTTTCATGATGGAACAAAGATTTCGGGGAATTTGTCAAAAGATCAAATACGCATAATTGAATCTGACGGAAAACAATATAATGAATTACCAGCAAGAACAAAAGATAAATGGAAATATGTGTGTGATCTACTAAAAGAATGCCATTTTATTGAAAGTTCTTTTCGGAAAAGAAAATCAGAAATCTTAGATTATTTTCCTGTACGTGTAGGTGCGAACGTTTTTGTTACAAAAAATTCAGATGGCGTTAGTAGTGCTTGTTTTTAGAGATCTTTTTGTTACTGAAATAGGATATATGGTTCTATTAAAAAGGCACAATTAAAGTGTTTAACTTTAATTGTACATCTTATTATGAGATTTATACATATTGCTATACATATGTATGCAAGTCGTTTTGTTTTCAACTATTTTCGCTAAGTTCAAAAAACTAATTACCATAAACATTTTGAGTTCATAAAAAAAGTTAAACTTGAAAATTCTTTTAATTTCCTAAGACAATTTCGTTATTGAAGAGGTAAGATTACTACCATACGATAAACTCTAAAACTCTGTTAATACTTGACAGATATAGCTATAGTATATAGTATATACTGTATATACTGTATATATAGAACTATATTTAGACTTCGTCTTTTCATGTACAAGTAAGGTTATATATAGTTAGATGAAGTATGAACTAGCAGTACCACAATTTGAGAGTTCTCTTATCTTCACCAGGAAAAAAGTTATCATTTTTTTCCTGCATCTTTAAAAATTCTTTAACTTTGGACAATCCAACTTCATTGCAAAAATGTTTGTTAACAATAATTCTTGGATTCCATATTGTTCTTTCAATCCTAATTGAAACAAATTTATGTTTACGTATTGAATTACAATATGAACGAAGTAGTTTAAGAACATTTTGAAATTGTTTCAATTCACTCCAAATTCCAACTTGCATGCCTACTTTCTCCCAAAAAGTTTTATTAAACTCTGAATATAGTAAATGATCAGCTAGACTCCATGTTTTATATAATTCTCTATCCATCGGATTCTTGGTAAGATTTGCACGACGACTTTTATTCTGCCTAATGTAGAGTATATCTCGAAAATTCCAATTAAGTAACCTTCTTAGAAGAACGATGGACAAATCGTAATATTCAAATATCATTACAAGATTGAATCTATTTTTTAAGTTTATTATAAATTCTTGTATCTTTTGTAAATTGTTTGAATAGTTTGCTGTATTATCGTAGCCCATAGATAATCCTAAATCAAATGACATTGGATTCTTTGTAATACTGAAATTTGGAGGGAAACAGTATGCCTTTCTTCTCTTAGAGAAAATAGATTATTTATAGTGTTATAAAAGAATTTTAATAGAAAATATCATATATACCTCATGCGTGTTGAATAAATGTTCATAATAGGTTGGATTTGTTAGGAAGACAGAGATAGGATAATCAACTTTTTTATCAAATAACTTTGCAGCACTCATATAATTAAACCAAGATTTAAACTGCGAAAATGGTTCCCTTAATATTGTTGCATAGAATGTATTCGCAGGCATAACATCTTCAATTGCCTCTTGATCAAATACCGTATGATCGCAAAGTAAATTAGGTTGTTGCTTAGTTCTTCTCATGAAAGATCTATTAAATCTGCGAGGCCAACTAATGCTAAACGTATGCTTTCTCAGACCAACAACACCAGTAAGATTATGATTCAAACCGTATCTTTTAAATACTGCGTTCACCAGAGTTTCCGTTCCGCATTTATGAGTTTTCAAGAATACAATATTCTTTCTAGGTTTTATTCTATTTATTAATAAACGTTGTATTTTAGAGCTTTTCTTATCTTCCCATTGATTATCCACATGAAGTAGATTAATAATGATGAGTACAAACAAACAAACCAGACAGATCCTATATAAATATGCAATTTTCAAAGGGTACATTTCAACTTGTTTTAAAAACTAAAGAAAATGTAACATCTGATGATAATTGTTACTCTGAATCTATCCTGATGAATATTAAGTAGATAGTTTACTTTATAAAGATTAGTATAAATCATATAATGATATCTTTAAAATTTGCTACTATTTTCTTTTTATAAGTGATTTATTACAGGCAGCTGCTTTTTATTGAGATTCGACGAGAAGTCCAAACTTAAAAACATATTCCTATCATTCAAATCTTTCTTTAACTAGTCTACGATGTTCATAGATGCTGTTCTTTAGATTTCTCTCAATCCTTATCATATACATTTTCTGCTTTACTGTTATTTGATACTTGTCATCTTTAGCCGACGAAATTAGGATAAACGAACGAACTTGGAAAGCTTTATCAAAGTTTTGGGTCAGAAGAAGAGGGAGGGGAGGGGGGATGAGGAGGATGAAAAGAAGCACTAATTTGTGTTTTTTAAATAACAAGTAGTAGTAAAATCATAGTAATCTAGAGAGAGAGAGAGAGAGAGAAAGAGAACGGAGGAAAATGACTTTGAATAGTTGATTGTAGGACTTGCTGTATATTATAATTCACTTTATATATTCCGATTATAAAAAAAGGGAAAGCTACTTTGTAACGAAAACCGTAACAAAATCTCTAATATGTATTATATATACACTAAGCCGATTAGAGATGGATGGGTTGTTTTTCGTATCAGACATATATTTCCATACGCAGTGTATATTAAAAAGTTACTTTGTTAAATACATATATAAACAATGGCAACGATAGATATAAAGATCTTGATTATAATTATAACAGACTGTTAGGGCAAAGAGAAAGGAGAGAGGGAATAAACTGTGAGAGAGAGAGAGGGAGAGAAATTTTTTAAACAAAGTTAATTTCTAATGATATCGACATTTTAATAGGCTTAAGAAACCGTTTTGTCTCCCCCCGTCCCTCTTTCTCTATTTTTCTTGTTTCTTTGTTACTCATACTTATGATATGTATATAGTTTTCTCTTCTTCTTTCAACTCTTTATATAAAAATATTATATAAGATATAAACGACAAAATAAAAGGAGAATAATAATTTTTTTTTGTCTTAAATTATAGGAAATAGACATTTTTCTTATTTGTTCATACCGACCTAGAAGTCTGCTAGCCCTATTGAACATGTAGAGAATGAAGCGCTGGTAAACCGACTGATCGATATTATATATATAAAAGATTTGGCCTAATTTTTTATGCTCTACAGCAGTTCCTAATTCAAAGTTTACACCTGAACGAGGGAATTTTACCGTAACAGTTTAACAATTTTAAATCGGTGATTTATTAATAAATGAATTGTTCCTCTCTAGGAAGATTATAGTGAGCGGAAAAGTAGGAAAGAAGGAAAAAGCTTGCAGTTTATATATTTGTTCATTTGGAGGGGAAAAAAGAGTTAGTTACCATGTTACGATTGATTCAACTGTTGGTCATCAGTTTCCTATTTATTCACTATGTACAATCGGAAAAACTGCTGCCCAAATCGTGAGTATTCCCTATCTTTTCAAGAATAAATAATTATATTTAGATAGAAGCCGTTATTGATTAATTAATAAATTAATTATTGATTAAAAACGTATATTTTCAGCTCTCATGTTATTATAGCGCCAAAATATGTTCGTCCCGATATGACTTATCGAATGAGCGTCGCTATTTTCGATCTTCAAACTACTTCAGCTATCTTAACGGCTACAATTGCAAATGAAAACTTTAACGAAGCGATCGCTTCCTCGACAATTCGTGTTGGTGCTCATAGTTTAAATATGCTGGAGATAAAAGTTCCAAATTCTGCACCTCCCGGAAATTATTCTCTAAAGATTCAAGCGCTTACATCCTATTCTTATTCTAGTATTCTATTTGAGAATAAGACTGAATTATTCTTTAAAGCTAAACAGGTGTCAATATTCTTACAAACTGACAAGGCGATTTACGGACGTTTGCAATATAGTAAGTAAAGAAGAGAATAACCCTTTCATAATCCTCCCTTACCCTAAATATTTTTCGATTTTCAGTAAATTTTAGAATATTAGCAGTAAAACCAAACCTCCAACCTGTATCCAATGGTCAAATAACTATTTATCTCCTTAATCCTAGAGGTGTTAGGGTACATTGGTGGAAGGAAAAGATGCTGCAAAACGGTCTTTTCGAGGGTAAACACTTTCTAACCGATCCTAGATTATACGGATGGTGGCAATTTGAAATTTTAGCTTTTGTTAGTGATTAATTTTATTAATCTTTTATTATCTAGTTAATTAATTATTGTCCGTTTGTTTTTCAGGGTGAAACATATTTCAAAAAATTCTACAGCTTTGAATACTGTAAGTTTATGAATATTCATATTGTCCATATTAATTATTATGTATATAGTTTACAAACTTACATGTAATACTGTATGATTTAATTCTCTAGACCAAGGTATGCTGGAAGTTAATGTGACTATGCCTCATTACGTTATGGAGAATGAATATGGTATAGTTGGTCTTGTAACGGCAAAGTAAATAAGAATCTATTTTTAAAATTGTTCATTAACACTAACCCTAACCCCAAACCATATCACTTTCAGTTGGACCAAAGGTTATCCGATAAAAGGTTCTGGACATATTCAATACGAACTAAATCCACCGGAAAACATGAAGAATAGAAAAAGCATTTCGTTCCAGACAAGAATACCTTTCGTAATATCCATAAATTAGTTTAAAGGTATAAGCGTCGTTTATCTTTTAATATTCTTATATATAGTTTGAAGGAGTGACAAGCTTCGCCGTTGGAATGGACGAATTAAGAAATATGAATAATAATGCTTCGCTAGAAGGATATAATTTAGTTGCAACTGCAGTTGTTCACGATATAATAAAAACACAACTGCCAGCGACAGGTCAAGCTACAACTAAGATATTTGGTACAGGTTCAAAATTAAGGTATCTTTCTTTTATATTTTATGAAAGATAACTAAGCGGAACGTTTTATTCATTCTCCACAGGGTTCTTGGAGGAAGAATTCGTACATTTAAACCTGGAAAGTTGTTTGACCTCTACGTTTGTATAATAAATTACTTTTTATACGATATTAACAATTTTAAATATAAAGATCGCAGTATATCAAGCCGATGGACAACCTTATAGAAAATCAATAAACTCTGCGTTACGAATTGAACGTCAAGTTTCAAAACTTGATGGCTCTCCAGTTAAATCGGCAAATTTTAAAGATATTGTAATTATTGGGGATAATGGTATAGCTCATTTGTCTTTCATTCCTGAAGATGATGATGACGAAATGACGATAACGGTTTATTTCTTAATTATTTTATTATTACATAACAAAAAACAACTATTCGCATCTGCTTCGTTTAAATAGATAGCGCATCGTCAAGCTGGAATAAAAGTTGTAGCAACAAGGGAATTTTCCGCTATTAATGAGTACCTTTACGTAACAACATCTACGGTTCAACCGAAAGTTGGCGCTTATATGATCTTCACCGTTAGGTGTACAACTTACGTACCTAAAATTCAATATATGGTAAGAATAATTAATTAATTAATTCATTCATTCATTCATTCGTATTGAACATTCAAAATTTCAATTTTCTTAAGGTCACAGCTCAAGGAACCATTCTATTCGTAAATGAATTAGCCATGGAAAGCCAACAAAAGACTTTTTCCATCGCTCTATCCAGGGATATGATACCTAGGGCTCATATCTTAGTTTACGGTCTTTATAACGGTAGAGTTTTGGCGGATGCTCTTCATTTTTATGTTGATGGAGTTAGAGCTTCTGAATCAGATGTAATTTCTATTTTTAGATATGATTTTGTTAAAATGTTTATAATTTGTTGGTTTTTATTGCTTTATTCAACAGTTGAAGCTTGTCGTTAATAAGGGTAAAGATTTTACTCATAACACTATAGAGGTTGTGGCAAAAGGAGATCCTAGTACCTTAATCGCATTCAATGTTCAAGACTATTCAATATATAGATATGAACCAAATTTCCTTACAAGAGATAAAATTGAAAAGGAATTTGCATCCTATGATCTTGGTGCTAACTCAACATTGAGTCATACTTGGTTAAAAGATGAGGGAATAGAGGAAACAGTCCATTTTCCAGCTCCTTCCAGTGCTATTGATTCGAATACGACGTTTCTATATTTGGGTCTCGAAATTTTTACGGATGCAAAATTGGATAGGATACCCGGAAGGGCAACTTGTAATTTCACTCTAGGATTCTCACCGTGTTTCGTATCCGGTTGCTATTCTTTGGACAAAGCTTGTGATGGGTCATGGGACTGTGCTGATGGTGCCGACGAAATGGGGTGTCCATCCGAAGATGATTACACTCCAAAACGGCCACAAAATATTGAGTCTCTCTATCCCGTCCTCATCTACAATTACGAAGAAACATCCTGGTTATGGTCGTGGCATTACACAAAACCGGATGGTAGCTCTTTTGAAGTTGTAAAGGTTCCATACAGGCCAACCACTTGGCTTGTAAGTGCTTTAACCTTAAGTAAGGAACATGGCTTAGCTATTGTAGAAAATCCTGTTAGGGTAAGTAAAAGTTTTAATAATTACATTTAAAAAGGCTACATAATTAAAATCAAAATTTTAATAGTTTAAATCAACAAGACCATTTTACATTGAAATGGATGCTCCGGAAATTGTCCGCACAGGTGAACAGATAGGATTACAAGTAACAGTTTTTAATTATTGGTCAGAAACATTGGAAATTTTAGTTACTATTCACGATCCCGAACCGTTTAAAGTGATAACAGTACCTGATGATGGTTATGTAACTAATTATGATCCAGTCTTGACAAAAGGTTCAAGACAAGTAATGGTTTGGCTAAAACCCGGTGGTGTTACATTGATTCATTTTGGAATCGTTTCCGCGGAGATAGGAGAATATACTGTCTCTGTCTCGGGAGAATCTTTCGCGGCCAAACATACACAAAGCGCAACCATAAAAGTTGTGGCCTATGGCGTTGAAAACTATTACAATACACCACGAATGATTGATATGTTGAATAGTGGAGCTTTATCAATTCCTGATCTTGAGATACCTATTAATCAAAGATTTCTCCTACCTGAGAAGGTACGTCATTTATACGTTCCAGGATCGCCCCATGCCAGAGTATCGGTTGTTGGTGGGTCAGCTGGGCCCAGCTTTACCTATGGTATATGGGATACATCAACTTATCTCAGAACTACAACCAATGCGGGATCAGTCTTTGCCAACAATTTAGGAATAAATCTCTTGTGGTTAAACTTTTTTAGAACTCAAAAAGCAGTTAATAAAGAAACAATTAAAGAAGTTCATCATGGTATAGCTGATCAAGTTGCCCAGCTTATGGTCTACTATACAAATATGGGTAATGGATTAGGATACTTTTCTATGTGGACAACTGAAAGGCCAAGTCTCTTGGTCTCAATCAATTCTGCATCTATTCTTGCAACATTTTACAAAAATCCTGAATGGTTACAACAAGAGTTATACATTGATATAGGCGTTGTTCAGAATACAACAATGTGGATATGTAACAGGCAGTTACCTAATGGTGCTTTCGGCGATGACGATGTACTCTTTGATATGACACTTTATAAAGATATTGAAGATAGTAATGGAAAGAGATTAAATGTCTCATATACTGCCTATGCTATTGTAATGTTACAAGATATCTATTCACATCTAACAAATTCTACAGTCGCCGCAAATCTCAGAAACACACTCAACCTGGCAACAAAGTATATTGCACCATATGCAAACGGTACTGATGATCCATTTATAATGGCTCATATAGCACTGGCATTAAAAAAAGCATCACATTATAGTAGCGAAGATGCATTTAAAAAATTCTACAACTTACCGAGAAAAGGTAAAACCATTTTTATATATTTATTGATTTATTATATTATTAGATAATCATATGATTATAACAAACAATAGATAATGGAAAATATTGGTCCAGAGTGCCCATTAAAGCCGCTAGTATCAAACTGGAAAATCAAGTTCCAGTTTTACTTCCAAAAATACCACAAGCTGAAGAGACTCAGGCCATTGTTGCAACTTCAATAGGGCTTATACTAGAGATGATGAGATTTGGTACCGAAAGAGATTTATCAATTTATATACCTATAGTTAATTGGTTACAAACAATGCGAACAACTTTTTATGGTTGGTCTTCTCCTATAGCAAGTTACTGGGCTTTACAGGCGTTGATAGCCTACGAGAAGGCGGATAAATTTGTAGCTATTCATAACATATTTACACAAATTACGCAGACAAGCACTGATAATGTATTTGATTTTTATCTAAACAAAACTAATTGGTACGATTTACAAGCTTTTGAAATTAACGACAAAGTTTGGGGAACTATTAGGACAGGAGCAACTGGCAGTGGTATAATCCTTCTTCAGCAAGAAGCTACTGTCACCGTTGAATATCAAGATCAAATAAGACAATCGTTAAATAGAACATTCGAATTAGATGTGGACAGTGTTTCTTTCTATGGAAGAAATTACTCAATCCTAGAAGTAACTGTATGCGCAAAATGGCTGAGAACAGATCTAAGTCCAACGAGTGGACAAGCCGATATTGAGATACAAATACCAAGCGGCTATTACGTCTTAAAAGAGATGCTTAACAATTTCACTAATTCCAATCCACTAGTTCAAGATAATGGTTTTGATACAAGTACACAAGTGGCTGTATACGAATTGGACTATGTAATTATTGCATTATTTAATTAACTATCTCATCTCTTTCTCTCTAATCTATTTATTCTCTATAGATTCCTCCGGAGAGAACTTGCGTATTTGTTCAAGCTCATAGATATTTCCCTGTTGCTAATATTACAATTCAACAGACAGTAAGAGTCTATGATCACTACGATATTGGTAAGGATTTATTAAATAATAGTTATTATCTAATTATATCTTACATTTACAGGAAAATATAATAAAACATACTACGAAGCTAGTACACTTTTCCAAACAACAATTTGTCAAGTTTTTGGATCTTATCAGTGCCCATATTCACCTTTTTACAATTCTGCAAAGCCATTGAAAAACACGCCATACATATCTTTATTCTCATTTTTTATTATTGCTTTTACATACAAATGGATTTTCCGTTAAGATTTGTACAGTCTCTATTTTACTATTGCTATTTTTTATTGTTTGAGCAAACTTTGTTAATCCCTCGTAATTATATAAATAAGAAAGAAAGAAAGAAAGAAAGAAGTTTGTAGTTTGTCCAGATTTTTTAGGCCTTTTTACGATTTAGGTTTCTAATTTTGTGGAATAAATGAAAAGTATCGAATTTTTGTTAATAAACGATAAAAATCAATATAAATACTTAAATGCTTGCGTAGTTTTGTTTAATTTTTGACTTTTGAACAGACTTGAGAGATATTTTTAGGTGTGGGAATAAATCCTTCTCTTTCTCCTTCTCGAAAGACAATTGCCATCCCTTCAACCACATGAAAAAATAGATGGCAATGACCCAACCAGTATCCCGGATTATTTGTTTGAAATCTAATTAGAGCATATCCACCTGCTGGTACATTAACCGTGTCTACAAGTGCAGGATTTTCATAATTTAAATCCTTGATTGCAATGATCAATCTCGCTCTTGTACAATATTCATTATTGCATACTATATCCTTACTATTTCCAACCCAGGTACCATTTTTATACTGGTCAGCGAAGCCAACTTTTAAAACTTCAAAATGATGTCCGTGCATATGAAAAGGATGATGAACATATGATATTTTCCCTTCATTTAGCTCTTTACCTTTCACGTTTGTCAATAAAATTTCAATTGTTCTTTAAACAATAAATAGCTTTAAGGATTAAATTATTAATTTTGAGAATAATTTCTTACTTTCCATAAGGCAAATCCATAACGTTTAAGCATTCGCATACAGTAGTTTTACATTCATCGCATAGTTTACTATTTGTCTTATAATCTTCCCAAAAGGTGACAGACGGCGATTTAAAGTACTGCAAATGAAAAGAGTTAGAAATGAAGGATATTTTATAAATTATACACTCAACTTTTCCATTGATTGTTGCTTTTCCATTGAAAAATTGTATATTTAAAGAAAATCTCTCAGTTTCTTCGCTATGAAAGGAATAAAGTTTAAACTTAGAGTTGGATCTTCTCAAACTCTTTATCTGTGAAATATTTCAATATATAAGAAATAACAAGTGTATTGTTTTTGTTATGTTCGACCTGATTTAGACTGATACAGCGACTATGATATTCTGATGGATATGATTTCCAAGGACAATTAAAAATCAGACATACATTCTCCTCAGTACATTTGTAATCGTTAGTTGAAGGCTCACTTTGATTTCCAACATAATTTGTATATCTTACAACGCCTAATATCTCCTCTCTCAATGAGGAATGTTCATCTTTTATAGAAAGAGTCCTAGCCCTCAACCAATAGAGTCCTGGCCTTCTTGTAGCGGCAACGAGAAAATCAAATGATTCTCCAGGAAATGCGATAATTGATTGTAGTTTGACAGCCTCAATAAGATTACCTCCAACCGCAATAAGAATTAAATGATGATTGTCTATAGAAATTTGATAAGCAAATTCATGAGATGCCATAAAAAGTCTAAATCTGTGATATTTTCTTGGGTGTAAAATAAACTCCGCTTTTGGAAGATAGCCAATGTTCTTTGACTGCTGACCTTTACCATTTATAAGTCCTCCCGAATATTTTACATCACTAGTGGCCGTTCCATCAAGGGAATATTTCAATTGATTATTAAACGGGGGCCAATTGATATTTGCTCTAGTCAGATTATTATACAAAACTTGAATATTATGATACCATTCGGATATCACTAGTGGAATTTGTGGAAGTAAAGGAAGATTTTCATGGACAACAAACATCCCATAAAGACCTAGAGCGGAATGCTCTCTGAAATGACCGTGATAGGCATGAGTTCCGACTGGTTCACCCATGAAATCATAAGTATATTGTTCTCCAGGCTGAATAGGGCATTGAGTGATCATGCCAACACCGTCCATCCAAGGTGTTCTCTTTTGATGTATACCATGAAAATGGATTGATGTCATTTCTTCTAATTTATTTGTAACGTGTATAATAATTCTAGAGCCAAACATGACATTAATATTAGGCCCAGGAAATCTTCCATTAATAGTTAAAACCTTCTGCTCGTATCCATCTGCCGTAATAACATCATTAAAATCGACAAGTTGTCTTGAACCTTTGATCTATGGAAAAGGTATACGCATGCTAATCAAAAAGTAACCTAAATGGGCAAAAACTATTAAAGGTCACTTCTACCTGCAATCTGTTTTCCTTATTCACAAATACTCTTTCAGTTCCATTTTTACCATAAAAGGTCATTGTGTCTCTCATTTCTAATAGCCAAAAGTATTCGCATGTAGCGTTAGTACATAATTCATTTTGACAATTGCAAAGGTATATTTGCATTGTAAAGAAGATTGCAATAAAACTCTTCATTGTGAGTTGATTTCAAGCAAACTGTCTTGTTTTATTCAGCTTTTTGTTTTATAGCAAATTAAAGATATGGCATAGGGGCTATTTAATAAGGTTATACATTATACTTTAATATAATATAAGATAATATATACTGTACAGTATATATAAATATATATTTGAAATTATTAATGTGAAAGCAGACTGAAAAAAAATAACCACCCCTTTTTCAATAAAATCACATAATAAAGTATACAATTCTTCGGTTAATAGTCATCATCTTCATCGGAGAAAAAGTGTAGATAATCACAAATTTCACCAAATTCTTGCATTTCGTTATCGTCTATATCCGGTACATTTTTGTATGTATATTCGGGTAGAGGATATTCTATTTTTTAAGATGTAATTTTTAAATGATAATCTATAATTCATTAATTATTCTATGAATAATTACCGTTCGACTTATAATTTATAAGTCGGCAATCTGGATCATGACACTTTTGATAGAAAATTTTTCGATCTAAATCAGCGACAAGTCTATAATATAAGGATAGTACAGATATTAATTGATAAAGAAAACATTAGTTTTTAATACTTACATAATCCCATTACTCTTGTGTTCTCTTTGCATATGTTCGCAATATTTATTCTTTTTCACATCGTATATAATTATATTCCTCTCGCGAAAGAAAATAGCCTTAGAAAATTCAGTTTCTATAGTATATTGCGTTTTCTTGGACCAAGCATCAGCAATATAAGCGTCAACATCAGGATATTTTGATACGGTAGATACAACTTCTATGAATAGAGCCATGAATAGGAAATTAATAAAATATCTCAAAATGACGCTTTTTCTTATTTATCAATGCAAAAATATATACCTGATGAATTTGACGCCTTTGGAGTTTTTTTCATTACAACACATGATGAATTTTCCAACTGATTTGGATCAGAAAATCTAAGGTATTTTTCTCGTTTCTCTCTAATAGATATAACTAATTTAAACAATTTTAAAATAGTATTGCTGGTCTAATTACTTCTCCTGACAAATCAATGATCTGAAGAAAGTATCTTTTTCATCCTTAAATGAATTTTTCGAAAATTTGCTTACAAGAAAAGGATTATTCTTGTCTAGTTTTTCAGATAAAAATAATCTAAAATTTCTATTCTTGTTGTAAACACCTGAATAAAAAAAAAAGAGACAGAAATATTTATCATTAGCAAGTGATAAATCGGAATAATCAAAAAAAGAACCTAAATCGATAAAAAGGCACGTATCTTCCGAACTTTTTCGTACAATAAACTTTCCATAATTTATAGTCTTTTTCGCTAAATCTTGAATGTGTTCGCCAAGAATATTTTTTATAAAAAAGCCTAATTCAACGTTATTGATAAAAATTAGATTTTCTTGATCAATTATCACGTGATGACTAAACTTTGTTTCTGTACTATACGTGTAAAACATAAAAAATTAAGAATATTGTATCAATTTATCAATTACCTGGCATCCAACAAAATTATATTCTCTTCAAGGATTTCAATTCTGAACGTTTCGTTAACTTTTTCAATCAAAAACTGTTAAAAATTATTTTTATTAACTAATTAAATTATAGGATATTAAGAGTTTTAAAGATTAACTAACTTTTAGAAAGTTTTCGAGAATGATTGGTTCACTAAGACAAGGATTTTCAAGTTTACTATATTCCAAATCAAAATACATTTTACAAGGCGAATCTGTTAAATTGTCAAGCAGTTTGAATTAAAATTCTACTTGTAAAAGTGTTCTTTTTATAATATTTCATACCTTCCGTTATAACTTCGTAATGTTGTCTGTTTTTCAAGGACAGTTGACTGAAACAGTCAATTTTCAAACGACATGTTATTTTACACAATATCTCTGGAAATTGTTGTTTACTTACGAATAGTAGTGCCAGAAGCATTCTAAACTTGTCGATATATATTTTCTTTTGCCAGTATGTTTTTCATACATCGGACTTTCAAATGCAAATATCCTTAAATCCTTTTCAATGAAGAAGTTAATTAAACTTCGTTTGAACAGATTTGTAAACAAAACTTACATCTTTATACCTGTCAGCGTAGTCTATTGCATCAGCTAACTTGAAGAAAGGCTTCCAAACATTAGATTTAAATCTGCAAACGAATAGAAAATAGAATTACGACACTCTCTCAAAGGAAAACAGAAATTTGTCACACCCTGAAGGTTGGAAAGATCTTAGAAGAGGTTTGTTCTTGTATAATTCTTCAGTTTTAAGAATCTTATTCTCAAAACGAATTTCATTTATACTTTTCCTGTTTTTATAGATAATCTTATAAAAAAGTAAACTTTTATTTATGCACATTATCACTCACTTGCGTTTTCCGTAAAAATTTAGACTACGGCCAGACGTTTTATCAGACATTCTGAATTGGAAGAACGAGACGAATAATAAAAATATGAAATGGTTAATATACTCTAATATGCTCTTATTATCGAATATTGTCAAAATATATAGTTAACTTCTTGTTATGGCGCTTATTTTCAAAATAGTTGAATGTTTCGCGAAACTTCCGCTTCCGAAGAAAGAGCGGTAATAAAAAATACAGCTTTTTAGAGCTTGCATTTAAATAGAGATACTAATGTTATTCTTGAAACAAATTTAATTTATTTGACAAAAATTTGCATTCAAATGTTCAAAAAATTCAGGACGGACAATGAAGTTAAAATCAAAATATCAAACTTGGACGAAATAGAAAAACAAAGTGTAAATCTAAGGTTTACTAGACTCTGCAATAAGATTACAAACAGCTTTGTGCTTTTTCCAATGATTAACTTGACATTCCCTCCTACAATACCATTCGTTTTGGCAACGACTACAACGCTTTGTTGCCAAATGACCGCAAACTGCACACTTTGGAGGTTCGGTTATAAAATTCTGTAGGGAATCCAAGTCATAAGCTGATGCCAATTGCTCGGCGTGTGCTTTCATGTCTACGTTGGACGGATCAAAAAAAGTTTTAACTTGTATTTCAGCTATCTTGTGCCATCGATCTTTGTAACAAAGCTTTAATTATTTTAAATATAATAGATAATTAACTTTAAATTATACCTGCGTATTTTTTCAATATATTTTCCCTAATTTCCGGTATTTGCTCTAGTAGTAAGCTCTTACTAATAGTGGGAGGATCCATCATCCCTAATTCTTCAACATATCTATGTAGCTCTACCAAAATCGGCAACTGATCCAGTAAAATCTACAAAGATTGCTAGTATATTATAGAGATAGTATATCGTATTGAAAACTAGTTTACCTCAGTCAAAAAAGATCTTAACTTTAATAAAATATTTTTTCTATGAGAATTTATCTCATATTTACTTCTACAGTCTGGATGCAAAAGAAGTTGGTAAAGAGTTAGCCACACTTGACCTTCGGTTTTTATCAATTTCATAGAATCGTCATCAATAATTTTCTCCCATCTATTCTCAACGTATCGTTCACGTGAATTTTCTTTGGTTCTTAGCCATGGAGAATGTTCTAAAATATGAACGAGTAAAACTGGGAAGTCATGAGTGTCCAGAATCCTTGTATTTGTTGATAAAGGTAAACTGCAAAAATAAAGTACGATTTACTTACGTAAACATTACTAATGCAAGAAAGCATTAATTTGTTGATCAAGTTAACAACACTCACTTAGATAAATGATCTACTATGTATCTCAATATCGAGATAGCTTTAATGCAAATACCAAACTCTAATTGATGATACTGGGATTCCAATTCCTGGAAAAGTGCAAATGCTTTAAAATTGCTTGAGTAGAAAGTAAAAACATTACTTCGAGGCTATTTTCTTCTTTCGGCTTTAATGACTTCTCATTGAAATCCCTAAAAAGAACAAAATTATCGTAGTTTCATTCATGAATAATTAACTTAAGAAATTACATGGCTATGAATTTGCATAGTTTTCGATAAGTGTAGTCCACCAGCTCCAAAACAAACTCATCACACGCCTCCGCTACGTCTTGATGGTATAGGGTTGTCTCCAATAGATTTATGACAGTAGCTTCGTGATATAACTGTTAGTGAAATTATTTATTTGGAAAACACGAGATGGAATGTTTTGTATATCTTACCACCATGTATACAGGAAACATTATTTTTAAGTTCATTTTTTTATTGATAATCTCCCTAAAAACTTTATCTTTCCAGATTTCTACGCAAAGTAAATCGTGTATTAATACTTTTACTTTATCGTGTGAAACCAAGAAATCTCTAATAAATTCATCTTCATTGTTCGAAGCACACATAACAGCTTGCATATTAAGTTTTTCTAAATGTTGGTGTTGCGAAGACCATCTGTAATTTGAGCGATATTAGGCTAGAAGAAAGGTTTATTAGGTTTAAATCAAAACACACCTTGCCGAGCCAATCTCAGTCAATACAATATTTTCTAAGCCTTGAACATAGGCCTCGGCTTCAGATGGTAAAAGAATTTGAGCAGATTCGGACGTCATAATTAAAATACTAATAAGAAAAAATCTAAATTGTTATAATCGAAGTTCTTCGGTAAATATCAAAAAGAATTCGAATAGACTGGTTCGGTACTATTTTTCCGAATTTTAGATTTAGAAACTTTTTTATACAGACGGGGTACTTGACTGCTATTCATATCTAAATTCAAGAATATCCACTTATCCAGATGTATTGACGTCAATACTTTCAGTTTATTATCGTGTTCGCTTCAATTGTGTATATACATATATAAAAACAAAACAAAATTACAATAACTTTCAATCAGGTAGTCATTAATAAGTATTTGTGACAACAATTAGCTTTGTATCATTATTAAATAAAAAAGAAAACAATTAAATACATGTAAATTAGACTATAACATAAATTTGCATTGTTGTTTTTTAGATTATAATCAAAATATAATAAAATTACATCAAAAACTTTGAGACCATGACTAGAACAGAATTAACAGTTTATGTTCAATTCAGCAATTAAATTGTTCATTTTGAAATTTTTAATTGTTAAAGACAGAAAAAAAAAATAACTAAAAAGCATCTTGGATATTATTGAATGGGCGTACGGCTAAATCAACTGGTAATTTGAAATTTATCGAATTTAACCGGTCAAGTGACTGTAGAGCGTCATCAAAGCCTATGGAAATATTCATATTAACTAAATATTAATTGCAAGAGAGTCAATAGCACTTACCGGTTCTTACCACATAGCTCCAAGGTTGATAGTAAAATTCGATCAAGGGATGACATTTTAATATCAAGCGTAACCATTTGGATAAACTCTTTTCGCTAAAATAATAGATATTTATAGAAAACCTTATAACAGTGCAAACAATTTAGTAACTCACTTTAGAGCTAAACAAAGGAAAGCTTTAAATTGCATATCATCGGATCTTTTAAGGGGTCGGTGAGATGAAAGAACACCATCGATACCACTTAACAAATTTTGTTTAGTTGTAATAGCTTTCCCACCCACAATATCCAAATGAAAAGACTGTGACAGTTTTCTAGCAGGTGAATCATTATATTCCTTCCCGTGTTTCATTTCATAATATTTCAAGAAAAGATCCCAAGCGTGCATCATTTTTGCATTACGATTCGAACGAGCTGCCAGGCAACCGAACGTCATCAAGCTAGTGCTTTGTCCTACTTCCATCAATCCATGCTGAAGGAGATCTCTTAAAGCTGTTGCGAATTCCTTACGGACTGCCATCACAATTTCCTTATTACACTGTATGACGGGGGCGTCCTCTAAATCACTAGTATAATCACTGTCAGCAACTTCAGTCTTTTCATCTTTGTGAACAACATCAATTACCTTTCCTATAGCTACCTCTAATCGTGCCCTTAAGTCACTGTGGAAAAAAAAGTTTTACTTTTCAATAGGATCAATCACCCTAGAAACTTTTGATGCTTACCCCCAGTGACTGTTTTTAGTAGTTCGTTTAAGGAGGTTGCGTTGAAACTCCTTACTGCCACATCCCAGTTGACTTATTGTAAACAACTGAAGAACAGTCAATGCCTGTTTCATTATAGTAAGAGCAGTTTCTCTCATTGTCTGAAATTTTCTTAATAATTAGTTTTCTTTTGCAATTAAGAAAATTAATTGAAGTTTACATTAGCATTGGTGGCATTAGAGTTTTTACTTGTCTTGTCAACTTCTGCATGATTATCGAATGTAAATTTTGTAGCTTCACCATGTTTTGGACATGTACATTTTTGTCCTAGAGGTCCAGGAGTTTGAGCATCGCCTTGGAGGAATAAGATAAATCTTTCTAAATCAGTTATTTGAGTCTTTAGTTGCTCTACGACTTTCTCTTTTACTTTTCCAGGATAGACTATTTTACCAACAGCATTATCAACAATTTTCCTTAAATCTTCTGGGCTGTGAAAAAATTATTTTCTGATTACAATAATTATATTCTCTGTTATCCAAAATCTACCCTAATTTATTCATATCTTCTAATTGGAGATTAAGTCGTTGTGTTAATTGGTCAATCAGTATCTTCTGTTTCTCTAAGACTTTACTTGTTGGCAGATCAGCTTCTCCCATCTAACAAAAAAATAATTCATTAAAACTTGGATAGAAAGATTTATAAATAGATTTTTTTTACCTCGTATTCATATGTTTCTAAATCTTCTAATTGAGTTTTTAGTTGATTTATTAGCTCTTGTTGTTTTTCACGTTGTTCTAGAAATTTTCCTTTGTACTCGGATCCATCCTTTTAATTGTGGTAATTTAACAAATGTGTTTTGATCTTGGAGAATAATTTTCTATTGACTTACCGTCTCGTCTAAAGATAAAGAATTTGTTGTTTTGCAGCCTCTAGCATCAGGTATTCCCTTGAAAGCGAACTGTTCTAAACTCTTTAACAAATCCTCCTTTTCATCTGCCGGAGCAGAGACAATTTGTTTCAAGCGAAATTGAACTTGTGCAAAATGTGATGTTAAAGCCAGCAAAGAATTATTCAACTCTTCTTGTTCTTCTTCTAATCTACTAAGTTCGGATTCATGATAGATACCCACACTGTTCAAATTTTTAGAAATATTTTAGGATTTAGCAAGCTCTACACAAAATTTCCTGATTACAACCTTTCATTATCTCCGCCCGATAATGTTTCGGCATCGTGTAATGATTCTGAATTACCACACAGGTTATCAGAACTTCGTGATTGTTCCATGCTCTTTTTTCAATCTTTATTGATGGAAGTTAAGTAATACAAATTATTACAGCATATGTAGATGATAAAAAACAGGAAAATAACTTTATCTAAAAATCTAAGTTAAAGATCTGCATAATAATTATGTATTTACCTATAAAAGTTACCATTAACACATGTCACTTTATTCTATCATGTTTATTAAGCTTTTTTTTAGCCGATCATTCAATCAAACTCATTTCGACGCCATGTTTGTCATCTTAATATTTTACCTGAGTGCCAGTTTGTTAGAGTGGTTACTGCCGTATTGTAGTATATTCGCGGCTAGTTTAATATTCTTGTCAAGTCGGAAAAGGCAAATGAAATGTGATTATTTAATAAACGTTAAATAAACAGTAATAATTTAATTTAAAGGTTAATACTTTTCATCTCTTTCATAAAAAATAGAGACTTCATTTACGATTAACCTATATATTTTCTTTCTTAGCCATTATATTCGGCAAGAGAACCCATCTACGTCTGACAGGAAGTAGTTTTAAAGTTAGATTACCAACGAACACAAAATTTGTTGGCAGTTCTTTTATTTTATGTCATTCGAAAAGTCATTCATTTTAGAGTTCTTTTGGAAACTAATTAGCTTTAAATGTATATTTTTAATTGTTAGTTTGTATGGATTGGCGCTAGTCGTCGATTTTCTCGTTTTTAATTATTCACAAAATCTCTGGATAAAAGCTATCTTTGATAATGCTGGTCATGCTCTCATAGCCTTTCTCTCTTGGCTGGTTGTACGAACGGATAGTGTCAATAATTACCGAATTCTACTAATTGAAAGTTTGACAAGTGCCGTTGTAGGTTCATTGATTGATCTGGACCATTTCGTTGAGGCTCGCGCATTTAGCTTGAGAGTAGGTCAAAACTCGAAAATAGTGAATATTCTAATAATTTGATCTATTTCAGTCAGCAGTTTCTCTAAAGTATAGGCCTCATGCACACTCAGTCACCTTCATCGTATTTTCATCTCTCCTTCTCGTCGTTCTAACATATCGATGCAAATTTAAGCAAATAAGAAATTTGCCATTTATTTTCCTTGTATCTGGCCTCTCTCATCAATTAAGAGATGCCAATCGTAGAGGACTTTGGCTGTACCCACTTGGGACAACAAAACAGCTCCCCAGTTATTTGTATATAATATCCCTTCTATTATTAACGTTCGTATTTCGAATATTTTACATATATCAATGGCTGAAGAATAGGGAGAATGTCAAATCTATAAAGTTAATAATATAAAAAAAACAAGAAAAATAAGCATCTAGAGTTTCTACTTTCAAATAATTAAATAAACTAATGATGTATATTTAAGAATCATTATATATTTATAACTGTTTCCTAGAATTTGTATACTTTGAGGTGATTTCAAAAGTATATTATTATATACTGTACTTGACTATAAAATAGTATATTGATATTTAAACATAAATTATGTTCTGCAAGCCAAAATATAAAGAGAAGTTTAACAGTAAAGGTGTAGAATACAAAGGAATTCTGGAACGATCAATATGAGAACAATTATTACATAATTTATAAATGTATATATATACTGTATATATATTTATACGATACACGTATGAAATATAATTTATCTCTTTATGATTTCAAGTAATTCTTCTTTCTGGACCATATTTTTTAATTGTTATATTTTCCGAATCTCACAGCATGCTTTTCTTCTGAACTTTGATTTGTTGGTACTGCTGCAGCATCTTGAAAATTACTGTGCAATGGATTAGTAAATTGCACGCAAGAATCGTCTCCCAAATTACTATATTGTTTTTTCCTGATAAAAAATACCGAATTAATGTTTGAATTAATCTTTATTTAAATTTAGATTCTTATCACGATTCTTACCTATGTTTCATGATAATCACTCCAACTACGACGGCTATTATAGCCACAAAAACGAACGAGATCACAACGGCCAATAAAGCTTTCCGGCTTTTTTCTTTTTTATCTGGCGATAACATTTCTATTATTATTTTATCAAATTATTAAACGCAATAATAACTATAACTTACTTTTTTTACCTTTCTTATCAATGGGAGATTCTGAAGGAGATTCGGTTGTAACAGATTCAGTCGACAATTCAGTATTTGTTACCGTACTCTCAGAAACTGTACTTGAGGAAATAGAAATAGGGCTTTGAGGAGTTCTGTCGGTGGAGTAACTTTCAGTCGGTACAGTATTTGAGTCGGTGACATTGTCATCAGTACTTTCAGTAACAGTGGAATTAAGGGAAGTAGGAGACGGCGAAGAGAAAACTCCAGTAACTCCTGTATCTGTGGTTGCCTCAGTAGAATTAGGCGAAATAGTCATTTCTCTTTGATTTTGAGATGTCGCACTTTCAGTGGTCGTAGCCTCAGTTGATGATTTAGTTACTAAATCCTTAGAAATATTGGTCGTCACATTTGGAAGATTACTATTAAGAAATAACTGATGTTAATAAGGTACATTTTGCAGTTTTACTATCTATTTCACTAATCTCTTATAAAGCCACAACTACAAATGCAGTTCTGTTGAGTAATGTTTAATCTTGAAAGTGTAAATTATATTTACGAGGTTTGGCTCAGTGTTATATCTGAAGCAGATTGGCCAATCGTAGAAAGTATTGGCTGTGGAGTCCCTATAGATGGCTTGGTCGGTACACAAAGAACCTTCTCTCCTACTTTTTTGATATATTATAGAGGATTAGGAAGAAAAATTGAATTTATCATAAATTATCCTAAAGTGAAACTATTAGTACTTACGAAAGAGAAAGTAAAACAAAATAGCAATTTGAAAGCTTTTCATCATCCTGAAAGAAGTACTCAAGTTCACCTGAAAAATGAAGAGTAAAATGATAACCATTTTGTTTCAAAAATTTTATTTACACTGTATTATATCAAGTTCAGCCGATTTCTCAATGTTTACGTTGGGTTAGTCCGTATTTACTATCCCAAAACATAGAGACATGAGCGATAACAGAAATTGAAAATTCAATTTAAGCTGACTAACATCTGTCACCTAATCAATATAAATTGGTTAAGGTGCTTTAAAATACCTTTGGTGAATGATGAACACGAGATGTAATAACAGTTTATGTTAATTTATTACAAAGTGATCGGGCGTTTCTTGGAGAGTAAGTGAATCACATGACACGAGTTTCAGAAATGGACTTTTAAGGGTAACGCACACTTTCTATAGAAAACAAATGGCGTCTCTGATGGTAATATAGTCAGACATTTGCCTCGGTTTTTCTCGAAACGTTACCGGTGTAAATTGACTATTACGCCACCTATACTATTCTAATTTTGCTAACGTGTAATAAAGTCATCGCAATATAGACTGGCATCCTTTTATTCGATATTTTATTTGAACAAAAGAAAATACTTTTAATCACATGGTTCGGGGGGCGCAGGTGCCTCACTCATTAATCTATCACGAACAAAAACAGGAGGTGAATTAGGTTCAAGCAGCGTTAAAACTTCTGTTGCCTTATTATCACGTATATTTCGAAACTCAGCTACCGTATTAGCGTTCCAGTATATACCTTGTCCTTGGCAGAAAAAGATATGCTCAAAAGGAAAGGGTTCTAATTTATATTTTAGTATTGGACCATATGACAAGAAAAGATCTTGATTTTCTTCGTAAATGGTTATATTCCCATACGCAAAGTTTCCGTATTGACCTGTATAAATTTGATTGTCCTGTTTTACGAATCTTGATCTTTTTGTTGAGAAATGTTGACGATTGTCTTCCAATAAGGTATCTCGAATATTCTTTTGAGAATTGTCAGTAGATTTGGAACTTTCACAAGCAATACTTAGATTTAACCATGGTGCCCCTGTAGCTAGTAAATCATTAATAAATGTGGTGGCTTGCACATGAAGTGCGCCTGTATCTCCGTTGGCGTTAGAACTGACAAAAACTCCATTTTTTAGTTTTGGAACTAGTTCAACTTGAGACAGATAGCCCCCTTGGCTACCTCCGTGTAGGATCGTTTGATAACCTGATTAAAAATAGATTAAGTTATCATAATTTAACTTTAGATAATTGTAGATTGGTGTTGTAAGATAATACCTCTATTGTAGCCGCGAACTAGTCCCATTCCATATTGGATTGCTGACCAAACAATTAGTCCATCTCCCAAATCTGTATTTCCTTGGGGTTGTGTTGGTACGACAGGGTCTCTAATTTTCAAAAAACTCTCTTCTTTAACCACTTCTTCCCCATTTTCATTTCGTCCATTCGATAGGTGAAATTTTATATATTTTACCATATCAACAGCATTCGATCCAATACCTCCAGGTCCAGTACTTGTATTATATGCATTATTAACCATTTCAAAGTCAATTTCTTTATTCTCCGCCTTGGAACGTTTTCCATAACCAGTTGCATATTTATCCCAGTCACTTCTATCTGTGACAAATGTCGTGTCAGTCATATTAAGAGGCCTGAATATAAAATCTTTTGTAGCTTCTTCCCAGCTTTTACCATTATCCTGTATGGCTTCAATAACGTGTGCACTAAGAATATACATTAAATTATTGTACATATAACTGTCCCTAAAATCTTTAGTGAAGTCTAGATATCTTAATCTGAATATCAAATCATCTTTATCCATTGTGGAGAATCTTATTACGTCATTTCTTGGTAGTCCTGTTCTATGAGACAAGGCGTCTTTAAGGGTTATCGATTTAGTTCTACACGAATCTGACAAATAAAAACTTTGGCCCAGAATATCCCTTATCGGAGTAGAGAAGCCAATACTATTAATATATAAATGTAATGTATTATTAGAGTTTATTTATACGCATAGACTGCAACTTACTCTTCTCTATCTTGAAAAATTTTTGCAAGTGTTGAAGCGACAAATGATTTAGTTATAGACGCAATGTTGAATTTCGTATATTCGGTAAGTGGCTCACCACTTTCAATATTCCTGACACCGTAGCCTTTCGTAAGAAACGTCTATTGGAAATTAACTTAATTAGCACATGCACAATATATATTGTATACTTTATATAGTTAGAGGAACGTATATGAATATGTACCTTTCCATTTCTTACAATACCTAAGCTTAAACCAGGTACATTACGACACTGTAATAACCCATTTATAAAGTCATCTATTTTCGCAATTATTTCGTCATCTTTCAAAGTTATAGTAGAATTTATAACTTGTATACAAGTAAAGTAAGTTAGAAGCAATTTTATTGATATTGACAAAACTTTCATAATAATCTTGTATCTCTATTTCTGAAAACAATTTGATGTTTCTTTGCCTTTATATTCTGGGTAAAAGATATAAACACAAACGAACCATTCATCTTCTATCATTAATCTGTAATCTATCTTAGTTAGTCATAATTGATAAACATAAGAAAAAAACATTCGATAAAATCACAGCGCCATCTGTATAAGATGATCCGTATTCTTTTTTTTTTTAATTGTACTTTCTTATGATTAAAAATTGTTGTTTTAAAGAATTTTTAAAATAAACTTTAAAGAAAATATAATTAATTGTATTTTTTTAATTAGTTAATTATTATTTTTTTTTAGAATTAATAATTAAATAACTTTTTACGAAAAGTATATGCTGTTGTTGAGTAGTTTTCACACTACCAGCTAAAAGTAGTTTAGTTAGAATTCTGCTGTTTTTTTGATACATGGTCTGTTTAGAGGTCAAAATGAGAAATGTAAAAGAATCCCAATTGTCCGTTATGGACGAATATTTCGGAGTATATTTACAATATAATAAAGAATTTAGCTAAATGTATTTAATTATTAATTTATATTCTAGAGCATAGGCCTTTGGAGAAAGCCAATAATTAAAGGTAGTTCGTGTCTATTTCGAGCAGTGGCCGACCAGGTAGAAAAAAAGAGTTCATTTATTTTTTTTGAATAACGGGCGTGGTTGAAATTTCGATATTGTGATACCGCCCAACGCTCTTATATATACTTGCTAATAAAATATGATAGAAAGGTTCTCTTATTATACAAATATGTGCTGGTTGTACAAGAGCGTCTTGTATGTCAAAAAAATAAAAAAAGAATATTTGTAAAAAAAAAAAGGGAGAAAACGTGAAATTTTCACTCTTGAAAAAGATATTCCTTTTTTGTAAAGTCTTTAATTCCTCCTTTTAGCTTTTGGTAGATCAAACTCAGCATTTGAACTTACGTAATCAATGCGTTCAATTTATGTCCGATAATAGTAGTATATTTGAAAAGGTTTGTACATGCTTTTTTTTTATTTGCTGTTCTGTTTTTATGCTTTATTTTTTTTTTTAATATTGAAATGCGCACGTTTCCCTTATGAGATGCATAATCAATTTAATACCAGCTTTTACTCAAAAGGTTACTTTATAATTTATGCTTATATATGTGTATTATCTTATTTTTTTTAATATTTTTTATAAACATTTTTGTATTCAGTATGTCAACGGTAACCTAGTCGGACACTTGAAGAATTTACAAAATCCTAAGGTAATATAATTAAATTTTTTCTTGAAAGGTTGCACAAATTTTTCCACACTTTTTTTTTATTACCGTCCTTACTACTCACTTCTACTTGGACAATTTCTACTCAATTCCTTTTCTACTTCTTCTTTTTTCTTTTCTATTTTATAGGAATGGGGCGGAACTTTAGAAATGTTAGCCTTGTCGTTAATTTATAAGTAAGAATTTTCCTTGTTTCTATTCGTAATATCAAGAGATTACTATCTCACTACAGACGAGATTTTGTCATATTTTTCGAAGTTGAAAAGGATCCAGTAAACATTACAGATCAAAACTTTCAGGATAAAGTATATATATATATATATATTATTAACTTATCATTTATTCTTTATTTACTTCTAATTTTCCTTTTCCCCTTCAATTAGATTACTTTGTGCTTGTCGAACGGTAATCATTACGACTGCGTTTATCCGAGAAGCCATCTGGACTCTTACGCTTTTTGTCAATGTAAGCAAGAATAAATTAATTGTTATTCGCGATCTTATGTAACTTTAAGAATAGGAAATTGTTTTTATTGATGATTTTATTTCGCATTTGATATGGAATTTTCATTATTTGTATTTTAATTAACAAATAACTCGTTAAAAAAAATTACAATTGTTACCATAGAAATAATTCACAACTACCTGCAGAGACTGCATTTTAACAGTTAGCTTATTTTTCTATAGGTAGATGCAGTCATTTAAAATGAGCTACTAATTCAAAATAAAATATGTGCAGAGACAGATGGTGGTTCAATCTGTTAGTTTGCGGTAGTTTCTCAAATTGTCTCTTTTATAGAGCTGCGTTAAATTTGTTAGCATGATTTATATAAAAAATTTTCTATGCATATAAATATTAGTGGCTCCTCCTCGCACCAATCAATAAAGACTAGCAGCCGTCTACAGCTGCAATAGTGTGACGTCGTTCCGAGGATTGTTAAACATTTTAATTGTCATTTATTGCAGCGTTGGTGTTTGAATTATTATACGAAAGCGTATTTAAAGTGAAAGGAGCTGTAAAAATTGCCCGTGGAATGGTCGCTACTAGATATTCAATAATGGCATCTAGAAATGAAAGGTATTGATAAGCTCACAAATTTTTTAGGTTACTAAAAATTTATCATCTTTCATAAAAAGCTCCACAAATTCGCATAAATCTATCAATGAAAATGAGGCAAAAAAAGACGAAAAGGTAAATTTATGTTTATTAATCAATTAATGCAAGCTAAATATATAATCATACAAAATAATCTATGTGTATATAACATCACACATATATATATACATGTATATATTAGTATATACATATAGTAAAGTTAATATTTAATGCCATTTAGAGGACAACTTCAACTGAAAAACCTGCATTCTCAATAAAGGTTGCAAAATCTTTGGATCCTGAATACTATAGAAATGTTGAATTTGACAATTGTAAAGAAACTAAGAAAAACTCTAAAGGTTTGTATACATTTCTATACATTTATTTTTTGGCAAAAAGTAAAAATAGTCTATAATACAGCAAGAAATTCGGCAAATGGAAAATTAGCGACAGAAATCGAATTTCTGCCTGGAGATAAGTGCGAGGTTTGTTTAAATATTTTTAATACTTTATAATGAATAATAAAAACTTACACACATTTATTTTTACAAGTATCTATTTATATATTAATACACGTAAATATCAATTATAGATTTCATATGATGGTGAGACATTTCATGGCCACGTCCAACAGTTGTCAGCCGATAAAGGGCCAGTTACAATTTTCATTGAGGAAATAGGAGAGAAGTTAATAAACATATTGAAATTTATATGTTTTTTAAACCTATCCATTTTTAAACTATTAGAAAAATTGTCCCGTACAATGCAGTTAAGAGGTTAGCTAGGAGGCGAAACAGTACGAGTGCGGTCTGTTATCAAAAGTTGAGTGGGGAAACAGGTAAGAAACAGAACATAAATAATTAATCTAATTAGAGAAATTTTTATAAATAAGACCTAATAAAAAATCTATAATTTAAAATTAGATCATGGACAGAACAATAATAACAATAATAACGGATCTAGGAAGAAACAGAAGAAGAAAAAGGTTAGTTTTTATGCAATATAATGAAATAGAATAATAGAAAAATTTCTTACCTAAAAATAAGCAGGAAGCATTTCATATGAATTTTGGCAGAAATAATACAGAAAGGATTAAATCCGATATGAAGACATTGTTAGTATTTTTAGTTTTAATCGTCAACATATACTCCAAATATAGAAACAATCCATTTTTAATACTGTATTATAAATAGAGAGGATCAGTCAATAATACCCATGATGGTCGATGAAATGGGAATGTGTGATGACTCTCATATACGAGAGGGAATGGAAAATTTGAACTTTGCGAATTGTCGAACTAGATGTGGCAGTGAACCCAGATCATTTTGGGTAAACAATTGGCAAGATAATGATATCCATCATTGTACAGCGGAGGAAAGCATACCTCAAATGCCTCCTAATTCAGAATTACTCATTAACTATCAAATTCCACCATCCGCTGATCCAAATGGCTCTGATTTACCTTTCAATGGTATATCTTTCTTAATACACCTATACATAAATGTACTGAAATGTAAACATTTTTTACAGATGTTGCAACGTTAAGATATTTCTTCAATCTGGGAGTCGAATGTCATAGATCCCAAAGCGTTCGAAGCATACCTCAAGTAGCTCAGATGCCTCCAAATCCTTATACTACTATCTTATGTGCACCTCCAGCATCACATATGTATATTTCAGGTCATGAACCATTTGACAATACAGGTGAGCGAAAAGAAGATACTAACAAAGACGTACTGACAGACTCGGGTTGCGTAAGCGACGCTGGTAGCTCCGATTCAGGACCTAGTCGAACTAATCCGCCAACGATTAAAATATCGAAAGACATCCCTTACCGCTTTCAAAGGCTTCTTTACCCTAAAATGTTGTCTGTTCATTTGGAAGGCCAACAGCTTGTAAGAGCAGTTCCCCTAACAAAGCAGAAAAAAGAGGGGAAAAAATCTAATCCTACTTTGAATCCTAATGCTAACAGCTTCGTTCCCTCTAACCCAAATAATGTGACCTTTGCCGCATATACCGAATCTATTCCAACATATACTATCCTCATGGATGGCCCTCCGCCAACAGGTGCCCGTGCGTATAATCCACCTCCAATTCCGACACAATATCCTGTTTCCCAAGACTGTCAACCGCATATTGTTTACGCTCCATACAGAACTTGCTGATTCACTTCGACTACTCATTTCCCCATGTTTTTGGTTGTTATGTGAATCTGTTGTTCAATTTATACTATTTAAGTTTTTTCTTTCAGCATAAATTTAAATGTTTTTGAGTTTTCAGTTGGTGGCGGGCCAGAAAAACCGATTTGTAGTGTTCAATGTTAATCGTTTGTGTATACTACGTAATGTCATCAGGTGATTTGTACGCTTGTTCCGATTCTAATTATAGATATGTTTACGTGAACCTTGTTTTTGTTAAATAATAAGTTGTCGAAAATGCAATTATGATTGGAGAATATTCGTATTACAAAATAAATATAAGATTATGTATTTTAGAGTTACATATTTGCTTTTTTTTGTACCAATTACACAATTACTTCACAGAAATAGGAATAATCAGTTCGTAGAAACTTCATTAAATAGCTTGTTTTTTATGACTTGGGACATAAGACCATGAATAGCCTCTATTGTCTGCTTGCATCTGAAAGCAAATTGTATATGAAATTGCAATGCCACTTGATTAGCATTCAAATAATTACCCATCCTTTGTAGCTTTAGCGATCTTTTCTTCGGTTCTTTTGTCGTGAGCGTCAAGGGCTGTTCCTACGCCACTTCTTCCCAGTTGAATATCTGATTGTTCTAATTTTTCTGCTAAATCGAAGATTTGCCCGGTCGCATAATCAGCATTCTGTTAACATAGGAATGACAACCTCATAAATGAAATATAAAATTATTTACTGTAAGTAAACTGCTGCTGCTCAGAGTGTTTATCCAGTATTTATTCCAGAGAGATTCAAGTAGAACTTTATCTAAAACTGACTTGAAATAAGATACTTCCAGAGAGTAATACCTGTAAGAGAATTGAAAATTTTGATAAAAGATCTAATAGCTGAAATTCATTATTAACTGACTGTTTGCAATGAACACCAAAATCTTCAATTTTATTTAACGGAATTGATTGATATTCAGATTGTTCTTCGTCACGAGGCTTATAAGTCTAAAAATGGCAAAAAAAACGAAAACACTGGATTCTGTATCGATTTTTAATGAAGCCTATAAAAACTGATTACCTTTGGATAAGTTCTGAAAGCCCCTAAATTAACTTTTCCTGAAGAAATAGTTCTAGTTGGATCAACCTGAAAGGAACAAGTTATTATTAGCAATCCGTTTAAACTTTACTTTCATATAGAGCGTACCACAATAGCAACGAATGGTTCTTGGTATTGTTGATTCAACATCTGAGTACTAACATCAATGCCAGATAACCAGCAACCGTATCCTGGATGGCTATGATACCATCCAATGGCATTTTCTAATCTTTTTACTGGTTTTGCATTGTCAATATAAGCAGTCATATATTCGTAAGCTTGGGCTTGAGCATTAACTCTCGTCTCAGTACCTTCGACAGGTAGCGCAAAGGCATCCATAACAATCATCGTATTTCCGTCAACTTTGCCTAACATGATACCCATAACTTCTAAATTACCACCTGATCGAGCATGCATAACCATTTTCAAAAGCGCCAAAGCAGAAATTTTAATATGTGTGAAGTACGATGGGCTACATAAAAAACAGATTATCACTAAAGAATACTAAATAAATTACACAATCTAAAACTTACTCCTTTTCCCAAGGTTTTGCCTGCAACAATTCTTTCTGTTGATCGTCACTATATCGGTATAGATCGTCCAGCGATGCAATATTTTCCACGTTATTTTCCATTTCCCAAACTTTACGAGCTACTTCAGAAGAGTTCATTTTTGTTTTAGGCTTTCTCAGAAATTTCAATTAAAATTACTCAGCACTCTGTAAGGTTTTATTCTTGTTAAACGGAAGTAGAGTTCCGCAACACTTCCGGTTAGTCTAAATCTCGATAAATTTTCATGAATATTTTTCCGAAAGAAAACCGTTTAGTAGTACAATTCAGAAGCGTTGGTTTTGGAGGATCATATTGTTATTTAGCAGTACTAGTTCAAAAGAAGCATTAAAGGATAAAAAAATCTGAAATTTGAATTTCGCTTTATATTAGATTGCAAAAATCCTCACAACCTTCAGGACAAAGAAAGCCAAGTAAGATGATTAAAATGAGCGATATTTAGAGTATAGTAAGTTGTTTATAATAAAAAGGTATGGGACGTCGTAAGAAATCTCGAAAGCCTCCTCCTAAAAGAAAAATGATCGAGGCCCTAGATAAACTCTTTAACTGCCCATTCTGTAATCACGAAAAATCATGCGAAGTAAAAATGTAAGAAAATTAATATTTCGTAATCATTTCACTATAATCTCATCTACATTATATTTAGGGATCGAGACAGAAATGCAGGCATGATAGCTTGTAGAGTGTGTTTGGAAGATTTTCAAACGTCTATAAATTGTAAGTCTATCATTGTTGATTGAAAAATAATTATTATATTTGTATATTTTATAGATTTGTCTGAACCCGTTGATGTATATAGCGACTGGATTGATGCATGTGAAAATGCTAATCAGTAAAAACTTTTAATAGTGAGAAATTGTTTTTATTCTGTACGCTTTTCTTAATCAAATATAAAAATTTATTCATGTCATTATATTATTTAAAATTCTTTTTTTATTGAATGTGTAGACATCGATGGTGTTGAAGTGGAAGTTTCTCCTCCAATTTCTCCAGCTTCTTTTCTGATTGCGCTTATGAGAGCCTGAGAACTTTCGAAAATTTTTTGATAAGCTGCATTACTATCTGATAGAATTTTATCTAATTTTCGTCTAGTTTCTCCATTTTTACGTAGACGATCAATCAAGCGTGCCAACCGATCATCTAAGAGTCGAATGTCTTGCTCAAGTTTCTTTTTTTCCAATTCGTCTTCCCGAATTTGACATTCGATCGATTCTCTCCTTTCGGTGAGATGTTCAATCGTTCCTATCAACTCTTTATGGAACTCGAATTTGGCACTTTCTCCCCTATCCATAGTTCAACATTTAAAATTTAACATTTTCAAATGACGTAGCTTATTAAAAATAATTCTGTATTAAATTTAATAGAATAAATATAAAAGAACTTTTTTAATACCATTTTATAAACAAAATAAAATTGGCGCTTCATTTTCCTTGCGAGATTACGCGAGAGCGGTATTTTTTTTTACCAGTTTTCACCGATTGGGCGTACAATTAAAAATACAAATAAATTTCTATATATTTCGATTTAAATCTGATAATGTCAGACGTCCACGTTGACATTAGACTACGTAGAATTACTAAAATTTATAATGAAGGGGATTCTGCTACAGGAGTGGTGCTTATTGTAAATAATACGAAGTCGGATGTTTCTCATCAAGGCGTCACCTTAGCATTGGATGGCCGTGTTAACTTGAAAATGAGTTCTAAGAACATTGGTGTATTTGAGAGCTTTTATAATTCCGTTAAACCAATCCAATTAACTAGTGCAAATATCGATATATTAAAGCCGGGAAGAGTTAAGAGCGGAAGAACAGAACTCCCTTTTGAAATTCCTCTAAAGCCTCGCGTTGCCAACCGGCCACTTTATGAAACTTATCATGGATTATATGTTAATATCGAATACATGCTCATGGCGGAAATGAAGCGATCGTTACGTAAAGACTTGAGAAAAGAGATAGAAATCGTTGTTGAATATAAGGATAAAGAGCAAAGTTTTATCTCTCCCGAATCAACTTCTTTCACCTTAAACCCAAATTCTGTTCAAAAGACAGCAAAAGAGAGGGAAACTTTTCCACGTTTTGTTATTAAAGGCGATCTAAAGACCCAGGGACCAATAGGTAGCCCCATGACTGGTGAAATTACAATCGAATCCTGCGAACAACCAATAAAATCAATTGAACTACAGCTTATGAGAGTGGAAGTATGCGGTTGTGCCGAAGGTTATTCAAAAGATGCTACAGAAATACAAAATATTCAAATTGCAGAGGGTGATCCGTGCCGTAATGTTGCTATACCAATTTACATGGTATATCCAAGATTATATACTTGCCCAACATTAACTACAAGAAACTTTCAAGTGGAATTCGAAGTTAATATTATTGTGATATTCCAATCTCAATATTTGGTTTCGCAAAAGTTCCCACTTCAACTATCAAGATTCTAGACGATGAATCAAACAATTGACACTTATTTTAAAAAAATAAATTAGAAAGAATAAAGAAACGAATACTCCAAAATAATAAAATTCATCCTTATCCAAATGTCTTTTGTCCGTATTTTGTTCTTTTTTTAGAAATCTTTGATGACTAAAGACAGGAAAGATACAATATTAAAAAAATATCAGTTTAATAATGTAATAATTGTGAAATTAATATCTTTATAAAAAGTGAATAGTTATCAAATCCATATTTGTCTGTATTTATCTGTCTGTCTCTCTCTTATTTAGCAGACTATTATTAAGTTTACATTGCAGCTTATTTACATAGTTTATAAACAACTAAGAAGGGTGAGTTCTCCCATAAATCTCAATGAATAATCGACGTTGAACTTGTGTTGTTATTCGAGGAGAAAAAACACAAAAATACTCTCGTTCAATCAAATATATTGCTTAATTAATAAGAAGGAAGGAAACCTACATTAGCTGCCTCTTTTTTTCTTTTCTTTTTTTTTTTTGCAGTATATCAATACAGTTATACTGTACGCTGTATATACAGTATATATATATATATATATTATTTATCAAGGAATTTCCTTCACATTTTCCTATTTAAAACGAAATTTGATTAATAATTTCTAATTATTTAAGTAAAGTATGAGTAAAGCATACTTTCTTTCTAATTTTCGATAAGTGTATTTACTTTTTTCTAAGAAATGAAAAATTTTTAACTTTTTGTTTTTTTAAAAAGAAAAAAAAATTATCTGTTGTTGATAAAAACAGAATATATCTTACGATAACATATGTAATTTGTGATCTTTATCTAGAAATGCATGTACTCGAAATTGTCTAATCTAGAGATTATCGCACTTGTTTAAAAGTATTTTTAAAAAAAAATAGAAAAACAATTTTATATAGATATATATATATATAAAAAACGGAAATAGTTGAAGTGAAATGAGCAAAGTTCAATTATCTTTCTTTGTTGAAAATAGCTAAAGAATAGCTATTAGCCTATATAATCCGACCAACCTTATTGTTAATTCCCTTTTAGTTGAAAAATATCGTTATCAAATATAGGGGTTATTATTTTGGAGAGTTTTTTTTTTGGTTTATTTAAGTTAGGCGTAACACGAGTAGATTGCGGATATTTCAAATCATTACTGTCAAGGATTAGGATTTGCTCTCTCTCTCTCTCTCTCTCTCTTTCCGACTGTATTTCTTAACGACGATCTAACACAATTTTCTGATTAAACTATTTCGGATCTTAGACAATAAAGGGGGATTCAATATATCAATACCTACTTTGTATACATTTTCTGTTTATACGCCTAAAAATGTTTACAAAAGTGACGTCACCATTTTTATTGACCAATCGTCGTTGGTGATGGCGATAATCGTATGCTACAGTGTTTTCTCTTTCTTTGATTGAAAAGGTTAGATAAGGCTTACTTTGATATGCCGAATAAGCAGCAAACAAAGAGACCAGAAGTATTAAAAAATCAAGGAACTAGGTCTAGTTACAATAGTGTTCAATTTGACAACGACGAAGAGTTTATAAGGCCTAGAGCAAATACTTTTTCTCCGACTATGGCAAGAAAAAGGCGATCTTCGCTGCTCGATCCCGAAAAGTCTCGATCTTCTAGCACCGACGCTATTCAGCTTCCATCGGGTTCTCCCGCATTCCAACAGGTAATTAACTTTATGCATGGAAACTTGGATATTAATAATTTGTAACAGGTTCTTCAGGAAATCGAAATGGAACAAATCAAATTAGACGATTGCATGAACAATCACACGGCAATGAAATCAAATTTAATGAAGAAGAGAACGTCTAGCATAGAAGGAGAGAGACACGTTCATTGGAATGAAACGCTCAATAAGCCAAAGAACAGATTAAACTAGAACGCAATTTTTAAGTAGTTTATTACCATTACTATATAGTATATATTTACTTTATATATATATATATATATATATATATATATAGATTTATGTTCGTTTTAAGCATAACGTACTGCGTACGAAGGCGTTTATCTTGGTGATTTGCCGTTGTTGGCGTTTTTTATTTTATGTTTTTTTTTTATTATTTGAAGGATAATTCAATGAGTTTTTTTATCTTTAAAGTTGTCACGTCAACCGTCTGCTTTTAGGATAAAACTGTTATGTAAAGAAATAACCTACCTCCTTACTTTTTCTACAACTACTGCTATTTCTTAGGATAATTTTGTCATGATAACGTTTTCTCTTTTCATGTATTTTACGTTGTGCTGTGCCTTAATATTTTCTTGGTTTTATAGATTATTTTGTAAGTATTAACGAAGAAGAGGAAAAGAGAAGATAATAAATGAAAGGAAAAACTGTGATAGATAAAAATCTTTCTTTTATTCCTCTGTTTTCTTTTGTGTGTACTTAACAAGTTTGTCGGCTAGGGGAAGAGATATGGAATGACTGATACTTCTTTAGAGTAGGGAATAACTTTCCCTTTATCTTTCTAACTTAAAAATTGATGATAATGTATTTTGTATGACATTTTAAGTGTGGAATAACAAATCACCAATGACACGAGGCGCTATATATATATATTATATATATATATATATCGTACAGTTGTGTGTTTCGTAATCAATGTGTTCATTTATACGATATACAGTAGACAAGTGATAAGATTAACGTTGACTACTTTTACGCCATCTAGTATCCTAGAACTTTTTGGTATAAGCTACCTAAATATCTGGGGGCGCGATTAATAGCTATATATGAATAAACCCTATTTATCTAATACAAATAGTGCAAGTTATAAAAGTCCATTTAACGCTAGTAGCTCGTCCTGACCCGCCCATTTGAAAAAAACTTTGGATCAACAAGTTTTTAACTGATAATTTCGCCAACGCAATAATTAATTATCAGTTAAGACATAATGCAGAAATTAGATAAAATTGAAACAGTTAACAACAGGAGACGTTCTAGTGAACATCCAATTATAAGAATTCATCATTTGGACTCGATTCCTATGGGATTGAAAAGAAGTATGACAGCAATACATCCTCAAAAAAATAGTGGAAAATACTCTTTATCTACTTCTCAATTTGATAAAAATTTTCGAAGATCTTCTAGTTCACTTCAAACTCCCGATATCGTCTCGAGTCTTAAACATGTCAGTATTGATGATAGAACATCTTCAATGCCAAACTTGTTCGAAGATCCGCAATCACCAAGAATACGAGGGTCTATAGAATTCGAAACTGTTTTAAGGGAGTTCCTTCCACCGAAAGAAGAGAAAAGCGCTTCGACAGAATCTTCACCAAGAGTAAAGAAAAAGGTTTTAAAAAAAAGTTCACCTCCATCATTACTCTATTCAAGAAACTTGATGCAAGGAAACTTGTCACCAAGAGTAACAAGAAAATATCCAGGAAGCCTTCTTCAATTACCGGCGAGCGATTTGAAAGCGAGGCGAAACAGTTGGGGTCTCGGTGACAAAGTAACAAGACCAAAAACAACAAAGACAATGCTATCACCTCTTGCTGCTGAACCACTTCGAAGAATTAGTAGTCCAGCAACTTTTTCATCAAATCATAGACATCATTAAAAATTATACTCTTTCTAAAAACAGGTAATTTTTTATGAAGTAATGCCTTAATAATTTATATTATTGAAAAAGAAAAGATATGAAAGCGTATATGTTTGAAAGTTCAATTGTTATATTTTGTCTTTTTTTTGTTCTATTTCTCTCTCTCTCTCTCTCTCTCTCTCTTTAAATTTCGTGAATGAGAAATGTTGCCGGATCACGACGAAGATTTTCTATTGTAACATTTACATCTGAAAAATAAAACATATATTATCTTTTATCTTAACGTCTTTTCTTTTATATATAACTTCTTTAAATAAATTGATAAACGTAAGAAAAAAAAATCAAACCATAAGGAATTTCTAAAGAATCTCCGGCGTCTAAGTAACCTTCGTTATCTTCGAGAAAGAACTGTATTTTTCCATACAGTAGTATTAACTAAAGAAAAATTAATAAACATTAAAAAACTGGCAATTGTTGAATAAAAAAAAAGTATTAATATAGAAAAATTATTACTGTAGTTTCAGTTTTGCTTGCGGGTAATAAATGAGTAGCACCGCCTCTAATATGTATATAATTTATGGCAGATGACTTTGTTGGTTTAACAATCATTGGACCATCGTCAAAATCGACATGTCTATTAAATCTTTCGATTAAATCTTTATAATAGAAAAGAAAAATTATTATTTAGACGGTATAATATATATATATAAAAAAAAGTACATACGTTTGACTTTTCGTTCACCTCTTATCGATACTTCAAAAGAGTTATTACCAGGTAAACTGTCTCTTGTTACTAATTGGGCTGGTAATGTTTTATTAGCAAAACGTATTTTTGTATTTTCTACATCTCTCTTTTTTTCCAATTTTTCCAATGCAACAATCCTTCTTTTATTACTTGCCATTGAATTTCTTAAACCCTTCTTTTTATCTTTGTTTGGCTTGATAACTTGATCAATTTCATAAGAACCAGCTAAAATAGGGTGACAAAATGAAGAAGCTATTTAGAGATTTCTGTTTGATTTATATATATAAATATCTATTGACCTGTTGGATTGTAAGTATATTTAATACGTTCACCGCATTCGTGTAAAAGAGGTCTAACACGTTTCCTCTTTGATCGTCTTAAACCTTTCGACGAATCGGTTATTTTTGGCACAAATATTGTTTCACGTCGTTTCTTTTTTTGGAATTTATAATTTGTTAGATCGGCCGAGTTTGTTTTCTCTTCTGGTTTTTTTCTAGACGGTGGAGTTTCCAATGGAATTTCATTTTCATTCACCATTGGTGTTGATGACAAAAAATTTACTGGTGTAAATGAAACGTTTGTTCTATTTGCTGTATTCGGTTGAATAATCGTTTCAGCTTCCAAAACAGTTGACGAAGAGGTGACCTCATTGTTGCTTTCTTCCTCACGTATATTCTATTAAAAGTGTATAATATAATAAGAAAAATGCTACTAACGCAATTTACATACGTATAAGCTCTGTGTTGAAAAGGAAATTCTTGGGTTTGTTGTATTATCAATATCCGTAGACGAAATACTTTCTTTAGTATTATCTGGCGTAGGTTCGATTACTATTAACTTTGAACTCTTTTGAGTACTATTTAAAGTAGAGTTTTTCTTTCCTTCATCGGGAATTGATTGTCGAATTGCATCAACTTTGCTAACTCTCCATTTTGTTGAAAACTGAGAACTTTCTCTATTTTTTATAGTATCATCATCCAACATAGTGGAGAAAGATTTTCGGGTTGAATTAACACTTGATAAGTGACTAAATCGGGTAGATCTAGAGATTCTAGTAAATGTATCGTCTCTTCTATCAGGAGAATCAACCAGGAGAGTAGAAACATTCTTTGAAATACGTCGACTACAGGAGCGTTTCGTACTTGAAAGCTCATCCGAGTCATCAAAATTTGATATTGATGATAATTTAGATCGATAGTTTCCCTTGGATTTTTTTGACAATGAGTTTATCTTTTTTTGTGTACTTTTACTTTTCGCCTTCTTTGCTGGCTTTGTTGACATTTTAGACAAGTCGGAGAGTTTAGAGCTACTAGTTATAGAAGTCATAGTCTGTTCATCATTTGCGTGAGAATTAGTTCTTTTACTTTTCCTTACACTTCTGATAGGAGGCTGCTCAGGTACCGCAAAAGAATTTTTCTTACTGCTACTCCTTAGAGATTTCCGAATATCTAAAATAGGATGAACAGACTCTGATTGCCTTGACGTTACATTATTATCTGTTATTGTATTCTCTTCAGTAAGAGTCATATCAGCTTCCGGAACGGCCTCGTTGTTAGAATTATTATCCAATTCAGAATCACCCCCAATTAATGACGATTGCTTAGCTTCGATAATATCTACCTTTCCTTCAGTAGGTTTAAATTTTTTTAAATTTTGAATTGATCTCGCTGGCGTTGATTTGGTCACCTGACTATTTTCGTAATCGACACTTTTATTATCATCATTTTCTTCTTCAATTTGTTCTGGTATACGAACAGCTTTCTTTGGTTTCGATACAGAGGCTCCTTGAGAAATTGTTTTCGACTTTTTACCTTTTTTATTCTTTTTTCCTGTTGAACTTGGAATCTCATGGAGTTTTTCTTTACTTTCATTTTGCATGTGACGCTGACGCCTTGTGATGACCATAGTTAGATTTGAAGAGTTATCTAAACACTCATCTTTTTCAGGCGTTTTAGATAATTTCAAGGATTCGTTTGAATTTTGCGTGTCAGATATTGTTTCTAACAGTTCGTGTTCTTGATTTTTCAATACTTCTCCATCGGCATCAGTTTCTTTGAAAATTGTATTTTCCCTGCTTTCAAACTCCTTCCCAGAATGAGCTTCGTTCCTCAATTTAGAATTATCTACAAAAGTACTATTTTCCTCGACTTCTGCCATATTATCCTCCTTAACTTCAGATCTTTCTTCATCCTCTGTTATTGATTTTTCACCTTTTTCTTCATTTGCCGATACTTCAACTTCTTCATTCGCTATTACTTCCTCCTCCTCTTTATTCACTGATCCATTGTCTTCTGTATCATTCTTTAATTTCTCACTACTACCGACACTTGTATTTATTAATTTCGAATTTTCTACTTCATTTAACAAACTTTCTCTATCTCCAACAACAGATGTTTCCTCGTCATTATTTGCCGGAACTTCTTCATTTTCAGGTGAATGTCTTTCGTCTGCCCAATCATTCGAACAAGCTTCCCTGTTTATAAGTTCTTCTTCGCCTTTCGACTCTTTTCTATTTCCCGCTGTCTTTTCATTCAGCAAACGTTCTTTTTTGGAAGCTTTTTCGCTATGGACATCTAATTCGTCATTTATTGTCTTTTCTCTAATTCTTCTAGATGTTTTTTCCGTTTTGTATTTTGTTTCATCATCGAACGGTTCTTTATTTAAGGATGGTCCGTCATTGATTTGTTCGTCTTGGTTTTCCCTTGCTACCCTTTTGTCACCGGAATCAACATCCTTAGCAGTAGGATGTATATCTTCATCATGAAAATTGCTCATGAGACTATGATTTCTTGGAACAATGAGTGATTCTTCAAGAATTGAATTAATTTCAAGCGTCAAATCAGCATTTGAAGATTTAGATCCAGATCGTTTTTTCTTACGATAAACTCGTTTTATCTTTTTCTCGGATGAAACCCTTTTCTTCGACCTTGTTTCAGGAATTACACTATCATCTTCATTGACTAACTGAAGTTTTCGAACGGGTTGTTTTTCAGAAAATAAGTTATCGGTTTGCATATCAATAGTCGACTCTTGACTTCCATCTTCTTCAAGATTAGTATGTGATGGTTTCTTTTTCACTGAGGCAGCACTTTTCTTTTCAGTTTGGATTTTTTCAACTTTTTTGCTAAGAATAATTTTCTTGCAGCGTCTACAAGTGACGGCTTCCTTTTTGGTGGGCTTGTCTGATGTTCCTGATTTTTCCCCAATAGAGAAATTACTTGGTGTGCCGTCAATTGAAGAAAAGTCCCTTTCCGTTAAGTCTTTTAGCCGGGAAGGACATGTATCTTCGTGGGATGTTGAATCATTTGCAATGTCAACATTCGTTTCTTCTCGCTTGAAAGAATGATTCTCTTTATTAGTCTGGTTATCCTTTTGGCTATCAAGTTTACTTGTAAGCTCATTTTTGCAAGTTTGAGATGATTTTTTATTAAACAAAACTAATTTTGGAGTATTAGGGAGTGGACTCTCTACTCTCTCGTTGTGGAATGTTTTACTGTTGTTGTGAGGGGAGCCTCCATTTTTATCTTCGTAAGATGTTTGAACACAAAAATTAATTTTTGGAACTGTATCGTTAAGCATCGAATTATTAAGATCATCTTCATTTTTAGGTGAAATAGCTGGATGGGGTGACTGCGTCATTCTTCTAATTTTAGCCTGTTTTTTGTTTTTATTACGTAATTTAGCAAGATCGCACCTATCATGTAACAAATGTTTGAACATACCTCTGACATACGTGCCACTTTAACAATAGGTTGACAAAGAGGGCTACATAGTTTCTTATCATATGAAGTAGAAGCCTAAGTGATTATTCTGCTTTAGTTATCAAAATTATATTCGAAATGACTTACTTGTTTTAAAAAAGTGCGACTTTCACTAAATTCCACTACTGGACTAATAGTATTATCGATTGTTGAGGTACCAAATTTAATAGATGATATTCTCCTTCGTTGCTCTGAACGCTATAAAATACAAAAACTAAATAAAAAGCGTCTTAATTAAGTAAGTTTTATGATTTACCAAATTTCTTTTGGTGGAACGGGACAGATCCTCCGTTTGATTGAAAGAGATCGCGGAAACATTATACTCTGTTTTAATAAGTGTTAGCTAAATGAATATAATAGATTGAAAATGATGTGTTGACAAACCGCTTTCATTTATGAATTGACTAAAATTTGCCTCTCCATTCGGTTTAACGATAAGACAGTTTTTAGGTAAACCTGAAGTTCTCCAATCGAGGTTTTCTTGCCTGTTTATCAAAAGTTGTAATATTAATTTGTATGAAATTTTTGTTTACTTACGACATTTCACTCTATGGCTAAATTACGAATAAAACTCCATAAAAACAGTCACACAAATTGAAACACCGCCATTTTAAAAATAATTTGACCAATCAGTGACGTCGACAGTTGAACCTTGTTATAAAGAGCATGTAACCGGTGAATGTAACCGGTCATATTCGTGGTTGGTTCGATAAAATGTGTTTCTTTGTTGGTTCTCAAAATAAAAATGAATAAAAACTTAAACTAATACATGTCTTTTTAAAAAAAACCATGTATATTCTATAAAAGCGACTGATAGTAATAATAATTTAGTAGAAATAGAGAATAATATTGAAGGAATATTGGAAATAAAAACTTAAATTTATAGATATTGTTTCGATAAAAAAAGCAACATATACAAGACCATTATAAACGAAAAAATTCATGTTTTTTTTTAAAAAAAAAAGAAACACGAAACTAAGCAAATCATTACAAAAACTTTCCCTTTCGTCTTGAATATAATAAATTTGCTAAGCTCTTAATAACATGTTTTCTTCTTTACTTTTATCTAAAATATCATATGGAGGTCAAAGCTTCTCTGATATTAAAAAAGCTGAATAAAAGGGAAATAAAGGACAGGATTACTATTAGGAGTTGGATTATAAATAATCCTTTAAATCAATTTACTTTTTTTTCTATATTTTCAAATTATATTTTTACAAAAAGTTGACATAAAAAGAAATTACGCAATAATTTTCTTGATTAGTAAACAGATAGCATTGTAAGAAATAGATAGCATGTAAATAAACATATATATATATATATATATATAATGTATATATTGTATGTATAATGTAACCTGTGCAAAGATTAATACTAGGACATTGATAAGAAGGCGAAGACATAGAGACACAGGGGCAAGACTGCTAATGATTTAGGAAAGAAAATGCTTAAACTAAGTGTTTTCGTGACATCCTTACAGGTGCTTTATATACTCAAATCATGTGACAATGTCCATTAGGCTGAAAAAAAAATGCAATTACTCGCTTATCTACCTGTGCTAAGGATTGTGTAAAAAGGTTTTCACGATTGTCTTATTGAAAATATTATTCTATAGTTGTAATTGACTTTTCTTGCAATATTAATCACTGTGTTTGTTAGTAATTTTCATCATAGAAGAGAATATTTTAGGACAACACCAATGCCAGCTTATTGTTGTGCTATAGGCTGTAAAAGTCAATTTAAGAAAAATGCTGGTATATCATTTTATCGTTTTCCAAGAAATAAAGAAAGACGTCGAAAATGGTTATTGGCTTTAAATAGGAGTTATTGGATGCCTCATAATGAATCTAGATTATGTAGTAAACATTTTATAACAGGTTTCATTATTATTACATTTTGTTATTGTTATTTGTTTTTGTTGTAGTTGTTATTGTTGTTGTTGTTGTTGTTGTTGTTGTTGTCGTTGATATCTATACTTCTTTTATTAACGTTATTATATTTAATAATTTTAGGTAAAAAGAGTGATGACCCTAATTCGCCTGATTTTGTACCAAGTATTTTCTTTCAATTAAATGACTTTGAGAAAGATTGTATAAATAGAACAGTTTCAATGACGAATAATGATGTAAAAGAAGATAGGTCCAATATTTTCATAGAATTTGATCATTTGGTTAATCAACAGGAATTACCAGGTTTCTATATATTATCTTAATTCTAATAAATTGGATTGAGAGGGATTAGTTTCAAAAATAGTCATGTGATTTATCACGTGTAAAAATGATAATAACTCAATAAGGAGTTGGTTCCACCCATCGTAAAACTTAGATAAAGATGAACGATGTTTTTAAGGTTTTAAAAAGAAAAGAACTGTATAAAGTACTGTATTTCAGATGAATTATCAACGTCAAAATCTCGTTGTATTGTATTTTGTAAGAATTGCGTACATGAAAGTATATTAAATAATTAGGGAGAATGGATAATGATCCTAATTCTTCTAATTTCTTACCCTTATCTTCAATAAAACTTCCAAATAGTTTAAATATAATCCATCAAGAGTTTAGAGAAATGACAAACAGTCAAAGTCTTATTTTCAAATATATATTTTCTTTCTTATTGAGATAGTATTTCAAACTTTCAGATAGAAAGAATGATTGGAAGTCTAAAAATAGTCTCTATAATGAAGGATTAAAAGCGGAAATAGGTTAGAAACTTTAATATTTGATAAAGTTTGTTCGAATTGTATAAGAAATTGTATATTTCCTCTATTTTCTTTTTAGATGAAGTGGTGAAGAATATAATAACATTTGAGGCTATGGGAAATTTCCCCAAACTTTGCGAAGTACCGCATTGTCCGAATACCAATGATTCCAAACCGAATTTGAGATTCTATTACTTTCCAGAAAAGGAACATTTACAACGGCTATGGTTCAATAAAATTAGGCCAAATATTTCTTACTACCGTCTATCTTCATCGTTAATGATTTGCAGCGAACATTTTACAATTTCTGATCAAGTTTTGATAAAAGGAAGAAGGCAGAGATTTGCTTTAAAAACTGGCAGCGTACCGTGTCTAAATTTACCTATAATGGAAAATCCATCTACGCTTTCCAACTTTAATCATTGTAAGAACTTGAGCAATAGCTCAAAATTGATTCTTGAACGCCAATCGCTAAATAAAACTACAAGTTGCCGAGTAAAATGCAAAAGGAAACATAATAAATCATTGGAAGAAAGAAGTCAAATTAAAGCAAACGATACCAGTCTTGTTCCATTGACTATAACAGTTAATAACTCACTTTATAAATCGATTAATATTGACAAAGTATACGAGAGGTGGATAACATTAAAAAACCATTTTAACGGTTCAATTAAGACGGAGAGTAGCGAAGAATTTGCCGAATTTCTCTTAAACATGTAAAAGACATAAAATAACAATGCATATATTCATTTATATCTATTATAAAACGTAATTATAAACCGTATCCTTTTGGTATAGGTATGAAGCATATACGAAATTGATAAATAGCGAGATAAATCAACCGGAATATAAGAATATAAAAGACTCGTAAGGATAATCTCTTATTAATTTATCAAGATTTCATTATTAATAATTATGCTTAATCCTTTCTTCTTACAGAATGAAAGAGAAATTGCTAGATAATTATAATATAAGGAATAAAATTAACTTTGATAAAGGGTAAGTTATTTAAGAGAAAGGATTTAGATAATAACTCTTTAACAACATTTGATTAATACGCCTTTATGCTATTAGATTAGTAACGAATTTATCCGACGATGGTTTAACAAGTGTCGATAAACTTAACGAATATCCATTGGAGCTTCTCCGTTGTTCCACTTGTTTTATATTGTTCAAAGAGCCACAAGATCTTGCTGATCATATACAAGCTAAGCATACGGCTAACGAAGAGACTTTGTATAGTGGTCCATATCTTTGCGAATACTGTGCCCATATATCAAAAACTATAGTTTGTTTGAGAAAACATCAGATACGTCATAAATTCAAAAAAGTTAAATGCCCCGAAGAGGGTTGCCCTTACATTGGTATTGAAAAGTCTGGTTTGAGAAAGCATATAAAGCGGATACATCTGAAAGAGAAACCTCATATGTGTAGTCGATGCGGTACGTGCTTTTGGTCACCAAGAATGTTAAAAATTCACGAAGAGAAACACGAAAGAGGAGAAAAGATTGTAACCAAGAGACACAAGCATAGAACGATAATGCCGAAGGAAGCTATTTGCAAGGATTGCGGAATAGAACTTCGATCGGATGTTCATGTTTTAATTCACAAGAATGCAAGACATTCAAAGAAACCATTTGATGGTAAATACCATTGCCCATGGAAAAATTGCGGCTATAACAGTAACGTTTCCTGCAATACAGTTTATCATTACAAACGTCACTTGAGAGATGGTGGGAATCAAAGATGGGAAAATTCTGATAGTAAGATGGAAACAGACGATAAAGAAAAGGACAACATTGATTGCGATAAAAAATAAGAGAGAACAGATATGAAAGAGACTATTGGGATGTCGAAAATAGTAAAAAATTGACCAAACTCTCTGTTTATTATAGTATATATATATATATAACATTTGTATTTATACTGTAGATATATGTTTGAAATATGTTAAAACAGTTTGTTTTGTTTATCTTATATATGCGTTTATACAACTCAAATAGGTAAAGGAAATTGAAAAGGTCTTTTTTTTGTCTTCACCACTAGATTTTTACTTATCTCTTTTTAAACTTTTTAATTTTAATTGTAATTCTTCATTTTGTCTTTTTAATCTTTTGTATTCAAGTTGAAGATCATATTGTTCTTTTTCCAAATCTTTGTGAAGATTCGTTAATTCGTTTTGTTCTTTTTCTAATATTTCTTGCTCTCTTTGAAGACCTTCTTGAATTCTTGTCAAGCTGTTTTTTTCTCTTTCTAATATCTCTTGTTCTTTTCGTAATTCCTCTTTTTCTTTGAATAATCTCATAAGGTATGCGGTCAATTTTGCAAAAACTGCATGGATGGCAACCATATTTCTTCGTTATAATTCGTTATTTAACCTTCGGTCCTGATTGAAAACTTTCAAAGTCTGGTAATTTAAAATTAAAGTGGTCCCATGGTGGGTTTTTAATTAAATATTGATTTTATAAATTTCATTGGAAAAGAACGCTTGTTAAATATAATATTGAATAAGAATGAGATTATTCGATAAACATACGATTATAAATTGTTGAAAAATGTCGAATAAAAATTTATCAGTTATTTATTATGCAAAATTTCCCCTAAAACTAGAGGCAGTCCTAGTATAATATAAAACTTTCATACTCAACCCTGGATAAACTCAAGTAATAGAGCAGTGTACTTGACCAATATTATACAGTATATACTTTCAAAAACAAGTATTAAACTAAAAATAGCTTAATATTTCTAGAATTTACTCATATTTTTATTATTCTATTAGCTTTCCCGAAATATAAGAGGTGCAGCTATTAAAGAATGAATCCTTGTATATTTATATAAATATACTATTTATATACCATATATATAATGAAGGTATGTTTTATAGTCTATATTAAGAGCGGTGAAAATGTTTACATTCATGTTTGGAAAATCCTAAAATCACGCTAAATTACCTTTATTTAAACTGTTTACGATGCTCACAAAAAACACAATACTTACATGATATAGTCCTGATATTTTTTACATACTTATTAAGATGTAAAAAAATGACTAAATGTGTAAAATTTTTACTGAAACAGGTATCTCTGAGACTTATCAACACTAAAATAGCAAATAGGGTATATTAAACAATACATGCGTTATGGGTGACTCTACGTTCGTAAAAAAAAGAATATATATATATATATATATATATATATATATATAAAGAATTTTGATTCGAAAATATCATACAGAAGTTTCAGAATTTAATCGCATAACAAATTTGTTGCATTTTGGGTCTATAACTTCTTCTGTTAAGTTTAGATGAGGTAATCGACGAACGTTAACCATTAGAGCTACATCTCCGTATCTTAGCTGCAACATTGTACCATGTTCAATGCCTCTTGATAATAGTTGGTCGCATATTAATATCCAATTTTGAGTTTTCCTGTCAAAACATGAAAGAAATATGATCAAAAGACAGAAGTATAATTATAAGGTAGACGAACTTGTACTCTTTGTCATTCATTATGATTGATCCCTGAGTTAAGTATCTTTCTAAGAATGCTTTCGGCCCCATATCATGTCCTATACAAAGAGTCAAATGTTGTAAAATAGATTCCATTGTATATCGAGGTTGTTGGCGGGTGACTCGTAAAAACTTTTGCAACGATCTAGCCATTGATGGGAAAATAGCCTGAGCCGCCTCGTTAGGATCCATTGGAATTGCAGGACCTAGAAAAATATCGCTCTTAGAAGTCTGGTTTTAGGTTAGAATACCAACTACTTACTATTTTCTAACTGCAATCGCTTGATATGAGTGAAAGCTTCTTCGGTTGCAACAATCAACCTCGCCTTTCTCTTCCTTACTTTCTTTTCGTATTCCATTTCATCGTGAAACCTCTCATTATGTCCTGATTCACGTCTAGGAGGAGGTCGTGCGTTACCCAATAATGCACCATCACCCGCGGAGGGTCCATCAACATTGTATACTTTATAGCTAGTTGATCTATTTCTTTTACTTGTGACATGTTCCAAGTATGGGTTGTATACTTCAAAATCCCTGAGGTAGTTCTCTAGCACCGCAACAGCCAACCTTTGTATACTCATATCACCAACTGGATAGCACTTTGAAATACCGTCTGGTGACCTAACAACATGAACCACAAATCTCGTTGTCATATGCTTTATTTTAAGCAAAAGCAAAGAAGCATAGTGTAAAAATAGCAAGGCATCAACCAAAGACGATGAGAATCGAGCAATGGAATCATACGATGTTTCTTTCTTCTTAACGATTCTAACACCATAAAATAGCCAAAATGCAAATATCAGAACGGAAGCGAGAAATAAAACAAAGGCTCTTAAAACATTCATTCGGGGAAGAGTTGCTTTAGGTGTTCTCCATAAAAGCGCCCATGTCCCAATAATTAAAACAACCAATTTGAAAGCAAAGCTAATGAACAATCCTTCGCAAGCTATGTCACATGCGTCAGTTTCCCAGTCATTGATTACATTCAATTTTGGTAAAACTAACATAGCAACTGGACTTAAAATAGCTAAGATGCTAAATATAACTGTAAAGACGGTGCCTAAATATCTGGCACAAGTGAACCCGACTGAATCCTCCATTTCCCTACCTAACCTTGCCATGTCATCTGTTGAAAGCCCAGTTTCTGAAGTGATTGCCGTTGTATTATCGGGCCAATTGTCATCTTGTTGAACTATTTGCACCTCGATTCTATCATTTCCTTCTCGAATCGGTCTGCTAATCATGCTTACTCCAGGTGCCCCCGACTCTGCTCGCCCCATGACCCTGGAATGCGGCACACTTATTGTAACGGATCGATCATCCCGTATTGAGCCTTCGTCTATGTCGTGTCGATTGGAATAGTAAGGGCCTGCTTGGGGTAGTGGTTGATGTTGTCGATGATGTCTGTTGCTTCTTCGGGATCGTTGAGATCTCTCCGAGCGTTCGGATCTTCCACTTCTTACTGATTCCGTCTCCATTTTTTCATCGAGTAACTAATCAACCGTCAGCTCTGAAAGTCAGAATCTGACGCATAAATTTCTGATGATTCACTACACAATATATTTTATATACATTATATAAGATTATTTAGAAGGAAAATCAATTGTAACGTCGATTAAGTAATATAAAAAATTTCCTATGATGAATACGCTGCATCTATAACGGTTAATTTGAGAATATTTTTGAAAATGCTTAGACCTATATTGCTATAAAATGTTGCTGGATCTTTTAAGATAAGAAAATAATCATCTTTAGAAAAAAAAGACCTACAATAAATTATATTTCCTTATAATACGATAATAAAAATATAAGAGAGTGCATTATTTTACTGATCCAGCGGCCAAACAGCTTGTTAGTGAAACCACCTTAAAATACATTAACTGTAATATCGCTCAAAAAACGACTAAATAGCTTAAATAAAAAAAAATAGCGACATATAAATCAACTCAATTGTGCATTATTTCCTACTCACTAGCATAAGCAAAATAAAGCATTTAAAAAACGACGATACATACCTTAAATCTCTATAAGCATATTCCACAAAGAACCGGAAGTTAAACGGCGGAAAACTCAAAAAAAAATACCCTGCCAATGAAAGTAATCGTAAACGATCTAAATTATTTACATTATAATGAACTAGATTAAGAGTTTTTTTTATAAATAAATGTTAATGAATAAGTAATAAATAGTTCATTTATATAAAACACATACTACTCTACCTAGAATTAACTTTAAAGTAGAAATGATTGCCTGCTTGATGATATAGTATTGAAACCGTTTACTCTCGTCGTTAGACTAATAGAACACTTGTATTCTGTAATGTGTATAATGCAATAAATTATACTAATCGTACACTACTTATTCGTGTCAAAAATGTAAACAAATGAAAAAGTAGATGACTATGAAATAATATAAAAATATTAATACTTGTTTTTTATAATCCTATATACAAGATAAACAGGGGCGTTAGAAAAAGAAACAACATTTCAAATATATCCACCAATTAGCATTCAAATTCCTTAGCGTTTTCCCGGTAAAAGGAGAATAAAATAAAATGAATATTACTTCGTATCTTTAGCTTCTTTATATCATTCTTTTTCATCAAACGACAATAGGACAGATATATGTTCTTTTTTTTTAAAGAACATTTCTACAGATAAAAAGTTTTTTATGGAATCATCAAGTTATTGTTCTTATTATGTTTTCGACTGATTTATTTATTTATTTATTTATTTTCTTTGAATAAACACCTAATGGAAGAAATACACTATATTAACATGCAAGTCTCGTAGAATTGGGAAAACGAGCTATTCTTATTTCTCTATTCCATTGCAAGTACTCTAACAAAGAGCTTCTAAAATATTATAATTATGGTTATTCTTATTACGATAGCGTATAAGTAACTTTGTTGCTGATAGAGAATAATAAACAACCGATGGATTATTTAGGGTTGTTGTTTTTATTTTCTTCCCATAGCATTCCTCTCCAGTAAGGGGAAAAAATAAGATTGATTGATTGATTAACAGTGTTAATACATTATACAGATTGCTATATGCTCGATTGAGATTAGTCATTCATTAGACAGTAAAGAAGTATAGCCTTTTTACTATCTTTGCTTGTATTTTAATATAAAAGGGAAGGTTTAGGGTTAGAGGTTTCGGAAAGCTTAATCTTATTACGAATATAGGATAAAAGAAAGAGGCTAGCGGAGCTTTGTAAAGGTTTCTAATTTTACTTTCCTTACCAATTTATCAATCTATTTTCTTTCTTTACAGTTCAAGACGCGTTTTCCTTTTTATTTTATCGTTAATTATTAATTAACTATAAAATAAACCCTTACGATGATGGATAAGAGTTCATTCTTTAAATATTTCATTTTCCCAAGACTTTTATATTATTCAGCAAATATAATGGTTTATTTGACGCAAATTTGTAAGGCAGGAAGCATCGATTAAACTATACTCATCATTTACAGTTTACAATCCTCACCCTTACAATGAATAAAGGAATAGTTAGTTTTATATTCCTATCATCTTTACTTTTAGTACTTTACAGCCAAAAGAACGAAAGGGATCTAGCTGAGAAGATCTTCTCAAATTACGATAGAAGAGTAAGACCTGTTCGGAAAATATCTACAGTTATCCAAGTTAACTTCACTTTATCATTGTCCCAAATACAACATATCGACGAAAAGAATCAGCTGTTTCATTCGTTTTCCTATCTGACCTTGGTAAGTAAGGAGTTTTTATTGGTCAATTAAGAACTATAATAATAGTAATATATTGACAATGAATGTAGGAATGGAATGATGAATTCTTAAAGTGGAATCCGAAAAATTTCTCCAACCTAAAGAGAATCGTTGTACCAGCTAATAACGTTTGGATTCCCGATGTTGTCCTATTAAATAGTGCTAGGGATTTATATAACGGTCAACACATGAAATATTTTAGATTAGAGATTGATCATGAAGGGAAAATATCGTATCTTCCGGCTGGAAAAATGATAACAACATGCCCCTTTGATATGACCTATTTTCCCTTCGATGAACAAACGTGTCGCCTTCAATTCGGTTGTTGGGTACCAACATGTTCCGAAGTAATGCTCTATCCGGTGAAAAAAACCGTTATGCTTGATTCGTATAGCGAAAATTCCGAATGGAAAATTAAAAGTACTGATGTAAAATTTGAAAAACAAGAATATGGCGGGAAAATCTATTGTTCAATAACAGTGAAAATTGTTTTGAAAAGAAAGCCTCTTTACTTTGTAGGGAACGTTGTTCTTCCCTGCTCTCTACTATCAATGATATCGATAGTGGCTTTTGGCGTTCCAGCAGAAACTGGTGAAAAGATATCTCTATCGATGACAACTCTTCTAAGCTATTCCGTTTTCCTTCTTGTTTTAACAGAGGTTCATTTTTTTTCTTTACACTACAAACGTTCGTTTAATTTTAAATTATGCTCAGACTCTTCAATCTTATGATTAAATTATGTTTTAAAAAAATGAACCTCTTTAGATGCTACCGAGAAATTCTGATAATATTCCACTTATTAGCACCTATATAATGACGGTTATGATTATTACGGCGTCATCTCTCGTTTGCTCTGTAATAGTAGTACGATTTCATTATAGAAGAACACCGATTCCTAAATGGATAAGTGTGCTGGTTTTTGTTTATCTAAGAAGATTGGTGAGAGTTGACGCCTCGGATAAAATAGAACCTAGAGCCTTTGTCGATAAGGAAGAAGATATGAAAAAATCTTGGCGACTTATCGGCAGGATTTTAGATAGGACGTTTGCTTGCTTCTATTTAACTTTACTATTTTTTGTTACCTTAGGTCTGTTAGTGATAAGACCATCATTGAAGTAATTTTCCGTAAATATGTAAGGATAATAAAAACATGTAGGATATATTAGAAACTGGGTTAGATGGCGATGGGAAGATGCGTATTACTACTGATATATATATATATATATATATATATATGTATATATAGTATTCACTATTCACTTAGCAGCAGTAAGTCCAGGTGAAAAGTGTATAAAAAACCGTATCAAGCTATAAAAGAGTGATTGAAAGTAATATTGAAAAGTTATTGTACGACGTTAGGGAGAGCATGTTATAAACTTGAGGCAGAGATAGAGATAGGGCAAAGAAATATTATAAAAAGGATTTAAGTTTAAGATTTTCTATAAAGTAAACATGTACAGAAGTTTTGTATTGATTATCCTATTCAAGTTTGCCCTTACGAAAATAGCCAGTCAACCTGAAAAGTCTCTTATAAGATATTTGATGGCAGGCTATGATAGAAGAGCAAGACCTGTTACAAACAGTTCAAGGACAATTCACGTTAATTACGAATTAAAATTATCGGAAATTCAAAATATAGATGAAAGAAATCAACGACTAAGCCTTTTTGCTTTTCACGCAATGGTTTGATCTATTGATATTAATATTCACTTGTATAAATATATTTAAATATTCAACTAATGTTAATATAGACTTGGACAGATGAATTCCTGCAATGGAATCCAGATAATTTTGGTGGGATTAAACGAACTACAATTCCAGCTTTAAATATTTGGTTACCTGATGTAGTACAAGAAAACAGCGCAAGAGAGTTTTACAACGAACAGTTTATGAAATATTTTAAAACAGAAATCTTTTTTACTGGCGAAGTCATTTATACACCGGGAGGACGTTTTACAACAACGTGTCCTCTTATTATGCAACTCTTTCCATTCGATACCCAAACTTGTAAGGTACTCATTACATCTTGGGCATATACGTGCACATTAGTAGAATTCGAGATTGATCATGGAAGCATTGATTTGTCAGCATATCAGAATAATTCCGAATGGGAATTATTATCAACTAAAGTTATGAAGACTAGAAGCGAAACTGATGGTTCAAAATACTGTTCAGTTGAGATAACTCTAAATATTAAACGGAAGCCATTATACTTTATTCTTATCATTGTTTTACCCTGCGTTTTATTATCATTTGTCTCAGTTTTCACTTTTTGCATACCACCTGAAGTTGGCGAGAGGATCACTCTATCAATGACAGTTTTGTTAAGCTACACGGTTTTCCTATTGGTATGGAAAAGAAACAAAATATTTATATAAATCAATTTATCCTTATTAAGTGGAACTTTTCCTTTTCAGGTACTTAATGACATCCTTCCAAGAAATTCTGATCATGCACCAGTATTAGCGATATATATTATAATTGTAATGGTCTTAACTGGATTATCCCTTATTTGTACTATAATTATCGTCAGACTCTTTTACCGAAAAGCTGAAAGTACGGAAAAGAGTAACGATGCATATTATCAACTTAAATGGAAAAAACTGACGGAAACTCTTGATTTAGCTTTTTTTGCAATCTTTTCTGCCGCCATGGTTTTAACTTGCATAGTAATGTTTGGCATTGTTCCTACAACTTACAAAGAATAAGAAAGATATTATATTCTCCGTTTTCTTCTTTCTCTCTATCTCTCTCCTCTTAAGTCCTCTCCTCTAATTAAACTAAAAGAAAGCATTGTTTTTTTTTTGTTTTGGCGATTTTTAAAAGGCGAAAGAGAAAATAATTGATTTTTATATCAAATACTCTACTTCTCTCTTTTTTTTATTTATTACATTTTTCTGTCTTCAATTGACATTTAGGCTATAATGCCTACTTGCATGTTTCAGTTGCTTCAGAGTATCAAATAATGCTTGTAGAAAAGGTTTTGAATCATATACAATTTTATGTTTCCTGCATAGCTTAAGAATTATTGATGAGGCCTTTCGTAGTTTATGCCTTGCCAACCTTGGATATAGATGGTGTTCAATGTGAAAATTAAGTCCTGTGTAGTAATTATTCATGTATATATATATATTTATTTATATCTATATATATTAAAGAATTTCTTACCTCCGTGAAACCAATCTAACCAAACTGGACAAGAGATATTTAAATTGGATTCAACTTGAATGGTGTACCAGCTTCGATCATGATATTGATCTTCGTATTGCCAAGGCTTGGCGTAATGACTCACTACTAACTGTATATGTAGAATTCCTTCCAAAAGAGAAGAGAGACCATAAACGATAAATTTGTCCGTCCAAGTATCCATACGAGAAAGTAGTAGAGCTATCCAAGCCCAATGTAAAATAATAGCGATCCATTCGTAAAGTCGTTTCTCACACGAGTACGAGTCACGAATAATGGCAAACCTTCCAGCCAGAGCAACCAAAGGAATAAATGTAAAATGTTGTATAGAAATAGCGTATTTTTGAAGGGGTTTGCTAAAGAAAGAGAATAGTTTTTCATTTTGAGCCCAAACTTCCTCAATCATTTGGGGATCAGCGAAACCAGTTTTTGGATTAGCTGTATTTACTAGGGCATGATGAAGTCGATGCTCATCTTGCCACCAATGGGCACTAATACCAAACCCAATAGTACCAAATATGGTTCCGGCAATTCTATCCGAGTTTAAAGTTCTAAAAAATTGGGTATGCATCAAATCATGCATCATAAAACCACATTGTTGCCAAAAAGCGCAAAGCGTTATTCCAGCTGAATATTTAAACATTTTATGCTCACATTCAACAAGTAAGAAAGTCGTAATCCATAATAAAAATATCACAGCAATTTTTCGTTTGTAAAAAGACCAATCGGTATCGTAAAAACCATTTTCTTGAAAAAACATATCTAATTTCCTAAATTCCTCGTCGGCAGGATGCTTAGCTTTTTTAGTGTAACTACCGACAGGTTTCCTATGTTTTAGTACGTTCTTATGACCCCATGAATGAAAGACCTCACTAGCATCTTTTCCTATGAAATGTTCAATCACCTGGCCACCTGGATGCCTACTCACAAAATCTGTAACATCGTACCAATATCCATCAATTCCTATTAGACTTCTTTCACGTAGATGATTGTGACTTGGCGAATTAGAGGTACAAGGTGGCATTTCTGTGAGTGTCGCTAGATCAGAAACACGTGAATATTACTGGCAAAATGGCGTTGCTATGTATAAAAGCCTAAAACAAACGAGTTATTCAAACATCATCTATTTTTTTCAAGTACGAAGCTAATAACAGTTATATCACAGAGACATTCATTGACCAATAGACTTTTCTATCACTGGATATTAATTAGTTACAACTAGTCGAAAAAATATTTAGGAAAAAACGCTTCTAACGTACCTTCGTTTCTGGTGATTAAAAACACACGGTTTTAGACGCCTGAAGCCTACAACAGTAGTTCGATCAATTAAGTAGAATGGTATTGTTAGTCTATAAATTTATTTGATCGCCTATCCTTTTTATATTTTCTATCTGCAGCTTAAAAACGAAACATGCCTCGTAATGCTTTCAGCACGACTGTTCTAGACGTGTATACGTACAGTTATAGTACATATGTAAGCATGAATATCAAATGCGAAGAATATTCATACCCAGCGAATAGCTTATTCCCCTTTCTTTAACGACATAAATTATTAATATATATTTTTTTTAGCTTGATAAGCTCTTACTTGAAAATTATATCAATTTTAATAAATTAAAATGTAAATTATACATCCTGAGAACGTCTATATTAGGCCATATTTACTTTTATATATGGTATATATACTGTATATGTATAAATTTATATTAATATATAAGATAGAAGAATTTTTCATTAAAATCGTAATAAAAACCTGACAATTTCCAACTTGTAACTTATACCAAGTGAATTTTTACTATAAAGAAAAGTTTATTCTATTGTATGACATAAAAACGAAAATACGTTGCTACCTTTCGGAATGAGGAACTTTATAAAAATGGAATGCAGTATATACTGTTAATATATTCTAAAACCGTTAGAACAGATTAAAATATTTATGTAATACTACAAAATGTCTCTATAAACTATGAATACATATATTTACACATGTAATGCATATGTATAATAAATCAACACTCGATAGCAACAAGTTTGAATGTTATTCGTTTTAACAAAAAGCAAACAGTTAAGTAAGAATTGGCTTATTACCTTTCATAGCTTTTTCTTGTGTGTATTTGATAGGTTATATAATTTAAAAGATGGTTATTCTGTATTATAAAATCTTGTTGTTAACGAAACAAAAACTAGTCCCGTTATGAACTGTGAATTCAATTTTGCTGACTCTTTATTTTCTATTCTGATATTAATAATTCAGCTTTACAGGCCGTCTTTAAACAAAGATTACACTGCTACGGCTCACTGATTTTAGGGTTTATATCTATTAGAGACATTTTTAATAAACACTACAATTGTTGTCTTATAGTTCATAGTTCTTATTTAACTAAAGCCGCAAACTCTACAAACCAAATCAATTGTTAAGTTACTTAACAATGTAATATTTGTGCTATTTTTTTTACAAACAATATGTCAAGTTTATCGATCAAACTATTTATTCTTTGATCGACTTTGTCTATTCACCTAACATGAAACGATTGCTTGTCATTAAGGAACGCTGATAAATATTAAATAAATAAAATCTTTATTATATTACTATAGTTGTAATTAAGCTGTTTTGTTAGTTTCTTTATTGATATTTTGTTTACAATTTCGTAATTTTTTTGTCTTTCACTTGTTCACTCATTCGATTCCTTTCAATGTCTCTATGGTGTTGACACTAGATGGCACCATAACCCATAAAGTGATAAAGAAAGGAAAATGCTGTATTTATGTTGGTTTTTTTTTTCATGTGAGGTTAATACTGTCATTTGGAAACCATGCAAAATTCCTGCCGACCATTTTATAAAAATGCTGACTGTGCGGTATATAGAATTCTTCTAATTTTCGTCTTGTACTAGGGGAAAGCTTAGGATGAGTTCGACCTTTGCTCTTTGACAAACATTGACGGCCCACTGAATCGGCTTTGCAGAAAAATCCTTTCGACGGATTATAAACGAAATGACTTTGTCGAATGTAAGGTTGTAGTCCCAGAAACAGTTGAACTTTCCGTAGAACCAAGACCGGATCAGTTATTAGTAGTTCCGATGATAGTACTAGAATTTGATCGAGTGAGAAATAGTTTAGCCAGACGGATAAGTGCTTGTGATAAATGCCTCTTTCTATGGCCGAATAGTCTTCCTGTACTCCGCCGTCTGCATTAAATGCCAACTCGTCGAAAGTTTGCCGTTGTTTGTTCCTGCTTAAGCGGTTTTGTTGGATTTGTTCATAGTCACTGATCGCCCGATCAGTAGGGTTACGCGCCACCAGTATTAGTTTAATGGAAGAATTCATCGAGTGAATTCGCTGGGCGGCGTCGATCGAGGTAAAATAGGCGGGTGTTTTTTCGATGGTGATTTGATCTGCAAAGGAGTAGGGCATCTTCCTCCTATACCATTCCAATCCTTCAGCGTATGCGTCGTCATTATTAAAAAAGTGCATTTCACGATGACATATCCTAATCTTTGGATGAATATCAAGGAATTCCAAGAGTGCTCGGCTTCCTCCTTTTCTGACTCCTATTATTATAGCTTTAGGAAGTCTCCTTTTGGCATGCTTATAGTGTATCCTATTATTTTGAACTTGCGGTAAAGTTATTCTACAAACTGAAGGTCTTATACCGGAACATAAGAAGAATATTGCCAATGTTGATATAGATGAGAATAGAAAGAAAATTTTCAAGTATTTTCTCTTCAAATCTTTATCCATTGGCCTGTAGAGGAAAAATATGAAAAACGAGGTCACTGCAGGTGCTGACAGTGAATTTGTTTTTTGTTCTCTGTATCTATTTATAGTATGACATTTGCCGAGCTTAACAAGACTAATTTACGGTATACTTATACATGGTATGAAGGAGTCTCGTCGTCAACTAGCGGCGTTAAACCGTCTCCAGACGGACATTACTGTCACGCTTGCTTAGACAAACCGTCTAGTTGAGTCTTGATTGATAATGTCGCCTCAATGTCTCTTTACGGGCGTTTAACGTTTCCGATGAAAATGGAATAACGCCACCAATACTGCACAGTTTATTGCATTTGCGCTTTGACTCTCCCGTGCCCTCTATGTCGCTTCTCTCCCCGTCTATCATTTTCATTTATTCTATCTTTTTCTCACACCCCACTCTACATCTCTCTCAAATCTTCTTACAAGGAAGAAGTGGAGAGGCGACGCCGAGTCGAAAGCTGCTATCGAACCTCGGATAATGAATGAAGCGATGCATGAAAGTGATTCCACGCACGCGTATGGAAACAAAGTCAGCCTGAATGTGTATGGCGTTAACGTAACTAACAATTTCCTCTCGTTCGTCTATGGAAAAATTACGTTGCCTACCTATTTATTATACAATTGCACTATGTTCTAGAACTGTTGCATCTATACGCCGACTTGTCGATTTCATCAGTGAATCGATATGAACATGTCATTGAGAGACAGGAGGGTATTAATTCAAAATCGATTAGACGCCTGAAAGAGAGAGTTATTTAGAAACAATTTTTCCTTTCAAGGCGTCCAATCGATTCGTCTTGGGCGCTATATCTTTCTGATGTTAATTGATTACTTGTAGGAAATTCATTAAGAAAAAAATCTCTGGTGTCCCTAAATACAATCTTACGAGTCATAATTAGGAGACTGTTGGTAATATAACACCTATACATACCTATTAACGTTTGCATAGTTTGCATTTGTGTAAATATGGTTGTAGAGAAAAAATAGCAGAAGCTTTATAATGATGAATATATATACGGATATCAATAACAATGAAAAGTATCTGTGGATAGGATTAGATTTTTTTTTGTTACTAATCTTTCTTCTACTATTAAACTAACTATCTTTCTTAGTGTCGTTCTTTCTCTATCTGTCCGTCTGTCTATCTGTCCGCTTGTCTGTCTCTTTCTCTGACTCTCTCTCTCTCTCGCTCTCTCTCATTCTCTACAAACTTCCTCTCCTTCCTCTCTACTTTCTTGGCTTTCTTTCAAATTTACGCGAAATATAAAGAATATCAAGCGTAGTATACACATAAACTACATATTGTGGATAAAAAAGCCCTATATGTATATATATATATGTAATGGGAAGAAGGCGCACAGCTTCAAAGCGTCCCTTTTTCAGCGCGGAACGCTCGTATATTTTGCTGCAGTAAAAAGCCTAATTGCGACAAGCTCGCATAAATTTTATATCTTGTTTTCCATATATAAAAACGAAAAATCACTCTTTTGTCAGGTGAAATAAATTTGTCGAATTAGCAAGACTAAGAAGGAAAATTAAATAAGGGAAACCCTTAACAAGTAAATTTGTCACAATAAGTAGCAAGATATTAATTCTGAAGCCTGGCAATAACAATTAATAATTAGGAATTAGCGAATAGAAGCGTTATGGATTATAGAATAATCTCTTAATCTAAAGTGGATGACTGGGTCTTGAGAGATGGACGTAAATTTGTGAACTTAAAAGCAGTGAAGAGAAAGTCGATTTCGATTATATTCTATATACAAATACTTTCATATAGCTTTCGTCATCCCTTCATCAATCACTCCATTGATTTCTATCTGTAGTCTAGTTATATAGGGACTTGTCTCTTTTTCTACCGGTCTTAATAAATTATCGGTCTTTGTAAGATGTAATTAAATGTTTATACGTGCCTTTCTCATACATCTCTGATAAATTAGATTGGGCCTCTTCTTTAATGATAATTAGTTAACTAGATTTTTTCGAAAAAAATTAAGGCGAGGCGCTAATAGGATTTACACCACATTTATCATAAAATTAGGACGACAATAGCTGTTAGTGCCATAAAATATTTTTATATATGTTTGGGACGAGATGGAAAGACAAAAAAATATATAAAAATAACTTACCTTCTCTCTGGAGGAGAGCGAATGAAACGCGGTTGACATCCGCGCTTCTCACCAGGGGGCGTACCTTGGTTTGTCAATCACGATCCAAAACGCCTTGACGTTCTTTGGCTATTTTGTTGAAGAAGGCATTCGAGTGGATATTATTATTGATTAGACGATTTAAGAACGTTTATAGCCACCGCCTTTTTATTATCGTGCTTTTTCCTCTTTACTTGGATTCGGCTAATTCTCTTCCTCTCTTTTCATCATTCTGACCTAACTTTATTATAGTAGATGATATCAGATCTTTTTCCACCGTAAGATGTATGCATTTTGTCATTTTATACCCTATTTTATTGCTCAATATAGTATATAATATCACAATACATATATTCGTGAAAATTTTAGTTTTGCAGTATACGTAAAGCAGTAAAAATTAACAAAAGTTAAAATGTAAAAATATGACACATATTAGAAAAAAATACGGATTTTTTTTAGATATAAATCAGGAAATACCTTTGCTATTTAAACAATGTAGAAAACAGTCTTGTCAAAAAACGGTAGCAGTGTTAAAAATGATGCTAATTGTTTCTATTTTATCATCTATAACCATGTGTAATACATATATATATTTGTATGTGCGTGTACAAGCAAAAGAGAAACAATAGAAAACAAGGCAAGTCAATAATATACTCACTCTAAACTATCAATAAATTGAACATAATAAATGGATATTTATGTTCAAATTATGTGGAATATTTATGGTCTCCATACTCGGACGTTATGCGCAAAAAAACAAAATTTATATCTAAATATTACAGTCTTTTTGTTAGCTAATACGTGTTAAGCTTAAACCTGACAATTTAGCTGTTTAATAAAATGTAATTTGCTCTTTTTCGCCGTTAGACACCAATTCCCCTTGCTCGTAACTCTTTTCGTCTTCAACATCTTTACTATAGTTGCTTTTCAACGCCATCTGTTGGTCTTTGAAAGAATCGCTGAGGTGCAAACCTTTTGTTTCAGATAGGCATAGGAACACTAATATTAACGTCAACACAAATAGTATAAAAATAACCAAGAAAGGTCCGAGAGGGAATTTATGGAACGTAAGTAAAAGAAGAGGAGCTGAAATACTCCCCTTACACCCAAACATACTCCCAAGGCCAACGGCCGATGACCTAACGATTGTTGGATAAGTTTCTGCAGTATAAATTCTAAGAACATACATGTTCGCAACCATACAACCCTTAGCCATTAGTCCCCCAATAAAGAGAAGAACTTTCAAATCATTTCGCATTTTCAAAATACCAATTATTAGAATTGTCAAAACCCCAATGGCAGCTATTATAATGTAGATGAAAAGCGATTTTTTTCTTCCAGTCAAGCAGTTTGCGGCAATTACGGATAACATTGCAGGCCAATCAACAGCTCCAATTATTAGTATACTCAGATATTTGTTATTTATAAGGTCATGTGGAAAGTTAAAAGATATTACGTAATATGTGCAGTAGACGGTATACCAACTCAACCCTAAGACTGCTGTTTTCTTAAAATGTTCTCTGACCCATAGTTTCATGCAGGAAACACGCTTATCATCTCTTACAGTAATTCTTTTGAGCGTTCCCAAGTCGGGACAAGTTCGCCCATTTCTCCTAGCAATTTTCTGCAGAATTTTGTGAGCTTCGTGATATCTTTCTTTTTGCAGTAACCATCTTGGACTCTCTGGTACAAAGAACCATCCAAGAAAGAACGGAATGCTTGTTGAACAGGAAACTATAAGAAGAGTTTGCCATTTTCTAAAATAATAGGCCATTGGTGCTAAAAGCATTTGTCCAATAGCCCAAAACCCAAATGTCCCAGCTAAACTTCTGTACTTCTTCGATACAATTTCTAAAGGATATCTAATAAAAATAGAATGAAATAGCTAAATTATTTTTATTATAGTCATGATAAGAAAAATTGCCGATTAAAAATATCTCTAATTTCTACTTACACAGAGCTTATTACTTGTAGACCTCCGAATCCGATACCTGTTTAACATGATATGCAAATTTCATCTTATCAAAGACATACTACAACTATTTTCAACACAAACCACTAAATAAACGACAAGCGGCATAGTAATACCAGTTTGGAACGAAAGCAGAAACAAGACATGGTAGTACTAGCACTAAATTTCCAAAGAAATATGTATGTCTCCTTCCTGTTGCATCACTCAATTGCCCAAAAATTGCGGCTCCAAGGAAGAAACCTATCATTTGTATTGTATTGATTGTATCTGGTACCCAAGCCTTGTCGCAAACAAGTTGCCACTGTAAAGGATTTTATAAAAATCAATTTTTGTATGTTAGTGTCGAGTAGACCTATCTATTTTGTTGTTTTTTTTTAAACAGGAATGAACTATGCTAAGATTGTTAAAATATAGGCATTTTTACTGTAGCAACGATAGTTGATGTTTTCTCATCAAATTGCTGAGAAGAATTCGTTCCATTTGTTTGGTTTGACGGAGAGCAATCCAAATTTGCAGGGACAGCAGCTATGAGAATCGGAGAGAAGATGATAAACGCGCCAAATAAATCGGCCATCTGTATGAAGACGAAACAGATTCTCTGATAGAGGCCGAACCCTCCAATCATATGCATAACATCTTCATACGTTCTGATCGACTTCAAAGTCATCTTCGTAATATGTTTTCTATCTACAATTTTGCAGAATATCGTGTATATTTACCCATTAAAAAATCTTATTATGCAATTATGCAGAAACACCATTGGTCTTATAAATAAGCACTGCGAAATGTTCATTGATTATTTCTCTCTCTCTCACATACACACTAGCTATGTAGTTATTGCTCCACGCTGTATGAGCCGCTAGTCGGAACACTAGCATAACATACGTTATGTAAATATAAAAGAAATTCATACAAACTACTATTCTCGATAAAATATTTCACTTTACGGTATTTGGCTTTCAGATCAGAATGGCGTTTCGAAAATCATCCAAAGTCACAGACAGGCCACACAAGACAATTAATCGACTCCTTCACAGAGTTGATCTATTACACTACTTATAATGATTTTACCTATTTTTTGATCTTTATCTCAACTTCTCGACCAATATGCAAGCAGGCAACCTATACGATTCTAGGGTTAATTGTATACTATGGAAAGAGGAGTATTAATATATATGATCATAAAAAGTCTGCTCTATTGAAATTTTTGATTGTTTAGAGATAAATTCTTTTCAAAGCTGGGTTAGACCCTGTTTTCGTTACTCAAAGTTGTACTAAAAGACATAATAGTGTAAGATAGGTGTATAATACATACGCTGGAATATTCAGCAAATTCTAAAGAAAATATAAATATAAATGCAGACATTCCATTGTTCCAATTTTCGTTACCATCAGTCAACCTAGAATTTCCATACTATCCTTGTACAAAGTAGAAAGAAATCAAAGGGAGAAAAATAAAAGGCTATATTATAATGAATCAAATTATTTAGATATTTTATATACATGTTATTGAACTTTTATATTATAAATCACATATTGATCTGAATGTTGCACTTTTTGTCGAGCTACTAGCTGCATATATTAGTATATAATATTGTTTAAGATTACTGAAAGCTTATTCAAAGTCGTTTACGTTTTAAATATGGCGTAAAAATTTCAGAACCTCAATCTATTTACCCTGGTGATTAAAGAGAGTCATTGTATCCTAAAGAGAATTGAAAACAGTGGGCGATAATTTAGAAAAATAGAATTTGGAATAAAGTATCTTGAATGATCGTTTATAAGCTGAAAAACTAAGCATACATACATATATACATATATAGGTATATTTCAGAAAGTGTCATGATATAATGATTTAGTATCGGTATTAAATCATGCAGTCTAAGAAAAATAGGATTAAAAACTATATATATAGAAGACTAATAATTCTTATAAATGTATATTATATCAGATATATCTAGACGTTATTTATGAACGAAGAAAGTAAAAAAAAAAGGTACATTTAATATTTTTATATACTCAAAGCTATCCTATTAAGAACAACTCTGAAACGATAATTACGAGTGTCATTCGTAAGTAATCACAATGCTTTATTTAATCAATATAGATCATTCCAATTCAACTATTAGAAAAGATTTCCGAGCATTTTCTTTATATATATACTAATACTTATATCTCTAAGAATTGAGACGATTACTGAATATTTTATAAATATTTTCTTAGTGATATTACAAACTTTGATTGTTTTGGCTTTTTTTTTAATGACCTCTATTCAAGTTTTATTCTTGTTAAAATATAATAATATTTCTATATATTATATTTAAATATTACTTTTCTCAAAAGAAATTATTCATTAAGATAAATTCTATAGAGATTAGCCTGCAGACCCAATATTTGTAGCAAGAGTTTACTTAAAATTCAATCTAGTAAACTCACGCTATCGCCTATTAGGCGCATAAGTCAATTATTTCGTAGGAAATTGAGAGTAAAAAGTCCATTTTTACTATTCTTTTTTTTTGTAAAAAGTAAAAAAATCTTTTTTTAAATTGTAAATTGTAAAGAAAACCCAACTAGCTAAACTGGTCTGTTGGACCGGACCATTGAATTTTTTTTTTAAAAGTAAAAACACTTTTCAATCGATTTTATCTTATATTTATCGTAACCGATCTGGATTAATGGATTATTAAGTTCAAGCGTAATAAATTTTTAATCTAGATGTTACATGACCCTAACGAAAGATTAACCACTATTCGCTAACAATCGAAGTGTAATAGTTAACAAATCGAATGTCGCACGTGTAATTGCAATGCTTAGTTCAATTTCCGGTTCCGTTCGTTGAGCAGATCCATTTCGACTGACTGCCAGTTATAACTGGTAAAAGCATCTGGAAAACTCCTAGAAAATCCAGTAGGCATATTATGGCAAAGTTATTGGTGTATTCTTATCATATTTTATCTGTTTTAGGGAGGAAGTCGTGAAAATTATCAACGGCAACATTTTCAACAAAAGGTGAGTTAAATACTCGTTGAATTAACCAAACCTATTAAGAAATTTTACTCTCTCGCTTTTGTATCACTATTTTTCGGTATTTTTCTCGTTCAATACGATTAACACCCAAGGATTCCTTTTTGTAAATAGTTATTTGAACGGTTAACGCCTATGCAACACTTGAACATCCCTTTAAGTCGTAAAACACATTTGTTTTTCGTTTATGTAGTGTTTTTTATGTGTTTTGGAAGGTGTAATGGTGTAATGTGTCCGGCCAAATAGCGTGCATGTGAATAAAAGTCAGGCTTAAAATTAAGTAATAACATAATCAAGACAAGATATAAGGGTAAATAGATAGATTACACGTAGTGTTTAAGACCTAATTCCGTTTTATTTTGTAGCGGCGAGGAATTTATTTACTCCTGTTTAATCCATGTGTCTTAAAATAAATATAGCGGATTCTCGAAGTGTTCTATTGGCGTGTATCATGCAACATTTTAACTAACACAAATAAACGTTACGGTGATTCTCCTTCGTGACACAGGAAGCTTTACCAAAGCTTTACGGGGCGGCTTTCAAAGGAATTCCCTTTCAAATAGCCCGGCATTAAGCCTATTCACTTACGTTGGCGGATGATTCATTGGTGGTTGAGTAAAAAAACATATTATATATTCCGTATTATACAGACTTATATATACTCCTATACGCGTATATAGCGGTACAGTCACTGCTCTACCCATATTTGAACATTTGAACAAAAAATTACTAAACGAAAGGGTGGAGACGAATCATAAACAATTTTTTTACAACTCCTCAACATGACTTTAAGCTGTCCGGTGATATATGCTTGTCCGGATACCAAGATACCTAAAGGCTATTGTACAATTAAACTCGACAATTTGACGAGAGGTACATGTGATGATGGAAATATTTTGATTCCCTATTGCCCTTGTGAAAGCCAAGAGGAATTGATTTCAACCGGAATACTTATAGCTGCAGTAGTCGGTATATCCATCGCCTTCATATTTTCTATAGTCTGTACTATCGTCCTTTTTACAATAAAATATATACGATTAAAGAATCGTCTCAACGATGAGAAAGAACTTAATAAGAAAATATCAGAAGCTAAAAAAGATTTAAAAGCCCCAATGCCGGATTTTGTACCAGATTCTAGTCCAGTGTATTACCTGGCTGAGAATATCTACCATACTGTTGAAGAGCCAAACGAGAAACACTATTCGAAAGCCGATACAAACCGCACGAATTGTGAAAATGCTCAAGAGAAAGCTGATGGAATGAAGCCGATATATTCGCGTGTTCATAAAAAAAGACCCGATAGCAATATTGTTAATTTGACAGAGAATTATATTTATAATGTTGAAATATGAAAAAAAAAACATTGAATAATAAAGAATAAAAAAAAACGTTACGTTTTTTATTTATGGGAAGACAAAAAATTGATTATCTATGAATGCTTAGACAATAGCAAGATTTGTTCATGCGTAAATAACTATTAATTATAAATTAACTGAACGCTTCGTTTGTCAATCGTTCACTAAGGCCGTCATAGTTTATTGCTATCGAAGGAATTATTGTCCTGATCTCTCGGGGTTTCTAAGTTTAGTTTGTCACTTGTCTTCGGTTTTCTTCGAGCTAATCCACCAGGCTAAAAGAGTCAGGCTAGCAACTATAAAGATGAAGACCAATACGGCTGGTACCAATATAATTATAACTATTCAGGGAGAATCACAATGTGGCTTTAGAATTATGATTTTTAGAAATAGTTAGTAATTTACTTACGGTTGTCGTTAGAACTATAGCTATTACTAGGCGATTCTGTACTCTTCGTGGTTTTATTATCAGGTAGACTAGATTGTGAAATGGTTAAGTTTGCTCCTTCTGTAGTTATTTGATTGTTATTAATTGTAACTGTTAACCGCTTTGATGTTGCATCAGCATCTGTAGTACTATCTCTTGTTTTGGTAGTAGAAGCGGTAGTAGCGCTAGCAGTTTGGGATATTAAAGAATTCTGTTCTTCGCAAACCACATTCCATGAGCTGTTACAGTCCGCAGAAGAAAGTTTACCACCTCTGTCGCTAATCAAACACGATTGACCGCTTTCGAATGTATCCACCCATCGAAAATCGTTCAGCGAGACTGCCGTATAAATTTAGTGCTTAAGTATTGATATATAAAAAGGAAAGTGGTTGGTATACCATCACTGCTCATCCTTGTAGCTCCTACCCATACGGTAATTCCTTTAGTCTTCAGCCATTGATGAATTCTATTGTGAATATTTAGATCGCTGATTACCGCTAATTCACACTCGCCGGCAGCCTGAAACCAATGCTTTCCAGCAATCAGTAAATCATAGCAAAAATCGCCAAGCTTCAGATTTTCCGAAAAAGGTGAACAAGGCCCGGTGGTTGCTAAAAATATATTGAATATGGATTATAAGGGGCCATATTTAACCTAAACGTGCTCCATCTTACCACGTTGGCATAAGTACGGCATTGTGGCATTGCAGTAATCCGTTTGCAGACTGTTTTCCACACTCCTTCCCAAATCTAGCTTTATACAGGATCTTCGCAAATTTTGCTCGCTTAATCCGAGTCCTGTTTTGAGTTTCAACAAATAAGACGTAAGAATCTTACGATTAATGGCTATCATGAACACATATTGCGATAATCTTTACGGGTGGAAAAAAAGCTGCTACTAATTTCTTTTTATAAATAATCTAAAAAAATCAATGTATAATAATCAAAGAATTTTTTTTTTTAGTATTTGTCAAGTTCTTTATCCTCTAATTCTGTGAAAATAGCTCTAAATAGTAATTTTGCGTTTTTATTTACTCATACTACCCGTGATCAGAGTAAAAATTTCCCCTTAAACATACGAGTTTCCCCTTTTCTTAGACTTGCATTTGATAAACACCCAATATAAATGTGATTCACCGAAAAGATATCTGCTTAATTAGTAATTGTATGTAATTTTATGTATTTTGTTCAACAGTAATAAGCTAATGTTAATTATTTAGAAAAAGGACAGACTATCTATAAATAAATTTAAAGCATTAATATATAAATATATAAACTGCATATCTATGCAAAACTTAAACTGGTTATTCCTTTAAAACATATTAAAATCGATACGTCATTTAATGATATACTAGTTAAATAGCTTAGAACTATTAAAGACATACAGTATATATATATATATATTATAACGTCTGTAGTATTTATTGTATGTACAGAATTTATGAATAATAAATTTAAAAAAAAATTAAAGGAAGTGCTTTAATAATAGCAGTTAATACTACTGAATTGCTGATGTCATTCGATAATAAACTAGGAGTTATTGTTGAACTGTTACTCAGAACAATTACAATTTATATCATTTCTATGATATATATCTAATACAATACGGCGTATATATTGTAATGTATGCCATGTAGAGAGAAAGTAAGATAAATATTCATAAACAGTTTACGTCTTATTAGACTTGTGAATTTCTATAGACATACCAATTATTTATCTTAAACTATATTTGATATAAACATCTAAATAGATAAAACATTATCAAGGTGACTTAATGTAAATATTCAGTGAAATTCAAAATTCTTTGCAATGAAAAACAAAAGCTTATACCTCCGCCTACGCTACTAACAAGATATATTTAAAGAATAGGGTGTGAACCCTTCTTATAGGGCTCAGTGGTATATCTTTAGCAAATAGTTGGACGTTGGCCATCAATTTTCTAATTTAGATGCACTGTAGGGAAAGCTAAACAACATTACTGATAAAGGAAGAAATCCATAGAATCTTTTTAAAAAGGGAAGAGAAGAAGATTTCTAGCGTAATGAAATAACATGTCCTTCCTCCATTTAAGTTTGCGTAAAATTCAAATAAATGTTTAAAAACCAGATTTTATTTGCTAGGTTTTTAAACTAATATAAAGTTAAGGGACTTACGTAATAAAGCATAAAAAGGTTTAATAATTTGAAATATGAAAATAGAATTTAGAAAAAAAAGAACAAAAAACCGATTACTGTATAAATAAATTGTTTTTATATAAAATTTAAACTGTTTGATTTTTTTTTAAGCCCTATAAAGTTTTACTTTTAATAAATATAGAAATTTTATAACGTAGGCTACTAGATACTTAGACACAACAGAGTTTAATAGTTTATTACAGAATTCTATACTGCTTATTTAGTTACGAAAATAGAAAAAATTTATATTCCTTTTTTAAAAGTTCAAATACCTATCTTATATAAAACTAATAAAATATTTTAAATGATAAAGTTTTGATGTAAAATCAATTAATGCTTTTTAGTAAAACGACATCTAATTGCGTAAAATTGGCACAATACCGTGACCTCACCCGATTTTTCACTAGCTTACGTAATTATCATACGTAACAATGCGTAATAAAGCGACTACCTACCGTACTCTGAGATTGAATTGGTCCATTTAAACTTTTGATCAACCTTTATACGCCCTTCTATCCATGCTCTCTCATCTAGTGATGAATTTTTCTTGGATAACATTATACCTATCGAATCTAATATTTTTCTATCCTCTTTGGTTTTAACTGACACTAATTTCTTATTTATTTCTTGACATTTGATTGCGGCTGAAGCCCTATTTGTCTGCTCACTTAGAAGGCATAATCCATCCTTTGTTTCTAAACAATTTGCTGCCGTTTTTGTAACGAACATAGAGATTAAAAGTATTCCTAAACTTGTCCCTAACATTCTTGCTTTACTCAATATTACGTATGTGGCCTAACCAAGTATAATTATTCATAGCGGGAATATTTGCGTTCAGCCAACCCATTCAATATCCCGGAGTAAAACCCCACCTTAAAATAGTCTAAAAATAACGTCTTGTTGATCTGACCGATAGTACAGCTTAGAAGAAAATTAGTAAGCCTGTCCTTATTATTCACATTATTGGTTTACTGACTTAACTGTTAATTGGGGACGAATATTTTTAGAGTTATAAGGTTGTCCCGGTTGAACGCTTCACGTCTATTATTCATCGATCGTCCTTGACAGTCAGTTATTGTACGAAGCGTCGTGATAGACTTTGGATTGAAGAAAAGACGAGGGGGAAAGAATCGATTTTATATATAAGATATTAATCTGTAGAAAATTGAAGGAGTTATACCCTTTATCGTAGTCTATCTTTTCCATACTCGTCATATTTTTACTATACAATTGCTTGTTCTGAAGAAAAAGAACACGCTAAGGCCATGTCAAATACTTCACAATAGAGACGCTTGCTATTATTTATTTTACACCTGTTTATGACGCTCCGTACCTTAAAATTTGGTGGTGTTACTTTTCTTTTATTGGATTAAAAAAGAAAGAGCCAGCTCTTTTTATAATATTACTCAAGACCTTTTACAATTCTACCAAAATACTGGTGAAATAAAGATATACAGTTGTAAATTGTAAAATTTCCATATTTAGTAAACCAATTGAAAGCACATTGCACGTCGCCGTTAATCGATTGGAACGGAGATGCGTGCCGAACAAGGCACTTCGGCTGAAGGAAGAACAGGAAGTAGTCGAATTAGAGGAGGAATCGCCACAGGTTTATATAATGCGTTCGAAATCGTTGTGGGATTTGGACGGCACGCTCCACAATTCAGTCTAAATGACTTTAGCTTATGAATAGTATATTGTCTACGTCGTTTACCACAATTCTGATTCAACACATACCGTATATTTATATATATATATATATATATATATATATAGGTACATGATATAAATGATGCGTAGGGTATATATACATGTATATAAAGTATATATTTGTTTGTATAAATGATATATACTCTCTTCATATTCGACTATACTGCTGTATTTCTAACCAAGCGTATCATATAGCTTTTACGCGGTCTGTAATTCTTTTTCCTATGTGCCTAAGAAATGGAGTAAGAAACTATAGAGACGAGACGCAATCATTTATATTTCAACGAATTGCCGAGGGATTAGGCTGCATCATTTTACTTAGTTTTATACGTTTATATGTCGTCTTTTAGACGCCTCTGATTAAATGCAGGAAGGTCTGTTTTTCAGATTATATATACTATACGAACAGCTGCTTGCTGTATATAGTTTACATAGTATACGTTACTTCATAAATTTTGAGGTTACTTTGAACCGTCGGCAGAGGGCGCTGAAAACGAAGGTAATCGGATAGTAGAGAAGGAGGTATTAGGCAGCTTTAGAAACTGCCTTATTGTCAGACCCCGAGCTGATAGGCGTGACTTGCAAATTAGTAGAGCAGTTGCTGCTAGGCATGCACAGCTGTCTCTTCCGATGCGTCCTCTTATCTTTCACGCTTGAGCGTCTAAATTATGAAACGCCACGTGCGTTTTCATAAAATTGAAGTGGGGATGTCCAACTTCAGAGTTTACCTGCTTCAGAACTCGTTATTCATTAGACGATAATCGATCGACGTACTAGGCAAAGTTTACATTACGAAAGGTGGTTGTCGTGGTGTTCGTAAATCATTAACTGATAAGACGAGCCGATTGCGCTATTGATTAGAAATTGATTTTTTTTTTGCGAAAGATCACACTGTGGTACGTATAGTAACTGTGTTCTGTTAAATGTAGTAGGATATTTTTGAGGTTTTTAAGCTGGTATGTGAGTGATAGAGAGAGTAGAGGAAATCGATGAACGAAGTCGGCCTAGCTGACCTTGACATTAATTGTTGGGAAGAGAACTTCCCGCAAGAACATGCCATTCCCATTTCGTACGCGCACGCTTTGTTTTTTAGGCCTATATTTCTTTATCTGCGCTGTGTGAATGTTCGAATGTTACGGCATGTGTTTGTATAGAGTTCGATTGTTCAGTTTAGTAGGTAAAGGGACCCAGAGAGTAAAAAACTGTTCGTGTATTCGACATATCGTGCATAAAAGTATAAAATAAAAATAAAATACGTGGAGCACGTGATCGATGACGTCAGGCTTGGGGATAGCCGATGTCTATTGGTGGAGAGTGTTTGTGGAATTTCAAACATGTTTCCAAGCTTAATTAATATTCATTAGCCTTCTTTGTTCGGTTCGCATACGTAATCAGCTATGAGTTTTGACAATTTACAGTTTAATGCAACTAGGAATACTGTCATTCTTGTTAAAATCTCGTCTGAATCGGTCAGTGAAAACCGATTATCGAAAGTTTAATCGGTGAGTTTGAGTAGTTCAAACGTACTTTGCAGTTTTACGTACAAACCCATCAGCTGCTACAGCGGACATGTTGGTTTTGAATATTCATTATTATTTAAAACAGTACACGTGACTCAAGCAACGAATCACCATTCGTGGTTGATCGGAGTTTGCGTAGTCTCAGCACTCATTCAACCAATTGTGCTGACGAGCATTGCGTCTTTACGAGAATTCTACATTTTCCGCAAATTTTCACCTTCCAGCGGCGTTTGATCAGCCGGTAAGTAGTCAAAAAGATAGATAGACATTAGCTCTACCCTTTTGAGAGGATATCATTGTCCCAGATGAATTCGTTGGCCGTTGTAGGAATCGGTGCCTGGATGCACGTCGCCGAAGGATAGTAGGCCCGAAACTTTGCTGATTGATTATGCAGATAGCGCGAAACTAGGGAATGTTGCCAAGGTGTATTGAGTAGATCAGCTGAACGGTGTCAAACGCGGCTTCAGTGCTTTGTGTTTGCGCTAAAACACGAACGCGGTCGATGCAATCAATCGGCGACTTTGAAAAACACATCCCGCTTTTCTTAATTATGTAAAACGCTAGGCTTACAGGCCATTAGTGGAATGGAAAGGAGCAACGATAGTTGGTCAGAGCTCTTATCTCAGTGATATTGAAAAAAATTGTATTCATTACAAATATCAGTAAAATGTTATGTGACTGCGTGTCTTCACTTTACTCCTTAACAATCTGTGTTTGACTGAGTACAGTCGAACTATACATACACGTGAATAGGCGTACGTCTATACATACAAATAGATTTTGAAGTTGGAAATGTATTTATAAATACGTTTATAATATTTAGTATATATTTATAGACATAAATATCTATATATCTATCTATCTATCTATCTACCTACCTTCATATAAATATACTTTTCTAAATATGCGTATACAGTATATATATAGATAAATTTGTCCCATTTTTTTATACTTTATGTGTTGGCGTTTATGTATACAGTACATCACAGTATCGAAATCGAATCACATGATCAATAGAAAGAGGCATAGATTTTCATGCTCTTATATTTTCTACAGATAAAAATATATTCATATATATAACATACGTATGACGGAAAGACGGTAGCAACGGCTGCGACGATGAAGTCGGGTAGTGGAAGACGGCAGAGACGAGATAGCGTCGGCTCGTCCAGTAGCTGTGAAGGGGACAGAAGAAAAACAAGATTTTCCTCTAGGACAAGAAGGAATGGAGAAGAAGTTGCTGATGGCCCCCCTCCTGCGACGGCTGTTCGAGAAATTGCAAAACCACCTAAAAAGAGGAGAACAAACGACATAACTAACAATATAGAAATAACAGAACAGCAACAACAACCTGTAACAAATGAAACAGAAGAGATGCCTCAAAGTAGGTGTCTACACTTGAACGAATGGGTGGACGGAAGGGTTTTAGTTAAAAGAAATGGAGTTTACAGACCAGCTGTTATAAAGAACGTACTCAATCAGACGAGCATCGTCGTACAACTGGAGCATTCGGATGAGTTCGTCACTTATGACAAGGTCTTGTCAGTAAACAACGTAGAAATAATCAGCGATGACTTTCCATCTATGTCACAACTTCAAATAGGTAGTTCAGTATGCGTTAGAGACAATAGTGTCTACATTCCCGGGAAAATAATAGAAAAGTCCAAGCAGCAAACTGGTGCTGCCAACAGTCTGCAGTTTCATGTAGTTTTTGACAATAAACACCCAGATCGTAACACTACGTCCGTTTTGGTAAGTAAACCAGCCTTACGGCTCATTAAGCCACCCTGGCATGAAGAATTGGAGCAATACGTTAGGCAACATAGCTACTCGAGGCCAACAGCAGCAACTAGAACTTCACCTGGAGGCTCAAGTTCGACCAATGCTTCTGCTCAAAGTAGTTCCAGCATGGTGGAATCCAGCGGTGGAGTGTCACCCGTGACACCGCGTTCTGGAAGTGTTACACCAGCTCTACATGTACCCCCCCAAACTGCTTTATTATCTGAAGATAATTCATCAAATTTGAAAAATCGAAATCGAATCAGTAGTGCTACAGAGACAGCAACAGGGTATATATGCATACATTTACTATTTTTTCTTGCTTTCTTTTATGAATAGCCTTGCCTATAGTGCTGGCTTTATAGATCAATATTGCGCTTCCACTGTTCACGCTCAAAGTGTTCACTCTAATAATAAATGCGGTTCTCTATAAAATATCAGACGGGCTGGCACTATTGTTTATACTGAGACTGAATAAAATCTATAATTGTTTACCAAGTACTTTGCATTTTTACGTTGCAGATCTCGAGCCAGTACACCAAAATCCCCTGTCACTGTCAATTCATCTTATAATCAGAGTTCGATGGCTTCGGCTAAGGAACAGCAAAAGTACAAAAAGGGTGACGTTGTCTCAACGTCTAATGGAATACGTAAAAAGTTCAACGGCAAACAATGGAGACGTTTATGCTCGAAAGACGGCTGCACGAAAGAGTCGCAACGACGCGGTTACTGTTCGCGTCATTTATCGCAAAAGGGCAAGTCACTAAGAAATCCACTTTCGGGACCTAGTTATCCCAGACGTGATATTGAGCATTGGGAACAAACAGAAGAATATCAAAACCCTCATTTTTTGCCGTCGCATCATCCTCTAGTGTCTCCTGCTACTACAGCATTTGACGAAAGAGATGCAGCTGATACTCTTATATCGCTCAGGGAACCTCCTGCTTCACCAGCCAATTCTAACAGAAGGACTAGTTCACCTAGATTATATCAATCAACTGCACCTCAACCAAGCAATTCTGTTCTAATGAAGAACCAACCTAACTATCCAGCCCACCGTTACACTTTTAGCGGCAACGAACAATCAGAACAACGGTCAAATGATATATACCCTGCCTCCAACAACGCTGAACGTCGAACGCTTGCTACGCAGTTGCTTCCGGTCATGAAAATTCCAGCTGCTGCATCTAGCTCGAAACCGGAAATGACAAATACGGGAACTCTTAGTTTGTCGAGCAATCAACAAAACGTTTCGAACGCGCCTAATGGAAGTTCGATTAAGCAGGAAGAGGAGGGGGAATTAAACGAGAAGAAAGGTAAGCTTTAAAATTGCGCCTCGTTTTTTCATTGTTAAAGTAGCGCGCAAAATATTGTTGAGACCCCTGGAAAAATTGATGGGTGCCGCTTCTATAAACGAACAAAGTGCTAATCGGTCACCAGACCGAATCGTGTACCAAACTTCTCCCAGTGCCTGGGAATTCCAGCCTGACGTCACTCTGTGCCCTCCAATCGTAGTCTTTTGTACGGGTCACGTGATCGCTTAGTTTACCTAATTTCCAGCTGCGCGCTACAACGATCTAACAAGAATGGGCGAAGTCATGCCTTAGACTTTTTTGCCGCGTTGCGTACACTGACAACTGCATTGGCATTCCGTTGCGCCAATTAGTGAAGCGGAATTGTACGTAGCATACACACATACTACAACACGCTTTACACATATCTCGCATAATAACTCTGATTGGCAGAGAACGACGACCGAGTTGTAAAGACGCCGTGGTATTCACTATTTCCACTGCATCGCAATGAGACCGCTAGTCAAGGTCAAGGTCAGTTTTAACAGTTTTGGTTCCCGTATTAACCGAAAAACCCAACCTTGGATTATCAGCCACCCGAAAATTAATTTTCCACCGGAGTGATGTGGTCGTAAAGCTTTGGCCTTTGACCTCTTGTTTTTCTTTGCTAACTGGCCTTCACCTTTTTTTTTAACTTTGATCGAACGAGTATTGATTTCGAAACTCAGCGAAATGTATGTATTTATTGTACGGCGGTCCACTTTAAAACATGCATTTCAAGTAGCGCCAGATGCGTTTATTGCGTTTAACGCACGCACTCACTAACAACTAAAATTATTCCCATCATGGTGAAGTGTTTAATGATCCGTATTACTTTCACTCCCTTTAGGTTGCTTGGGTGAGAATGTTTTAGCAACCGGTTCGAACGACGAAAGCGTCCGAGTATATAAATGGCATAATGTTGTTCCTATTTATAAACCGGGAACGGAAAAAGCCCCAGAAGATGATGATGATTACGGTGGACCAGATGGTGGCAATACGGATCACGGAAAAGGATCAGGAGGCGGACCAGATAGAGGAAAGCCAGATGATGGAAATGGTGGTGGTAGAGACAATCCTCCCACAAAGCCTCCAGCAGACGACGATGATGATGTTTTTTACACTTCTCATAATGACTCGTCTAACGCCAATAATACATCTAGAGGAGAAAAAAGAAGAAGTCAGAGTTTAAGCGCTTTACTAACAATCGGTAAAGAAGATAAAAAGAAGGTTAATTTTTGTACATATCTATATAATATTGTATAGCTGAATTTATCTGCTTTGTTCTATGGCTAATTTTATTGCTATATTCTTCGTTTGAACTATTTTAGAACAGTCATTTCGATACATTATTCACGATTTGATCGGCACGTATTGATTTTATTCTACAAAGATTTCTTTGTCCTTATAGAAAGAAAAGCAGGGGAAAAATCATATCAGAAGACCAATGAACGCATTTATGATATTTAGTAAAAGACATCGGCCAATAGTCCATGAGAGAAACCCAAATCAAGACAATCGTACTGTATCGAAAATTTTAGGGGAATGGTGGTACTCTTTAGGAGCCGAAGAAAAACGTCGATATCATGAACTAGCAACTCAGATCAAGCAAGCCCATTTTAATGCTCATCCCGACTGGAAATGGTGTAGCAAAGAGAGGAAAAAATCCACCGGCGATTCAACTGTCACTGCTACAGAAAAAGCCAAGCGATTAGAATCGCTTAATGGTAATATATAAATTTTTTTTTTCCTTTTCAATCGATCACTAACACAAATTTTTGCAGGTATTAATCAAGATACCACCTCTAATCTGACAAGATCGTATAGTTTATCGGGCGATCTTGTGCACTCAACCAATGACGTACGTATATAGCTTTTTCATTGTTATCCATCTTTTTCTCATGTTCATTGATAAATCATAAAAATGCGTTACCTTTTATCTCAATTATCAATTTATACGCCACTGCTGACTGATGACATTCAGTCACGCTATGTTAATATAAATTCTGGTTGTATGGGAACAATAATTTATATCTAAACAATTTTGGGTTGGTTGTCTTACCAATCCGTAGAAAATCAATATAAAATATTCTACAATAGTTTCGGATAAATCGACCATCGGCTATGCCACATCACGTTTAACGAAATTCTGTAGTTGCAATTAAAATAAACGCGAAACTAATTGCATCTTTCTCGTTGACAGGTGAAAGATGAGCAGATTTATACCAAAAAGGTTAGTAACAATGCGTGGAAAGTAATTTAATTTATCTGTCTGTTTTCTCTAAATGAAATGCTTGCTAACAGATTGACGATTCAGAAACGGATACAGACGAGGAGAGTAAGATGGTTATTTGTGAGAACATGCCGCCAGACGAAACGAGTAGTATGTTACAAATTACTTTTCAGCCGCCGCCTGGTATCACTTTACTATTTTCTTCTCACTCAGATGACAAAGAATTAGAAGCGGCTGCCGACGTTGCCAAGGAACGAGAGGAGCAGGAACGTAGATCGCGTCAAATGTCTGAAACAACAGATGATGCACCTGATCTAACTTGTCCTGAACACGTATCTGATTCTGGTACGCTATTAAAACAATTTTAATTTCTCTAAAACGCTAACGATTATTATAAATTGTACTTTCTTATAGACGACGAGATGACTGAAAGAAGGCAATTCTCTGTCCGTCACACAACAGATGACAATACACTGAAACCAAAGCCGATTAAGAAATACGACGTTTCACCGCCAACGTCTCATATGCTGCCAACTGGGATTACTCAATTCCAGCCGACGGGAGCAGTTTTTAAACCTCGATCAAGTGAATTATTGAATGATGCGCAAAGGAAACCTAGTGAAACTGTTTCAAGCCTCTTACAAAAAAATCAATCACATGGCCCAAAGCAAATTCGCACTTTACAACAAGTTCACATGAGGCCGTCAGAAAATCATAGAGGAGGACTTATAAGGACGACTGAAACTGAACAATTTAACCAAATTGGGTCCAGTCAACATTTTATTAGTAAGATATCGTCTCCAGTGCGGACAAAGGGTGCCCAGAAAATGATGCCTCAGGGATTTAATAAGGATGCTCGGCATATTAATGCTGTAACAACTGGTTCTGATTCTGTATCGTCAACGTTGAAGCCCCTGCAGTCGAACACAATTATTATGCCAGCGATAAATGTCCCGAATCTTTCAAATTCTACGTCAGCACCTATCCTCTTCCAGCAACAGCATCAGCAGCAACAGCAACAACAACAACAACAGCAACAACAACATTTGCAGCATCAGCACCATCAGCAGCAACAGAATTTGCATCATCATCATTCCCATCACCACCATCAGCAGCAGCAGCACCATCAACAGCAACCCCAACGCCAGCAACATCAGCAGCAACAGGTCAACGCTGTGTATCCTAGTGGCCTAAGAAATATAGCTCCTGCTACCCAAACCTCCTCGTGCACTAACGATACATCTAAGCCAGCTCAGCACTATGTATTAGTTTCGCAAGCCCCGGGTACCATTGCAACAGATAATAAACAGGCAACTAACCTGCTTCAGCCTGTCCTCATTAATTCAAACCTTGGTAACTTGCTCCAGATTAAACCAGCTGCTACCGAATCGGCAACGGTAGGAGTGGGTGGCGCAAATGCGGCTACAGTTCATTTGGTAGGCAATACTTGCAAAATCAAATATCCAAGGTTGTCAAAGTATTCGTTCATTTAGATCCAAACAACACCCGCGACGACACCTGTTTTGTCTCAATCTCGCCAACCCGTTCAATATCTTCTTCCGTCCATTTTACAGCATTCTCCTAACGGCACTAACGGTAAGGTGCCGAATATCCTGCAGCTGTCTAATTTACAGGCCGCTAATATTCAAATAGTAGCCGCTAACGACCAGGTACTTTAATTTCACTATATAGACAATTAAATGTATTTACTTTATTGTTTTATCCTCGTCAGGTCCAAGTTCAATCTCCCAATAACAATAACAACGAACCAAAAACCTTATTACCGACCGGATTTAAATCAACTGCAATTCAAGCGGTCAGTCAGCAAGGTAGGATTATTCGGAAACTTAATTTTTCTAAAGTAATACCAATATTATTCCCCTATTTCTTTTAGTACCAAGCAACAATAATCAACAATTTGTTCAGCAACTATTGATGAACAAGAGCTCCTCCCAACGACAGCCACCTGTCAGTTCAACTGTCCCATCTGCAACTAAACCGTCCTCTCCTAGGTATCATTTATAGCATAAATTCTTGTATTGTTTAATAATAGACAATTATAGCAGTAGAACGACACAACAAAATACAGTCAAAAATCAAAAAGTGCAAGCATATGCTTTAGTTCCTTCAGCAAGCAGTAAGTTTTCTTTCTCTACAGCTCAGGTATCTTGACTAACTGTTTAATAACAAGTTACAGACCAAGGCAACTCGCAAATATCATTACCCAGCACTCGTCTACTATTGCCTAAACAGAATGGAATGTTCGATCCAGTTTGTAAGTAAAGAGTAGAATATCAGTCTATTTTGAAAGTTAACATTTTATTATTTACATGTACAGTAAAAAATGATCGGTCGATACTGGCAAAGCAGACAAGCATCGGATTTGTGAGCTGTGACGAGGCTGATAAATCGAACAGAGTTCGCGCAACGCTAGCTACGATACCCGTTGCCGATCCGTCTCCTAGGACAGTAGCAATCTCTGGTGCTCCACTCGACAAATCGAATAGCCGCGGTCAAGATTCCTTGCAATCGATCAAGTCTGTCAGTTCGCCAGCTTATGGGCAACAAGTACACTTCACGGCTTCTGATGCTACACAGAGTGAGACTAGTTCAGACGAGGCTGCTTCGACTGGTGATGAAACGGATAAACGCTTGCATAGAGCTTGCAAAGGCAAGCGATATAAGGAGATCGTTGCCGAACATGGCTTAAAGCCATTTAAGAAAGAAAGGAAAAGTACTTACGCGACTGTAAAAAGTAACGTTTCTAATTCGACGGAAGAAAGCGATATCGCTTCTAGTCAAGTAAGAAAAAAGCTTTTTTTTTCTTTTGGCCTCGTTTCTAAACCATTCGTAACTTTTTTAGATGCTGCAGATAAATAATTGTATTAACCATACAATAGAACGATACGAAGGTGAAAGAAAAGAAGAGGAAGGAAAACTATATAAAAGCAAACCCATACCTCCCCCGATACAGGTTACTGATAGCCCTAAACGACCTTTGAAACGATCCATAAATGAAAACACTGAGAGAGTTCTGGATTCCGTTAATTTTGGAAAGCAATTCGAAAAGTTGCCCCAATTCAAACCATTGAATACAGAATCCGGAGCGAATTTACCAAGAAGCCCCCGCTTGCTGGCTAACAGCCTGCGCAAGAAAAGTAAACCATCTCTCGGTATGTTGTAAGTTGGTGATTCGAATGGAAACCATTAATAGTGATTGTTTTGAAATAGATCTGCTGTCGGCAACCGGTGCAGACTCGCATGATCAAGATTCTTCTGCCTGCCAAACACCGGTAACGCCCCGTTCTGCCGTCAATAATAATAATAATAACGAGGACGGTGATACCCGCCACTTCTTCGGTAAAAACTTTAATGCTAAGGATCCCATGGCCGAGTTAAGAGCTCATGACGATGATGGAAAATCCTTACCAAGAACACCAAAGACACCGTGTTCACCTGGAGCGGGCAACAGCTTACGAAGGGTTTTGGATAAGAGGCGCCAACTAGTTACAGAATTATTTGAAGAACACGGCTGGTATCCCGATGGTAATAATTTTCCTTTCGATTACTTTTTACATTAACAATTTAAACCAATAAGATTCGTTATTTTACCCTATAAAATTTAAAATATTTACAAGAATCGATAAATTCTTTTACAGATAAAGTGACGACGAAGTTCTTTCAAGAGCACCAAGAGTTGTTCAAAAATAAACCGACGCTGCAGCTAAAGATCCGTGAGGTTCGACAGAAGTTGATGTCTAGCAAAGATTTCGCTAATACGCATGAAGCTACGGAAGACGAACTGTCTCAGGACGATAAACTATCGGTGGCTAACAACAATGTCGTGAAACCGTGCTGAAAATAAGATGGTGATATAATCCCGTTATTACGTAGCGTATAATTGCGATGCATTCAACTAGCAAAGCTGCATTTCCCCAGCCGACCTATGTTATATTGTACTGTAGTGTTTTCTCTTCTTTTTCAAAGCCTATGTATTGTTTGCTAAGCCTGTGATACGATTCTTTATTACTGATTTACTAATTCATAATTTATATAAGAGAATTGTATATTTATATATTAAACCGCCAATGTTCTGTGAGTGGGTGTGTTAGTAGGCATAATTTTGATGTGAGAACGATATGCTACATAATTGTACATTTTTTTTAATTTTATTAATCTATGCGTTGTGTAGACTGACAAGTGTCTATTCCTTTCAATTTGTGCTATATACTTATTTAACGTATACATACGTAAATGTATATATAGACATATATATATATATATATATATTTATGTATGTATGGATGTACATATATACCTATATATATATTATATTACATATATGTATATATATATATATATATATGAAAGAAATTTTTTTTTTTCGTTTACTTGCCATTAAGGAATTGGTTGCTTGTAAGCGGTCGAGTCTCTACGAATTTTTCTTCAAATTATGTTTTTCGTAAAAATATATTACACATGTGTAATCGAACCGTTTCTCAACTTTCTCATTAATCATATGTGTTAGTTCTTGAATCATGCTTTGATCTCATCATCAAGCAAGCGCAATCGAACAATTGCTTCCATATTGTTAATAATACACCTAATACACCTGTAGAATCAGAAAGCGCACACTTTTATTTTTTCGCGGTTGTAAACATGAATATTAATGAATAGGTACTCGGCAAGTCACGTGTTGGCAGGGCTACATCCTCCGCTATGTGGCGCTTGCGACATAACGACGCCATTCGTTGCGCCCTCTACGGGAAGCTTGTTTATCTTGTTTCAACTGCCTATTTCCGATACAATTGCGAATAACTGGCAGTTTTACAAACATCGGATTGCTTTATAGGCAAAAATAGAGTGAAAGGTGAGTACATATTAAAATTTAAAGTTCATTGTTGGTTTGTCCATATTCATTGGCGCCATCTTGAAAATCTCCGGCATTTCTCCCGACAGCCGCTCCACCACGCAGATATGTCTGGAGACACCGCCATGAAAACTTTCAGTCTTAATTTCTCGGAAGGACTAAAAGAAGATGTCTTAACACCCAACAAAGCATTTAAACATCATCTCTTGGCTAGTGATGGAGAAATCCGTGACTTTTTAAGCGCAATCGTTGTTGAGAGGAGCGAAGGCAGCGACATCAAGTTGCACTTATCTGGTACGTCTTTTTGGGCGTTATAAAATATGTAAATAACTCGTTTTTAATGCCGATTTTCGGCAAGTACATAGGTTTAATATTTGTTAATTATTTGTTGTTGCTTAAAATGTTCAATACTGTGTAAAAATTGCTTATAAACCAAATCAAAATGTCGGAATTGCAAACAACGCCCTCTATGGGCAAAATAACATCGTATCGATTTCGCCAAAGGTACCGGCTCATTTTTTACTAAAGTGTGTACGTTATATCTAAATGAAGCCAGCGCCATGGAGCGTTTGTCAATATATGTAAAAAAAAGTATCATATCACTAATTGCTTTTTTTCCCCTTTATTTCATAGTACCCAACATAATAAAACCCACAACAAATGATGCATCCACACAAAGTTTTATTCCTGAGTTTCGAGATGAAGGAATCCAGTCAACCCCAGAATACGTTACCGCCGAGGTTCAACATAGTCCAGAACTTAAAGAATTTGGTATACAAGCTGAAGCGAGCGTCACCTCAGTTTGCGTTCAGTTCTCTCCGTCCCTCTCTGACAGTAGTACCAGCTTTGACCCACTCTACGGTACGGCAACTGTCGAAATTGAAGCAAAACCGGAAATAGATAGTAAATCTGTACGTAAACTTGTAAACTTTGGTCAAAAACATTCTAAATTCGGCCTATAACATTTTAGGTACAACATCAACCTGAGACAATGAGCGTACGCATTCAAAACTGCCCGACCACGCTAGCCAGAGCAACACAAATATCTCCTAATCTTACCTCAGCTGAAGCCCAATGCACAGTGGAAAATACTGACGATGGATGTCAATGTGTTGCGGATATGATTGACAATGAAACTCAACACCACGTCGAAACAAAAGATGCTGAAACAGAGGTAAGAAATTGTCAAATAAACGTATTTAAATTTTTTCTTAGTACCTCCATAATCTGAGATATGCAATCAATCCCACAAAATTTTAGGTACCTCTCGAATTTGAAGAGAAAGAAACTCAAGCATCGGTTGAATTGGTAGATGCTGAATTACAGTGCGACCCTCCCGTCGAAGAAACTTTGGAGCCTCCGACAATCGATATAGAGCAAGAACAGGTTGATCCTAATGACGACAAAAATGATAAGATAGAAGATGAAGTACTCGATGAATATGGAATGAAAACAAGACATACACAAACAGATCCTGTGACATTTATTGGCGGAAATATAGCAATTCGAGGAAAACTAAACATCAAGCAAGTAATTGTAGAAAAATCTCCTAATAAGAACGATAAAGAATCTTCTCCCACTCCTTCTGGCGGTCGAGGTCGTGGAAGAAGTCGTACAAGCGGATCAGAGAGGCGGACCTATGCTCGCAAATCACAACTCAATCAGATTGCCCAACAATTCGAAGAGGATGATGAATATGTTCCTCCTCATCGTATAAAGCAAGAAAACGTTTATGGTAAAAGGCAGCGTGCAAAGAATACGCATTATGCTGACTTCGAAAGAGATGAAAAAGATATGCCTCATCTAGAAAAAGAGCGAAGCCCAGAGGGTAGTGAAGAAGAGGAAAGACCTCTTCTTGAATCAGAAGATGGAAAAAATTCCAATTCCAGAAGAGGAAGAGTATTAACCAGAGGAGCAGGTGTTCGTACTCGAGGTGGTGTAAAAAGGTATACTCTATCATCACCACCAGAGAAAATATCGCTAGTTGGTAGAAGAGTCAATCCACGACCAGACACGTCTCGACCAGTACCTGTACCTACACTCTCAGAACCTAGTGAAAACGGATTTTCTTGTCCTTTTTGTACCTTTAGATATCAAAATTCTAGCGAGTTATATGGTCATTTACAGATAGAGCACGCAAAAGATAGACGATATGTAGGCCTAAATAAAAAACGACCAAATTGCAACTGGGAGGAACACCAATTAGAACTTGATGCCGCTGGAGAAGAACGAACTGAAGTGAGCGAGGAAGATTTATATGATAACGATGAGCCGCCAGTTAAAAAATTCCGAGCCACCGATGAAATGCCAGTTGATGCTCTTGATGACGAAGATATTGAAGAGTATCGACCATCTCAACCGCCAAATACCAACCGACGATACGTCCGAAACGATAAACCAGTGGCTGCTGGATTTACTCCTTATCACTGTCCATTGTGTCACTTGAGACTATCGAATTGGAGCTATGTGTATAAACACTTGAATAGGATTCATACGGAAAGCGAAGAATATGACGACGTCAAGGCCAAGTTGGAAGAAATGTGTCCTGAGCTAATTGAGCCAAAGGATGATGAAGAAGATAAGTCGGATGAAAAAGATGATATGGATGGCGAAGAAAGCAAAGATGAAAGTAGTCGTCAAAGTTCAACGGGTGATTTTAATTGTGACATATGTGACAAAGTTTTCTGGTCCGAAAATCGTTTCATTCAACATCAAAAAACTCACGTTGTATCAAAGAGTCACAAATGTCAATACTGTGAACGATCGTTCCAACACTCTGAAAATCTTAAACGCCACGTATCCACTGTTCACGAAAGGTCAAAAGTTAAACGATGCGTTTGTGAGCATTGTGGGAAAACTTTCAATTATCAAATGAATTTACAAGAGCACATCATGTCTGCACATAGGCAAAAACAACCTTACGTTTGCGATAGGTGTAATGTTGGATTCGTAAGAAGAAAAGACCTTTTAGCTCATACCTGTCACGGTTCAGATACTGAGCGCATTGTCGATTCAAACGCTGCTTGATTTAACTCTGTACATTTCTTTGGAGAGCGAATGGAAAATTGTTTTTTTTTCTATCTCTTTGTATATTTTAGCATTGTTTTTTGTTGCACTGCTTTAAAATTGTGCGTACTTTATGTTTAAGCTAGTTGGATATGATTGGTTATGCAATAATTTTCGTTTACGCGCGTTTTCGATTAATTTATGTTAACGCACTATACTTTATACGTATTTATTTATAATATTTATATAGACGTTTATAAATACTGTTTATACACAGCATATTCAAATATATATTATTTATAAATACGTATTTATTTATATATATATATATTTATATACTAATATATATATGTATATTGTATATGTTGAAAATGTTAAGTGTTTTATTGAAATAGAATTTATTGGTGGAAATAATACTGACGATTCGTCGTTTAAGCAAGAATGTGTTGTTTTTGACGGGTAATACCCGTCAAGTGCAAATTACGCATGCCTTCGGTATCTGGTATCAGTTGGTTAGATCCTAGTCGATTTCTGGATTGGAGAACTTGATTATCTAGGCGCAGGGAATTTAGTTTCAAAGCCAAATCTTCATTTATACGATGTAAATTTGCTTCAAGATTGTGCAAAGCATGTCTAAAATAAAAAAAAAGTATAAATTTAAATGAATATGTTATAAACTAAATATTTGCGTACTGCGACTGGCGAAGTTTCTCCTCTAATGCTCTCTTTGAAGCGTCGATTTGGGCAACCTCATCGCAGAGACCGTATTGAACGTTATCACGGCACAATTCTACTCCAGGGCGTTCAGTTCTATTTTCTAATCTGGTCTGAGCTAGTTTCATAGGCTTAATTTTAGCCCTTATGGCATCTGATAAGCGACGAATATCATCTTCCAATACAGCAATTTCATCTTCTGTTTGTTTCTTTTGCCATTCTAATTCATCTTTAGCTTGTTCAAATTCGTGAATTCTTTTACGTACGGCGTAGTCAGTTGCCTTTTTCTGCGAGTTTAAATCATTTTGAGTTTGTTGTAGAGTATGATGATTCGATTCTCTTAGGCGTTTGGAAGCAGCTATTTCAGCATCTGCTCTATCTTTATTGTATCGGCTGTAATCTTCCCAATTCTGAGGTGTTACAGAACCCTTTGGTACACGGCATGGATCTGGCTTGTAGGAAATACAAGACGACTCCTCAGTTAAATTATATTGATCAACATCTATGCCCAAAGCAACGTATTTGTCTTCTAGATCTTTTCTTACTTCTTGTCTAGCCTCCTGAAGGACGCACAACTGTTCAAATGATTGAGCAATCTTTGATTGCAATTGCTTCTTAATTCCAGAAATCACTTCTTGCTCCCTCTTCAGTTCATCTTCCACTTCGTCCATAACAACATCGACACCTTGTCTTGCCTCTCTTGTGGTTAAATTTTCTACGTTGACCTCTTCGGGTAGATTCATTGCTTCTAAAGCGTCCTCCATTATTTGTTTTGATCTTGACAATTCTTCAATTTCATCATTCAACTCCTTTTCAGTTCTTTCCAAAATATCTTTCCATTTACGAATATTGTCAACTCTGTCTGCTAAACGGGTGTTGTTGTCGTGTTGATCCCATTTGGTTTTATTAGATGTTTCGTTACGGACGAAGCGTCCCTCCTGCCTTACATCGTGGGAAGCGCTTCTACCTCTTTCGGCATCAGTAGAGATCTTATAGCCATTCATGTGCCAGTCAGAGGTTGAATAGCGTTCAGCAGAATTAACGTAAGTTGCCATGATTCCCTTCTAGTCAAAATTTTCTATTCTATGCCACAAACTTTGCTCTTTAAAAGGGAACTGTTCATAAATTGATAATGGTTGCTAGTCAAACTTTTACTTCGTATACAGCACTTCTATTGGATATTAGAAATCTCATTGACCAATCAAATCCCTTTTTTCACGTTGTGTTTAGGCGACCAAGTCGCCCAGCAACGCAAAAATTAAAAGAAAAATATTTTTATTCATATTTTTTAGATGTAAAAAATTCTACCAAGTCGAAATTTAGGATTTAAATTTTTTTCTATGGATTTTGTTACGCGCATGCGCGATAACGTGTACAGTTTTACAACTTCCGATATTGGTGCCGACTGGATAAAATGTGAAATGGGTGCAATTTATCGCGAATGATATATTGATAACACATTGCTAGATTAATAACGTTTACTTGAATAGCTCATTCATGTTGAAAATTTTTTAGCTTCAAAGAAAATTTAAAAAAATACCAAATGGGAGCTACGTATAGCAGTATCAGTGAATTGTCAAGTAATAAATATCTCTTGCAATTGTCTGGAGTAGAGAAAATTACTGCTGATGACCCTTTTTGGAATCAGCTATTGTCCTATAAATTTCATATACCACTGACACGGTTCGTAGAGCCTTAAAACTAGAACTTTGTTCATCCTTAGATATTGTCTGAACATCCTAATCTTTCAGAGCCGATCAGCGCTTATTGGAAGAGTCAACCAGCTCGTTGTGTAAGGAGCTGGCAGTAAACAATTGTAAAACCCAAAATGTAAACAGTCTAATACGTGTGTTCAACCGAAGATCAGACGAGCTACGAGAGTCTGTCGATACTGATAGCGTTCTTCTCTGGCAAACATATAATGCCCTATTTATATTACGAAGTATTTGTAAATATTTCGTTGAGAATTTGACGGAGGAATTAATTTTATCTCAATTTGGCGATGACGAAAGTGGCAACCTTGTCCTTGATATACTATTTTCATCACTAATTCAAGCAATTATCGACATTCCTGTTCTGTAAGAATTTTTTAAAATTAATTACATTATATCTCTTATAATTAAAATGTTTCCTTTTATGTTTACTTGTTTACAGAGCGCATACGTATGCCCTACAGGTTGAGTGTATCAATTGCATTCTCATTTTGCTATCTCTTCAAATGTTTATTCCAGTTGGTTCGAAGACTCCTGAATTATATGGTTTTCTTATGAAAGGAAAGAGTGCTATGCATGCTCCATTGCTCATAAAGACATTACTTAATAATATAGTTGAAAAAGTTAAATGCCCCTCATTTATGATTCAAAGTTCAGATAATCACGGAGCTCTATACAGGGTTTCCGCATCGTTAGCTTCAGGCTTATGGAATGTTGTAACTCTAAAATTTCGGCAAACTCCTCAAAATAAAGACGAAGAGGTTGTAAAAGATACACTATTAGCGAATCAAAGTTCGCTATTATTGCTCGTTCTTGCGAATCATTGTATCTATTTAGAAAATACTGAGAATTTAATTGGTAATCCTTATAGAAGTGCTTTAATAAGTTTTACGGATAATCGTAAGGAAGGAGAAGAGGAGAGTCCCGTTAGTTTTAAAATGAATGTTTCAGCAATTGTAAAGGAATTATGTTCTACTATTTGGCCGAATGGGGATCATACAACATTATTGTTTTATCTACTTTTACATAGAAATAAAACTATAAAGCAATATACTTTGCAAGAATTGCCCGTTGAAGAAGTGACTCTTCCCTTATTGAGAATTTTATACGATGCTCCAAATACTAATTCTCATCATGTCTACATGGCTTTAATAGTGCTATTAATGTTGACGGAAGACGATAGATTTAATCAATCGATACACGAAATAGTACTACGAGCTGATAAAACGATGAACTGGTTTAAAGAAAGATCTTTATTGGAGATATCTCTAGGTAGTTTCATGGTTCTCGTCATAATTCGTACTATCCAATATAATATGACACGAATGCGCGACAAGTATTTGCACACAAATTGCTTGGCTGCTCTGGCTAATATGTCATCACAGACGAGGCGACTTCATCCGTATGCTTCTCAAAGACTTCTCAGCCTTTTCGATTTACTGCAGAAAAAACGAACAAAACTTGTAGAAAGTTTAAGGGTTACGCCTGAATCTGAGCAAGAGAATATCGTAGATGATCTTCAAGTGATCGAAGAAGTTCTCCGAATGCTCTTAGAAATAATTAATTCAATGTTGAGTCATGCAATGCAATTGAACCCAAATCTTGTTTATACTTTGTTATACGAAAGATCTTCTTTATCTGCTTTGAGGACTCATCCAACGTTTCAAGATATAATACAAAATATTGATACGGTTTTGGCATATTTTCTTTCGAAGATCGAAAGAGCAACTAGCAGTTATGGTCAAACTCTAAGTGTTCCTCAAGTTTTAAAAGTCATTGAAGATGGATCAGCTCAATTTCGTAAAGACCATTTAAAGGTAACTTTTAAATTTTACTTAAAATGTATTTAAAAAATTAATATATTGTAATTTCCATAAATACTTAGAAATTCCCCGAATTAAAGTTCGCCTACGTAGAAGAGGAGGAACCGGAAGAATTTTTTGTACCTTACGTTTGGACATTAATTTTTCGTTTTTCTAGATTATATTTTTGTTCTCAACGAGTGCGTTTATTTCAATTGCCCCAGCAATCAGTTGAATCTAATCAAGATTAAAACATTATTAATGATAACAATGAAATATGTTAAAAGTTATCATGTTTTTCTATTTTGTTTTTTTCATTTCAGTAATATATAGTTTATTTAATTAATTTCTAATTTATTCATTCTTTTTTCCCCGTAGAAGTGTCTATAAACCAATTTTTTAAGTTTATCATTCATTTAGAGGTAATTTGCTCCTAAATTCTATTCATTTATATATATGCATATGTATATGGATTCCTAGGTAACTATATTCGCGTATAATGGGCAGGCCAAAAAAAAACATATAGTAATAAATACTTTATGTTTATTGTGATAACAAATAAAAATAAAAGTTCAAACTATGGATCACTGTAAAATGAATTTCCTTTATGATCAAATAAATAACAGGAATATTATAGGAATAAACATATAAATGAAATTGTTAAAAGCAAAACCATATACTCTTATTCGTGTCTGATAAATATAAAATGATCAGTTTGTACATAATTAAAACAAATATACAAAGCTGTAAAATTTTCTAAAAATAACTTAAATTAGCAAACAAATAATTAAAAGCGTTTGTTGTTTGTTCTCGATATGCTTGAGGTGTGGAGAATTGTAAAATATTCACGTAAGAATGATGAAATGAAAATCCATTATCTTCTGCAGAAATGATGATGAGAATAGCGAAATAAGTAAAAGTAAATACAATTACTTAGAACTGCAACAACGCAAAAAAGGTCGATAATATAATATTATTCTTCATTTTCTTAAAAGAATTATTACCTTTTCTTCTTTATTTATAGACGTTGAATCAGTCGCTTTGTTCGTTTGCGATTCTAGTGAAATAGATGAAATTTTATGCTTTTCACCTGGAGATGTAGCTGAATCGTATGGAGATGGTCCTATCCAACTAAGTACAACTGGTAAATAGGCTAATCCATGAAAGACTCCAAATACGACAACGAGGAAAAAGACCTATATCACCGTTATTTTTTATTATTATTTAAATAAAATATTAAAGTAATTGAAGGGAAACACTAGTGCATTACCTTGAAAAATGTTGAGAATACATATGAGTTAGACGCACCCAGTAAAAGAAAAGCAAGAAAAGTACTAAACCCGCCATAAAAGACGGCAGGGCCTATTTTACATAATGTGTTTCTCGCTCTGTCTGTGATTTAGAGAAAGAGTTTCAATATGTTAGAGACAATTATGAAGGAATTAAATAAAAAATCAGTATAAATTTTCAAATACCATTTCGACTTCCTGATATTGTCATAAACATATGGCCCACGTGAGCGGAATAGTCAACTGCTAGACCAATGGCAACAATTAGTTGAACACTCGTAACCGTATCAATTGTCAATCCCCAAAGTTGCATCGCCCCACCAACGTCAAACTATTCGAGGAAAGATGAATGAAGAAAAAAAAGTTAAATATAGTATTTTCTTTGTATGCTAAAGATATGTAAATATGTAAAAATAATTATGAATAATATATGCTACATTATAGACATAAACAATATTAAGAATGGCTTACTTACCAGAGTAAATACTACACAGGAACAAACCAGTATGCACGTCCAAATGTCAGCAATAAGAATGAGTGTCATTACCAGTACGCATAAAAAGGCTAAACCAAGATTTCTATATAGTTCACTTTGTATCACCTATAATGGATATATGTATATGTACATAAAATGAAAACAAAAGAGCACTTAGAATGTAAGAAATAGTAAGGTCAATGCATGAATTAATTGTTCTTTAAAACAAAATAACGATCATTGCCATGGTTTGCAACAAGAAAACACCTGGGTTGATAATCAATATAAATTTATACTTGTTTGTTCCACTAAATCGAATACCGAGTTCTGCACTGCAAACTGATCGATAAAACGCTGATGAATATATATATATACACCTTGACGCAGGTGTACTGACTGCATTTAGTATTTTCCATCATGCAGACGTGGGGTATTTTATTTTTTGTTATCTTCTTTCTCCGTCCTACTCGAACGATACGTTTTATCTCTGTTATCGATGATTCGAATTTTGATCAAGTTTCAAGAAATTTAGAAGATGCTATTGAGAATGTCAATCAAACGATTCTTGATGGAAAAATAGAGCTGCATATTATTAGAACGAAAAAGGAAGAGACTTACAATACTGTAAAAGAAATTTGCAGTATCGTTTCTAAAGGTGTAACAGCTATTTTGGATTTTTCTAACAGAATGGGAACTGTAAATTTACAAGCTTTAGCCAACGATTCAGGTATAGCACATATTTCTTCTGTACCGTCAATATATGAACCGACAGCTTCACTAAATACGACGCTAAATATAAGACCTTTAGAGTTCCATTATATAAACATTATAAGAACAATTGTTGATATTGAGAATCTAACTAACGTCGGCGTAATTTACGATTCATCCTTCGATTTGAACAAGATCCCCAAAACCCTTCTAAGGAATTTGCCCTGTCAGCACCTTTATTTGAAACTCAAAACTAGTGAGGCAGATATGATTAATCAACTGGAGACTTTGAAAAAAGCAGACCTGGATCATTTATTTGTTGCAGCGTCTAGTAAAATGGCGGCTAAATTCTTAAAGATTGGTGAGAAAATGGGAATGATGTCTTTTAAATATCATTGGTACGTTATGAGTATGAATGTCCCGCCGTGTAAAGATTGTCCCCTAAAGGATACAATTGTTCAAATATCGCCTGTAATAGATGAATCGTCTCAATCCTCCTATTCTGTTTACAAAAGTTCCTACGATACATCACCTATTGTCGATGTTAGTAGGGCCTATATCTTCGATATGATTCACTTGATAGCCTCTTCAATCGGCGATCTGATATCGCAAGGGAAATTTGGCAATGAGATTCAATACAACGATTGCTTGCTAGATTCATCTACGGATAAGACAGGATACGAAAAAGCAACCCTCCTTCTTGACACAATATTCAAAAAGACGCGATCTGGTGTAACTGGACTATTAAAGGGTATTCAACCTGGAGTATTAGAACAAGATTCATCCCTAAGGCTTACAAGATCAAAAGAGATTGGGTCCTGGAGTAAAAAAACTGGCCTTATCAGACTAAACGGTTCCATAAGTGAAAACTACATGCAAAAGATTTATAGGGTTGTAACGGTAACCGAACCTCCATTTGTTTTCAACTCTTCTAAACTTCCCAGTGGTATCAGCGAGTATTACTATGACGAAGTTAGCGGCCAGTACTATTACGGATATTGTATAGAACTATTAAATAAGATAAAAGACAAATTGAAATTCAAATACATTCTTTATCAAAGTCCAGATGGGTTATATGGTTCAATGAATTCTACACGACACTGGAATGGTATGATAAAAGAATTAATAGAAGATAGAGCTGATATTATGATCGGAGCTGTATCAGTTATGGCAGAGAGAGAGAATGTTGTTGATTTTACTGTACCGTTCTACGATTTAGTTGGGATAACGATCTTAATGAAAAAGCCGAAATTTGAGTATACTGTCTTCAGATTCTTAAACGTCTTAGAGAGAGCGGTTTGGGGTTGTATCTTCTCTGCTTTCGTCATCGTAAGCGTTCTACTTTGTGTGTTTGATAAATACTCGCCTTATAGCTATCAGAATAATAAAGAAAGTTGGGATGGACAAGGCGACGAACCGAGGGTTTTTACACTTAAGGAGGGACTTTGGTTCTGCATGACATCGCTAACGCCTCAAGGTGGAGGTGAAGCTCCACGAGCTCTATCGGGTCGTTTAGTTGCTGCCACCTGGTGGATGTTTGGTTTCATAATGATAGCCACTTATACGGCTAATTTGGCTGCCTTTCTTACCGTCTCACGACTTGATGAACCTATATCCTCTCTGGATGATCTTGCCAAACAATTTAAAGTAAAGTACGCTCCCCAGTCAGCTACGGCCACACAAACGTATTTCGAAAGAATGGCTGACATTGAAGAGAAATTCTATAGTATATGGAAAAGTATGAGCTTGAATGATAGTTTGGATCAATTTGAGAGAGCCAAACTAGCAGTATGGGATTATCCAGTATCAGATAAATTCACAAATATGTGGGCTGCAATGAAGGAGTCTGGCTTCCCTCTGTCACTTGAGGAGGCAAAAAATCGTATAAAAAATCCTCCTTCAGGACAAGAATTTGCTTTTATAGGAGACGCTACGCAAAATAAGTATGCAGCAAATATAGACTGTGCTCTATGGGAGGTTGGCGAAGAATTTAGTCGTAAACCGTATGCGTTAGCTGTTCAAGAAGGTTCAACCCTTAAAAATCAATTGTCTAGTGTTGTCCTTCAACTATTAAATCAAAGAGTTTTGGAAGATTTAAAGTCGAGATGGTGGGATTTCGGAAAAGTAAAATGCGAAAAAATTGAAGACGAAAGCGATGGAATTAGCATAAAAAATATCGGCGGGGTCTTCCTCGTTATTTTTATCGGTATTGGCCTAGGCCTACTAACTTTGGCCTTTGAATACTACTGGTACAAACTGAGGCCAGCTTGGAATGATAAGAGAGAAGATAAAGGAAATAGTTCTACAACGATAACAACTCAAGCTAACTCTAACGCTCATAGTAATGGCGGTTTTATGAATTAACTATAAAGAAAAGAGATCTCCTTGCTAATGTTATCTTTTCTCGTACTTTTTTTTGTTAATTGATACATTGTTACCCTTACCTTTTTACGAGTTTTTGTCCCTTTCCCCCCTTTCCCTCTGTCGCCTTCCCTTGTAAATACCCCATGTTTTAGAAGAAAAAGAAATGAAGATAAAGTAAAAGAACTTTTAACTTACCTTATTCCCTTCAAAAGTTGTGTATGAATTTTCAAATACTCTAACTTCTACTTTTAGATCATTAGAAGCTTTATTTGCCACCTATTATTAAAAAATATAAAGAATTTTTTTATTATTGAAAAATAATTTTTGACATACTTCTCTGATGCTATCCATTGCTTTTATTTCTTCAGCAGAGTTGGATAATTGTCTGTGACTATTTAATACAAAAACTATATACACCGTATATACTGTATATACTGTATATTGTTATAATAGTCTCATCTATAAAAAACTTACGTAAATGTAAATCTAAATGCTTCTATAATCTCAGTTTTAGTATTTTCGCGTAGTTTGATATCTTTAATAAATCTATTTCCCGGTCCATTTCCTCCATAGACGATAAAATACTTGAATAATATCTCGTCAAAGTCTTTTTTCGTTTTCGGGAATTTATCTATGATAGGGATTTAAAACCATTGAATAATTAAAAAAAATTTAAACTTCCTATTGAACTTACTTGAATCCAATTTGGCGATTATATCAGGGTTATTTGTGTTCTTTAAGAATTCCTTATAGCTTTTAGTCCAGCTATCCGTTGTTCCTTTAGACGTATAAGGATCACCTTCTATTTCATCATGTATTTTTTCTAATCTTGTAAACTTTTCAAAGTAGTTCAATTTCTCTGAGTCAAAATAGACGGCGCTGTTGATACCAGCTTCGGGGAAGTATTTATCGCTTTTTTGAACAAATGTTCTCGCATAAGTTCCAGTTGGTAGAAAGAGAAATGGATCGAAATCCTGCTCTAATTCTGTTACTCTCCATATGGATAGTCCAAATAGGGCTGCCGTTATAACAATGATTATTATCTATAAATTAGATAAGAAAACTCATGATATAGATAATATATTTCAAAGTAATTGTTACAAACTTTTACGGGTAGAGATAAGATAAACTTTGAATAAATTTTCGAAAAAAATAAATTCATATAAGATTTTTGAGAGCAGGCATTCGGTTTAAAATCATTATATCGAATACAGCAACAACAAGCGTCTCTTTCAGATTTTGAGCGCCTTTGGTCGAAGGATATACAGGCAACAAAGAGTGTTATTTGAAAGAGAAAAGTAAAAATAACACCAACACAAACCCATATACAAAATGATCTCAAGGCAGGTATTATCTATAGTTATTAATTTATAATTAAAAAAATAAGACAATAGCTTGCGAACAAGAGCTATTTATAAAAAAGTAAATGAAGTAGGCCTGAAAAAGTACGTACTGTGCTAGCTCCAACCCCAAAAGCTACTATATCGGTAATGGATGTAACCGTAATAGAAACGCCTGCATGTTTAAGCATACATCCAATTTTTTCTTGAACACTTTTGTGTTTTTCTTCTTCCTCCAAAGATTCCCATGCTTGTATTATTACAAACATATCATCTACGCCTATGCCTGATAAGGGGTAGTTATATTAATAAATAAAATATTTTCTTATTATTTTAAGTACCTAATAAAAGGAATGGTAAAACGGAATGAAGCGGACCATAAAATAAACGAATGTATGAGCAAAATCCAAATGATATTCCGATAGCAAGGCCTATACATCCGATTCCACTTAGTGTCACCCAAGCCTGAATCATTTTTGGAAATTTGCATTCTTTAGATTAAAATAGCCATTTGGGCGATTATTCATAGTCAAGCTACACTTACCCTCTGCTCAACTCTATTGAATTTTCCCAAGACTATGCAAACAAAGACAATTACAATCATGTAACCAGCTGCTAGAAGTGAAACATCTCCAGATATGGCACCGCCACCAACATCACCGAATGATCTTGTTGAAAAATAGTAAAGATTCGTTTTCGGTAATTGTGAACCCTTTTCGGCAATATCTAAATAAGATTTTTCCCATGAATCGCCAATTTCATCAACGTCTTGTCCGTTTTTTACAGTAGAGTTAAATTTAATAAAGTAAGTTACTCTAGTAGCTTTTGCTGAGACAATCCTGCCACCCTCCCTATTTATATCACCGAGTAATTTACTGGCCGTAAACGGACTATTATAAACAGGGCTGAAAAAATATTTTATATATTGAGATAATAAAGAAGTAAAAAAAATATTTGACCCCTCGCCTAAGTAATAACAACAAGGTAATAGAATTTTGGTAAAAGACCTAGTTAAAGCAAATAATAATTCACCTGATAGTTATTGTATTAATATCGTTTAAAATTTGTTCTTTAGATAGATTATTAATAATTGATTCATCGAATTTCCATAATTCCAGAATACTATTTGACCAACATTTATCGCCGTTTCTATTAATGAACAGATTAAGAAAACATATATACACATAGTGTATATTATACTTTAGATGAAATTACTTACCTGGCACAAATTGACTGCCAGTTGTATTGATTATCTTTGCGTATAGCCTTAACCTTTTTGTCAAATTTCAACATCTATTAAAGAAATATTCATTTTAATAAATTCATATCTTAAACTTTATTTCTATTATATACATCTTTAATTAATTCTGGTGTTAGAACATCATCGTCATTTTCGAAAATTCCATTGCTAAATCTTATCTATTTAGAATAAAAAAAAAAAGAACATTCGATGATTATGAACAAAATATATAAACAATTTCTCCTACTTTACTAGGGAATTTCTCGTCAACCCATTCCTTATCCAGTTGCGCAATAGATCCTTGCGGTACCCATAGTTTATCAGTTCTATTTTCCTGAATAAGAGTGTTATGATTATTTAATGCTATTATTTAATTCTTTTTTCTTTTCTTTCTTTCTTTTTTTTTACCTGTTTAAGCATTACAACACCAGGAATTATAGCTGCACATAATATTAAATCTATTGCTATAAATGCCCATGGATACCTCGCTACTAAACATCCTAATCTGGAAAATTAGGGATAATAATAGAATGCGAAAATATTCCATTTAAATAAATATTTACTGGTAAAATCCTCTTTCTAGAGAATTAATAATAAAATTACTAATTTTCTTGAAGATTCTACATATGACAAATTCTCCGCAGCTCTTCATAGTTTTACTGGAGTGATCTGACGGCAAGTCACCTTATATACTCTTTTGTGGTCATTATTGAGTTCGATTATTGCTCTAGTTTTCGTTCTAGGCATATAGGCTTAAGTTAGTTTGTTGTGAAATGAAAAAGGAGAGTTGTGATTGGTGCATTTATCAGTGGTGTTTATTGGTCATATTGTAAATGACGTGTTTGTACGCTGGCTACTACACTTGCGTATCCTGTTCCCCATTCAAAATATTTTTGACTGACTCATAGCGGAATATGGTTTTATGAAGGCAAAAGCTCGTATTTCCTTGAAGATAGTAGGAAGCTTTATGCTCTTTTATGCTGTGTTGATTACGAATCCATGGAGATTAAGGTGTCACGTGACCTTAACTGAGAATGGATGAAAACAAAACGTAGCTTCTCAATAAGAAATAACAAATAAAAACTGTCTCGGATAATTTCAGGTATAAATAAAGACATAATGTTATAAATAAAATTGTGATTAATTTCATTGACAATGTAGAATTTGTTCAATGATGTATATTAAAAAGAGATATTGCGTATCACATTCCAATCATTCTTGATGCTAACCATTTCGTATAAATTGTTTCAGGTGTTGCAATTTAGGATGGGAATGAAATAGAAAGGAATGAATTGTGGTGTGCAGTATCAAATAGGTTCGCTCGGTAGCATGAATCGTAGTACAGTTGATACTAATCGATCCAAGTACTCAAAAACAACTGGAAGAAAACGATCGCCTGATTTGTATGCTATAGTTCGCAATCAGAAATTACCACCTTTACCATATTCACCATCTAAAACAAATCCTACTGTTGAGACCCGAAAGATCCCCGATTATTCAAAATCTACAAAACCCTTCTTCGAAGCAGATGAAAGATTTATAACAACCTCTAAGAAATATCCTGACGTTTCGAGGCCTAGACGTGACTCTTTCGATAGCAGAGGTAGCAGTGCTAGAGCAACCAAAAGGTATCTTAGTACTAACTTAATAAATGTAAGCGAACCAAGCAATATTGACCGTCGAAGATCGGATAGTACTGACAGGTTGACATCAATCAAACTGGGCGGAGATACAAATAATAATTACCGCTCGAAAAGCTTCGAGAAAAAAGCTAATGTAAGTATTCACACTTTCTTATTGTTTATAACCTTTTGCGTTTTGCTTAAATCATCAAAAATTCACTTATTATTCATATTTCCAAAATTTTAGAACAATACACCTCGAACAAATAGAAATTGCGGTTTAAAAGGTTTACGAAACCTTGGAAATACAGTAAGCATATCATATTTAATATAGTTAAGAATTAAATCATTAATACTTTCTTATCTAACCCTTATTAAAGTGCTTCATGAACTCGATAATTCAGTGTTTGTCGAATACGAAATTATTAAGAGAATATTGTTTTTACGGCAACTATGAGAATGATATAAACAAAAAAAGTTCTATGAAAGGGAATCTGATTAGAGGTTAGCTTATATTGCCTATTTAGATAATGTTTGTTTATTGAGAGAAATAATCTCTTTTTCTGTTTTTAACAGCATTTTCTGATTTATTGAAACAATTATGGAGTGACAGTAGCGCTTCAATATCCCCTAGAGATTTTAAGGAGCAAATTGGAAAATTTTCTTCTAGGTTCGATGGCTATAGTCAACACGATTCTCAAGAGTTTCTCCTCTACCTCCTCGAAGGATTACATAACGACCTAAATTTGAGTAGAGAGAAAGAGAAACGCTATATAGATAGTAGTGATAACGTTGATAGTACTCCTGCTGCTGAAAAAGCGGAAAAAATGTGGAAATTATATAAAAATTGCGAAAAAAGTAAAATCGTTGATATCTTCGTTGGACAACTGCAGAGTTCCTTGAAATGTGACAAATGCTCATACACTTCAAACACATTTGAGCCCCTGTGGATGCTGCATTTACCCTTAACCGGACAGAGTTCAAAACTTGAAACCTGCTTGTCTCAATTTACAAAGGAAGAGGTGCTAGATAGGGATGAAAAGCCAGTAAGTGCATTCCAATAAATTATAAAAGAAAATATAAATCAAATATGCTAAGCATAACATTAAATTTTAATATTAAAGATGTGTGCGAAATGTAAATGTCGGCAGAAGAGTCATAAGAAATTTTCAATTAGGAGATTCCCCAAAGTATTAATAATTCGTAAGTATAACAAATTTTTTATTGCTTTGTAATCATTGTCTTATTCCGAATAATCGCAATTAATTGTATTCATAACAGAGCTGAAGAGATTCCAACATGGGAGTTATTTAACTTCCAAGTTAAACTCATCAATTAATTATCCCACCAAAGGGTTGAATATGCAAGGACACGCTTCAGACGGTAACTAAGGAGTAACTATCAAAAAAAAGTTAATCATACTAAACCATTGTACAGGTGTTTCTGCGCCAATCTACGATTTATACGCTGTTTCAAATCACTCAGGGTCACCCCAATACGGCCATTATACGGCCGATGCCCTGAATTCGGAAACTGGAACTTGGCACCATTTCAACGACTCTATGTAATTAAAATCAATTGAAACATTTTTTGACAATAGTTATAAAATATTATTTCAACAGAGTATCTACTATCTATGATAGTTCGGTCGTTACGGAGAATGGCTATGTCCTATTTTATGTCAGTCGCGAAAGAACTGAATTATAAATGAAGGAATCTCTCCCAAAAACTCTCCAGAGGAGAAGATTTAAATTATTTATAATATGGAAAGAAAAAAAATGTTCCGTATTCATATTATCACCATATCTATGAAAAGAATCACACAAAAAAAGGAAAAATATTAACTATTTGAGAAAAAAAAACAATATTCATCTTGTGCCAAAAAGGAAAAAAAAAGTATTTTAGCTCTGGAAATGAAGATAACCTTAAGAAAGATATTGTTTGTCAATTAGAAGAAAATATTAATATTATAACCGAAATATTTCATATTTTTTCTCTTTCTCTCTCTATGTTTTGAAAGCGTATGTATCCTTGTTATTTGTTTCCTGAATCTAAAAGCATAATCCTATAATTTTAACAAATCCGTCCATTGTAAAAACAAAAAACAGAAAAAAAAGACAAGCTCCATAAACCAATTCTTTTTTCATTAAAAAATGAATGCTAAATTAAATACAAAAAGCCCAGCTTGTTCTTTTTCGTTAAGCGTTGGAGAAAATAAAAGAGTTTTATAAACCAAAAATGATAAATGATGTCTGAGTAATAAAAACCCATATAAAATAAAAAGTATTATTACATATGTTTTTTTTTTAAAAAACAAATAATAACATAAATAACATAAACCCTCTGAAAGATATTTGTATCCACATAAAGTATATAAATCAGTTTTTTCTTCTTGCTATATTGAATAGGCATAGAGATATCTGTAGTGTTTCTATTTATCTATTCCCAGCCTTCCCAATCTTCATCTGGTTTCTGTATAAGATATTTATTGTTCATTGAATATAATATTAATATTAAAAATTGGTCTTTGTCAGCTCACCTCAGATTTTGAGTCTCTCCTATTATCTGCTACTGTCAGTTTTGCCAATGTTTCTTCGGCTCTCTTCATTTCTTCTTCTGAAACATCTATATCAACCTCCCAATCGTCGTCCAAACTACTGTCACTTTGTTCTATGGTTCGTAAAAGAAAGAGTAAATTTTAGATATTTCCTTTATTTATATATGATAGTACCTTTCTCTTTTCTATCGCTGCCTTTCTCATTGCCGTCCTCATTTGTTTTAACATCATTCGTATCATCAGGTTTGTTCTCTTCGCTCTGTTCTGGTACATTTTCGGGTTGAACACTTTCGGGCACATTTTCTTGGTCCTTGGTCGCATTTTTATATTTAGTACATTCTTCGTTTAGTTTTACAGAGTCGTTACAAAAGTCAATCTCATCTTCTATAGTAACAAATATTATATATAATGACAAAAATGTAATGTTTTCAATAGTATTTATCTATCTACAAAAGATAATTACCATCATCCCATGCAATATCTTTCTCAACTGTGTTATCTGCTCGTCGTTTAAGTTCTTCCCTTCTTCTTTCGTCTCTCTTTAAAAGTTCTAATCGGTAAAAGTACCTAAACGAAAAATCTCATGCTCAAATAGATCAATTCATTTAACTAGATATATACCTCTGCCAAAAAACCGTATGAGGAATTTCAGATGGGACCAGCGAAGTGTACAATGCTCTTACGCCACTTTCATTTACCATTAAGTCAGAGATATCTTTTTTCACCTCATCAATATCGAAAGAATCAAGAAATCTTTCATACTCTGTATCTGTCTCATCTATTGGTTTGATGTATGTATTTTTATCTGATTGAAGAGTAGAAAGTCGGGATTGAGCTTGATCAAATATCACAGGATTATTTTTATCATCTGGATTCAAAGAATCATCAGATTTTAAAGATGATATAAAACTTGAAACACCCTGCTTAACAATCGTAGAGGCTTCTTCTTGCTGTTGAATTAACATTTAGTAAATTTACATTTCTAAAAAAAGATGCTAGCACTCACAGAAATTTTTTCTTTAACTGTTGAAGCTGCCTTTACTGTATCCCTTTGAACAGTAGAAGTAAACTCCTGCAGGTCTGATTTAACGAATTGTAATGCGTCAACAGACTTGAGAAAGTTTAACAGATTATTATAGATTTTTAAAGTCTTGTATCAGATTACTTACTTTATCCTTGGCAGCCTGCAGCCATCCAGACCACCAGCCTCCTGATGATTTGCTAAATCAATTATTATTTAAGTGTTAACATAACAATATCAAAGAATAAGTTTACTTTGATTACTTACTCTGACGCCATATTTGTTTTTGTTTTGTAGTTTCCTAATATAGATGAGTAAACCGCAGTTTCGTATTATAATAGAAGTTGAAGTTGCTTAATTATATTCCAACATTTTTATTTTTTTTCATATATTTTTTGTAGTGGATTTGTTATTTTAAAATTTCCTACGAAATCGACCTTTGACAACAATGTTCTTCCTTTTCGTATATTTTGCCTAGTCCGGCTGGCCGTGAGTAGAAATTTCACATTATAAAAGCTATTTAATTGCAGTTAGCCGTTTATAAGTGTTAGAAGTTGTTCTATATACTAACTAAATTATGCCTTTCAATAAACAGGAGACAAAAGTACACTATGTCTGACGCTGAAGGGTAAGTTAGGACACATATACTAAACAACGTGTGTAAACTGGGCCACCTATTTTTTTTCTCCAGAGATGACACACCTATGCCCACCTCCAATGGAGAATCCATGAACGTTTACACTGCTCTTCAAGAAGTCCTGAAGACCTCTTTGACTGTTGACGGTTTGGCACGTGGCCTTCACGAAAGTGCCAAAGCCTTAGATAAACGTCAAGCACATTTGTGTGTTTTGGCTAACAACTGCGACGAACCGGGATATGTAAAACTCGTTGAAGCTCTCTGCGCCGAACATGGTATAAACCTTTTAAGAGTAAGTATACTCTTCATTAATTAATCACGTTTAGCCCAATAAGGATGATACCAAATGCGCCCTCTTCATAATAAAAGTGATGATTGCATTTACTGATAACGAATGAAATTATTAAACGTTTAGAAAAATTTGAAGTTCTCTAATCGCCATAATAATTACAGGTGGACGACAATAAGAAGCTCGGAGAATGGGCTGGATTATGTAAGATTGATAGAGAAGGAAAAGCTCGTAAAGTTGTTGGTTGTAGCTGCGTTGTTGTTAAGGATTATGGAAAAGAAACTGAGGCGCTTGATGTTATCAATCAATACTTCAGTAAAAATTAATTGTGTCCTTTGATAATGGAAAACAAAATTGTGTAAAATTGTAAACAAAAATTCAAATAATAAATTTTTTGTTCATCAGCTCAAGATTTATTCTCATTAATTGCATCATTTAGCTATTATATAGATTTATGAGAAGAACAAATACCTGGTTGGTTATTATTTTTTCTAGAAAAGTAAAGAATTTAGGCCTATAAGAAACTTTGATAAAAAACAAGCCAATGAACAGTTTACTGTTGCCATGTTTTCCACTCCATTCCATCTGGTGGTTTAACTTCGGTTTTCTCTTTACCAATTTCCTTCCAGTTAGTGGACAAAACTGTTCCTCCTGATTCCTGGAATGATTTCATCATAGCTTTTTTCACTTCATCTGTGCCATCCGAATATATTTTTTGGAAAACTTTGTTCAGTGCTTGGTCACCGTCCAACTTTTCTTCTTCTTCCTCCTTCTTCACTTCATTGGTTAATTTGTCCCAATGATCGTTAGACCTAGTATAATGAGAAGATGATGGGTATTTATGGACATCAAGTTTTTCTTCCTCTCTTTCCAGTTTTCCCCAATGAGCGCCAGATAATTTCTTCGCTTTGATTTCTATCTTAGTTGATAGGCATTTGAGCACGTATTGATCAGGAACAACTTCATGTTTTAACTTGACTTCCCAATGAAGATCATTCCAATCAACGGTCATAGAATTCTCGGTGAAGTTTGTTAAAACTTCCTCCCGCTTTGTCCCCTTTATAAACAGCGAAACAACGACATGGGTTTCGGTTTCGTAAAACTGGTGCTTTACAGCAGGTTTAACTGGTTCGGGAGGAAGTTCCTCAATAACGACACCACTGGACTCTCCAGTCGCCATTTTCAGAATGTTCTAGAAGTAGACTCAATGCGAAAATAGAATGTTGGAAAAACCAGTCTATTCTGACATCTATCGGGGAAGAAAATACCTGTAATATCAACTTTTGTATACACTAGATGACTCTGATAACTGTAAGAATTCCTATTCCTTCCAATGTTTAGTTTTTCATTATCTTATACGTACAATTACAAAACAAAAGTATAAGAATTCTTGAACTAGATTGACAGGATAAAAATTAAAAAGTTCAAGTTCATTATCAAAAATCACAACTTTAAGGTTTACTTATTCGATTGTTAATTCGCATTTATTTAATTTTTTCGCGAATGTGTATTTAATTTCTTAAAACTTCTTGCTAATTCGTTAAAGGAAAATTAAGATTATAAAACTAATTTTATAAGGAAACCGCTTAAGAGAGTTGTATTTGGATTATACCTTCTTTGTCTTGGCTTAGTTCTCAATCGAATATCCTACTTTGTCAACCACTTCTTTGAAAAGAATCTGTATAAAAAACCAGTCTTTTGTGACATCTATTGGAATCATTCGGAACTAAGTGAGAAAAAACACTAGGTGACTCTACCGACTCAATCAATTTGGCGGTTTATGCTACGAGTCGTAGTTGTCTTGCTTGTGTTTTAAATTTTTTATTAGAATATGAGTAATATTTATATTAATGAACCCCCGACCCGAGGAAAGGTTTGTAAGCAAGAGATTTTAAGTTGTATTGAATATATGTGAGCGATATTGCAAGTACTTGTATTATAGGTCCTATTAGTTACAACAGCCGGCGATATTGATGTTGAGTTATGGTCAAAAGAATGTCCAAAAGCATGCAGAAACTTTGTTCAATTATGTATGGAAGGTTATTACAATGATACAATATTCCACCGCATGGTTAAGGACTTCATAGTACAAGGGGGAGATCCTACAGGAACAGGAGAAGGGGGTGATTCAATTTATGGAGAACCTTTCAAAGATGAATTTCATACTCGTTTACGATTCGTTCGACGAGGATTATTAGCAATGGCCAATTCTGGGAAGGATGACAATGGTAGTCAGTTTTTCTTTACTCTTGGAGAAGCTAGAGAATTGAACAATAAACATACAATATTTGGAAAGGTAAAAAGAACAGAAAGTCCTTAAAAATAAATTTAAAAAGCAATACTATTTTCTCTATTTCATCTACAGGTGGCTGGAAATACTATATACAATATGATCAAACTTGGTGATAGTCCGACAGATTCTAACGAACGTCCGTTGAATCCTTATAAGATAATAAAAACAGAGGTAATAAAATTCAATTTCTTTAATTAAAGGAATCATTGCAAAAGACTGAATACATATTCAATAGATACTGTCCAATCCATTCGACGATATAGAGCCTAGGGAAATAGCTAAAAAGTCGGAGAAACAAGAAAAAGTTAAAACTTCCAAATCTAAGGCCACAAAGTTTGTTTATTACTTTTTGAATAATAACAAATAGAATTACTGTAATATTTCTTTTATTTTGAATAGAAATTTTAGTTTACTATCTTTTGGAGAAGAAGCTGAAGAAGATGAAAGGGAAAATGAAGCTTTTACTACGGTAATTAATATACAGTACTTATATTCATTTTGCCTAATTATTTTTAGAATGTATTCTTCTATTCTTAGGAAAATAATTTGAATAAAGATAAAAGTATACACAGTGAAGTTGGTAATACAATTACGGAAAAACTAACAGCTGCAGCAGCTTTTGACGCAGATATAGAAAAAGCTCAAACTCGTAAGAAATTCACGGATAGTGAAGAGGTAAGGCTTTATTTCAAATACCGTCACTAACTATTTTTAACCACGTTCTCTTTAAAAAAAAAAGGATACAGAAGATGAAGAAGAAAGGAAAGCGATGAAAGCTAGAATATCTGAAAAATTGAAGAAAAAAACCGAAATAGACCCTTATGAAGTGAAAAGTAAACCAGGAAAAAAAGATCGAAAACTTAAAAGGGTAAAAGAGCGAAGGGATGAAGAAGAAGAAGAAGAAGAAGAAGAAGACGATGATGACGAATATAATCCTGAAAAGAAAAAAAGATTAAAATTGTAATAAATAGAGTACAATCAGTTAAGATAACTAATTTTATGCTATTTGTCCCTAGGGAACAGATGCGAAAAGAGCAGGAAAAACTAAAAATGGAGATTATTGAAAAGAGAAATTCAGCTTTTAAGAATCAAAATGAAGAATCATCCTCAAGCGAAGAAGGTAAAATTTATACTGTATAATTTTGCGGTTTTACTATGATTCAACTTTTTAACTAATACAATCTCAATAAAATAGAAGTTGATGATGTCGTGAAGGAATACCGACAAAAGAGGCAAAAACAAAGGGAAGAAAGACAATTTGTCAAGAAAGGTTCTGATCGTGAGAAGGAAACTATGAAAATGCTGTCGAAATTTCAGAATAAACTAGAATCTGTAAAGAAGATGAAAACTCTTCTTGGACCAGTAGAGGAGGATAACGAAGAAGATGAATTCCAGTGGATGACACATACTCTAAGTTTCGAAGAGCATAATCGTAAAGTAATTGATGCGAATGTCAAAGAGCTTGATAGATACGAACTCTACGATCCTCGAAATCCTTTAAATGTCCGGCGAAGAAAAGAAGCCGAAGCTGCCGCTAAAGACCACTCCAAATCGCGATCAACTCGTGAAAAACACTAGTGACTTTCGATAGATGGCGCAAAATGTCAAATCTAGGCCGTTTACTTGTATCGATTATACACCATTGACCTTTGTTCATATGACGAAGCTTTTTTTTTGAAATACACAAAAAGCATTTGAGCAGTTTCAAATACTAAGTTTAGATTGAAATAATATAGAAAATACCATAGAAAAGAAGTATATTTAAAATATGTCACCCTCAAAAGAAACGCAAGCAGCTCTGGATTTACAATTACCCACCGGCAGAAAAATGCCTATTTTGGGTTATGGAACATTTCTGGTAAAAGGCTATTCCATCATCTTACGATGATTCTTATTTTATGATTTGTTGTGACTCCACAGGCAAACGATGAAGAAGAATTAAAAGTTGCTCTAAGATCGGCCCTTGATGCGGGTTATAGGAAAATTGATACAGCGCTCATTTATAACAATGAACACGTTATTGGGGAAATTCTTCAAGAGTACTTTCAAAATGGAAAATTGAAGAGAGACGATATATTTGTCACAACAAAACTTTGGCATAATTATATGGAAAGTAAAGAGAGAATTAAGCAAGGAATACAACGTAGTCTAAAGAATTTAAAATTAGATTATGTTGATCTTTATCTTGTTCATCTTCCGATAGGAAGACAAGTAAGTTCATGCAAAGTTCGCCTATTAACTAAAAAAAATAATAGAAACATTTTTCTGTTTTGTTTTGCTCTGTAAAAAGTTTACAACTGAGGACGAGTTAAATCCTATTGATGAGAATGGCAATGGAAAATTCTCCAATGCTGATCTTTGCGAAGTTGTATGGCGTGGTATGGAGAATTTAGTTGATGCTGGCTTAACGAAATCGATTGGAGTATCGAATTTCAATAGTAAACAAATAGAAAGAATTAATAAAGTTGCTAGAATTCCTATAGCCAATAATCAAATAGAAATCCATTCCTTTTTTCAACAATGGGATCTTGTCAAGTTTTGCCAGGATAACGGTATAACCGTAACCGCTTACTCTCCTCTAGCAGCTCCAGGAGCCTCTTTTAGGTAGCGTCTCTATTTCTCTTTGGCATATTTATCAATTACCTCTATTTCTAGGCCACAAGACGCCGATACAAATCCATTAATTTGTCCTATTGTTAAAGAAATTGCCGAGAAATACAAAAAGACTCCAGCGCAAATTCTCTTACGTTCACTACTCGAAAGAAATATTGCTATAATTCCGAAATCAGTTACTCTAAAACGCATCTCTGAAAATCTTGACGTAAGTTTTCTCTTTTTTATTTAAAAAAAAACAAAAAAACAAAACTAAAAGTAAAATAAATAAATAAAGAAAAAGTTAATGTGCGGCCAAATAATTCTTCTTGTGCTTCTTATAGATTTTTGATTTTAAACTCGATGAGGATAGTCGTAAAAAGTTGAAAAGTTTGGATAAAGGATTGCGAATCTTTAAGCAGGATTGGCAGTAAGTTATCCTTGTTTTCTTTTTTAGGTTTTTTTATATAAAGAAATAAAATATAATTTCCGATTAATTTTCGTTACAGGAAAGGAATGGTCGAACATCCTGAATATCCTTTTAATATCCCGTTTTAGTGTGTAGGAGTGTGTTTGTGTTTGTTTATGTGCGTTCAATTCTATAGCAAAATACACGATGAGCTACGGGGAGGCGTTTGACAATTCTTTTCATTTTCATGCTCTTTATCTGTTTTTTCATTTTTATCTTCTTCGATTTTCTGTTGCGGCTGATGATTAATTGTAGGCTTAATTGATGAGTCTGGAGTTTGTCGTAATCTTTCCAATTCGTCGCTTGGCCCCGATTCAAGAGAATTGCGGCTACTAGGTCTAGACTGAGAGGTTGACGTTTGGGCTTTAGGTTCTTTTTTTGGAGATTCTTCATTAGTATCCGCAACAGGTTCCGCTTTAGGTTCATTATATTTACCTAGTTTTTTTAATATAGCCACTTCCATAGCCACTAAACTCTTCTCCTTACACTTGGATAACAAAGGAACAACTTCTGATTTAGCGCCAGACTAATTCGCGGAAAAGATTAGCTTAGAGAACTCTTTACAGATAATAAATCTATACGAGAGAGAGAGAGAGAGAAAGAGAGAGAAAGAATAATACTCACTCTATATGGAACATAAATATCAAGTTGATTGTTTATTAAAAACTCTCCTATCGCGTCTCTGTTATATTCAACGCATAACTCTAGGAGATTTGTATAAGTAGAACCCCCTTTGTCATCCAGATAGACGTGGATTTCATTCAATTCGAAATCGAATTGTTTATCGATTATTTCTTGTACATCTTGTAAACAATCCGATTCAATAGCCTCTCTCAACAGCCGATATGTATAGATCAGATTTGTTTCTAATCCGTATTTGGTTTCTTTCTCAGTTTCAATAAAGGAATCAAAGTGATGAGTAGTATAATGATCCGGTTTTAATCCATTCTGTAGTATATAAATAATAAATAACATTTTAATCTATTATTGATAATTATTCAGTTATTACAATATCCATTTCCATTTCGTCACAATCGCGATTAAGCAATTCGTTGATTATATTCTCACCACCTTTCAAAGCTTGGGCGTAGTGTAGTGCAGTTCGAAAATTCTATTTGGAATAAAAAATTAGAAAAGTGCAGTAGACAATGACACAATCGTTATATACAATTTCTATTTAGAAAGATTTACAGAGAGAGAGAGAGAGAGAGAGAGCAAAACAGAGAGAAAAGTGAATAATATATATTAGGCTTACAAAATCTTTATGCTGACTGCAGGAGGGAAATAGTCTCAGTAAGTATTTAACAATGAAAATCCTTTCATATAAAACTGCAACGTGTATTGCTTGTCTTCCAGATTTATTACGCCACCTTACTGTATCTTCGTCTGATAATTCTTTAACAGCTTTTATATCTCCACTAACGATCGCTTTATGCAATTTATTGGATTTTCTCTATAGGTATATTATATTTTGTTTAGATTTCACTTATAGCAGAAGAGAGCTACTTGCTATTTACCCAAAAATCGGGGAAATCCATTAGAAATTTCAGCACGCCATCTCGTTCATACTTCTTAGCAATACTCATAAGAGATTTACCATTCTCATGTTTAATTGAAAAATGCTCATATCCATCTAAAGCCATACCTTGAAATCTATTAGTCATTTTAAAATATAAATTAATTTAACTAACTACTTTGCTGATAGTTTCAACCTTACTTTTCTAATTCGCCATTTTTCGCCATCTTACAGATATGGCGGTCAATAAATTGTAAATTCTTTTCAATTATTTCTCGTTCTTGATTATGAATTTCTAGGAAAATTCGCTCACGAACTGTATATCTGATGACAATGACAGAAAAACAATGAGAGATTATCGATTATTTAGGGCATTAAAAAGTAAAAAGTAAATGATCATTGACTTACCCTAATTCATCTCTATGAGCTAAACAACGATCGTCTTCGAGAAGTATAGAAGCTACTTCAGGGTCCATATTAGATTTCCAACATTCGTAGAGAATATCGCTGGTTGTCAATGAAGTTTTAGAGAAATCTATATTCTCAAGAACACTTCTTAAAAAGTTTGATGGCAAATTTTCAGACTGATGAAGAATATAGGCAAAAAGTGGTAATTTCGTCCAATCAGGAGTCGTAACTTCTATACCTAAATAGATATGGATTATCTATAAATAAGAATAAAGGAATAAAAAGTAATTAGTAGGGAAACAAACATAAATCTGCTCCTCTTTTAATTAAGAATTTAGCTGCTTCGTAGTTTCCTAAAAATACTAATTCATATAATAAAGGTCTCTCCCGAATATCACTTTCACCGATCGAACTGATATCCTTCGGATTTAAATCAGGTTTATAGTGTTTATACAATTCTCTCATTCTCCTAACATCATTTGCCAGGGCAGCGAATATAAACTCATTACTATGTTTTGATCTACTGAGAATGTGAATTATTTTTGGATTGCCAATTTGTTCGGCCAACTCAAGTAGTGAAACGTCGTCGTGAACAATATTCAAGTTTGACCAATAGGATACCAGTTCCGTTACTTTATCAGCATTCTCTTTAGAAACCGCTTTCCAAATACCAGGATGAAATTGCTTAAGCACCTTTTTCGTTCGTCCATTTGCAATATTCTTAACGTTTCTACTCTCTTCGTGAATGGAAAATGGATCTACTCCGCATCTTAGTAGAGCGTGAGTTATACGTGGATGAACTTCGTTCATTACCGCAACATGAACAACGGTGTTTCCGTCTGCATCTCTGCAATTTAAATCACATCCTGCATATATCAATCGGTAAATACACGACACAACTTCGCCAAGATTATCTTCAGTTATTTCGACATCACATAAGGAATGTAAGAACGTATCTCCGTATTCATTTTTCAAGCAAGGATCTTCACCATCATATATATATTCAGTTATTAAATTAGGTGTGCCAGAGTTAAAATCCTTAATAGCTTTAAATATTTTGCTACTTTTGAACTCACTGTTCATCATTCACGAGCGCTTGTCACTTTCAATCTGGACGACTAAGCGTATGCGTTGCCGTGGTGTATTGAACGGATATTATCGAAAATTATAATGTATGGAAAGGTAAGATTATGACGTCAATAGAAAGTTATTGATGTATTTTACGTATGTAAAATAATTTATTAAAGAAACATTATTATCGTCGGACAAAAAAGAAACATTTTTCAACGAGTCAATGTGTAGTTTATTGTCAGCTAGTCACTTTTTTTTAGTTTTTTTTCCTTTTCTAAACACCAGTACCTGTGGGAAAATGGTTAAATTAGCAATATTAAATACAATTCTATATATATATATATATATATGCTTGTCATAACGATGTCAACTGTTTAAGTGTAAATAGCGACTGTAGAGTATAATCGACCGTATAAAAACAATACCAGCTTTTTGCTCGTTGCCATAATTTATATATTTTATATTTATCAAAGTAAGGCAATTTTCAATTGTAGTAATAAATTATTGGTTAGAAAAGTTCTTTGGTATTCAATAAAGTTTAAAATTGTTGAATTATTTCTATATTTACTTAGAAATTCACTAATTAACCTCTCTGATGCAAAGGCCGACTTATTACTTGTGTTGTATGTATATATGTATACTAAATAAACAAATATATAATCTTCATGTATGGATGATCAATACGAAATTATACATTTTTCATCTTATTACTAACGTCTGAGTAAAAAAAATATTACCTAAATCGTCTTCCGTCCAAATCATTCCAACTTCTTTGGATTATTTACGCTAATGTAGTGGTATAAAACCACTAACATGAAGAGAAGAACTCCCATAACATTTGCGAAGATAGCAAGTTGTACGTCGGTGATCATGTTTGCAAAATTAACGGAATTCCTAAAGAAAGAAGGTTAACAATTAGATAAAAGTACTCTTCTTTTTATATTTAAGTTTAAGCGATATTTTTCAAATAATAACACTCTACCTGATTTATGGAATTAAAGAAAACAAAAAGCCGGATCACACGTAACTCGAATGAACAGACGAAATAAATATGGGCTTCTTTGTAATCGATCACTATTTTTACCAAATCGTACTGTCGATATATAATGAAAACTATAGTGATCGCTTTAAATCGAATAGAACATCCACGTCGATGTTGCCTCGTCCACCATTCAATCGTCGTATTTCCTGTTTAGTGCGCATGTCCAAGAGATACAAATTCTTCAAAAGTAAAGAAAATTTCGGAAAATACCTTCATCTTTTAAATACTCAAAAAGTACTTCTGTGAAAAAAGCTATTAAATCCTTTGAAAGATGAAGGAAAGTAACAGAGTGATACTTATGTACTGTGTATGTTTTGGAATTAGAAAATTTTCTGGCTAACTCTTCATGTTATATAATTCAGTATTAAATGTATAATCGGATTGTACAATTTATGGATAAGTGATCTGTAGTGACGTTGTTATCGAGCGATATAATTCTTATCGATTTATACAAGTTTCAACATTAAACATTCGAAATTTTGACCGGTTTGTTGTTTGAATCATTGGTAATCCGGTAACCGGTTAAATATTTCAACAGCGGAAACGGAAAAATTAGAGCAGACGAAAAATATTACAAAAGAAACCAAATGGCCCAATTTCACAAGAAATGTGGTAGTTTGGTTAAATTAACAGATGACAGACGAACAGCAATTCGTGAGAGATCAGCACATGAATTTAATAACGGGATTGTTTTAAGCGCAGACCCATTGAAAGATGATGCAGTGTTTGAAGTGAAAATCGAAAAAATGGTGTGTTGACTACTCAAACTCTTATTTCCATTCTAAGACTTTTTCTTTATGAGATTATTTATCTAAATAGAAAAGTTATGTAACTCATTTTGCAATCTACTGTTTGATTTATCGAATTCACCAACCGATCTTTGATTTTATCTATAAAAAATATCCCCCAGATCAAATCAGTCTACCAGATGGTTTATTATGCTAAAAAAAACCTATTGCATAAACATAGAACAGTTTTTGAAACTATTTGTCCTTGTAAAAAGAATTTATAGTTTGTAGGCTTTTCTAGAAACAAAACAGCTCTTGAAAAATTCATTACTTCATCAAATCATCTAATATTCAATTTTTGCTTTTGAAAGATTACCTCCTGGAGTGGTTCCATAGAAATTGGTGTCATTTCATCAAATGTAAACAATTTGGAGATTCCAGCCAGCGCAACTGGTTTTACACAAAATTCTTGGATTTTATCAGGAAAGTCACTATTAAAAAATGGTCAAACTTTTAGACATGAATACGGAACAGACTTAGATTCTTTGATGAAAGGAGATAGAATAGGAGTGATGCGTAGTGCTCAAGGAGCTTTGTATTTTTATATAAACGGAGAATGTTTAGGAGAAGCTATCAATTACGTACCGCCTTTTCTTTATGGTGTAGTTGATATTTATGGAAAATGTGTAAAAGTTTCAATCGTCGACGGATTTTCTCAATCAATAGAGCGTTAGCTATGCATATTTTTTATATTATTAAAAATTTAACTGCTAAATTTACAGTTCTATCTAGCCAATTGACAAATGAGGCACTCTGTCGAGCCGCTCAAGATGATTCAAATGAAAAATTAACTTTTCACCAACGATGTGGTAGTCTAATACAATATACAAATGGAAAATTAACTGCTGAGAGGCGGAGAGCGAACGACGAATTCAATAATGGTGTAGTTATGACTAATAGACCTTTGAAAGACAACGAATTGTTTGAGGTTTGAGGACTATTTTTTTAAGATACTCCTTTAATTTCATTTCAATTTATTAGATCCGTATTGATAAATTGGTCAGCAAGTGGTCAGGTTCTATTGAGGTGGGTATCACTACTCATGATCCGTCCCGCCTTGAATTTCCTGCAACAATGACAAACATGAGATCTGGCACAATAATGATGAGTGGCTGCGGCATTTTGGTTAATGGTAAAGGGACTCGTCGAGAATATGGCGATCACAATTTGGATGATCTCAAAGTTGGCGATAGAATTGGTCTTCGTCGAAAACCTTCTGGTGTTCTTCATTACTATATAAATGGTATAGATCAGGGGGAAGCGACCTCTAATATTGCTCCCACTAAGGTTTGGGGAGTAGTCGATTTGTACGGAATGACTGTTAAAGTAACAATAGTTTCGGAGGATTCGTTTGAAATTCCACCAAGGACAAGGTCCGTGCGAACGTTTATTTCACATCCTATACCAACTCGAAAACCAGAGTTGAGACGACAGATAAGAGGAGATACAATCGAAAGATCTGCAAGATTAAACAATTATAATTCAATAATTCGAGATAGTGACTTTGGATATTCCCCACCTTCGAATGGTAGCTATGATATTTCTTTATCCTAATTATAAATAATGTTTTTTTAATAGACCTTTTAGACAATCGCCAAACCGAGTCAACAAACAATGAGAATACGAATCAACAACATATACCTTTGCAATTTCACGAAGTCCACAGCTCTGGAGCTGAACTAGGTATTGACAAACGAATCGCCTGGCGAACGGATTCCTACAATAAGGAGGCTGGCGCAATATTATTTACTAATCGCCAACTTCAGACCGATGAACTATTTGAAATAAAAATAGAAAATATTCAAGAGAAATGGACAGATTGCTTACAAATTGGCGTAACAACAACAAATTTTGATTCTGGTCAATTTGTAGAAAATCTTCTAGATATTACAGAAGAATCTTGGATGTTGACGTCTGCCGGTTTTCATATAAACGGAGAGATGGTCTGGGAAAATTCCGAGTTTATTTCCAACCTACAAATTGGCGATACAATAGGTTTGCTTAGAAAAGAGAATGGTGATTTATCTATCAGTATTTGTTCTGTAAATTGTGGTAAATTTGCATCAAACGTTCCCGAAAATATTTACGGAATTGTTAATGTCAAAGGACAAACAGCCAGACTGCGAATGCTATCAGAATCAGACAATAATGAACAATTGAAATTTCACCATTTGCATGGCAAAAATGCACGCGTCAAACAGAATGGAAAGACAGCTTTCCGACCGAACTCTCTTGGTGAATTTAATAACGCAGTTGTAATAAGTAATAGAACTTTAAGAGACAATGAGATTTTTGAAGTAATTGTGGAAAATATGATGCCAAGATGGTCTGGATCAATTGAAATAGGGATAACAAAAATTCCACCAGAGAATATAGATTTTCCGTCTACTATGACAGAAATCAATCATGATACGTGGATTCTCAGGTACATATATAGATCAAATTTTATCATTATTCTCTTAATTGCCTTTTTATGAATTTTTACAGTGGTTCAAATATAGTAAAGGACGGATCTACAGAGAGGAACGCTTATCCTTTAGATCTTGATAATATCGTACTCAAAGATCGGGTTGGAGTATCTCGAACGTCGTCAGGTGAACTCCATTTCTATTTGAATGGACAGGATATGGGTGCAGCTTTTAAAGATGTTCCGCCAAACGTCTATGCTGTGATAGATTTATATGGCCAATGCTCTCAAGTGACTATGACAAACGAAGATGAAATCATTGAAACTAATACAGATATAGGAAGCCGTTTGGAGAAACAAAAGATGAAACTAGCTTGGCCTATTGAAAAAGAAAATTCAAGAGTGGAGTGTTTCAACGCTAAATGCGGTAATAATATCGCTATGAAGAATAATGGTTCAACTGCTTGCAGGGTACGAGGTTTCAATAATGGTTTAGTTTTCAGCAATTCCCATCTGAAACCAAATAGATTGTTTGAAATAGTAATTGAATCTTATAATTTTGACTATTCCGGTTCAATATCTATTGGTCTAACAACTGATAATTTGAAAAAGGAACTACCAGATAATATATTTGGTTTAAAAAGCGATACTTGGTTCGTCAGCCAATCCAATGTGTACAAAAACAATACAATTATTAAAGAAAATTTCCTACCGTCCCTCTCAAATCTCAACGACTGCTTATTTACTATTGGCATTTATCGAACTGAATTTGGCCAAATGAAAGTTATTTTAAATGGATATGATATGGGAGTTGTTGCCATAGGTCTGCATGAAGTAAGTTTTGTTATTACTTATATTCTATAAATAGGTATATATTAATACTTAAAAAATAATTATCGTACAAAAGGATGTTTACGGAGTGCTCGATTTATATGGGTCTTCCATGGAAGCCTCTTTAGTGAAAACTCTTAATAATTCCGCTTTATTACAATCTCTACCAGAATCTATGCCTGATGAATTTAACGAACTCGATATTGAGTCAAGGGGTAATGATATTGAATTTCATGAAAATGTTGGAAAAAATGCTGAACTGTTTGAAAAAGTGATAGCAAAAAGAGTCAGGTCTTACAATAAAGCTTGCGTTGGCTTTTCTGGACCTGTTGTAAAAGAACAATTATATCAAATCAGTATTAACAAAGTGAGCAAAAATTGGTCATCATCATTAAGTATTGGACTGACAACATGTCCTCTTAAAAAAATTACCTGGCCAGACGACGCCCTTAAATTAAAGCATAATTGTTGGGTAATTCAAGGATCTTGTTTATATAAAAATGGACTAAAAATAAGAAATAAGATTGGGCTAAATCTAGATTTATTAGAAAAAGGGCAGGTAATAGGAATAAAAATTAAAGAAGATAATTGCCTATATTTTTACATTGATGGAATTGAGATCAGTAATATTATTCATAATTTGCCTCCTAATTTGTATCTTTTCGTTGATATGTATGGAAAGTGTGAAGAGATTAGCTTAATTAAAGGCAAGCCAAATGAAACTAAGGAAAAATTGGATAAAAGCAACTGTAACAAAGCCATGAAGAAGATTTTTAATTGTCAATTTTATCAAAAATGCGTTTCGTTAAAGAAATACTTATGCCTACCACAATCTTATTTTCATCAAGCCGACTCTTGCTTTTGTGAAAACTGCTATAGGAAAGACGTCCTTTATAAACTATCTGGTGAACCGGCAAAATCTTATTCTCTACCAGTTGGATGGTGTAGATTTCCTTTAAAAAGTACAACTAACGCTGCAAGGTGGCATGTTGCCTATTATGGCACAAATTTGTCTCTTGTCAGGCGAATTTTAGACGAAGGTGATTTATGTGGAGAAATTGAAGAATTATGTTCCACTCTAAATTTTAACGAAGAAAAAAATAAACCAGAAACAGATAATATCGAACGATATTTCCTATCTCCGTCCATTAATTATGCCACAAATTTCCAGTTTTCCCCACAGAGCGAGTAAGTTATTTTTTATATTATTGAAATTATCATAATATAAGACTAAGTAATTACTTACTTTTTTTCATTATGTTACTCTTCAAAGGTATTACGATGCATCAAATAAAACAAGGAGAATTGTTCAAGTTGCTTTTGAAGTGAGGATCCAACCTTCGTCCTATAGTTCTGGTCCACCTTCTTACAGCTATCCTATTGATTCTTACTTTGCCAATAATGAGATAGAATGGTCGACTAAAGAAAAAGGTGCTGTTATACTAACAGCTTTACTCGTTAAATGTAAATGAACATTTAAGAATCTCAATTGTTTATTATATTCATAAAAAAAGGTCGGAATAAAATTTTAGCCAAAAGATAAGATTTTCTATTATTAGAATTGTCAAATCATTGTAATAGATTGAAGACTTGATTGTTGTACTTCTTGTTCATATTAATTTCAATTAGTAGTTAGTTCTTTATGAATATTTACTGAGATTCTTTTGATAGATTAAAAGAGAAAAGTGAGAATATTCGAATATTTATTACCAGTTTTGTTTTGATCATATAAGCAGACGATATAGCGCAGTTCAATTTTACCACATGGCAAAGCGTGCAGTTCAATTAAGAGAAAAGTTTATTTTCCCGCCTAAGCACGTCGCTCATTATTTTCCATGGCACATGCAGAAAGGTTTAAGGAAGCTGATGAACAGATTGAGGGATGTTGATTGTTTAGTTGAGGTTCATGACGCTAGAATACCATTATCTGGAAGAAATCCAATTTTTAAAGAGACTGCAGAGGTCCGTCCTCATTTACTACTATTAAATAAGATTGATTTAGCGGATATATCTCACAAAGAAATCATTGTTAAGAAATTACAACAAGATGGAGTTAACGAAGTCTTGTTTACAAACTGCAAAAGTGATAGAAACGCTCTAATTAAAGTCATAATAAACTCTCAAATACCCTTAATCTTTCTAAATAAGCCGGTGAAACGTAAAAATTAGACACTTACTTCTTTCAAAATGAAGCTAATTTAGGTGTATTTCTTTTTAAGCACAGATTGATATAAAATAATAATATATTAAAGGAGGGTAAGATTTGAGTTTGTTATGACTTAAGAAACGTATTATACCCACCATCCTACGTCTAATCGATTCAAGATTACGTTATAATAGAACTGAGGAGCAGAATTATAATCTATTGATTACAGGCGTTCCAAATGTTGGGAAATCGTCATTAATTAACACAATGAGAAACGTCTATACTGGGAAATCTGGAAAAGCGACAAGAGTTGGCGCAACTGCAGGAGTAACTAGAAGTGTTCTAGAAAAGATTAAAGTATCGGATTCACCTAAAATATATGTTTTTGATACACCTGGTATCCTCCAACCAAAGCCCAATAATATGGATGCAGCTATGAAATTAGCTTTATGCGGTACATTACAAGATCACATTCTTGGAAGCGAAACAATCGTTGACTATATGCTATTTTGGTTAAATAAGAACGCACTATTTGAATACGTAGACTTCTTTAATTTGCCTTCGCCAACTGACAATGTAATTGAGTTTTTGAGTACTATTGCAATAAAGAAAAATATGATGATTAAAGTAAAATCAGTTGCAACAGGTAAATATGAAATAAAGCCAAACTTCCAACACGTTTCGGAGATGGTTCTAAAAGCGTTTCGAGAAGGAAACTTGGGTAAAATAAATTTAGATAAAGACTTAATAATATCAGCATCATTTTGAACGTTTACAGAAGTATTTAACTTAGCTATAAAAGCAATAATATATAAATAAATAAATATATATATATATATATATATACTGTATATGTTATTCAGAAGGTAATTTTTAATAGAGTTAACTTAATAGAGTTTGTTTATTCTTGTAACATTTTCAAACTTAATTAATGATTAGTCAAAATCTAGTTCAATTTTAACATTCATTATATACTGAATCAACCTCTTCTTCATTCAGTAATGATACTTAACTACCGGTTTTTATAAAGCTATGGTAAAGAACTGTAGCAACGACCTTCAACTTGTACACATGACGAAAAATGACTGATAATCTTTTCTTTTAACGGTCAACATTTAAATTATTATCACAAAAGGAAAGAGGTAATTGATAAACCGAACTTATTAGTATATAGAAACAACACTTAGTTATTATATAATAGAGAATAATTCAATCTTCTTAGCTTGCAAAAATATGATTTTTCAGTTAATAAATATTGTCTAGTTTTTAGCAATGACCACTAGCTTATTAGAAGTAGACCCCGATGCCAAATCTTGGAGTGATTTCAAAGCAAAGAAAACAAAGGCTTTTCCTAAGAATTCCCTTTTCGGTTGCCAATTAGAAATATATGACGAAACAGATAAAAAAAATGTGCAAAATCTAAATTTGGCTAATTATGAAAATACACAAAAAAAGAGATCTAGCCGGAAGAGTTTATCAACTTCCGTAAAGCAACGACTTCCAGGTGAAATAGAATGGAGATGTTTCTTCGAATCTATAATTGCGTGTTTTTTTTGTACTTTCTCATGTTTCATCCATTTTCCTTCTGTTTCTTTGTTTAATATTTTTTTCGTTTCCCTCTACCTAAAAAGGAAAACTATAACTCCTTTATTCTTTCGATAAATGAATATCTTTTTAATATTCTCAATTTATATTAGATCAAAAACTCCTTGAACTTGGAACTAATGCCGTAGAAAAACAATTCAAAGAAACGGAAATAGCTAAAAGTCAATTCGAAGAAGCTAAATTGAAAGCCTTGTGCTTCGATAGGAAGAGCGAAGATCATTTTTCAAAGCATCCTAGAGTTAGTAAAAATCATCAGTGGTATAAAACCGAAGATTTAGCGCACGCTGACGAGGTTAACGCAATAGGATTTGGAAAGAAGAGAAATTTCGATTACGAAAGAGGACTAAAGAAACCAGTTATACATAATTACTCAATCATTGGAGATATTCTTCGCACCGGAATGGATAGTCAACCTGTCGCTAATAATTCAAAATGCTACCAGCTCGGCAATCAACTACCTCCAATTAGAAACAATAGCTCATCAAATGCTGAAACCGTAGATCCTATCTTGTATGAGCCAAGAAATTTTACTGCTGCTAAAAATAGACCTAAAACTAAGGTTATAAATGGTGTTGAATTACCTTTAAATATCATTCATCAATTTGGTACCAAAGTTTGCGAGGAACTACTTAAAGACGAAGGAAGCGTTAAAGATTTATTCGACCAGTACGAATCGGCTAGAAGTCGCCCATCTAGATACGTTACTAGGAGAGATGTTAACAAACCAAAAGATCCTATGAATTTGGAACCAGGTTACGAATCCTTAGGTCAAGCCGTAAGATATAATACTTTTCCAGGCTATAGCAGGGATCAAGAAGTAACGGAAAAGCAAACAAATTACAATTGGCAAGTTTTTGACAATCGAACAGAAATTCCCAATGAATTTAGGGCTCGAAAAGATGAATTAAGTAAGTTTTTCATTCCTATTCAAGTTAAATAACTGCTAACCCTTTAGATAGGGAATTTGGATGTGCAAGCTTATAACTAAGTTAAATGTGTATACGTATACAGCTCGTTGGTCAGAGAAGAGGATTGTAAATGATCGTGTAATGAAAGCATGGAGGCAACGTGACGAAGAGAAAAAATTGAATCAAGCTAATTAAATCAAAAAACAAACAAACAAGTATATCTTCTTTATCTTCTCCTCCTCTTCCTCCTTCAATCAATCCCTACCCGCTTCTGCCAAACGTTATATATCTATAAACTTCTATCAATACATCTATATAAGCGTGCATATCCAAAGAAAGGGTTATTAAACTTGTATTTTTTATATAGATATAATACAATTCATAATTTGATTGTTCATTGATAAATAATCATTAGGCAATTGGCATGAAAACAATTTTATAAAGAGTGATTTATTGAAAAAATGGAATACATATGAAGAAAATAGGCCAAAATATGAGGCAAATTGGAATAGGAATGCCACAGAATTGAGACAAGAGAAGGGAACAAAGGAGAAAAAAATACCAACAAAAGAAAAAAATACAACAAAGAAAACATTTCGAAAACCCACGCAAAAACTGGAAAAAGATGAGATTAATGTTAAAACTCCTCCCTTAACTCCCCCGCAAGCTGCGAAAGATGATAAAATCAAAGTGAAAAAGAATTTTGAAAGGGATGAAGAATTTTGGAAGTTTTACGATCAGCCTATGGGCTAAATATATAAATATTTATAGAAAGCTATAATCTGTCTATAGATATTTTTAGAAAGCGACTAGAAAAAAGATGAAAGACGATAAATTCGCATCAAAATGAATTTTATTTAATAAAAAAAGATAACGTTACAAGATGTGACATTAATTAAATGATCTTTACAGTTTTGTTTGACATTTGCAACATGAGTTTTGTTCTATTTTTATTTTATTTTACTTTAAAATTGATATATTAAGGAAATAGAGAGGACTATTCCTTCATATATATATGCAAAAAACAAAAAAGGAGAGAAGAATTTAAAGGGGGGACAATGTCAAGATAAATTAGGCTTCAAAGAACTTTCGGAACACTTCCAGATCTATGCAATCTGGATTTTCTGGATTAAGTTCTGTTGCCAACTGCAAAAGAATATTTTTTAACTCATTAGTAATGTTAGCAATATTAATGTTTGATATTAACTTACAGCGTTAACAATATCGTCATCACATGGTAAATGATGTTTAATCAGTAGTTCTTTTAAATTCTGTCGGCTGATATAACCAACGCGATTCGTATCTGCTCCAAGGAACATAGCATCCTTTCTACTAGGCGCTGTTATTGCCGTCTTCTGCAGTTGTTGTTTAACTTCACCGGTAATCCTTTGAAGTTCTCCTGGCTCGTAAGTACGCTTTACGTGGATTGGACCTCCTTTTCGCATTTCTCTTTCAGCTCCAGTTTGCCCAAGGGTTTGTCTAAGAGATTGTACTGTTGTTTCTGTTTCGAATTTTAAAAACTATTAAGTAAAGTCTTAATACCAGATGTTATCATCTTACCAGGAAACCGGTTTGGATGTTCTTCCATATATTTAAGAACATATAAATCGGCGTTAGTAATGATAAACCTATGTTTAAAAATCTCTATGCTAGCTCCAATATAGAAATCTGCCGGGCCGTAATACTGTGGGTTGCTAGGTGTAGAGTTTGGCTTCGCTACTCTGCTCCTTTCCAAAAATTTTCCACCTATTATGCCCGAATTTTTCTTGGGTGGTTCGTGAATTGTTATCATATCATCTGCCAATCTATAGGTGATGATAAAGCGTCTAAGTTTATCGTCTGGATTTGGAGTGTCGAGAGACGCCTCAAAACGCAATTGTTTTCCGTCATTCTCCAACATTTTTATAAAATCTTTCTTTGGCTGTTCCGGAACCAGAGATAAGCAAGACTGCATCGAATCTTCTAGAGAGCCAAAACCATTATAAGGTGCAATCTCCATTTTAGGTAGAGGGACACCATTTGGTGATAATTCAACAGGTGTAAAATCTGTTACTCCGAAATTCTTCCAATAAAAGGCTTTGGTAAAGGGATCAACATCATAAATAAAAAATTTACGGTTGAAAATGAGGACTGTTTTTCCTATAGCAAAGTCGCTGGGTGTAAAATAACGTTTAATTTCCTGTTGACTTAGCTCCATAACTATCCCCGGAAAGGTAGATGGAACGTTGTAACGATCAACAGGAACCTTTTGACGTTGAATTAGAACAGGAAAAGGATCTCTTCCGTTATTAGCTGAATGACATTCACGAACTTCCAGTGTATCATCGACAAGATAATACTGATTATAAAAGAAAAAGTATGTTTTAATCATCCTTCTTTAGATATTTATAGATAGTATTACAAATAGTAAATTGCAGTTGGTATACTTACATGAATAACGTATTTATTCATTTCTCCAAACATTGAGTCTCTGTCGTCCCACACGCAGTAGAATCTCAAGACTTTCCTGTCCATTTCCAAGAATTGGCGCAATTTATCAAAATCAGTTGGAGTCTTATAGGTCTTCAAAGCTGCAGACTCTTCTCTATTCTTTAAATAAGGATCCGTTGGACAGTCTTCCGGTGGGTTGACGTTGATTCCTTCCTGGTGGAGGAATCCCCTTGTCCACTGATCACAGTCGTAAATGTGGAAGACTTTACCATAGAATGTAACGTTCATGCCAACGTTCAAATCTTTCCACAGCCAATAATCACCAACGTCATTTTTAGGCAAACGTTGGCGCTTAATTAACTTCCCTTGAGGCATTCCGCTATTCTCTTTTGGTGGTTCAACCACAGCGATACTATCATCTTCCAGATAATAATAAATTTGAACATGACGGACCCTGTAGTGTTCATTGGGTGACTCGTGGACCGTTTGCTTATACCAGCCACTAAAACGTAAAACTTTCTTATCAAAAGCAACGTGAGCGGGTACAAAATCCTCTGGAGGGGCTTGCTTAGCTGGTCCGTAAGTTAAAGTTGGTTTGTATTGAGCCAAATCATCTAATTCCTGTTCAGACAACGTGTTGTATCTTATAGGCTCACCCCCAATTCCAATATTTGGTCTAGAGGCAATCTGATAGCCATTCTTATATCCTAATGAATGTGAAACGTGATAGCGAGATTTCTGTATTTTGAAATTATAATTGATACAATTAATGTAAATTTAAGGAAGGTTTTCACTTTCAAAGTTTAAATACATACAGTCGGATCACAAAAAGTATTTCCTGGTAGGAATGGTAGACCGTCCATTATTATTAGCCAATTATTTAATCAAATTCTTCTGTTTAAAACCAACTGAACGGCTGCTTCTGTTGCTAAAATTCAAAATAACTTGCCGATATACACTGGATGTTGTTTACGCTAGTTGCTATGCACAGTTGCTACGGACAACGTACCGCGAGATCTCATTTAATTTTTTATATTGTGAACGAGATTACTTTGAAGACTCGAAATTAGAAGTTAATATGCAATAGCTTCTTTTTTTTTCCCTATTCGAATTAGTTGAATTCAAACAATCTAATGTATGCTCAAAGTTAGAATTTATTGCATTCTGGTAGGTTTTAATTCAATTAATGTTCGTTTTGTCTGCTTAAATTTTATATATAAAAAAAAGAAAAAGTCTAAAAATTTTCATTTAACCTTGAAAATTTATTGAACTGTTCGAGATATTTTAAATTTAAATGCACAGCTAAGCTTTCTCTTAATATTTTCTATTTGCATTAAATAAGCTAGGTTTGTTGAAGGGACACTTTATTTCTTTAATAATTACTTGCAAAGAAGTCCCGTTACAGGACACTCAACTTTTCGTTAATGGGGAGGGGTGGAGGTATTGTGAATTTACATAAATTAATTGGTCTATAATTCTTTAATTTTAAAAAAAAACTATTTGTTTTATCAACGCAGAGAATTCATTGATTTTTTTTTCGAATGCGACGTCTTTTTCCACAAAAAATGGCGTTTATTTCTGCATAAATTCAAATTGAGATGTCCCATATGGGCAATTATTTTTATAAGTATAATTTTATTATGTAGTTCAATGTATAAAAAAAGAATAGATAACGTTATCAAAAGAAGAAAATATTACAAATAGCTACGTCGTAGAACAAAAAATAGCCATGTTTAAAATTTCTAATTTATCATTGGATACTGTGACCATAAAACGGTGTATAAAAAAAACTTTATCAGTACCCCAGATATAAATAGACAATAAACGAAACACTGTAAATCAGATATATAGCTGTCATATATTAGCATATAATAGCAGACGCTGGGGTGGAAATTAGTATGGTACCGCAATCGGTAATTGTTTTATATGGCTATAAAGGATAACGTAACAGGTTGGTCGCTTCTTCGTGTTCGTGCTCTACGTCTTACAATTCGTATTTTACTAATTACGGTTGAATACTAATTTGTAGGACTCAATTTACTTATTTTATGACGTAATACGTGTAATCGTTGATCGAATGATTAAGGCGCCATCTCTATATTAACCTCTTAAAGGAAGTGGACCAGACAAGACGAGGAAGATACTGTGCAAAATCAAACGTATTTTCTAGCGGTTTCACTACAGCAAAATAACAATTATTTCTGGACTATCGTCTTCTAGAAGATCGTTAAATGTGTATGCTTATATTTAATTCTTATTAAAATCAATTGCAATTATATGTCGCTGCTAGTTATCGTAACAACTTTACTTGCTATCATTCCAGACGGCGTGACGGATTTGTAAAGAAAATATATATATAAAAGAAAAAAAGAACCTGCAGCTTTAGAAATTAGCAAATATTACATTGCTTCATCTCGACAACGAATCTGAATATATAATGTTCATGGAATAATAACAGGTGCGTAAAAGGAGTAATTGTCCTGTATAAGAACTCTTTCCAAGGTAATCGCTTGGAAAATGTCAATTGTTCTTATCGAAAACTATAGTTGCATAATCCAGAGGCACCGACCTTTTTTGTGACAAGTTATGTGTATTAGTAGAGATCTCGTTAAAAGGCACCTATTTTAAGCTGTTCTCTTCTCCTGTTGTTTTCCTCTCGTATGTCGTTCAGTTGTCATGGAAACTTAGAAAATTTAGCGTGTAATGTTTCATTCGTTTGCTACCACTCTCGCAGCACATGCAAATGTCTTACTGCGACTAGCGGATAGATCTTCAAATCTATTCTATACTGCTTTTAACATCAGACTCTTTTTTTTCCCTTAGAAAACCAAGCCATGGCCCAGAACACCTTTAGGTTCCAGTAAGTTTACTTTTAAATAATTGGAAATTTTCATTGATATCTTACTATTCATTATCGTGTTCTTAGGGCCGTAAAATCATACACACCGAATGACATAGATTCTAGATCCGGTTTCATTATAATTAAAAGTGGGGATGTTGTCGAAGTTTACGATAGCAGTAGAGAAGGACATTATTATGGCCATAATTTAACTGAAGGCCAGAAAGGTTTTATTAAAGCTGAACTTGTTGAAAATAACACTATGGTTATGGAAGAACGAAATATTTCATCGCCATTGACAAGAACCTCTACTATTCCTCAGACAAGAAAGACTTTGCCAGGCAAAGAATATGTTAGAAAATATAACGATCCGCTGAATCGACCTGTCTCGGTAAGATCCTCCGATCATTATTCAAACAGACACATTCCACATTCCAAAATGAAGGATTACGCTAGCGTAGACTCTATAGAGGAGCAATATTATGTTGCTATTCCACCAAAGAGAACCGAAAGCTATTCACCATTCTACGTTATCACACCAGTGTTTTGCGATCATTGTAAGTAAATGACAATATTCAATAAAAAACAGTTATCAAATCAAATCAAATTTCCTATACAGGCAGAGATTATATATGGGGTATTAACATTAAAGGTTTCAAATGCAATCGTAAGTGCTATTAAAAAACCTATTTTTTAACGTAAATTAAACTGAATCGTCGTTCTCCAGATTGTGGAACTTTCTATCATCCAGAGTGTCTTGAGTATATTATGGGCAAATTAAGACACAAGTGCATTCAGCAGAAATGCTTTGATGCGACATATGACAGCCCGCAGGTTTGTTTATCCTAAAACTAGAAAAAAGCCAAATATTTCTTATCATTGTTTCTCTATATTACAGCCAATTGAGGTCTGGTCTACAGATCATGTTCTGCAATGGATGGCTGTTTGTAACCTCTATAGATATCAAGAATATTTCAAATCACACAAAATCAGCGGAGCTAATCTTTCCCAAATTGATAAGGATAAATTAGAAGTAAATTTCTAACAGACCCAACCGCTTTCTAATAAAAAAAATCATTTGCAGAAAATGAGAATTTACGATCAATTTATAAGAAACAGTATTCTACTCGCTATTGATAAACTATGCTCAAGGAATTGTTCTATAGAGGAAGGATCGTTACCCCCACCCTTTGAGAAAATGCCGCCTGAAAGGAGATTAAACAGCAGACATACTTTCTACGAGCAAAACTTTTCCGAATTACAACGTTGCCATATCTGTTCTGAATTTTTGTTGGGTATTTTTAAGCAAGGATATTTATGCAGAGGTGGGCAAAGATAGCTGTTGAGTTATTAAATTTCATCTAATACGTTTAAATTACATAGAATGCGGGCTATGTTGCCATAGAACCTGCGCTGCGAATGGTGTTCCAGAATGTTGCGAAGAGAATCGACTTTTACCGCGATCAGAGCCGTTTATTCCAAGTAGATAATATAAAACTCAAATTAATGGTAGTTACAATACTCTATTTATTTTAGATAATCAAACATTTGGCTTCCCTTTGGAAGAAGCCATAGAACTCGGCGAAGAAACACCACAAATCATTCAAGTTTGTACAAAAGAATTGGAAAATCGGAATCCTAATCCAATTAGTATGTGTGAGAGTTATAGAAATAATAAAAGTGAGAGAGAGAAAAGACAAATAAAGGATCTTCGTCGAATCTTTGACTTAGAACCGAATGCTAAATTAGTGAATTTAAAAGATTATACTACATTGACAATTGCATTTATTATAAAATCATATTTGAGGGAATTACCAGATCCCGTTCTTCCGGTATCTTTCTACGAACAATTCGTAACCGCAGCCAGTGAGTACTTTTTCCTTTTTTTTATATGTAAATGCTAATTAATAATACTTACCAATTTAACCAAACCACAGAAATGACTGATAAAAGAGAGATGTTAGAAGAAATTACAGGAATTTTTGAGATGATGCCGCCAAAACATAAATCAACTCTGACTCATATTATGAGGCATATTGTGAAAATATGCATTGAAATTGATCAAACGAATAAGACCGCTGGCTGTGAAAGAATAACTCAAGTCTTTTGTCATGTTCTCCTAAGACCGCCATGGGAGAAAATATTATCTATAGTAAAAAATATGAATTATCACGGTGAGATAATAAGTGCTCTTTTACGAATCGGAGATTGGGCTTTAGACTTGCCTCCAAGATTTCAATGGAGAAAATCCCATAAAACGTATGTCCACTTAAGTTCCTCTATAATGGAACTCTCGAGTACTTCACCACTGTCGGATGAACTATGGTATTGGGGAAATATCTCAAGAGGCGAGGCAGCTAAAATGTTGGAAAACTATCCAGATGGAGCTTTTCTTGTGAGAGATGCTGCAAGTCGGGTTGGAGATTATACTTTAACGGTAAAATGTGACGAAACTGTGAGATTGATTCGTATAGTTCAGGAAAATGGAAAATTTGGATTCTCCCCTCCTTACGAATTTAATTCTGTTAAACAGCTTATTGACAATTATAAAACAACATCTATGGCTAGGCATAACCATAAGTTAGATGTCTTTCTGAAGTATCCTGTTGAAAAGGAAGAGCAAAACTTGATGCAAGAAGAAGAAAAAGATATTTTATATAAATTGCTTGTAAAGCACAACGAATTTCTAGATTTAAATGATCATACAGACCGCATTAATAATGAAATACATGACCTTGAAAATGAAATTGACAGAAAACAGCAAGCTATATCAGCATTTGATCAATCAATTTCCATGTTCCAAAACCAATTCTCAAGTCTATTGAAGAGTTACGAAGCGCAAACAGAGACCAAAAGTGAAAAAGATGAATTTAATTATCAGGAAAGTTTTTTGAAACTTCGAGAAAGAATTGAATCATACGAAAAAATGAAGGATAAATTGAAAATAGAAGCGGAAGAGTCATATAAAAATAAAATGAGAAAAGAAGATAGAATTAATGAACTGAGATCAGCCATAAACCATATAGCATGCAAGCGACATACTGTTGAGTCTTACTTAAGAAATACTTTAGACTATTCTCAAGGAGAAATCGATAGCATAATCTTTCAATTTCGTGAGTATAAAATGAAGTATCCAAGCTGGTCAGTTGAAAAATCAATAGTGCAAACGCTTCGAAAATTCGACCGAAACCGTGAGATGAAGGAACCAAATACTATATATGGCGCGTGTGAAGATAATACCGATTGGGAAACAAAGTACTGGTATGCAGGCAAAATTTCAAGGCCTCAAGCAGAAGAAATACTCAGTGATAAAAGACCTGGAACTTTTTTAATTAGAGATAGAGATACAAATCATGCCTTGACAGTTGTCTACTCATCGGAAACTGAGCCAAGGAAGTTTGGACATTGTCTTATCGAAGAACATCCTGATGGAATTGGTTTTGCGTATCCGTTTAATTTTGCTGATCTATCTGGCCTGGTCGAATATTATCGTCATCATTCTCTTAAAAGAAATAACCCTAGTTTAGATGTTAAGCTCGATTATCCTGCCTTTCTAGGTCGTTGACTGTGCCATAATTTGCTCAAATCGTACATCATTTGATAATTAAACATTACTGCATAGTTTTTTAAGTTTATTCACAATTAACAAACTTTTGACATAAGATACTCAACACACTGTCCGGTAACAACACAATTTTATATACCGACGTCCACTCGAAGTCAGCAACAATGTCCCCTACTAAAAATATTCAAAATTTGTTGCAGTTGTACAGGGCGTTGTCCTGCATCGATGACTGAAACCTACTATATCGCATGTTTAAAGAATATTACTCATTTTTAATTAGCCCTGACAAATCAAACCTTTGCTGAACTGTGTCTTACAGATGAAATGACGACGCAGTTGAAAGCAGTGATTTTTGTTTTTGTAATGCATCAGATCAGTGTTACAGACGTGCGAAGACTTTCTGTAAAGTTGTCCGACACAACTGAAGAGTTGGCGGTTGATACAGATTGTGTAATATACGCAGTAAAGGACAGTTGTTGCTTAACCTACGCACACATACAGTAAACTTTCTAAATATAGGAGTGAAAAAGAAAAGGACTAACTACAAAAAAATATACGTACATTAAATTGCCTGTATCAACTGGCTCCAGCCTTTCACTGCTTAAACCGATATTTTTCTGAGAAAGTTTATATCTCTTTTATCGGCTTCTACTTCGAGAACGGTAACGACGTCTAGGTGATCTCGATCTAAAAAATCAAACATATATTTGGGCCTAAAAGGATTTATAAAAATATGCTTCGGAAACCTTGATCGTGACCGTCTGTAATACCTTGGCGGAGTCGAGCGCTTATCATAGCCTCGATATCTCCCTCGATCATTTCTTGCACGACCACTGGACATTTCTACTTTGACTCGTCTTCCATTCATACGTCTACAAAGTTAGATTTAATTAATATATCAGTAATAATCTCAAATACTAACGTTCCGTCTAAAGCTCTGCAAGCGTCTAGGGCATCTCTAGGATCAGCAAATTCTACAAAGGCAAAGCCGGGCGGTCTTCTCGCAATCCATACGTTCCGTAATTCTCCATAACGACTAAACGCATCTTCTATTTCTTCTTTCTCTGCCCCATCACCAAGGTCCCCAATATAAACCTTACAATCCAGGCGCCACTCTCTTGTCGCCATCTGTACCGATTTTGCAGTATATGTCGGCTAAAAATCAAATAATAAAAATTTCTCGGTTACAATGCTAAAATGGCGGACCGGTATTTTTTGAGCGTATACAATTTGCTACGCGGAGGACTGAAAAAATAGTCCGTCTATCGGTTTCCTCTCCGCCGCCAGAATATTTCGCAAAGGGCGATAATAACAAACAACAAGTTGATTATTGGCGATCATAGGTATATGATATCAAGGCATTTCTGCAAGATAATGCCTTTACTAATGACTTTAAATTGATATTAATCATTATCCTATTTTGTTATTTTTATGACATTTTGTTATTGCTATTAGACCATGGCAAAAACTCATAAACGAAATTTAATTTTGTTTGCTATCTCTTTAATGTTCATTGCACTCTTTTTTTATGTTTGTCGTCCTTCATTAAAAGATCCGGATTCTCTTATGCCGCGAATAGAAGATTACGATTGGTCTAGACAAGAAGATACACCTAAAGTATCTCTAACAACGGGGAAATTTCAATGAAAACTACTTAAAAATACTTGACAATCGCTTAGAAAACCCCTATTTATAATCATTCCAAAAAATATATATAAGGTGTGTATATTATTGATGTAATTCATAGAATTTAATGACAGACACTTCTATGGAATCAAATACTGAATATTTATGTTACTAAAGCAATACTTTCTACAAGTTTTATAGATAAGTGACCTATAAACCTTATGTGCGTTCAAAAAAAGTGATGAAATTTTATCTTAAATATAAAAATTGTTTAAAAATAGGTGACAACCTTAAAATTCTCATTTTCGTCTAGTAATATTAATAAAAGTATATCATCTAAATTTGGTACGTATAGCGGTTGTTGAACTCAACTTAGATAACGTTTACCTAGATTACGTAAACATCATTAATATTGTCTGTGCGTAAAAAATAGAAACAAAAAACAAAGTTATCAACTTTACGGCGGAAAAAGTTAGAGTAAAAACTTGTTTTGAAATTGTAAATATGCCAAATAGAAGGACAAATTATAATTCTATATATATACTGTATATATATATGTATATATTTGGTTTATTTATAGACAGACATTATATATATATATATATATATATATATATATATACCAGCTTGAATAATTTAAATATAACGCTAATTATTTTCCTTTTATATGAAAATGTATTCTCCAATATCAGAATGAAAACTTCTAAAAATAACTTGGAGGGCGAAGTGCTTTCTTGCGAAGAGAGTTTATATGTGTAAGGCACTATAGACAAATAATTCTTCTATATAACGTTTAATAGACTATATTTATACCCTTTTACTCTTTCCCCTCCCTCAATCTCCTCCCTCTCTTGTTCGCAGTATTTGCGTTAGTTTTATCAAAGAAATCAAGCAATCATAATGAGGGAGAGAGAGAGATAGGTAGATAAATACATAGTATATAACATGTTCTACGGGAGAAGATCAATCTGTTGATAAAATTGCACATTAAGCCTATATATTTTTGTAAAAAAATCGATTTAAGTTAGATTATCAGTTCGCTTGACCGCACAACGTCCCCTTGATACACACATTAAAAAAAATTGTACTCTTTTTTGGCAATTCACCACTCTATTCCGCCTTCCAGTTAAAGAAGAAAGAAATAATCTTCTTTATGATATGTTTTTATGAGACGTAGAATATTCTTGCATGATAATTGTGAAAAAAAAACGATTAACTTGATCATAAACAAAATTTCTAAAGGTTTTCTTCGATTCATAGTAAGACAAAAAATAGAGAAGAGAAATAGGTTTATAAGTATATCTATATATCTATAAATAGCAACTATTTAGCAAATTTATAAGGTTTATTATTAAAAAAAATGCTGGAAAAGAGAATTTTGATTATATCTTTCATATTCTAATAACATTTACTGTGCCTCGATAGATAAAAAGAGTACAAAGGCTAATCGAAATATACTCGATTTTCTTACAAAATACCTTTCATATATTCTATCTATAAATGTCTCTTTTCTCTCAAGTTAAATATTAAATAGTATACATTGGAGGGAAAAATTGATAGATAAATAGATTGATAGATAGTTAGATAGGTAACAAGAGAGAAGAAGGGACGAATGAACAAGATAGACGAAAAGATAATGCAATATATCTCGACGTATTTTATTGATTAGCGAAAAATATAATGAACGTGTCTGCTAGACATTGTATTGTTCATGTATAGAAAAAGAAAAGCTTTAAACTTACAACAGCTTATCGATATCATCGATTAGATTTCCGGTTTCCTTTTTTAGACAAAGTAAACAAACAGCTCAAGAAAATGTTATTACACGGACAATTTTAGGTTATTTTCTATAAAAATATTAATAATATTCTCCTTTATTCTTAGTTATATAGAATTCTTTTATCAAGGAAAGAAGCATTTAAGAATAAGATAGTTAAACATACATAGGACTATTGAAAGAGATATCGATGTCAATTATGGGTCATAAACAAAGAATAGCTCTCTTGCACGTTTAGGTTTTAACGGGGACAAGGTTAGAACTATATATCTTTTGATTTTAGAATATTCCAGAATAATTTGTATCGTTTCGTGGCTTTCCTTCAGACTGATTGAAATATTACTCACTTATTTCGTCATCGTTAAGGAGAACGAATAAAAAAAATATAAAAAAAACAACTAGCCTATACTCTGTGTATTACGTGTAATTGCCAAAATATTTATAAGATAAGCCTCTTTTTTTGGTATTGAGATTAAAATTAAGTCAACATTAACTCTTTTTTTTTTCTAGAACAGAAATTGTTATTCTCTTCTATTTAATACGATTATTGAATTTTATAATATAATACTGTTTTTCACGTATCTCTATACATTGACTACTTTATATTATGTAACGAATTGGTCAGTCTATTTAAAGAGTTTTCAAATTTAGCTTCCGCTTCCAAAATTTTATTTTGTAGGTTTTCAGTATCTTTCGTTCTATAGTTGGCGGGATATTGAATATATTTGCAGGAGGAGTGCCAGATATTAGGCTGAATTCTTATATGATCCGCCTGTTTCCTGTTTACCCAGTTGGAACTGGGTGGCCTATAGTACGTGACAGATCTGAATGTGTCGCTAGACATGTTGACTTCCCTAGTAGGGGGTTTACAGATCTTTTGAGCACAACATTTACAAGGTATATCTTCCAGTTCTGATAGATTTAGATATTCTCTAGCAACACGGTAAACTTGCAAATCTCGGTCAGTAGATAGATTATTTATATGACGGTCTGTCTTTTTTCTCTTGGAATCGTTTAAGACTTTTAATCTCCGAGTATCAAGGGAAACTGCTGATGGAAGCTGGAAAATGTTAAATTTCTTATATCTAAACAGGTCATAGTTAAAGGTATAAGCTCACCATATCTGATATCGCTTTGCGTGGCGTGTTTTTTAAAACACCGAGGTCATTCGATTGTCGACACTACAGAAAATTGGCAACCTTACAAAATTAGTCCTAGTCTCTATTGATATGAATTTGTTGAATAATAATCGTGTTATTAATCACTAGGAAATAAACAAAGATTCAACGCTTTATGTTACTGAAACAAACCAAATTTATTTGTCAAAACTTTTAGTAGAGAAACAATCGGTCAAGGAACCATTGTATACAGACAAATTACAGTTTAAAAACGTTAAGAAATTTATCATCAGGAAATACACAAAAAAGCTATTTAAGGAGATAAATTCATTTTTCCATATTTTTCCAAAAGATTTCCAGCCCTACTCAATAATTTCAAAATGTTGTCGAAAAAAAACAAAGGAATGTAGCTAAATAATTTTCAGCGGCGAGATGTTAACAAACCATTTTTTTAGAACACAGGAAAAATATATATATATATATAGTTTAGCCCAACGAACTTGCCAATCACTTATGTTAACTCAAATTTACAAAAATAAGTTTAAGAGGCAAATTCGATGTCACACTTTACAGTTAGCACCTTCGCACCAAACACGGCAACCTGTCATTTAACGTTTTTGTTTTCAAGTGAAACATCTCACAATCGAGTAGAAGCACAGTACATAAAATCATTCGATATACGAGTACATTATTCAAAATGTACCAAAATGCAAGATTCCCAGTGCACACTCATCCGCACACTCATACAATCAAGTTCAACACAAACAGGTCATTTGGACCGGTGAGCAATAACCACAAATTCATTTAACGCCATCCATTGTTCAAGCAAGCTCAATGTACGGCTTTTTTTTAACTCATAAGCATAAATCAATAATGAAATAACAGAGGACGGACATCGTTTACGCGTGTACACACAAATGAAATGGGACATCAACATATATCTATAAAACTATCATCAGTTGCGATTCTCAAAAATCAGAACACGTGCACGAAAGCCAATCTACAGTTACAGCGATCGCATATGATCAACATGAAGGGAACTAGAAAGCTAGAAACAGAAGCTGTAAAATATGAAGCACAATTGTACCATACTAATTCATTACACGTATTAAAGCTAAAGACAGAAGGCCTTCAACTAATTTTAAATATGACGGAGTGATTTCAGTTCGTCAACGATGTAACCAAAAAAATAATCGCACCACTCCGTTATCTGGGATTTTTATAACTTCTGCATAATCGTTTCACATCCGTCTACCAGGATTCCGAAATTGATGAACAGATGCGAGAAATACCGGAAAATGATTAGTTGTTATATATGGCGAAATGCAGGAGATATTCTCCAATGACGAGATGCTTAAAATGGCAACAAACGACAAGACAAGATGAAGAAATGAATGTAGAAAAAGAATTACTGTGCTTGCAGTCATTTTTATTCAGAATCGCGCCGAAGGCACTTTCAGTAGAGGTGGAGAAGGGCGTAAAGTACAGGTGGATGATACTGAACAACCGCTGTCTCCTTCAGATTCCAAGCGATCTCTTCTTTTGTTGTATTTTTCAATCATTACATAGCCTTGTTCATCTACGGGAGTTCCGTCACTTTCTTCTTCAATGACAAAAACTTTTAGCTCTACCTCATCTCCCTCTTCTTCGTCACTAATCCCCAAACTTCCCATACCCATATCCATGTCTTCCATTTCAAACATCCCTAAATCAGCGTCACTATATTCACAATTATTATTTTTCTTTTCCACGTCGTTCGAAAATGTGGATATATGTGTCGTGGTTAGTGACATTGAATAATGATGCCACATCATACGATTTGCTGCCATTGCATTCTCAGCAAAGAATTCCAATTGATTAATTGAATTGTTTCGTTGCAGAACATGTGGAGTCTGCAATTGTTTGACTGGTGCAACTTTTGATGCAATCCACGGATGGTCCAATACATCTTTCGCAGTATAACGACGATGTGGGTCCCTTACAAGGAGATGAGAAATCAGATCCTTTGCTTCTTGTGATACAGTACACCAGTCTTCATGAGGAAATTTAAAGTGACCTCCTTGAATACTTTTGAATAATTCAGATTGACAAGTAGGGCATGCTAAACCTTTCTCCCAGCCACAGTCATTCTTACCGCAGCTTGAAGCATAAAACGGCGGGTACCCGCACAGCATGATATACAGTATAATTCCTAAACTCCATAAATCACAGCGTTTATCGTAACTCCAGGCATTCTCTACCCAAACATCAACCACCTCCGGTGCCATAAACTCAGCTGAACCAACTGGTGTTTGTAATTCAGGAGTCATACACCCATCTTCTACGTCTTCATTTGTTGTTCCTCCACGAGCTAAAACACCGGAACCGAGATCAAAATCACAGATTCTCACAGGTACCAATTGACCTCGGCGCTCGCATAAAATATTTTCTGGTTTCAAGTCCCGATGAGCGATTCCCTTGCGATGTAGAAAATCCAAGGCTCTTGCAATATCAGAAACTACGGCTGACGCTTCAGCTTCGGTTAAAGTTCCGCGAGCCTCAATTGTTTCCAATAGTGTTCCCCCTTCCATTTTATCGAATACTAAATAAAAGCGATCGCTCTCCTCAAAATATTCAATCATTTGCAATATATTTTCGTGATTCTTGCAAGTTTGAAAAATTTCTATCTCTTTCAAGACCTTACTTCTTGAGCGTCCTGCCTTTTCCACAATCTAATGAAAGAAAAAAATAGGTTATCATAACTGCGCAGTAAAACTTGTGTAACTGTTGTCTGCAGCTTAAGTAGGTCAGTCACGTGTTATGAGAAAATCCAATATTTCTCTATTTAATTTGATGTAAAACATACCTTAACAGCATACTCCTTGTTGTTCGTTGTATTTTTGTATGTCTGAACGCTTCCAAACGAACCTTCTCCTAAATTCTCACCAGTAGCTTCATACAGATCTGTAAGAATGAAATAACTTGTGGTAAAGAATGTTATCAAATTTTGTTTTCGACCAAGATATAGGTCGCTTTCATAAAGCCTATATGTACCGCAGGCATTGACTATCTGACAGTGCAATAATTTATCAACCTAAAAAATAACAGTTAGCCAACAACGCCGCATTTCACTTTAGAGGGAGCAACCACGATTGGGCCTTTAAGTCATGTGATGTTATTTACTATATAGATTGGCATAAATTAACCCATTTTTGGCTTTCTGCTTAAAAGTAGGCGCTTGAAGGTTACATTACGAATTACGTAATAAAATATAACGTAATTTACTTAATTGCGTCTCGCACGAAACAGATTTTTATTTCCGGCAAATTCTTTCTTAACGTTATGTGATTAGATGTTTATCAGATATTTGTGTTTAATAAATCCGACATCCATTGTTAAAATGTAAAATCTGTTGCTTCACATAAACATTTTACATAATCTTCATTATTCATGACTAACTGAAAAGACCCTGGATATTATACAACATATGTTCATATCCAAAAAAAATTTGTCAATACTTTAACGATTTCCTGAAGGAGTTCACCTAAGGTTCATATACCAAAATCAATAAGTTTATGTACCCTTTGCATTATCAATTTTTACACCCCACGTCTGGGTTGTTACAGGGTCATGTTTGCACAGTTAGTGTTTACCTTTTAAAACACTTTGAGATAATCGATATAAAAAGTTGACGTCAGCCTACTAATTCTTACCTTTAAATTTCTTGTACATGCTTTCAGAAGCCCTTCGTCTACGTCGTTTTCTTTGGCTGTTCTTTTGCAACGACTCGTTGTTCTCCTTGTCCCTTACACGGTTGTTATTTACTTCTTGTGGACTTTGAACGGTTCCGTCTAATATCATTTGGTTCGTCACGTTCAGGAGTAAACTGTTCGGGCGAGGTGGCGAGCCTGACTGATCCATCTGTAAAGCAATATGCATTTAATTATAGAAATGCATTTAATCCATATCGGGTAAGTTAAATGGTAACCAGAAAGAGGGCAACATGAGGTGGAGCCACAGAACGTTATGAAATAACTGGAAATAACCAGAAATTCTAACAGTTACAGCACAGAGGGTAAGTCATGTTTTTTTAGTGTATACATTTACTTTACAATATTATATTGAGCTAACTTATTCCGCTTAAAAAATTAGTCCTACCTTTGACTTTTTCGTATCACTGTAAACCATTCTTTCTCAGTTGTTTATACCGCAACTTTTCTTTCTGCTAATTTATATACCACTATGTATTCGACTTCTGACTATCTAGCTCAGCACAAAAACCAACAAAAAAATTTGACCCTCAGCTACAAACACATTTCTTATTCACTACTCGACACAGCCAACGCCACGGAACGATCTTACACCAATACGACTCAACCTCTTGTTTATATATGCTTTAACGTCACGTGACAGATTCACCAGAATGTTCTAACCAATCAGCGATTAGCGTCGTGGCCTCATTTGTAGGCTTAGATATTAAAATCAATAATTTCATCATATTTCGATTGATTGTGATACAATCTTCAACGCTGTTTAAAAGACACTTGGAACTAAATATTGTGACTCACTTTTGACACAAAGAATTGTACGCGTCCAGTTGAAATGACGTGGAGTCTATTTATAGGACGGAATTTCCCACAGTCAGTTTTCAAAGCTTTCGATGAAAAACACAAAGGGGCAATATTTTGCATTTTACTTTCCTCAAAGTAAACTATATATCAACCATGTAAACGTATTGTTTCAAAGATAACTGACTTTTACAAACAACTAGGCAAAATAAACTAACAATTAATAAATAAAAGCAAGCCGAGAACTAATTTTTTTAATATATATGTGATTGAATGGACAAAGGACAAAAATTAACAATTGACATTTTATTTATTGAGAAGATAATTGCATAATGCAAAATAGATCGAAATAAACTTACGTTTTTGCCCTTTTTTTGATAGTACAGATCAGCGGCTTCTCCACATACACCGTTCGCGTTCCGTTCTTCTCCGTTCTTGCTAATTTATGTCGTCACGTGATTGACCTTGTATTATATTCTACTCGTATATCTTTATAAATTACAAATTATGATATTTTAAGTACAATAAGCGTAAACGAAAATTACGAAAATTATTATTAATTTAAAGAAGTCTAGGAGTTTATTATTGGTTAGTTAAGTGGCCATCTTGTATGGGCGATATTATGATAGTATACTGGCTGAGTGTAATATATTGAAAATCATTTCATTAGTAATATTATTATTAAGAATTTCATCTACCAAATGGAGGCAGTAATTGCTCCTGAAGGTTTGAGATCTATATTTTCCTCCAAGTAGAAAGTTTTTGAGACGGTGCCTGATTTATTTCTCTTTCAGATCACGAAACAAGAACCATTATTGACAAGTTGGCATCTTTTGTTGCTCGAAATGGCCCTGAGTTTGAGCAAATGACAAAAGAGAAACAGCGTGAAAATTCAAAATTTCAGTTTTTATTTGGAGGCGAGCATTATCAATATTACCAATTCAGAGTAAACGTCGAAAGAGCTAGTGAGTTTTTGAGCCAATATGATTAATTAAATAGTAATTAATATCCTTGAAGCAGTTCTAAAAAATTCTATATCCCACGCTCAACCTAACTGGCAACAACCGAACATCCTAAATCAGCAAGTTGGCTCATTACAAGAACAAATTCATCAAATGGAAGAGAAACATTTAGAAAAAATAAAAGAAAGTGAACACAACTTGCATGCACAATATCAGAGTTTAACTCAGCAACAACAGGTTAATTTCACTCTCAGCCAAATAATGCATATTAATTGAGTGTTTCCTTTCTATAGCTTCAAATCGTCGAACTTATAGAAAAATCGGAAGCTGATCAATTGAGGGGACGTTGTGAACAATGCGGGTAAATATCAAAAAATTACTTTAGTTCATTTTTAAACTATGTATTTAGTTTGTCTTTATAATAACTTATATGAGATGGCTAAAAGTTCTGGTTGCCTTACAGTATAAATGCGAATGATATAGACAGTGTCCTGGAACCTCTCATACGTTCTTGCTCCAAGGATAATATTTCAGTAAGAATATGGGCAACAATACAATATATTTTTTTTATATCATTGTATACTACATTTCTGTCAAGATACAAAAATCTTAAAACAGATAATTCTGATAGATATTGTTGTCAATTTTTAAAACACATTTTCGTATACTAAGAGCTTGATTTTAGTTTTTAGAAAATAATATTTTTTTAATTATTGTATACTACTTCTTGATAATTTTCAGAACGGGAAAAATTGGGTATTAGCCAACACTAAATCCTACGCACATGCAAAGTGTATATTGGATCACCTTCTTAGAAGGTTTAGACTAAATGTTTATTATTATTCAAAGTTATTTTAACATTCTTATCTATAGGATAATGAACAAACAAGCAACGTTCGAATGCCGTTTACATTTGATTTATTTAATGAATGACTTATTGCATAGTTGGTAGGTGATAATTAGGTTTTTTTATCAAGTGTAGATAATTACAGCCCTTTCTATTTAAATTAAATTTAGTTTTAAGAAAAATCCGGAAAATTCCGAACATATAAAGTCAGCAATTCAGTCAGTACTTGTACCCGCTTTCTGTACTACCTTTCTGTCATGTTCTAATGATGAACAAAAAATGAAGCTAACTAAGGTATGAAAAGCTATAACAAAGTTTTTTTCGTTTGTTCAATTACACTTAATTCTATAGTTGTTAACTATCTGGAGAAACAATAATTACTTTGATATTGGATTCTTGGATGTAAGTATTAATTTTTGGATTTATAATTTTCTGTAAAAACTATTATCACCGATCAGCAATTAAACGAACCGCAGCAGGCCATTACAGGATATCAAGTAAAGTCTACTTATATATTTTATATCTTTAAATCATCTATCTCTGTTAATACTGATTTTTTCTCTTATAGACATCTTTGATGACAAGACACAATGATATTGTGAATACAGTCAGCCAAACTATCAATGAACAGTATAGTAAATTACAAAGTCAACACCAACAGTACGCTGAACACTTAAAAAATCAGTTGCAAGTGAGTTAAATCAATTTCTGATACAACAATGATATTTCATTCCTACAATGATGACAGACAAAGCGAAACGAATTGGAACACCTACAATTAGAGTTAACTCAACAGCAGCAACAAAATATACCTCAGGTTTCTGTGCCGATGAGCATTGCTCATTCGCAGGTTGTGAATTGTGAATTTATGTTCTAAAATTTTAATAGTAGAAAATACCTTTTCTTCATTATAGCCGCCGCCTCTTCCAGTTATGCACAATCAGCCAAATTTGAGTATACCGCCACCACAGTTTGGTATAAATCAACCTCCTGCGAATATCATACAACCAGATTTCAATCAGCCGCTTCCAAATTATGTAGGACCACCTAGTTTTAACCCATCCCTTCCCTCACAAGCGTCAATAAAGCCAGCAACCGCTTTTGATTATCAACATGGTTAGCAACTCATTTATAACCTTTATATATATTATACTTTTATATAGTATAAAAGTAAGATTATCTCCCAAAAGGTGCAAACCGCACAAAGGCACCCTTGATTCAAGATTATCATCATGGCCAAACACCTGTTGGGCCACAAGCTGCTCTACCCGCAATTGAACTACCTGACCTTAGCAAACCACCACCAGGATTTCCAAGTATACCTCAAAATCCAGGTAAGATAAAAATATAATAGATTTTTTTAATATATCTCTTTCTTAGTAGGTCCTAAGACTGCAGCTGCCGCACCACCACCATTCGGTCCTGATTCAGCACTGATTCCAACTGTTCCCTATCATGAGTTGCCAGCTGGCCTTATGGTACCGTTAATACAGGTTAGAGTCACTCGATTGAGTTTGTGATTATTTATTAATTGTGGTTAAACACTGTACAGTTGGAAGACAGTGAATATAGCCCTTTAGACCCATCAGCTATTAGATTACCACCACCTGTACCTCCAAGTGAAAAGTTAATAGCTGCTATAGAAGCTTATTACGCTCCTCCTAACCACGATAAACCTCGGGATAGGTAAAAAAAATGGAAAAAAAATGAACTCTACTTACATCTATATAAACACACCTTTTCAGTGATGGATGGGAAAAGTTAGGCCTTTACGAATTTTACAAGTCAAAGAAAAATGCCCGAGAGGCTCAGGGTTTTGACGTTTCATCAAATGGTCAGCGCTCAAATTCACATTCACCAAAAAGGTTAAGATATAGATCCAGATCTCGCACTCCCAAACATCGATTCAGATCTCCCACACGCAGTAGGACATCTTCAGAATCTCCAGAATATGTGAAGTCAAGATCTCGGTCTCCTGCTGCAAAGAGATCTAGAAGTCGAAGCGTTACGCCTCCGTGGTAAGTCAACGACCTCTTTATCTTCTATCATTCAGTTCAAACTTGATGCTTTCCAGGAAAGTAGCAGTTAGCTCAGCATCTGCGGATCGTCGGCTGGAGGATAACAATCGTGGTTTCAATCTGATGAGAAAGATGGGCTGGTCTGGAGAACGGGGGCTTGGTGTCTCAGAACAAGGTATCACAGATCCCTTAGAAGGTGGCGAAGTCAGGGATAGAAATGATTTATATAAAGGTAGTAAAACTTTATGAAATCAAGTGGGTTTTCTTAAAATGCATATCTATTTTAGGGGTTGGCGTCCCGACTCGTTCGTCAGATCCTTTTGAAGCTTTTCGAAAAAACCGTAGTAGTAGATATTCACAAAGCTTCAAGGAAAAACGTGCAGCAAGAAAAGCAGAGACTGGTATGGACTAATATACCAAAAAAAACTATTAATTTCTTATTGTATTCGTTCCAAGAACAAATTTTAGTTTGAATAAAAAATTATTACATTTGTTTCTTGATTAATCGTAATGTCCTAGTTTTCGAATATTCAAACGTCTAAGTACGTATACTTAATTGAACATGAGGATTTTATAAGGTGTTACAGTAATCAACGTTCTTTGTCATTTTCGCGTCTGCACGACTAACAAGGATTATAAGAAATTCTCATTACAGAATTCAGAAAAAAATGATATATAAATTTATAGTGCAATATCTAAAACTTTATTGTAATAAATCGGAATTATTATCAGGCATTAATTATCAATTTTTTAGACTAATATTTTTTCCGGAAGTTATAATCATCTGCAGAGAATTTTATGGAGAAAACTTTACAAATTTCATGGCTTGTATGATACTCCCTATCCGGGATAATAAGTTGATAATGTCTATTTTTATGTTTACAGTAGTGTAAAACTTATTTAATATGCCACAGTATGAAGCAAAAGACAAGTGAATTGAAAAATAAATTAGAACTATATTTTTCATAAAAGTAGGTCGCGTTCGAATTTCATGTCTTCGCGCCAACGGAAGGAACATTTCAATTCTTTTATTCGAAGTGGCCTCCGGTTCTATTGTTAATCTTTTCGCCATCCTTTTTAATCCTGATAGTGAGTTCTTTAAAAAATATAAATGTACAATTTATTTGACTCAATAAGTAATATGATCCAAATATTTTAGCTTTTCACGCAACTGAATCTTCTAAACTTAAAAGTTCCACGTTACGTTTGAAAGTTAGAAGTTTCTGGGTGGGATAATTTATTAATCGCTAACGTTACGTAATTAGATTCTTCCCCATGTGTAGTTTTTAAGATATTTTATAACTTTTGGAAAATGAAGGCCTTTGCTCAGGGAAAAAGAATAAAACCCAATGTTCCATTATTGTGCTTCAATGAGATATCCAGCTCAACTTCGGACGGTAAAGATGTTTCAATGAAGATAAATAATGAAGATGATCGAAGCCAACAGTCTAATGAAGAAGCTAGTTCTTACTTATGTGGTAAGTTTCAATATCTCAAATCTTTACAGAGTGATTATTTATTCTTAGAATTATTTATTTATCTTAGAATATTCGTAAAATAGTAACACATATCTTAAGTTTTTCGTCTTTTCTACTTTTCACTATACCTTTAATATTGTTACTTTAAATATGTTTAAACAGATCAATCATTTAGTGAAGCTTCGGAAGAAACTGTTTCAAATTCCCTATCTCCTGAGCCAATGACTACGTCTCATGATTTGACTTCAACTATAACAGCAGAAGAAATAAATTTTCTTCCATTGAAAGGTAGAAATTTATAATACATCTAGCTATTTAGCGAATTTTAAAAGTAAATTCTTCCTTCGATTAGACGCGAATCAAACTTTACCTTATCAGATGGATATACAGAACCCTGGTGTTATGATTTATTATGAAGAACAGTTGAACGATAGAGAGGGTATGAACGTAACTATTAATCAAACTTCAAATTTTAAAGGTTTGTTTCTTGCTATATGTATGAATATGATAAAGGTGTAACTTAACAGATGGAGGGTGTCCATTCACCTCTAGTCCAAAAGACGTTGATCAGACCTATACAACTATAAGCCTTCATGATGGCTTTCCCAACGAAATGTATCATAACAACTCAACAATGGAAAATAGTCAAATAATACTTCAAACCAAAACCGAAAAGCAAGAAGATGAAAGTGAGGTATATGATTTGACTAGAATAAAGCATGGGTTGAACGTTGAGAGAACTCTTAGCAGTGAAGAAGGTAAATAATCTATTTTATATCCTTTACCGTAAAATTAAAAGTTTTAAACTTACATAGCTGCCGATATTAGAAATCATGACGAATTGGAGAGGTTTCCAACAAAGTTATGGAAAGCAGCTAATGACCCGAATAGTGAAGTAATAGTTTGGACTGAAGATGGGAAATCCGTAGAAATTGAACCTGCTAAATTTGATAGAGAGGTTTTTGCTTCAGTACTTCATTTAAACAAGGAGAAAGCTTTTATGTATTATAGGTTATGTCAAAGCATCCCCGGCTTGTGCAAGTTAACAGATTCGAAAATATGAGACGACAAATGCGAGAATATGGTTTTGTTTGGGATGAGCAACAGGATGGGAAATTTATTTTTAAACACATGTTCTTCAGGAGAGGACGTAAAGATCTTTTGCGAAATGTTCAAACCAGAAGACGACGAGGTTTGATTTCGGGATCAAAGTCATTCAATCAGGGAGAGCAGCCAACCTCAAAACGAGGCAGAAAACCAGGTAAAAGCCGTAAATCGACAGCAGCGTCAAAGCCTGACAACGAAGCTACAATCTCAAGATCATCATCATCATCTAAGTGCAATTGGACAGCAACTCAAGCGTGGTATGGTGACCAATACATTTATGACAACACTTATGGAAATTCATCTCAAGCTTATTATGTTTATCCGTCATCTGCTTATGGGACCTATCAAGCAAATTATAATAATTCGACCGTGACAACGTCCCATAACACTATCTGTACTACAGAGCAACCAATCTCTGAACTTCAGCAATTTTAATTTGTTAAAGTATCGCTTTTATTCTTCGTTTTTATATTTATTTTATATTTTACCTGAGAAATCAAACTATTTGTTTTAATATTTTTTTTTAATTTAATATATTCAGTTTCTAATTAAGTAGTTTGTTCATCGTCATCTTTAGGACCCCACAAAAATACTTTTTTCTCTGCGGCTGTTAGAAGCATCGGTTCAGATGGGTGAGGAGAAAGTGATGAGACTACTCCAACACCTTTGTGAAGTAGTTTAACAGTGACAGTTGCCTGAAAGAACGAGTTTGTTAAACACTTTCTGGAAGGGAAGTTTTATGCATCTACCTTAACTAGGTCCCAAGTATAAACGCATCCGTCCTCAGACCCACAAATGATATGAGTGTCGAAATTGTTTAAGCAACAGTCGATTTTAAATTGAGTATTTTTGTGACTTTCGTAGCTGAAGAGAAACAGCGTATATCAAATGTCTAAATTAAAAAGATTGAATATCACTTACCTGTTTAATAATTCTCCTGTTTGTTTATCAAAGAGTCTAACTGTACTATCAAGAGACGAGGCCAACAAACACTGTTCATCCCTTGTCATTGACACGCAATTTATTGGTCCTATTAAAATATTAGATATTTAAAGAGAATTCTAATTAAGTTGTAAATATTTACTTCCTAAGTAATCTTCAAATAGTTGACCTTGTCTTATGTCGTATTTACGAAGACGTCCGTCAACTGAGCCAGTTAAGATTTCATGATTATTTATCCATAAACTCGTCACACTATCTTTTGCTTCATCTAAAACTTGAATTACTCGATTGCTCTTACAGTCCCATATTCGTACTGAACCGTCCAATGAGGCAGATATTACTATTGTAGCTTCTTCATTAAATCTTACACAATTTACACAACCAGCATGTCCTCGAAATTTCCTAACAACCCTTGCATCTGCTACATCCCATAATATGACATTTTTATCTAGGCCACAGGACACTAATTGAGCATTATCGCAGGCTGCAGCAGCATCCATGACTTCCTGACCATGGCCTGAATATGTAGCCAACAGACTCCCTCGTTTTGGGTTCCATAATTTCAATTGATTATTACTCCCGCAAGTCATACAATATTGACCATCAGCTGAACATGGATATTTATTAATAAATAAGTGAAATGTGTTATGTACTTACTATTGTATCGCACTGCCCGAACAGCATTCTGCTTACAATCGATTGTATTCAATAATTTTTCGGCGATCGGTTTTGCCATGCGTTATTATAAAAATATAAGCTACGATTTGAAATCGTATATTTCGTGGTCACGCCGCACCAGTTATTTTTCTTTAGTTCCATGATAACCGGAAATCCTGTTCGCGCTATACTACAATTCACTGGGAAAATAAAAATGGCGTCTGTCGGACGAATGATGCTTTTTGCTCGTCAATTTTCTACGGCAACCGTTCGAAGGAGTCAACACTGGCAACAACAGGGTATTCCAGGAACAGTAAGATACACTTTCTTAAATTTTTCTGCAAGAAAAGTGTAAACTTTTTTTGTTAAAACATGTTTTTGGTTGTAACCTTGATTTACCTTGACCTTACCGTTTCGTGCTTTGCAGAATTTGCCGTTTGGTATCAACAATCGCTATAAATTGACAGCACTTTTCACAATTTACTTTGCCAGCGGTTTAGGAGCACCATTTTTGCTCGTCCGTCATCAACTTTTGAAGGATTGATGTAAGTGTTCTTAAAGTATTTGAATATTTATTTTTGATCTCTTTATTTTCAATCACAGGTCTTTAACGTCGTCCACTGAAATTAACCTCTGAATAAGAACGCATAAGAATTCGCATACGAACATAATTGTTTAGTAGTCTTGTAATAAAATGCGTTTCTGAAATCATTTTGAATTTTGTAATAATGCCTCTGACTTATTAATTTCGCTCCGACAGATAGGAAACTACTGAATCTTATAAACAGTTCATAAGCATAGCAGACTATTAGCTGATTACTTAAAAATCGGTTGATGTTGTAATTTAAAGGAACCATAAAGGATTCTTTTTACTGCAATCGTGTGGTGCATATAAAAAAAAAGATCAATACATTTAGTCCATAAAGAGCTGTTTAATGTGATACTTTTACCCTTTTTTAATTAAATTAAATATTATACAGTATAAACTTCCCAATTTGACTCTAGAAATATGAATTGTTATGCAGTAGATGGCGCTTTAGACAATGCTCTTGAGGTTTTTCTGCTTTTATCGCTCGACGTAATCACTCCGCTTTGTATTTACTGAATCGCTTCAAATATAAAGCATACAATATATTTAATGGTTCAAAAACTTAAATTTAAAACTCATTGATCTATTACCCGAATGCTGAATTATCTGTCAACTTTATAATTGAATTTCGGCATAATCCTAAACAAGAGGAAAAACAACATTTTGAAATGACAGAAAAGGAAGAAATGAAAAAGTGCTTCTTGTAAGTTCGAATAGTTAAGAAATTGTACACATAGAACATTCTTAGAACATTCTATTCGTATTATGAACAATCATTAATATAAGATAATAAATATATTCCATCTCCACAGCTGTCAGGAAAAGGAAGCAAAATACACATGTCCAAAATGTAATTACCCTTATTGTTCTTTGGTTTGTTATAAAGGTGAAAAGCACTTGAATTGTTCAGAAAATTTTTATAAGGAATGTTTCGTCGAAGGTCTAAAGGATATGAATAATGAGTAAGTGGTAATTCATTCAAATTCTTAATCTTTTTCAATACATTCGTACATATATCATCCAACGTAAAAAAATTTCAGTGACGGCAACAAGAGGAAAATGATAGAAATTCTTAATAAAATGAGAAAAGACGAGGATCCAGGTAACTTATTGCTTCTTTTTTTTTTAATTAAAAGTTAATCTTATTAATTTATTTTACTCGTTCTTTTTGTAGATCTTAATATTGAATCGCTTGAGGATCGAATTGAAGGATTAGATTTAGGTTGATTAAGCAATCCTATAATTAAATTGTAGTAAAATTTCCCTCTTTTATAGATAATGATACTGAAGAGCTCTGGTCAAAGCTAACTGACGAGGAGAAATCAGAATTCGAAAGACTTTGTAAGAAGGGTAATGCCTTTGTGGAACCTTGGAATCCTTGGTGGTATGAATCTGTCAACTTAAGGCCTAATTTAACGGAAGAAATACTTCCCCTACAGACTTTACTAAAAGTTAGTATTTTACTTTAGTAATCTACTTAAAAAAAAAGCCAATTTTAAACATCTTTTCCCCAGAAAGAACCATCTAAGACCCTGGCGTATTCTATACTAAATACTCTTCTCTGTTACTGCTATATATGTCGTAGATTTAACGGCGATTACATCGATTTATCATCAGAAGCCGCTCAGGTTTGTCAATGATTTTTCTCCGAAGCAAATTCAATTGATTTCCTAAGTATATAATAGTATCTTGTTTCTTTTTAAAAGGAAGTTCAAGGAATATGCGGACCTCTTGCCTGTAATGAAACATTCATAGATATAGCGTCAAGTTTAAGCTCTTTTTCGAAAGCCCTCAAAGTTGACGAAGGAAAAAAGGTTATACAAAAATTCCATTTTGACGCTCTCTTTCATTTTCCATTCTCCTTTCAGAAAACAGGAGAATCCATAGTTAAAACTTGTTTGATGGATACCTGCCACATATTAAAAGAATCTTCAATCTTAAATGAAAAGGATAATTTAATATTACTGGCGTTAAATGACATGAAAAGAATTTTTGATAACAGTATTAAAGAATTAAAAGGTTTTACTTATATCTTATTGTTATATTTATAAATTATAACATTTCTCTTTCAGAAAACAAACAATCTCCAAACAGAGAAAAAGAGAAAAGAGATATAAAGCAATTTTTTCAAATTTCAAAGAAATTAATTTTCTACATGAGCTGGTATTCGTCGAATGCCAAGGATCTCATAAAATTTGCAGAAACTCTCTCATTTCAAAAAGGTATAACAATTTTATTCTTTAAGTTAAAATGTATTTTTCAATTTTCATCAAAACAATTTTAAATGCTGTCGCAACAGATCTACTTAGCTGATTGGTTATTGGATGGGATTTTTAATTAATTCTTTATATGAGAGTAAAAAAACAAGAAAAAAAATACAACAAACAAGATTTTCAAACGATTAATTAAATAGGGAGATAAAAACATGGGGTTATGAGTAAGAATAAAAAAATTTATTCAATTTCCCTTGATTTCTTAAATTTTCTCTTATCTTTCGTCAATTTTTTGCTTAATTTCTTCCTTCCTCGTCTATTTCTATTATCTTTTATCACTTCTTCATTTGGTGTAATGGGATCGTCATGAGTAGTTCGCTTATCGTCCTCTATCATAAATTCCTCGCATGCATCCTCGTTTTGTAATAACAATGAAGCGTGCTCAGCAAGCATCTCTATTTGATCCGCGGAAAAGATGTGTTCAGCGATATCTGCACTAAGAATTTGCATATTATCGGTTATGTGATGAGATGATGACGTATCGGTTCCAACAACAACGTCGGCGGCAACATTGGCACCCATAACTGGGTCGTCAACCATAACTATTGCATTAGTTGAATCTGCTTGAACTTCTTCTAGGCAACTTTCTGCCTTGATTCTAGCCAAGTCTATAGGAGTTGGCGAGTTGCAATCAGACGGAGGGATACCGCATCTAAGCTCAACTTCGCTATCCGTGGAAGAGTCAATACTTTCTTCACCAATTACAGTCTTGTAATTATTCTTCTTTTGACGTTTTCCAGATCTTTTTGGTTCGCCAACAAGCGATGGTCGAATATATCTTCTAGCTTGTCCATTACTATGAGTAGATCCTCCTCCCCCGTCGATTGAACTAAATACCTGCTTATTTGAAAAGTTACCAGCTGAAGCAGCTTGTATTTTCCTTGTTAATTTCATAAGAGAGTCAAAACTAATACTATGAATAGATAAAAATTGACGTATTCTATGCGTCATATGCATAGATTTGCCAGTTAAAAGCTTTTGCATGCACTTTATCTCATCATATATTGAAGCTGCAAAATGCCTGACGATATCTTGCGATGGTCTACCTAAAATGCTCTTTGTATCGAGAAGGATATACTCGATGTAAATAACCATTAAAGTGTCTAGCTCGTAGCGTGCAGTATCTCTGTCTGAATCTGAGTTGAGTATTTGCGATATAGTACGTTGTCTCTCCCTTATTTCTTCTTCTTGTTCATCTCTATTTCTATGGGTTTTGGTTACAACGTCTTCTTCTAACTGATTATGCTCAAAGTCAAACATAGGTCTGTATACAAAAGACGGATGTGGTGGGGGCGGGGGCGGCATAATAGGTGCGGATATGGCATCAATAGACGTTTGAATTTTGGAATATCGTCTAGGTGGCGCTTGTTGCCCTTGTGCTCCGTTCTCAGCGTTCTCTTCAAAAAGCATTCGTCGAAAGCTGAATCTGTCGTCGCTTTCATCGACTTTATCTTGCAGGCTTTCGTCCTTGTGACTCATCCCTTCCTCTTCGCCCGATTTCAATTCCTCTCCATCTTCTTTTTTCGTGTCGGTTGCAACAATTTCATTACCTTTGCTCTCCTCAGTTGCAGGAGTGTTAGTTGATTCTTGCTCATAGCTTGTTGGGCAATGGGGAAAAGAAAAGTCAATTAGAGGTGGGCCACAATATCTGGGGTATGGATTAGTGGGTCTCACACAACGACCAGGAAGCCGGCCGCAGTAATGAGTCGGATACGGTTGGTAATAGGCGTGGGAGGGGGGAGGAGGTGGTGGATATCTGCAATGACTAGGCGGCGGTTGAGTAGGTAATATATACGTTGAACGATTCATTCGAATCGGTCCGGTCAAGGACGAACGTACAGCTGACGTTGTAATAGTTGGCCCTGGAGAAGCCGTTTCGAAAAAAGTAGTTACAATTGGAGAGTCTTCTTTATCACTATTTCCTTTAACCTCTTCGTTTGTTTCGTCCATATTGCGAATCTGTTCCAATATTGTAGAAGTTTTTTCTTCTTCAACCGATTTCTTCCCTCCTTTTCCTTGTTTAGGACGAGCTTGTTTTTTTTTTTCAATAGGAAACTTACGAATAGCTTCGTTAATCGATGATTCGTTCTCTTCAGTCGACTTTACAGTCTTTTCTTGGCTATTTATTCCTTTCATTCGCTAAAAAGAACTGTAACGAAACTACGTCTGAAAAAAAGAATTTTTTTATTGTTTTAAATATTCTTGACGTTACGTTCTGTGAATTCGAAAATCTGGAACCTCGTTCGATTTTTTTTTTTATTTTTTTTTAAAAGAAAACTATAACAAAAATATAAAATTAATAATAAAACATGCAACAGCAATAGACCGTTTACAAGTTAACATTGTTTCGTATATACAGATAAAAAAAAGCCCAAAATCGAAATCGCACGAAAGGATATGCTTGAAGTTCGGTGACTACTACACGGGTTTGAAAGAATGTCGCCGAAAATACCAACATATCTGATCGTACGTCGAAGCGGCATATGATCCAAACTCATGCTTGCCTTCCTCATTTAAGTGATTTATCTCCATTAAAATCGTCATTTCTCTCAATTAGGCTAATTGTTTTGCAAATGTTTTTCGTTTATTGTAACTACCATTTTTTAACAGCATATACGCCTGCAAATGCTGATAATTGCCCACTCATTAGGATAGGCCTAGTAGCACTAAAACGACAAAAACATTCCCTTCCTTCATCCTAATAAATGTGAAAATTTATTAATTCATACGAATGATTATAGAAATATATACTCGTTTCTATTTCACGTAATCGCCAATATGATTAAGAAAAAAATTTATAATTGCCGCGCGAGATAAATTTAATGGCATGCTATACATTGATGAATTAAAAGCGAGAATAATTAAAGTTTGTTTATCTTCGAACATTGCCCGATTCCCTAAATCGACACAACATGCAACAGTCTGGCGCGTCGTCATTAGTATTAAACATTATATTCATATTTTCGTTATCTTCTCAGCTTTCACAACAGGATTAGCTTTCTTTATTTGTTCAGCACCCAATTCTTTGTAGTCGAATGAACACTGATGCTTATCCGAATACCTGTGCATACTGCAATACAGACCGCCGCATCTACACTCAAAACCAGTCAGACCAACTTTCTTTTTGCACGTGGAGCATCGATTCTTTTTAGTTTTTTTCCCATCCTTTTTTTCCTGTTCTTCTTCAGGGGTCGTCGCGGGTGAATTGGCTGCGGCTTGACAACCTTCGTTTTCTTCTTGCTCCTTTGGAGGAGTGGCGATGGTGGGCTTGGCTGTTTGAACGGTTTGTGTTGAGGACGTCGATGTTGCTGCGGCGCTCGAAGTAGCAGGACTGACTCGTCCAGCTCCATTTTCTGTTCGGCGTTTTACTGTATCCTTATAGCACTTCGAGCACATTCCTTCGGTTGCTTCGGATCCGTAAAATCCGCAACCCATTTTGCACAAAGACGACGCGATATTCTGATCGGATGTCGCATTTGATTCCATATTCTGGTCTATAATGACAACGCAAAATTCATAAACAAAAAAGAATGAACTTCTCTAAAATATCAACAAAGAAAAACCTGATTTATTCTTCAATTAAATTTCATTTGATTTTTATCTTAAACTTATTCGATCCTAAAATGTTTTTTTCATTACGTTTACGCTAGCTTTACGTCGTTGGCATGCGTTTGTTGTTACTTTGCACAAACTAACATGGCTGCCGTTAGTAAACGTCAAACCTTCTTCTCAATTAATCGTCTATCACAATAAAATAACCAAAAAAATTGATATAAATGATTTTATATTACCTTTATTTCTAGGCTTGCCAAGGAACGAGCGTCTAAAACTAAATCTATATCGTCCTATGTCTAAGAAAAGCCTACGTTATTCACCACACGACCACGTGACCCCTATCTGAAAATTGATTGGCGGTTGGGCGTCAACCGGAAGTGAACATTTCAGCAAGGTCGTTCTTATAAAAATTAAATTAACTAAAAGGCCAAGCAAAATTAACCACAATCATTCATAAATAAAAGTTTCGTGCGATTTTCTCACACCCGGATGTTCGAACGTAAACATGACGACGATCGAACATGGCGCGTAAACAAACCAATATGAATACATAGGTTTAATAGTATTATAGATTGCTTAGAAAAGCGTGACTTAATGATATAGATAACTTGCAGGAGAATATTTTGAATCATGGCAAGCAGCGGAGTAAAAATGATGTCAACGAAAAGAAAGGATAATAACAACCAGCTTACTGCTGTAAGTAAATACATTATAATTTTTGTTCCTATATAACCTTAGAAAAAACTAAAATTATCATTTTTCCACTCAAAGAAATGGGGAAAGAACACGGTACAAAAGCGTGAAAAATTATCATCCCAGAGCAAATTCCAATCAAGATCTTTTAAAACTCAAAATAGTAATTGGACACCAATTGTTCACAAACCATCAAACGAACAGGTATAGTATTCTAGGAGGGCAGTCACACCAGTTTTTATGCTAAAAGAAAAACTATAAACGTTCTATAAAACGCAGATATTCTTGGAGAGAAAAGAATTAGTATCAAATTGGGTGAGAAAATTTCTTTGTGAAAAACTCTATCTGTCTATCCCTTTATCAGTATCTGTTCATTTTGTTTATTATCTCTTTATCTTATCGTCTTTTTTCTCCCTCTCTCTTTCCTTCGAATTTTCTAACCCGAATTGTAATTCTTATAGTTTGATCTATGGACTGATGCTCAAAGGAAAAAGTTTCTTGATAGAATCCTCAGCCAATGCGAAAGGCCCCAACTCCATTTTATACAAAATTGGTTTGATGTAAGTGTCAGCAAATATGATAGTACTCGTAGTAAAAAACTATCTAATCATTCCATATCTGCCATTTTCAACAGCTAAGAGTGCCTCTAAAACATGTTGATTTTACAAATTTACTACCGAAATTCTTATCTCTCTATATCTTCTCCTTTCTCGATCCTCGATCTCTTTCAAGGGCTGCGCAAGTTTGCTGGCATTGGAAGTATTTAACGGAACATGACGAATTATGGGTTGGAAAATGCGTAAAGAGAGGATGGTATCTACCTTATACTCCTTCAAACAACGAGAATGCAGCTTGGAAAATGCACTACATATGTTGTATATCGACTTTAGATATGGACGGACCGGTTAGTAGTTTTAAACAGTACAACTTAATTTTTCGGTATTCTCTTACAAACAAACTTATCTAGATAACGCACGAAAGTCTAATGAAAGTGATAAGCCATTTATATCCAGTTTGTATAGATAAAAGGAATAAAAAGCTATACAAATTGATTTTTATTATGGCATTTTGATTTCTATTGTTATAGTTATTACCCTTTTCCCAGCAATTCCTTAGAGATGGATACCCAAGAGAACCTAGATTGATTTATCTTGTTTGATTATTAATAATCCAACAATTTATTAATTAATTAAAACAAACAAAAAGAGAGCAATGATTTACTTTTTATGATGAATATTTTAAAAGGAATCTTTCAGTTATTCTCTCTTTCTCTTCTTTTTCCATAAGTAATTGATACATTCTTTGCTTTTTTTATAATAATTATTTTAGTCTATGGAGAGAATTTATGGAAGATTCGGAGATGGGACAAACTTCCTTAAAAGGCAAAAAACTGATTTGAGGAAAAGCGTCAGCCAAACGTATAGGAACTACGGTAGTGAATATATATATATATATATAAATATATATATAATATTCAATTTTTACGACTTTTTTAATAGATGAAGTATTAAATACAAGACCACCTTGGTATCCTCCAGACGTTGTTCCAAAAGATTTGGAATCTACAGCCAAAGCTATGCTACATGACTTTAATCCTAATGATCCTAACGTAAATATGGAACATTTAGGAAATTTTTTAGCTAATTACAAATTATTTTTAGATACCCCAATCGTTAACGTTGCATCATAATAAATTTGGTATAGAATTAAACAAGCTGACTCAATCTCTTCCATCAACAACAAAACTTATTGACTACGGTCTTCGTAGTGAATCACGTAAATCGGAGAATAGAATAAAAACCGTACTAACTTTTATAGAAAGATAAATTATGCTCACCATTCATAATTAATGCTTGATTGTTTATGTATATTTCAGTCTGAAGAAGAATATGATTTTAGTCAAAGATCGCAGAGAGTTCCGCTATCCCAATCTTTAGAAATTGAATCTTTCAAAGAAAAGCGTATGATGGAATTAGTGCAGCAGCCATGGGAACCTCCCGTACCTGTAACACATCCCATTAAAACGGGCACAAATTTAACAGGAGGTGGAAATTATCCCCTTCTAAAATCCGCAAGGACAAGACTAAATACGGATAAGCCAATCAGCAAAACATTCCCTCAAGACGAAAATCCTCGAGTTATTTTTATAAGCTCAAGGGTACCGGCAGCTGATTTACTAGTTGATGCTATTCTATTTGGCGTTATACCTATTGTGTACGAATACGAGGGAACATCTTTAGAGGCTTTGACTGACCGATTGACATCCTATTTATCTGGAAGATGCGCACAGTAAACTTCCAACTATTCTTTTCTCTGTTTATCTTGTCTAAATCTTTTTTAATTAATTTTTATAAAGGAGTATAGGCCTATTCGTCCACAATACCGACATTCAAAAATTAAACCTTGTATTAGGAGCAACCGTTACAAAGCGTACAATAGAAGACGCAGACATAGCTGATTTCCTAAAGACTTTGGCAACAAACATTCTAACCCCAGAACAGAAAGGTCATTTGGACATTTTCACTCCATTAGCAGCAAGCGGTTAGTTAACTAATTTATATTTTCATAGAAAAATGTTTATCATTAATTATACAATTAGAGGATGGAATAGAGATAATGACGAAACTCTCCTCCATTACCGGAACTATATGTACAACACCTACAGGCTTAATTGGAAATTACAATCATGGTTCGTTCTCTAATAAACACTAAGAAGCTATATATATATATATATATATATATATATATTCGTATATTGATCTATAAACAAACAACGCAGTGAACTCTGAATGGCTAACCTCACCTGAATCGGAAAAACAGCCTTGTTTATACTTCTGCAGCGAAAAATTGTCAATATGGGCCAACGTTGCCGATCAAGTAGCAGAAGGTTCACTAAGAACCAAAAAGATCTTATCTTCTTATTTAGAACGGCAGAACAAAGATATTTGTTCCCAAATAACAGGTAAGATAGAGAAAAACAATTCGCCCTCTTTTCTTAGCTCTTTTATGTCATTCAAACTGACCTTGACCTCTAGGTCAAATTCTATACGATTCTACTGGTCTCTTACATGTTGGTAAATTTGAAGAGATTTGCAACGCGTTGCAAGATGGCCTCTACCAAATAAGCCAAGAGGAACCGGTTAATTACAATTTAATATTATAATATATCAGTAAAATTAAAGCTTTCTATCGTTTTTTAATAGAATAATTCATTGGAATTTCTAGGAAGATACTTACTTAGGCGTAGTAATGTAAAGGAAGCGGATATACAATTGGCACAATCCATGACAGTAAGTTAATTAGTTTTTTTTTTATTTTATGTATATGAAAGAAAACCTCACGCCGATAGGCATTTCGACCTTTGACCTACTCTGTTTGTTCTTTCTATAGCCACCAGGCGGAACTCTAAAGCCCGCCATGACAATGAAAGCGGAAATTTTGAAAGACACTATTCAAGAGGATGACATTTATTCCGATGCAACTGGCAAAGAAGATGACATAAGCGTAGGCGACGGAGAGGAAAATGAAAAGGAAAAAAAGAATTACCAAAATTTTGAAAAGAAGACAAAAGACATCGATCAAGATGAATCTGAAGTTGACGAAGATATCAAAGATGATATAAGTGATGATGTTCAAGGTTTCTATCTTAACAAATCCATCATATCGTTATCTTACTAAAACTATACACAATGTACAGAAGTTTTAGATACGGATATGCCTGGCAATACTCTTACTCAAATTGCAGTAAAGAAAACTGGTGCCTTTAAGCCCGTTAACAGCACCCTGAGTGAAAACTTTGATAATAGCTATAGTCCTTTGCCATCCGAAGGGGAACCCCTTTTATCAAAAAGTGTACACAATCAAAGACCACCAATCAAAATGGTAAATAAAAATAAGTGTATAACTCTGCACAGCAATATAATCTATAAACGTTTCCTTTCAAAACTATTACTAGACGCCCGAAGTATTAGCATCAATTGCTGATAAGAGAACTGCAGTTGCTAAAGAGATTCTCTCTTCCGAAACTGATTACAGACGGACATTCGGCGCTCTAAAGAAAGTGTATTTATTACCTTTAAAGAGCGCACTGTCTAATAATAAGTAAGGATTTCTAAATAAAAAGGAACTAAAGCGTAAACTAATCCTCCCTTTTTTTCAGGGCTATACTAAGCGCCCATAATCTACAAATGATCTTTGCCGATGCCATGAATATCCTAGATTTGAGTAGGAATCTTTTAGATGATTTACGTAAAAGACTAGAAGATTGGAATTCGCATAGTTGTCTTGGAGATCTATTTGTTAAATTTTGCGGTCAATTAAAAGTTTATACAAACTTTTTTCAAAACTATTCCATGATACTCCATTGTATAGAGAAAAGCGTCGAACAAATACCGTCCTTTAGAGCATTTTTAAGCAGATCTGATAAAACACCTGCAACAAAAATGCTGAGAATCCAAGAAATCTTATTACTACCTTCCAGAAGAATATTAGATTATGTAACACTTTTGACCTGGTTCGAGAGGCATACACCCAAAGATCACGCTGATCGCAGCGATCTAGCTTTGGCTCTGAAGCTTATTAAAGAATTATCGAAATTAATAACTGAACAGAAAACGAGATGCGATAGGGAACAACAAATTATTTCCTTACAGAAAACAATTTTAAATTGTCCGGTAATATTAATTATTTCTTCTTTAATCTAATTTACATATTTACTTATAAGTTAATCAAACAAAACTATAGAGTTTGATGGAGGCTAACCGATATTTTATAAAGCAATTGGACGTGGCCCATTTAAAAGCGCCGTTATTAAAAGCAAACGCAACGGCAGTGGCAAGTGAATTAAAGTTAGTAATAAATATATTATTTCTAAATATACAAGTATTTTTTTTTTAAAAAACAAATAAATAAATTATAACAATAATAGAACTTACCAACACGTTGAAGACTTGGGTTTGTTTTTATTTAACGACGCCGTTGTTGTAACAAAGCGAACCAGCAGACACTTTCCCTACGAGAGAAGAGTGGAATATACGTACAGATTCGTAGCTTGCTCCTCTCTGAAAAGATTACGTTTAGAGGATGTACCGGATTCAAAGCGTTAGTTACATTTAACTATTAATCGGTTTACTTTTTTTTTAATGATTTTGACTATGCTTTCAGTGACGCGCGACTGCTTTAGGATGCACTCCCCCAATAGAAACTGGTATTGTCAAACGTCGTCTCCGGACGAAAAACTGAATTGGCTAACGATTGTAGAGAACGCTATTAGAGCGGCAATTGACGATAAATAGTAATTCTGTGTTTTTCTTTAATTTATTGATATAAAAAAAGAGAGAATGATCAAGCAGTATTTACAATATTTACATATAAAAAATGACTATTGTCTTATAAATTAAACAGTTTTAAACTTTTTAATGTTAATCTTGACAAAATATTCTTTATTCTTTTGTGGTTTTCTTGGGCAATAAGACTGCTTGGATGTTGGGTAGTACTCCTCCTTGAGCGATGGTTACACCATTAAGTAGCTTGTTTAATTCTTCGTCGTTCCTGATTGCAAGTTGGAGATGTCTAGGGATGATTCTAGATTTCTTGTTGTCTCTGGCTGCGTTTCCCGCCAATTCCAACACTTCAGCGGCCAAGTATTCCATGACGGCTGATAGATAAACGGGTGCTCCAGATCCAATTCTCTGTGCATAATTTCCTTTTCTTAAATGACGATGCACTCTTCCGACTGGAAACTGTAGCCCAGCTCTCGATGAACGAGTCTTGCTCTTGGTCTTAGCTTTTCCACCTTTTCCACGTCCAGACATGTTTTCTTACTTTCAGGGTGAGATGTGAATTCAAAATAAATCGACTAACTGAATGCTAGTCTTTTATCGCTAGCGTCGTCTGTATCTTTCCCTCCCACTCAGCCAATAAGAGCCCTTTAATTTGGTCACGTGGTAAATAAATTTCTTTTTTCTTTTGAATTTACAATTTCAGCCAATCAGCGTCCGGCTGGCTGTAGCGAATGATTGAGCCGCTTATGGCAGCCAATCAGAAGCGTTGAAAATTACTGGAGAACACTTAGACAACTAATTTGCATAAATCGTAAAATAAAAGAAAATAGCTTTGTCATAGCAGCATATTGCTCTATTACGTAAAATTATTAAATTATCGCTAATTAATTAAACAACTATGCCGCCAAAAGCCGTTGCTATGAAGGGCTCAAAAAAGGCCGTCTCCAAAGCTAAGAGTCAATCAAGACAAAGCGTCGACAAGAAGAAGAAGAGAAAGAGAAAGGAATCTTATGCAATTTACATTTATAAAGTTCTTAAGCAAGTTCATCCAGATACGGGTATTTCGTCAAAGGCAATGTCGATTATGAATTCGTTCGTGAACGATATTTTCGAAAGAATTGCCGCCGAAGCCTCCAGACTGGCCCATTATAATAAAAGATCCACGATAACCTCTAGAGAAATTCAGACAGCAGTTCGTCTTCTTCTACCTGGAGAATTAGCAAAGCATGCCGTATCCGAAGGTACTAAGGCTGTTACCAAGTATACAAGCGCAGCTAAATAGAACCCAAAAGAAAAACGATAAGAAGATAAAATGAATAATAATTCAGACATTTTGTAATTTCAAATATGATAGAACAAAATTGCAATTATTCCTTTAAAATTGTACTTTTTATTTCGCATATATCATATTCAAGTGTAAAATGTTCATATTAAAATATTAGTATCATATAATAACGAATTGTGACAAACTAATAAATCATTTATAAAGAGAAATATTTTACTAGTCCTATATCTTAAAACACAGACATATACATAAGGACGATAGTCTAAAAAAAACTGCATATCTTCTTCATAAGCTTTTAATTCAAAACCAGACAGACAGATAGACATTTTTTGCAAATGGAATTAACAGTTGATTATACATACAATAAAATCCTAATTGGGAATTAGTCCTATAAAAGCTCAAGATAATATTGTATTTTAAACATTTTAGGCCTATTGAGCATGTAAGATATTATTCTGATTTACGTAAAGAATACTGTATATTCAAAATATATGGATATACTGTATATACTGTACATCATACAATGCACACAAAGATTTTGTAACCGCTTTTTTCTCAACTTTCGACTGATGCTATTGTGCCATCTATAGCAGTGTCATAGAATATACTCAACTAGTTTCACACATTTTTTTGCGATAACTACTTCTTTTTAATAAAGGAATTTTAGTCTGAGATTTATCTTACATTTATGATTTAGCCTACGTAATTACGTTTATGTAAAGCATCTTTAAAATTCCTTCATCTGTAATTATAATAATGCCTAATTTTATAGTAATGCTTTAATTTTAATAAAAATATTAATTACGATTAAAATGAAATTTGTTTATTTTATTATTGGGATATTTTATAATGTTTGCTGATTCTTATTAGACCCACTATCTTTGGAAAGTCATGCGTTATGCGACTTTTTCTATTATAACCATTTGAATTTTCTCTTTCTTTGTTTGATCGGGAAAGTTTCCGTTAAACATACCTCGTCTGTATCTCCTTCTCGCGAATTGACCAATAGGGGTTGCGATAAAAGTCACGTGACATCGAGCCAATGAGAAGCTTTACAATCCGTTGTAAAATTGTAACGTCTCTGATTGGTCGCAATTTGGCGCTCTCGATTGCTTATAAATACTGGGCTAAACCACTCAGGTCTCATCATTCGAAGTGTAAACGTCGACTGTGGTATAATTTCAAAACATGTCTGGAAGAGGAAAAGGCGGTAAAGGATTGGGAAAAGGAGGTGCCAAGCGTCACAGAAAAGTTTTAAGAGATAACATCCAAGGTATCACCAAGCCTGCAATCAGACGTCTTGCAAGAAGAGGCGGTGTCAAGAGAATCTCAGGTCTCATCTATGAAGAAACTAGAGGTGTCTTGAAAGTATTTCTTGAAAACGTCATCAGAGATGCTGTAACCTACACTGAACACGCAAAGAGAAAGACCGTAACTGCTATGGACGTCGTCTATGCCCTTAAACGTCAAGGAAGAACCCTCTACGGTTTTGGCGGTTAGATGTGTTCCTGCTTTTAAAGAATATACAAAAACGGCCCTTTTGAGGGCCACCATATCTTTGCCAAAGATGTTAAACTAAAAACAACCATTTTACATTTATTAAACATGTAAACATCTTAAACTCACACTGAAATTTTTTATGCTATTATGTTCAAAACTTTGTTACTGGTTAATTTTAAGCTGATTGAATAAACTGATCATAAAAGAAATCATACCTGTTCAATTTTCATATTATATTAAAAGTACTATTACAAAATGACCGCCATTATTATAGTAGTATATCTAAGCTATACTCTTCAGTTGCTATTACCTTAAGGTTAAGGTATCGTTCATAATATCGGGGCGTCTAATCACGTGATTTAAATTATTAAATAATATATAAACGTATATATATTGTGTACATTGTTTAATGACTGATTATTGCGCCAAAAATCTAGAATTAAGTGTCGTCACCCCAATGCCTCAAAAAACGTGCTACAAAAAATTTGCTCGTCGGTATCTTGCTCTCCCGAATAACCAATCAGCATGCAGGACGCTACGTCACGTGACCTTTTGGCGCCAAAACTGAGCATAAAAGTAGAAAGATTTTGGCAGTCGGCATCATTTAGTTCCGTCAACTGAAGAAGTTAACGTCACTGAGTTGGAAATGGCCCGTACTAAGCAAACTGCTCGTAAATCGACTGGTGGAAAGGCACCAAGAAAACAACTTGCAACCAAGGCTGCAAGAAAGAGTGCACCCGCAACTGGTGGAGTGAAGAAACCCCACAGATACAGACCCGGTACTGTAGCTTTGAGAGAAATCCGTCGTTACCAGAAATCTACTGAGTTGCTCATCAGAAAACTCCCCTTCCAACGTTTGGTCCGTGAAATCGCTCAAGACTTTAAAACTGATCTTCGTTTCCAGAGCTCTGCTGTTATGGCTCTTCAAGAAGCCAGTGAAGCTTACTTAGTTGGTCTTTTTGAAGATACCAACTTGTGCGCTATCCACGCCAAGCGTGTCACCATCATGCCTAAAGACATCCAATTGGCAAGAAGAATCCGTGGTGAACGTGCCTAAACTACTACAACTTCAACAAAAACAAAAAACGGCCCTTTTCAGGGCCACTAATTTTATTACCAAAGCATTGTTTTTTTAAAACTATTAATTAGTGGAAAAAACCGTTAGGGATTGACTTTAAATGAATCAATTAGTGAAGTGTTCCTAACCGCGTGTGTTCAGTTTGAATCGACGCGTTGCCTAGGATGAAGAAATACGATTCAAATTTAACTTTTAGTCAATACAAGCAATATACTGAATTGTTAGATAAGGATGTTAGTGCCTTTCAGGAAAAAGTACGCTTAGACGATCCTCCGCCACCTTCGTCAGATTCGACAAAGTTCACGAAAGAAAAATCTATGGAAAGGCGGTCGCAAATTCCTTCAAAAGTTTCATTGCAAAAAACTATAATGCCGTGTCTGGCATGGCGTCGTTTCAAGAAGAAAAAACAGGTAGAAAAGTGTCGTATAAATGTAGACACCCCGATACCTGTTAGGAAACCCCTATATAGTAGTACAACGACTGAAAGGAATAAATGGTGTCGAAGGCGAGTTTATCTGGCCTCTGATCATACTCCTCTACGTTTATATTTTTCATATTACGAGCCTCCAGAAGAAGAATATGTTACGACGATACTTGACGCCTATGGTAAGCCTGTTTTAAAGTTATCTGAACAAGATAAGTACTCTGGAATGGTGTACGATAAAAATTCTTTCACTCTCTTACCCCCTATTGAAAAACCTAAAATAAAATCTATACGAGAAAGATGGCCGCTGAGTATGCGATCCGTAACTCAAATAAGTCTTCATTACCGAGCTCAAAAGGAAAGAAAGCGGAAAGAAGAGAAAAAAGGTCGATGATAATTTTATTTATTTTTGATCTTGACGATATTCAAACAAAGTCAACAATTTAACTATCTATTCTCTGCTCATTGGTATATGCGCCAAGTTTTAAACCTGCATCAATCTCTTTCATCAATCGTAATACAACTTCGTCTTCGTACTTTGGAGCTACACATTGAATGCATATCGGCAATTCATTCGTTTCTTTTAATGCCTTTCGTAATCGTTTTTTCGATGCTATATGAAAAGTTGGTGACGGGGGATTATCGCTCAATTCGGCAATGTCTTTTTCATTAACTTTAGTAACTGGTACCACGCCTGCTGGCCAATCTAATACACTATAGAGAGCTGAGAAACTGTTGACATCTGAAATAGATTATTATTAGATGAGTATGAAGTATTTAACGTCTCTTACATGACATATCTCTAATATATTTGCGAGGGAGTGCAGGAGAGGCAAACGTAGGACATATGCAACAATCCAGATTTTTGGATTGAAAATAACTTTGAAATTTCTCTCTGAATATCTGCAAAAGTTTCATTTTTTCAAACTTGAATACATCTCTTTCACTAAGAATTAGTAATAAAATATCTAACCTTAACTTCTTCACTTCTACAAATATAGCTTTCAATATCCCTGAAAAATAAATAATTATTAAATATGTAGACTTTGAAATTTCAATGGTCTTCTTACTCGCAGCCTTGGAGAACTTTCATTACTCGACTTTCGTATTTCCTCTGTAAAAAAATAGATTAAAAAGTTACATGATTTATTCCAAAGTTCTTTCTACATACTCCTAGGCAGTAAAAGAATTGATATACTGCTTTCTTAATGAATTGCGGCATAAAAGCAGCGAAATAGGCAGACATATTATACATGGATACACTTTCTCCAGATCTGGATATTTTAGGAAAATAAAATATTTCATTTGTTATTTAATCTTCGAATAGAAAGTGTATTTATATTTACAGTAGCTTGCGCAAACGGGAACCACCATCTCCTGAAATTGCTAATAACTCCAAATCTATAGCCGCTTCATCAATTCTATAAGGATTAAATGAAACCAATTTATGACCTCTGTCTTCTAAGAGTTTTTTCACTTGGAGTATAGCTCTTTCAGTTGCTGGGTCAGCCACAGATAATCCATCGTAAGTATAATATCCAATAGTGAGCTTTTCTTCACTGGTTACAACCTGTATCAAATACAGCTGATATATATTTAAAAAATTGAACAACTTTTTCTTTACCTCATGCTTAAATTGAATGGGTGGACACGAATAATCGTTTAAGTGCGAAGCAGAACCAATAATAGCTTGACTGGAATTTAAAATGGTATTGAAATCTCTCCCGACAATACAAGCCGACAAAGGTGCTATAAGTTAATTATATAATAAAAGATATTAATTTAACTATATTATATCATAATTATAAAATATTTCCTTACAGAATATTTGACCTCGTCCGTAGGAGGAAAGTCCTTTCATACTATTGTTAATGAAATATATACAATTGTGATTATCTTATTTTAGAAATACTTACGGGCATCTGGATGATGAAAATTTCAAACCATATAAACCAGAGAAATGAGCTGATACATTTGAATGGCAACCGAATCCAGTAACAATACCAATCGGTGATGCATTGCTTGATACTAAACAAGACTCTGCTCCGCAAACGAAATTTTTTCGCATAGGATTCTCGGTTGATCCATAAATGGGATTGTCTGATACAATACTATACAGAAAAGAGAAGAATTTTTAAACAAGTTATCGAATTCTATTTAGACTTACCTCATTAACAATTGCGAAACATTAGTTTTTACAAATGGTACGGCGCCTTCTTTAATAAGAAGCTAGAGAAATGATATCATATTATATGTAATCATAATAGATTCGTTAAAATTGATGATTTCTTACTTCTACAAGGGAACAATTGGATTCTGATGGATTTTCTAACAAATCTGCTAGTCCGAGTGTAGAGTCATATTCCTAAAATATGATTTAATACATTTCTAAATAAAAATTTTGAAATCGTTTATAAATACTTTAATAGTAAAGTGTTCAGATAGACTTATTGGTAGACCAAATAATTTGCCACCTGACTCTTTTCGTTCGTTAATTGGCATAGAAGTGAGTTCTTGAGCATATTTCTAAAGATTTAACAGTCAATTTATAAATGATTGATCAAACGTTCTGAAATTGAAATCGTACCTCAGCAGCATCCAAAATATCAGTTAATACATTATAATTTTTATGTGTTTCTATAGCCTATATCAAATGGGAAGCAATGTTTAATTGATTAAAAAAACGTTTACAGATGGGTAAAAAAAACTGACAGCTAATTGATATGCTATGAGGGCTTCAGTTGGTTGAATAGTTCCAGTTTTCATTTCATTTATTAGTTCCGTAGGTGGTAAAAGTCTTATTTCTTCCAGACGGTCTTTTAACTGAAAATATACCCTTAATAATATTTCTATCGACAATAACTTTTATATACTGTATTATAAAGAATTATACTAACTCCAGATTGTTGATCCAATAGAAAATTTAATTGTTTTTCAAGATTGTTGATATCATAAGATAATTTAGCTCTCTTACGTTTTCTTTTACCCGCAAGTTTAACTCTTTTATTGATATTCACAGTAATTCTTATAGCGATATAAGACGTGACAGCAAGGGCAATGGCTTTAAAGTATTTACTATCAAGAAATTTTTGAAATAATGATCTTCCGTCCTTTTTTACGGCCTTAAATATGATATGTATTAATTCTTTGTTCATACGGAATTCCACATCTTTTAGTTGATCACGGATAAAATTAAATTTCAACTTCATTTTATTATCGTTCTCTTCTATATACTCTCTTCAAAATTTACCAAATTTATCCTAATAGCTTGATTAACTAACAAATAATACTTGATTTTTATTTATTTATCCTCTTTGAATTGCAGTAGATTGGCTTTTCATTTAGATAAAAAAGTTAATTACAAGTTTGACATGTGTAGAATGTCGTAAGCCTATTATTAGCAAAATATTGAAAAATACTCTTGTATTTACCAGTTTTCACAATAGAGCAGCCCACTTCTCAAGTTTAGAGAAATAACAAATTATCCTGGGTTAAAGAGCCAGAGGATGAGTTTAAAAGTTTATGACATATACCCTGCTCTAGAGAAACTCAACTCGGCATCTGACAAAGCAAAATCCAAGGTTTGCATCAATATATGCCATTTGTTTATGATTTCGTTTGCATTCTTATATCCGTAAAATATTGCAGATCGAATGTATTGAATGCAGTGATAAAAATTTATTTATAGGAACTAACGATTGGTAAATACAAAAATATAATGTATTTCAGGACTTATTTTAAATGATTTATCTAAAACAGCTATGTTATACATTATCTATTGGAAGAAGTGAAAGGAAGAAACAACCGGCTCTCTTTTAAAAGTGAACGCCATGAACACAAATACTTGGGCCTGGTAATAATCAATAATTTAGGGGGAATTATTAATTATAGTTAATTGCTTTCAGAAAAAGCCAATAGAAAAGCTGAATGTAGCAAAGGCTCTGAAGAGATTACTTGTATTATGTGATGAATCTTTGTTGATGTTGAATATGCTTCCTCTAGAACCCGTTGTTGGAATGGGTAAAATAAAGAGTGTTGTCAGCTTTTGTATAAATCCAAATCCCGTTAGAAAGAATCCTTTCAGTATCGAGGTATATTTTTCATCTAACTCTAAATCTTTAAGTATAATAACTATCCATTGACAGCTATGTATTGCACTTAAGAAAAGAGTGGTACAAGTGTATACTCTAACTGAAGATAGGGTGTTTGTTACAAAAGAAATTACAACACAACAGCCTTCTGTGTATATTGTAAGTATAGGATGTAATATTGAGAATTATAAAAAAAGTAGAATTCAATGATTTTTCAGTCGATGAATGCAAGCTACATATGCGCTGCTCTTCAAGATCAGTATATAATGATGAACACTGAAACTTCTACCGTTCAAGACTTATTCCCCTATCAAAACGAAAGAACAAACCCGCTAATCACTTTAATAAAAAATGTAACTTATTAAAACAAATACGATTGCTGATATTTAACGAAGCGACTTTCTTTTAGAACGAATACCTTATAAATGGTCCAAATGCCTTGGGAGTGTTTGTTACAACGGCTGGAATGTCACAAAGACCTCCTCTTCAGTGGAGTGAATCGCTTATTTCAGTAGTATGTTCTTATCCATACGTTCTTGCTCTAAATGATGAATTTATTACTATTCATAGGTTAATATATTTCTTTTGAGTAGCACTATTATGAGATTCATTATTTCTTTTTTCCCTAACAATTAGTATTCTAGATCAACAACAAAAACAGAGTATACCCTTTCAAGGAGGTCAATTTATAGCAGAATTTGGTGACAAAATTTTGGTTTCAACCCACTATCAAATTTTCGCTCTAGTTCCTATTTCATTAGAGACTCAGGTTAGCATATATGAGAAAAAAAAACAAATAATATGTTTAATAAATGATAATAAAACCTTAATGTTTAAAGGTCCAAGATCTGTTAAGTGATCGAAGAGTAGAAGAAGCTTTGGAGTTGACGAGCGTAATGGGAAAAGTTCAATTACCAGGGGAAAAATATCATAAAGTAAGAATTTTACTACTCAGTCGCCGTAGATGAAATTGAGATGTTAAAATAACTTAAAACTATCCATACTTACAGTTAATGAAAAAAGTACTTTTGATGGCTGGTTTTATTGAATTTGCGAACATGAATTTTGAAAACTCAACAAAATACTTTTTGAAATCGAAATTGGATTGTCGCGAGGTAGACTAGTGAAATTGAACCATATGCTTTAATTGTATTTTTATTTACTATTCACCTATAGCTTATTATACTTTTTCCAAATCTTTTACCGTCCGACAATGAATTTTCTCGTTCAATTCCACCTCTTCACGAAATTGCCGACATTTTACAACTATGTAAAGGAGATGCAGAAAAAATTTCCTTATATGAGGAATTTCTATGTAAAATATTAACCGCAATGGAATTGAACGATTCTAATAAACAATATAAAATGGTATATTAATTTAGTTAAATAATTAATTAACAATTTGTACTTGAATTGAATATAACCTTTCTTTTGTATAGGAATCTGATACTGCTCTTTTGAAAGTCTACGCAAAGAATAATTATGAAGAATTAATAAAATTTTTAGATAACTCTAATCGTCAGCTTCACGATGAGTGCATAGATTGGCTGAGGAATAGGAATAGACACTACGCATTAGGACTTTTATACGGTATAAAAAATAATTGGACAAGTGCCCTTGATATTTGGACAAAGTAATTTACTTTTAATGTTCTTCTTTAGTATTTATCCTCTTATATAATTTCGCATTTCATTTAACCTTCGCAGAATAGCGGATGGAGAATTAGAAGACGAAATGTTTCCTGGTATTGAATATGTTTTAGACTGTTTATTAAAGTTTGTTTTATTTTCTTTCACTTCTCATTTAATATTATCATTTCCTCCCTATTCAGGATTGAAGGAGACGAACTAGTATGGAGTTACCTTGAATGGGCTTTGAAGAAAGATCCAATTTCGGCTGTTAAAGTAGTTTAAAGAGATCAATTGTTATATAACATAATCAAATAATTTGCATAAAATTTTTAGATTATCATTCAACGACAAGAAAAGTATCCACAATCTGATTTATTTTTGGCAGATTCTATAATTGATCTCCTTCTACCGTATAATCGAGCTGTTACCACATATTTAGAGCATTTAGTATTTAAGCAAGAAACGAAAGTAGGATTTACCTCTTTTGAAATTGTAAAAATTAATCTCTCTTAAATCCTTTTTATGTACTTAGGAAGAGAGGTATCATACCCATTTAGCGGCTTTATATCTCGAGAGAGTTTTGAAGATCAGAGGTGACTCGACCGAGACATCAACTTATAAATTATCAACAAATACAGAATTAGTAAGCGCTAGGTAAATATTATAAAATAAAAATTATTCTTGAACAATATTATATACATATATTTAAAAATAGAAAAGATTTTCAAAGAATATTACGAGAATCCAGTCTCTTTCGTGTTCATTTAATCCTTGGAAAATTAAAAAATACCGATATGTATACTGAAATGGCAATTTTATATGGAAAGGTAAAATATCTATTTTCTTTTAGAGAAATTAAAAAACTGTTACCCTTTTTTCTTACATTAACAAACAGCTAGAGGAGCACGAAAGAGCTTTAAAGCTACTAGTTCACAAGCAGAGAGATTTTGTAGCTGCTGAAGAATATTGTGAAATGTATGCAAAAGGTCGAGATATTGAATCTAGACGTTATCTCTTTCATTCACTACTCCAAGTATATTTAGATGCTAAATATGAGTAAGCGCTTTGATTTTCCATTCAAGAAACTGTACAGAAATATATATTTTTCCATAGGAAAATTGATAATTTAATTGGACCGACAATATCGTTACTTAACAAGCATCCTGCAGAGTTTGATCCTGTTCGAGTTTTACAACAATTACCGGAAAATTTGTCTATAGGTCTTATATCATCCTTTTTGTCGAGTTCTATAAGGCGACATTTGCATGGGAGTAGAACGTCCAGAATTCATAGAATGTTGGCTAGGAGGCAACATCTACAAGTAAAATCAAGAGTTTTCCACGAACAACAAACTTCAATCACTATATCAGATAATCAGTTAGTTGAAGTAAAAAAAAAAACAACCAAAAAGATTATTCATGCATATGCATATTTGTTTTTTTTTTAAGTTTGTTTAACATTTCTAATTTGCCTTTTTTATTTCGTTTTTCAGAGTTTGCGACGTCTGCAACAGGATATTTGATGAGCCAACCTGCGTTCGTTTTCCGAATGGTGCGATATCGCATATTCAGTGCTCAAAAACTTCGCTCAATCCATTTTTGTAATTTATGTTGCTTATTCTTAAATGTTCTAGAATAGTTTCGAATATTTCCAAATAATCATTAAGCTGCCATGGTAATTGGAATATAGATATGCAGATAGCAAGATAATTATTTAAACAACACAATCTTCAAACGATTTAAAAAATTCTCGTTATTTACAAAATGAAAGATTATTGATAAACAAAAACAAAAAAAACAATCTTCAAATCGAAGAAATAAATAAAAGCAATTAAATCATTTAAATAATATCCGGAAGGTGATGATTTATTTTAGTTTCACAACAACAACAGTAGGCCACGAAGGTTCGCGACTGCTAATTGTTCTTTCATCGGATTTCTGACGTTTTATTTGACGTTTCGATGGTTCTATAAATTGATTGGTTTGCCAGTTTTCCTCAAAAACTGTAACTTGTTTTCCATTGTTAATAGTATCAAAGTTCGAATCAGAGATGAAGCGAGACTGATGTCCAGACTTGTGTGTAGGAAAATGATGACGTGTTTGAAAAAATCCTCTACCGCAGTCTTTTTCATAAAGGTGACAGCAGGCGTCTAATTTCCATATAAAGCAAATGCACAAGACCATAAATATCGATCCAAGAACGACGATGACTATTATTAGAAGCTTTGTAGGCTCTAAAACGTTCCTAAAATTAAAAAAGGAAAAAATTTTTGCTAACTAATGATTAATAGACGATTATAACGTATTAAGATTTGTGTCATTTGTCATTTCAAAGAAGCGTAGTATATACAAGGAAGTTATTAAGAGGTTTTTTTTTAATTTCTTAGAAAAGTCAATAACTAGAAAAAAGAAAAAAAAATTTCATTTCACGTGCCTAATAAGTATGATTCTTTCTCTTTCTTGACAATTAAAGAATGGAGAAAATATCAAATAGTACGTCAATTTAAAAACTCACGTTTCATATTCTTCAGTTGTTAGTACTGTTATATTTTGTTTTACAGTTATATTAATCATAATACGAAGAAGGCGTATAAATCACCTTTCTTTAAATAACGATATATAAATCTTTGAAAATGTCCCATTAAGAAAATAATATTATTATATATATGTATATAGATAGATATCTTGAATTGAATGAAGAAATTAATCTATTTATGCCAAGTATTATTAAAATTCTAACAACTCATTCTTTACATTAATAATTCAAAATATGAAAAAGAGATATAAAAGAAACATTTGAATATTTATATAGAAATTTGAAAATGCGTAAGCAGTGAGAGAAGTCTTTATCAATTATACATTTTTATTATGGGCGATAACATTCTATATAAATATACAGTATGTAATAACGTATACTATTTATACAATAATAATAATATATAGAGATATTTATTAGAGCTTTTAATTCAAGATCTGAATGTAGGATAGAATGAAAGATCGATATTTTTAATTAAAATTTAAGGAACATGACACGTAATTAGGTTGTAAACTATTGATTAAATTTCACATTCTAATTTTTATAATCCTAAAAGATTATACAATTTTTTATATTTTAATATTTATAAACTATTTAACTTCAATAATGTTGATTTATTCAATATTACTTATTCTCTCTCTCTCTCTCTTCCTATTCCCTTTCCCCTTCACTCTGTCCTCATTCTCCTCATCATCCTCCTCCCCACACACTTCGCTCTCGCCCTTTCTTCATTACATTTAGCATAAGCTTCCTTTGAAGTCCTATACATAAAATTATTAAAAGATAATTGTGTTTGTTTATGTAAAATTTCGCTCTTTTTATTATCCCTACAAATATTTACAACAAGTTGTTTATCACTCTTTTTTTCCTGATAACATTAATAAAATGATAAATACAATAATTAATAAAATATGCTTTACCTTATTGTTTATTTTTTAATAGTATAAATTCTTAAACAATGACAATAACAATAACAACAACAACAGCCTTAAGATAAATTATTAACACCAGTTGAATACCCGCATATTCACACGCACACGTACACACACACACATTCACACAATTTATACAGTATATATATATCTATATCTATATATATATATTAAATAAACTTTTGAAAGAAATAAGGTACTTATAGGCCTAATTGTTGCAGTGTACTGCGTCTCTACCGCAGGTGTCGCTAGTCGTAAACTGATCGATAAATGAAATGGTGTAGCGGTTAATGCGAATGAGAGAGTGAGGTTAAGAAGAATGTTGATTTTACCTTGAAAGTAGATATAGTTGAAATAATCACCAAAGAATATGAAGTTGACGGCCGGCATGCGTTTTCATCATGTACATTCGTCGGCCGTCTATTCAAAGCAGAATTATTCGATCGTTGAGAGAGATATTAATCAATTGGGTCACGGTATAGTTTTTACGTCACATCCAATAAATATTGGTCAAAGGATTCGATTAAGATTAATAAGAACGAACTTAAAATCTGTTGGAACTCTTCGTGTTGGATTAACTATTCATGATCCGAAAACTCTTCGAGCTGAAAATCTACCAAAGTTTTCGTGTCCTAATTTATCGAACAAAGAAGGTTTTTGGATGAAAGCCTTACCGCCAACAAATACAAGAACGTTCGACACAGTAACATTTTATGTAAATTCTAGGGGAGTTCTACATTATATGGTCGGTGGACTACACAAAGGTTCTCTTTTGGCTAAGCTACCAAGTAGCAGATCTATGTGGATGATATTTGAATTATTTGGTGATGTTATTGGTTTGGAATTTCAAAGTGGAGAGGAGGCACCTGCAGAAATAGTGGCTAGGGGACCAGACGCAATTCAACAATTTCATTCTGCTTGCGAAGATGGCACCGAAGCGGTGTATAGGACGAGATTAATGATAGTGGGAGGTGAGGGAGTAGGAAAGACGAGTTTAAAGAATTCCTTACTTGGTATAAAGTAAGTATTCAGTAAAAAAATACGTTAATAATATACACAGACAGCTTGTAAGAAAAAAAAATGTTACCAGGGCAACTTGAAAATATTCTATATACATATATGCATGTAATTTTCTTCTCTCTTTTCATTACAATAGGCATAGCTCAAGAGAAGAAAGAACGCATGGAATCGATTTGTCGGCATCATGCTCCTTTTCGCTACGGGAGGGTTCTTCTTGGAAACTGGCCATATCGAAAGGCAAACCTTGGCTTCAGTCACCTCACTCACCTTCACCCAGGAAAATAACACCGACGGAAATATTAGAAGAGGAGTATAATTATGCTATTGCTTCGAATATCGTCCAAGAACTAATATTCAAACGACGTCTAAATGAACAGTTAATCAGTGAGTCTAATAGGGATAAGGGTCAAGATAAACATTTAGAGGATACAAAAAATACTCAATCGTCCTATTTGGACGATGTCGAAACATCTGCACTATTAACGGATGTAACAGAGAGAGTTGCCACTTTGGTAGAGCGTTTATTGGCCGAAAGTGGTAGGACGGAGGAGAAGAACGACGATGTAGATGAGGACGACGTAGTTCTAAACATATGGGACTTTGCTGGAGGAAATACGTATTACGCATCTCATCAAGTAAATTAATATTAGCAAATTCTTGTATTGGATCTAATAAGTGTTTATGGTGTTAATTGTAGATATTTCTTACTCCGAGAGCAGTGTATATTGTCGTTTGCAAACTAGTCGATAATGAAAAGGATAGACAGAAAGTAAATGTAAGTGGGAAAAAGATTTTCTATTACTTATTGAAGAACAGAAAGAATCGAAATGTTGAATTAAAAAAAAAAACCCTGAATGATTGATTTTTTTCTTTTTTTTTGTGAACAGGCTTCCGTTGATTACTGGCTAAGAATGATACATTTGTACACGGCGGAAAATTCAAAGACAGGCGATTCATCTTTATCCCCTCCAGTATTTATTGTTGGAACTCATAGGAATCAGTTAGACGATGACGGAACGAAAAGAATAAAACTTGTAAGTTTAAAAATCAAAAATATTTTCTTTTCCTCCTTCTCTCTATCTATCTTTCCCTCATTCCCTCTTGTTTTTAAGTAGATCGATTCTTATCGATTGATAAGCTAGGTTTATATAGGCTTTCCTTTTCGTAAGAATGCATAAACTGAAGGACTATTTTTTCCATTACGTAGTATTTAATCTCGGAAGATTTACGACCGACTGTGTCCTTATTTATTTGACCTTTCGTTATAGGCCGACGAGGAATTCGGTAGAATTGAGGAAATGGTTCAAAGTAAACATTACGCCAACCACATTGTGCCAAAATATTATGCCGTCGACAACGATCTAGCAAACGACAAAGAGGTAAATGACGTCGGCGTTACCCTAGTAGCGATCAATAATTACTATTTTTAAAACAGATCGGCAACCTGAAAAAGCATATAGAGAAAGTTGCTTTAAATGAAGAGTATATGGGGGAAGAGACGCCCAGTCGTTGGTTAAAAATTGAAAGTCAATTATACGAAAAGGTGGAGGAGGGTATATATTTTATAACGTTTGAACAAATGAAACGGTTGGCTAACGAATACGACGTCGAGAGTGTTGAAGAACTTTACACTCTACTACATTTTTTACACGATGTTGGCTCTATTTTGTATTTCGGTTCGCTGACATCGCTAGATTCTACTCTAAATTCTATTATAATTCTACAACCTCAATGGCTTATCGATATGTTTGAACGCTTGATCGACTGTAACGCCTACGTGTCAGATGCTAATGAACAATACGCTGCAAAACTTGAAAATCAGGGTGTTTTAGACGAACGCCTAATAAGTGAAGTTGCGCAAGATGTTAGCCAGCAAATACCTGCTTTGTTGGGTTTATTAGAGAAATTTGATCTGATTTGTAGAAGTGTTCCATCAAAGGCTGCATCGGTAATTAAAATAATATGATTTAATTGATAATGAGTTTTATTAATTAATTCCTGTGTTTTATTAAAAAAACAGTTAAACGGCGATAGTGTTAAAATAGGGAAATCGTATATAGTTCCTTGTAAGTTACCATTGAGTAACAGTAAATTATATAATCCAGTATCTACCAATGACGTTCGGTTTTATTACGACTTTAATGGATTTCTACCGGAAAGTGTTTTTAATCGCATATTAGTTAGATCAATTCGTTGGTCTCAATCATCCAGCTCATACTCACCGAAACTCTTTCGTCGCCAAGCTAGATTATACTTAGATAGTGAACATGATTTTTGCCTAGAAATGCCCAACAGTGAAAATCCTTCAAGAATTACTATTGCTGTTATTAGAACAATGGACGCAGAGGAGAGCGCCGAAAGACAAAAGACCATTTTACAACCAAAGTCAACGGCTAATGCAAAAGTAAGAAATTTCTTGGAAACTACATTGTCCGAGATAAAAGGTACTTGGTTAAGAAGATTAAGTTACAGATGTGTCGTTCAATGTCCGTGTGATAAACCATGCTATTATCATGGGGATTCGCGTTGTAAACAGGTACAATGCATGCATTTCCTTGATTTAGACGAATGTCTAGCGTCAAAAGTTGTATCGTGTGAACATCGTCGTATAAAGACTGGTCAATTTCGAAAGTGGTTTCCAGCTATTGTTGAAGAGCGTATGGGACCAATTTTATCAAAGTCTATAACTCAAGATTATGAATTATTAAAGAAGCATAGTGAAGCTAAAAACACTGAAGTTCCTCAATGGGTAAAGAGTGCTGCAAAATTATTAAACGGAGGAGGTGAAGGACAAGACTGGTCGTCGCTCGGCAAGAGATTGGGATATAAAAGATCCAAAATGGATCGTTTTAATGATGACTTAAACCCCGGCCTTGCTTTGCTATTAGACTGGTTAATAAGTTCGGGAAATACAGCTTTATCAGTTGACATGATCGTATCTTGCTTAGAGCAAATGAAAAGAGATGATATTGTAGATATCATTCATAAAGGACAAGGTAAGCTGATCGATATGGGATTTCTCCCTATGATGCGTTTCAATTAGAATCATTTATTCCTAATTTATGAGTCTTTTCTTCCCCTTCACTAATAGAAAATGATAGTCCTTCACCACAAGTGTTCATAAGTTATGAATGGGAATCCCAGGACGACGTCAAAGCAATAAGGGATCGTCTCGAAAAGTGTGGCTTTTCCTGCTGGATGGATATTGGTCAGATGGGGGGAGGCGATCAATTATACGCTAAAATTGATAGAGGTATACGTAATTGCAAAGTTGTTCTTGCCTGCATTTCGCCAAGGTTTATCGTTTCTCACTATTGCCAAAGAGAATTAAATTTGGCCGATCTCCTTCGAAAACCTATCGTACCTGTCTTAATTCGTTCAGTACCTTGGCCACCGCCAGGCTCGATGGCTCTACTCCTAGCTCAACTAGTATATATAGACCTTGAGGGAATAGGAGGACACGGTGGATGCGGAGTTCACGCTGATTTAGAGGAAAAATATCGAGAAATTGTTCAAAGAATTTCCAGACACGCTCTACCATCACATATACGTTCTCCACCACCAATGGAAGAGGATCAAGACATTGATGTACCTCATTCGAAAGTTCTCATTCAAGAATATCGCCGTCCGTCCAGGAGGGTAAACCTATATAATGCCGAAGAGTTTAGAAACAGTTCAGAAGTTGGCAATAGAAGACAAGTTGAACAAGTTCATATTCCGCGGTGCACTGTCTGTACAATTTTGTAGAAAAAGATAAAAATAAAAGATAACTCAAAGGAGTAATCAAAGAGAGAGAGCGCGTGAGAGACAAAGAGACAGAGAGTAGAAAAGAAGTAAAATAGTAATAGTTTCTCTCTCTGTATAAGTTAGTTTGTGCGTATGAAAAAGAGTGCAAAATGAAAAGGTGACTTTGCAAGTGATAAATATATAGATATTTTAAAATTAAGAAGAATCAGTATTTTCATTCATTTTCTTTCTTTCTTTCTTTCTTTCTTTATTTTCTATTGTTTTATTATTACAATGTTCATCATTTTACCCTTGATGTGATCCTGTGATATTAATTTGTCTCCAGTTATGCAGTTAACATTCTCCGTCCGCGTTGTATAAATCTGTCGTTGCTTTCGTTGTTGATAATATTTTTAATACACTTGTGGTGCATGTATTTATTTAAATGGATGCACATTCAATATATTGAATATAATGTATATACTCTATCTCTAATATATAGATGATACATACTGATTGTTATGTTTTTTGTAGTTAATATATATTAAATTAAGTTGATCACACTATTTTGCTAAATTGGGGAAAAAAAGGGGAAAAAATAGGTAATTTTCTTTAATTATTTACGAGGTTTAGGCCTTAATTAATTGTACCTAATAAAGACAAACAAAACCACAAACATTTGAAAATATCTAGCACTCGCAAATTAGAACAATGTATCATTCTATCAAGGGATAATACGTCTATAATTTTGTACGTTATTATTAAAGGGAGTATTATAGATATAGTAGATGTGGTATATCATTTAATAAATGGTATATATAATAAAAAAATGATAACTTTATAACTAAAACTGTTGAATGAATGAATAAATGAGTGAATAAAAAAAAAAGCGTATAGAATAAAGTGGGCGACATATGTAATTATCCTTAATTCGTTCGCTTTTTCCTTTTTATTCTCTTTTTTTATTTGGGTTGTTAATCAACTCGTTCAGACCGGTTTAGTAAGTATAACTATTATTTTCCTATTAATTCTCTCTCTATCTCTTTCTCTCTCTTTTTGTCTTGTTTTTTATAGTAAAATTCTCTCCCTACGCTCTCTTTAGCAAATCCTTTGCTAAAGTAAAGAGACAGAGAGAGAGAGAGAGAGAGAGAGAGAGAGAGAGAGAGAGAGAGAGAAAGAAAGTAGCAAATCAATTCTTGTACATTTTCATCGGATTGTACTAACCGATTTTTACTTTGGTTTATATAAACTTATACAACGATTTTCTCTTGTATAATGCAAAAAGTTATATGCATATACAGTATAATAGTAATAATAATAGCTTAATGTATATAACGGTGTTTCAAGATGATAATGTTTAGACAAGATGTTATTACAATTATTAGGCCTATTGTTTCTTTTTTCTTTTTTTTTTAATTTTTACAGAAACATATAGTACAGTTTTTGCAGCTGTTAGATGAGTTTTGAATATTAGAGAAAGTGGGGACTAAAACTACCAGAATGATTAGTTTTATTTACGATAAAAGACAATTGATAAATATTAAAGATTATTTCTCTATTATATAATTTCTATTAGATTTATGAATAAATTATAAATATATATAGTGTTAGAATTAATTCAATTTGTAATAAAGAAACCCCACTTAGATCTTCCAATTAGAATTATTGAAATTTTCTTATGGACATAGAACAGCCGTTAGTTTGCTTTTTAAGGATTTATGTAGTGAGACAAAAAATTAGTTTGTAAGTTTTATTGAAACATGGAAAAAAAAATGTTATCTTTTATTGCTGATTTAAAGCGTAAAATTAGCGATTTGAGTAAGGATGATAAGGAAAAGGCAGATGAAAAGGAAGCAGAAAATGAGAGTAGTAATTATTTAATTATTAGTCAGAATCATATGGGCAAAAAAATTATGAAACATTATATAAAAGTATGAATTCGTGTGCTTTAGATATAAAAGTTGAGGAGGAAGGTGCTGCAAAAGGTGAGGTCGAAGAGGCAGTGAGTGAAAAGGAAGCTCCCGATAAAGTTCACCAAGAGATAAAACAGGAAGAGAACGCAGAAAGGAAGGAGACCGAAGAAGCGGTGAAAGAGACAAAAGAGAAGATATTAACAGAGGTAAAAGGAGAGAAAGAGGCGGAAGAAGAAAAAGAAGCAGAGAAAAAAGAAGAGGTTGAAAAAGTGAAGGAAGAAAAGAGTGAAGAAAGAGAAGAAGAGATAGAAGAAGTGAAGGAAGAAAAGATTAAAGAAAAAGAAGAAGAGAAAGTAGAGGTAAAAGAAGAAGTGAAATCAGAAGAAGAAAAACCAAAAGTTGTAAAAGAGGAAGCTATAATAGAAGAACAAGAGGAAGAGCAACAACAGGAACCAGAACAAGAACAAGAACAAGAACCAGAACAAGAACCAGAACAAGAACAAGAAGAGGATATGGGTAAATGTTGCAGTTGTATAAAGGTAGGTGTTAAAAAAAACATATGCATAGCCATTTCTATTGATTTATCATAGCATATAAACTGTTCAATTGGTTTTCACTTGTGATTATTACAGACATATGACACTCTAGAGGTAATGTCTATATAAGCTTTGAAAAATATTACTCATACGATTAGAACAATCGTTTAAATTATGCATTTTTCATCGAATATTATCTTGAAAAGCAATATTAACTTTCTTATAGATAAATACTGCAATGACATCTATATACTCAACAAATTTGTGTCATTTATATAATTAACAACTGTCTAATAGAGCTTATTGTATGATGAATGATCATTTAACAATATGAATTCTTCTCAATTTTATTTATTAATCATTATCTACAGTCAGAGGCGGAGGTGCCAGAGGAAATTAAAAAAGAAAAAGACGGTAATGACTTTGAAGAGGAAAGAGCTATTCTTATGGAATACATTGTTGAAAGTGAAATGGTTAAAAGCTGTTGTATTGTTAGCTTCCCGTCTGGTCAGATAAGAGTTAATTTTCCTGATGAATTTGTGCCTAATAGAGAAGGTTTTCTTTTGTTTATTTGTTATTTTAATGTTTCAATTGAATATAAAAGATTTTTAACGACTTTTGCAGGAATTCAATACGTAATTGAAGGCTTTCAGGGTAAGCCTGAAAATCTAATAGAACATGGAATCTCTCTAGGTTGTAATCTACCAAATATTACTCCTGGAAGTTACGACGAAGGAGAAGCTCTCTACTCAATAGACGAAGCTACACAAATAGGTTGCGCCGTAGTTAAAACTAACCAGTGCCTCCTATTCGTAGTATTCGAAGGTCAGCTCGCGCCGGCATGTCGTCTAGCTTCCGAAACTGGGAAATTAATGAAAGAGAGAGGTTTATAAATAAAAATTATGCTAGATATAGAGAAATAGATGGAAGATAAAATGAAGAGAAAAGTTTATAAATTTATTCTATCAGTTTAAAGAGTTTAAATTTAAACAAATTTCTATTTAAAAAGTATTCCAATTTTCGTTAATTTATATTCTATTTTCTTGTTAGTAAAGATAATCAATAAATAATCAATACAATTATAATTACTTATTCGAAATTGTAGGCCAAAGTCTTTTTTCTGCCTGTGTCCTAGAAATGGGAAACCATCTTAGTAAACTGTTTTGATATTTACTTTTAAGAATAGAATGACAATTATTCCAATAAATACCCTAGAAATAGTGATATTTAGATACTATAGACCCCGGAAAGCTTTTATTATCCTAGTGATTGCATTGAGTCTAAAATAATCCACATATAGTTTTCTCCCTCGCTCTATTCAATTCTTAAACAATGCCTCAACCAGAAAACGCTTTTGTCATTCTCTTCTTTTACTTCTGGTCTATCTTCCTGAAGATAAACTACAAATAGGGAAACAAACAAATTAGTCTAACCTATAAAACATCAGCTAATAATTATTGAGGGAAAAAAATTGTCCAAGAATTAGATAAGAGCAATTATAAACATTGTTTGTAAAAGTTCTATTCCCCTATTTTCTATTCTTTCCTCCCGCATCCATTGTTTCCTTTATTCGCTCTTTTCTATTCTTTCAACGACAGTAGTAGCTAGAGAGAGAGAGACAGAGAGACAGAGACTTTCATTTATAAATTCGAACAATTTTACAAAGCTTGATTTATCATCTTTCTCTTTCCTATTGTAGAATTTTAGTTGGAAATATAGCGCTCAACCAAGTGTAATTACAAAACAACTTGTTCGTTTTTACAGCTCATTATGCTAATCAATAATATTGCGGGTAATTAGAGATAAATACACTTTATGAAACTTGCATTAAATATGCTCCATATACATTATATATACTAATATATCGGTTAATATTTTCTTGTTTTTAATAACATTTATAAACTACAGATGTCGCTTAAACAATGAAAATGTTTTTAAAACTGTAATGTTATGGTTACCTTTTGAAAAGTTATAATGATTCTTGACAATTTTAACCTGGTTGTATAAGAAAAAAACGTCTATAAATGAATGAATGAATTGTATATAAATAATATATAGTATACAATATATTACATAGGACGTAAAGGAGATGGAAAGAAAGATAAATAGAATGGGATAAAATTCTTTATACTACGAAATATAATTAATCCTTTAGCTGACAAAGTCGGTGAAATCATCGACGAGAGAAGAGAGCATTGGTAACAGAACACCTAAATGACATCTACATGTTGGGACGGAGGAAAAGAGAGACATTACAAAGTAATTTTTCAGTTCCTATGATTCCGTTACGATTTCCTTTAAAAAGAGCAGGTAGTTTTGAGAAATATACAGTAATAAAACATATAACGACGGTTTAATGAACAGTCTGCTAAAACAAAAAAAAAACAGAAAAAATCAGTACATTTATTAATTTAAACAATTCTTTATGCAGTTGTTTTTCTTGTTTTTTCTGTTAAATAATTAATTAAAATAGAAAGAGCATCTTATTCATTAATCATTTAGTCTTTTATCAATTTAATTATATCAAATGATACTTATTAAAAGAACAGAATGGTATCAAATTTTTTGTCGTGGTTTATTTTATAAAAAAATAATTATTTCCTAATAAAATCATTACTTATAAAAGAAATCTTATTAATTTCTTATAGTAATATATATTATAAATATTCTATTAAATCTATATATTCTGTATATACAGTATATATATAGTTCAAAAAGCATCTTTGTTGTGTTAAATAAAAGAGTAGATTTAATATGAAAGAATTGAATGTTATGTGATACAATTGTTCAGCTATTAAACACTGAAGTTTCTCTCTCTCTCTCTCTCTCACTCACGGTAATATTCTGTACAAAACTAGAGAGTAAGATATATTTTACATATCCTAATGATCACATTTATTAAAAAGAAACGCATTATAATTCCATTTAGACTTTCTATCAAACGGTATATTTAATGATATATATATATATATACTGTAAACATCAATGTACATTACGTAATAAGTTAGAAACTTTATATCATGTTAAAAATATACTACTAATAATAATCATACAATAGAAACGCCCATTTATACATGTTTTCTCTTTCTTCTCTCTCTATCTCTCTCTCTCTCTGTCTTTAGTTTTCTTTCCTTTGTATATTCTACTGTAGTTATTAATATCTAATTTGTCTCTTAGTCAATTTTTAATATGTCAATAGACAATTCTTAAAAGGAAAGTTTATATTTTATTTTTTATTAAACATATAAGCTTAAGATACATTAATTTTCTTAGAAGCAAAACTAAACCTACCTCTCCTCCGTTTGTCAAAAATTAAAAAAAAACAAACATAACGACAATATATTTATTTAGATTATCTGTACTTTTGACTGTTAACGACCTTTTGTACTTGTATTGATAGAGGAAACCTTATTGAAAATATGTATCTATAACCTGGTTGATTAAAGACTCTATCGTTGGGTTTTGTTTATTTATAAGGCGTAAGGTTAATGTCCTTAGGGTAAAAAAGGGGCTTTCTTTTCCATTCTATTACATTTTAATATGCTATCGTATATAAAGACTTGTCTGTGTAGGTGACTAAAGGTGACAAACTCGCAAATAAATTGTATTTATTAACTTTATGAAAGCTGTATAGGTAAGGAAAAGAAGAAGAAGAAGAAGAAGAAGAAGTATAGTTTCGTCTCCACCCACTCAAGTAATTATTATTTTCTTTTCTTTATCACTAAAATATGCATTATCAACATCATCCTTTTCATCCTCTCAAGGATAGGATCAAAAGAATTAGTTGTATGTATATTTGGTTTGGTTGTGGCGGGTTTTAAATTGATAAATATGCTAAAATATGTATAAACTGTATTGCATTCCTTCCTCTATCGTGTTCATGTTCTTACATTAATAAACGGAAATAAATAACCTATAGGCTGTGTTTCACCTTTACAGTTCTTCTTAGATTTTACCAATAGACAGTATACAAGTAACGAAGTATTAAGTAATATGAATGAATGAATAATTAGATTGATATGCACATATTGAAAGGTACTTCGTTAATGTAGATGATATTGTAAACGAGTACCATTATGCTAATGAGATTAATTTAATGAAATTGTATAAAATTAATCAATATTTAAATTTTTCTAATGAATTAACAACGACTATTCGCATATAAATTTTACTTTATTACTTTCTCTATATTCCTGTCCATCTCTCTCTCTTGCTCTTCTTCTTCTTCTTCTTCTTCCACTTCTTGTCAAATATATTTCTTGAAAGTTTATTAAGAAATAAATCCCTTGTTAATTAATTACCTCTTTAGATGTCACTAGTTCCGTTTAAATACCGTAGATGGCGCCTCTCTTTTAAATTCATTGATCGTAAACAAATATGGCTGCCTTCTGTTGTTGACTAATTAAGTTTTAATAAAAAATTAAAAGATTTCACGACATCGGATATAAGGATTATCAGCTTTCAAACTTCAATTCAAGGTTGATGTCAATCAAATGTTCAAAGAAATTACGTCATTGAAACATTATCGCAAAAGCACGTGCGAAATATAAAGCATGCAAAATTCAACCAGATGATGCGTCGGAATAAAATTTTAACGATTTCTCTACGTGAATATCTTCAAGTTCGACAAACTCCTCTGGAAGATAATCAAATATGGGCGATCCTTTACGGCGGAGCGAAAAAGCTGCAAAAAAAGTTAAGTTTAGGGGAAACGATCTATCACCTCTCGCCCATAACTCCTGATACAATTTGCATCAAAAAAACCGGAAGCATAGACATATCTAAAGATCAAAATCTAGAAAAAATAGACGATTTTCTTCCTCCAGAATCCAATGGTTCTTCAAGCAATAATGCCGATAATATTGAGAAAACATTAGTTTATTCTTTAGGAATGACGGCCTATAATTCAGCTGATTTTGGTCTAAACGAATCTCAGGTCTGCTAGGCCTATTTTGTATTTTTTGCATCTTATTCTTTTATATGATTCTTTCGATTAACGTATATTTTCTTTTTTAAAAAATAAAAGGAATTAAAAGTCTCGGAAGACTTAGACTCTCTTCTTAGTCGAATGTGTTCAGACATGCCCCAACATCGACCAACTCTATTAAGAATAAAGCGCGTAAGTTAATCTTTCATATTTACAATTGCTTTGTTCATTTCTTATATAATTCGTTCAATACTTTAGATTGCCGCCCACCATCTGACCGAGAAAAAACCTTCGGAAATTCTATTAGACATGTACGAGACGGTTCTAGGCAACGAGTCTGATTACGATTTCTTTTCGGACGAAGACGATAGTTTAGCGTCGTTTAACACAACTATGGGTTCGGAGGAGGTAGTTTACGATGCGCGTTCCGAAAGGTCCTCCCTGTATACGCAATCTTATAAACGAATAAAAAAACGCCGTAATAGATTAAGACTATTGCGTAACGTTAGTTCAGATTGGAGCGATAGCGAAGACGATGAAAAATCTAATTCGCGTGGAAGAAGATTTCTTAATAGGTTTACGGCCTCTGATACGGAATTAAACGGAGATCAGAGCGGTAATATTATGCAATCTAAGAGAAGGGTAAACGTTCCCCCCAGATTACCTATTCCTGAGAATAGACGTTCAAGAAGATTACACAAATCTTCGGAAAGCAAAGTTGATTTTATCAAGAAGGTACGCCTGTAGAAAATTTTTTATCTAACTTTACACGCTTGTTTTTGTAAATAGGCAGCCAACGGCGTGGAATTTATAGAAAATGGTAAAAAATCAGTTATGAAATATACGCTACCGCAATGCAGTTCGTACGAAACTAATTATTTAAGAAGAATACAAATTGTTTTATTAAATGGACGAATTCTTGAAATAATGCTCTCGCCAAAGACTATTGTTAAGGAGGTTTTTGAATTTATTGTTAAATTAACTAAAGTACCCGAACCATACTTTTTTGGATTGATGAGGGTCAAAGGTAAAAGAATATTAATAAATAGTAACATATATAGTATTTTCCTCCTTACTCTTTCATAGATAACGAACAATTTTTCTTGGAATTTGAGGAGTCGTTCGGAAAAATGGATAGTCGACTTTGGAAAGATGAATCTCAAAAATTTGTTCCTTATACTTTAATTTTATACTTTAGAGTTAAATTTTACGTCGATAATACAGACTTAATAAGGTTCCTAGAAAGATATAATGATCAATTAATTCTTTAAAATAGTAATCTATTATATTTCAGACACGATTTTACCGCTCACATGTTCTATCTACAACTACGACAAGATTTGCTATACGAAAGAACCAGTTGTAATTTGGAAGAAGCTATAGAAGCTTCTGCGTTTGCATTAAAAGCCGAATACGGTGATTTCGATTTAAAGAAGCATAACTTCCATAGTGAACATTATATATGTTCCAACCTATTAAGACAACATTCGAAATCCAACGTTAAAACGAATATTATTGAACAATATAGAAAACTAAATGATCTATCGTATTTAGAGGCCGAATTAAAGTTTATAAAGGTGTTAAAATTTGTATATATATACTGTATACTGTATATACTGTATATACTGTATATACTGTATATATATATATATATATATATATATATATATATATATATATATTTATACAATAGCAAATTCTATAATAATATTTTAATATTTGTCTTTTACTATTTATGCCCAGCATGTTCAACAATTGCCTGAATACGGTTTGCATTTCTATAAAGTTTATAGGAGCAAGAAAGAATTAAGTAAATATTTCTACGTTGGCATCGGTTTACACGGAATTGCTCTTGGGGAGGAGAGAATGTATCGAAAGTCTATTATAAATGTATATATTCACCTACTCACATACTAATCTATTATACGTTATAGTATTTGTATTTAATTTCCTCCATTTTTCTTTTATGTCATCTCTTTTAGAGATTTTCATGGGCTTTTGTCGATAAGATATCGTTTAGTAAGAAAAGATTTAGCATCTCGCCTAAAACTGATGTTGGTACAAGAGCAACAAAGATGAATTTTATTACTGAAAGCCACAATAAGTGATTAATCTTTTTATTTCTCTACATCACTTCAATATCATTATCTCTCTTTTATTTAATAGGAGTCAATATCTCGTTGAACTTGGTAGAAGTCAACATCATTTCGATATTAGAATGAAAATGATAGCTACAGATTTATCTCCAACTTCAATTATCAATCAAAGTGATAGCGGTAATCCAAGATTATTCATTTATAAACGATTATCAACTACTGTTTTCTTATTCTGTAAAGGTACCTATTTCTCAACTAACGACGATCAATTAGATTCGGGATATTTTCAACCTACTAATGCTCAGGAAAACAATGAATCTTCACATAAATATAGAAGCGAAACAACCGACGAAAGTGCTCTTTTCTACGATAGAATGTTGTAAAAATATACCCTATCAATTTTTTTATTTTATAGCTATTCTAATGTTATTTCATTAATTTTCACCTTTTAGAAGTAGGGGGGAACAAGAGGAGATTGACGTAACAAGAAGCCCGGAAAAAGAGACTAAACGTTACAGAGATCAGGCGACATTTACTAGCTTCAAACGTCATCATAGCGACGTAGATAGTTTGTTTAACGAGAGAAAAATTTCTGTTGTTCAAGTTACAAAGGACGCTGTCCATGGTATAGGAATGACTTTAAATACAAGAGAAAATGGTATTTTCATAGAAGCTATGGAACCAGATGGCCCCGCCGTTAAAAACGGTAGAATAAAAGTTGGTGACAAACTTTTAGCAATTAATGGTCAGAGTGTAGAAGGGTTGAAAATGGAAAGGATATTTAAGATCATATCCAATGGGTCTAATCCTCTCCAGTTACTCCTATCACAAAACATGAACGTTCACGGTGATTTAATGCCTCGGGACAATCTTCAAATCTTAGCAGATGTTCACGTAGATAGTGTAAGTCAACAGGTTAGCGTTGACCAACACCTCCATTCTCAGGGTTTGCAAACCGACGATGAATTGAAAGAAAGCAAATGCGTACAAACCGATAAAGCAGTCGAAGATTCCATATTTGGAACTGACGTTGAAGTTGAGAATGTTTTAAGGCGTACTTCCAGTAGAAAGAGCGAGACAAAGACTTCAGATATAAGTCGAAAAAGTTCAACACGATCTATAAAAGTAGAGAAAGTAGTGGAGGAGCAGAAGCATGAACAAGAGCAAAAACATGAACAGAAAGAAGAAGAACAAGAATCCCTTTTATCAAATGACAAAGAATCAGTTTTCATTGACAGTGAGTTGGTAGATGATTCCTCACCTTCAATTTTCGTTAATGAATACATAGACGACCTTACACCGGGGGATATTTACTTTGTTAACATAAAAAGAGTGAGCAAGTTAGGTTTTGGATTTACAGCCGAAGTAAGTCTTTCAAAAAAGAAAAAATTCCACTTTAAAGAGTCTTTACTATTTAATTATTTGTATTTGACATACACAGATGCATAACTCGTTTAGTGGCCAGAAAAGAGTATTAATCAAAGATATTATAGATAAAGGGCCAGCTCAAATGAGTAAAAAGATGAAAATTAGAGATATTATCTTAGAAGTAAATGGTGAAGCAGTTATGGATAAGAGCGAAGAGTTTATAAAGCATATGATACGAGATAAACGAGAACTAAGCTTACTGATGGAAAGGGGTATTATGGAGGAGACGTTAAAAAATGATATTAGCCTCAATCAAAGTAAGCCATCTATCTATCTAGTCTCTTTTCACTAATTGCGTTTTGTATTTATATTTAACAGCATTCGAGATTAAAAACAATAACTACGAAGAAAATAATATCATGCCAATCGTTCCCTCGGCAACACCCTCTGCTGTTTTAAACTTCGAGAAAGATGCTGGCCTTTTATCGGAGGATGAAGGCTTTAAGCAAGGCGTATGTTACGAGAAAACCATTTTCTCTTTGGATATAATTTCATACTTATATTATCTTTTACGCATATATATATTTATATATATATATATATATATATATATATTATGTTTATATTCAGGAATACGAAGTGACATTGACTAAAGGGGATCATGGGCTAGGATTTACTGTAGCCGGTGGACGAAAAACTACTGGCTTTTGCTACATTAAAGATATTTTACACGAGCCAGCAATTTCTTGTAAACAACTGAAAGCTGGAGACAAACTTATTCGAGTTAATAATTTTATAATATTTACGAAACAAGCAAACAAACTATTACAACAAGTATTCTTTCTTAAAGGTTAATGGAGTTGATATGAGAGGTTTGGCTCACGATGAGGCCGTCACGTTTTTAAGACAGACAGCTATTGTTTGTACACTCCGCTTACTTCAAGCAACGTCGAATGAGTCATCTCAATCGTCACTAGTAAAAAAACCCATTAAAGACATTATAGGGAAATTTGAAAAATCCAAAATGCTAATCAAGCCTATAAGCAACGCTGCGGAAAAACCTAGAAGCGAATCAACAACTTCCCTCACTGATGTTACGCCAGAAGATGACATAATACCTCAACAACTGCCCACGAAAGTAAGTTCTATTTCACCCCCGGAATGTTTTTTTCCAGGACCTTTTGATGAGCGGTCTCTTTTCCTTTGACAGAGATTATTAGTAATTGAATTAATGAAGCCGGATAGCGGTTCTCTCGGATTAATATTAGAGAGAGCGGAGAGGAACGGAAAACCTGCCTTAATCGTTAAAGAGGATAAGAATGACAAACTGCAAAGAGGTGATAGAATCGTCGAAGTGAACGATATATCAATATTAGACTTAAGTCACGCCCAAGCTGTTGAACTAATAAAAGATTCGCCAAAATTATTGAAATTAACTATTTCACGGTAAGGTTATAACAAAAAAAGATAAAAAAAAAGATAACATAACAAACAAACAAACAAAATGCTTTATATTATCAGTTTGACATGTTTTTTTTCGATTTTTCTAAAACGATAACGGTTATTTAGGGTTGAAGATGATATAAATGTGATGTGAGTTCTATTTTATATATATATATATATATATATATTCATAAATACTTATAAGTGGCTTGCTTAACCGTTTAGTTGTTGATCATGTAAAATACCGCTTCGAGAATGCATCCTCATAACCTTTCTGTCGTATATATTTTCAATCTTGTCTTTTTGTTTTTTTTTAAAAAAACAAATTAATAGCAAAATTTATACTTTATGCTTTTTTTTCTCTCCTAACCAAAAAAAAAACAACAACGACAAATTAAATAGGGCGCCAGATAAGCCTATAAGGAAGAGCGCAACTCCTAAGCAATCATTAAATGGAACGTTTACGACTCCTTCACTTCCGTCGGACGAAACCGATAGCGATATAGATTCTGTTGTAATGAAGAATATTGGCGCCGATACGGAAGCTAAGGAAATTGGTAGTTTACTTGCTAAGAAATCGAAAATCTTCGTTCCAGAGAAAGTAACTGATAGTTGGTTGAAAAATGTTCCTATAATAGACGGATATATCGGTAGTCGATATACTGGGGAACGGTTGGAGGCGGTTATTGATAGTTTCCAACGGAAAATCGATTCGAACGAAATTGTGGATGAGTATAAACTTTTAAGGAATACAAAATTATCAGATTCCTGTATAGAAGGAACACGGTTGGAAAACAAGCCAAAGAACAGATTCAGGAACGTTATACCATGTATGTGTTAGGGATAGATTATGGCAATTAATTCTGTTGCCCTGTTTATTTATATGGTGTTCTTTCTTCTTTTAGACGATTTCAATCGCGTTAAACTCTCTTCAACAACCCCTGACGACTACATAAATGCCTCTCATATTCGGGTAAAAGTAAACGAAAACCATACCCTACATTATATAGCCGCCCAGGGGCCTCTTCCACGCACGACCGCCGACTTCTGGAAGATGATACTAGAAAATAATGTCGAATGCGTAGCCATGGTTACTAATGATACAGAAGGTGGTAAAATAAAATGTCATGCTTATTGGCCGCCCAATGTTGCCCAGCCGTTTACGATATTTGATCGGTTAGTACTTTTACCTATAACAATATTAATTCCTCCTATTTCAACAAATCCTCCAACGAATATCCCTATACTGTATATATATATATACATTATATCTACAAAATATAATCCTCTTCTGTTGATCATCAACAGGTATGAAATACGCTTATCAAGGGTACAAGTGTTACAAAATTCTATTGTTAGACAAATCGATATTGAAGATTTACATACCAGGGAAGTAAAGATTATAAAGCAAATAAATTTTACGTCTTGGGCAGACAATACTGCCCCTCATTCAGCGGAACCGTTTTTAAAGGTATATTGAATATCTTCTACTTGATTCATTTTCACTTAATCTCCCCGTTTTTTAGTATATACGTCTAGTTAATTTACTAAGAACTACAAATGCACCCGTTGTCATCCATTGTAGCGCGGGAATTGGTAGGACAGGTGCTTATATTGTAATCGATACTATTTTAGAATGTATCCGGCTTGACATGGAAATTGATCTGGAAGAAATAGTTCAAGAACTGCGTAAGCAACGACAAGGAATGATTCAAACCAAAGATCAATACTGTTTTTGTTACGATTCAACGGTAGAAGCCTTAAGAAGTTTAATTACTAAACAAATGTGAACTACCTTGCAATTGTTTGTTTTTTAATCAGTCATTTTTTTTTTATTTCACTATATCTCTGTCTCGCTCGCTTGATCTGTCTCTCTTTTTCATCGTTTTATATCTTCTTGATCCACCTTATCCGTCCACATTATACATATATATATATATATATGCAGGGGACACTTGGTATTTTGATATTTTACTCAAACTTTAAAAGTCTTGCTCCGTTTTATTCCTTTTTTTTCGTATTGCTGATGTGATGTTTACTATTACTTGTTTGTTGGATTAAAATAAAAAGCAAAAACAACAGATAATTTCATAGTTTACTATATTTTTGTATATAAATCTGTAGGAAGAAAAGAATAACTTTTGCATTATCTCTCTCTCTCCTCACAACAATTGATTCTTTTCAGGGTGTACTAGTATTTTTTTACCCAATGATTCTCTATTGTCAATTTTAAATTTTTAAGTATATAAGATATAGAGTACATGAGCAAAAGTCGATATAGTGCTTTGTTTTTACCTTCTTTTGAGGATAGATTGATTGATCGTAGGTCCATTAAGTACCCTGTTGTTCCGCCATTCTTTGTAAAGTATTAGAGCGAACCCTGCGTGACCGTCAAGTATCACCTTTTACTGTGTGCACTTAAAAGTTTTGAAACTGTTTTACATTTAAGTGACAAGTAAAATGATCAGGCCTACATTAGTGGTGTATCTGTTGACTGATAAACTTTCCCTCTAGGATAAGAAAAACAGAAGGAGGGCAAATCTTATATTAAGATTATTTCTTTTTTCCCTTTTAAAATTCTTGTTGGTTCCAAACTTCTAAGGCTTTACCATTCTTTCCCTCGATAATTACGGCAAAGTTATCAACTTACTTCATTAATGCCGTTAACAAAGGTGTAATTTAACACTGGTAACGCCAGCTATGCTTTTTTTTTTTTCCTTTTTCATGCAGAGAAAAAGTATTTACCTCTTTACAATTCTTAAATATTTCACTTAATTTTCTTTTGTCTAATTCCGTTTAGTCTCTCTATTTTTTAAGTAAATTCATCGAGAGAGAGAGAGAGCTGCATTTCTAGCTATCTATTCTCGTCTCTTTCTTTAGCTTTTTATCCTTCTTTTTATATTATAATTATTATCGTATATTGACTTTTAACCGCAAATATTCCATTTGAATAGCTACAGTCTACACACTTGCTTTTCCTTTATCCTATTTATCGTAATAAAAGAATGAAATTCTTAAAAAACAAGCGTGAATAAGTTCTAATTTGGAGTGTCTATATATAAATATATATATATATATATATAGACAGATAGATAATAACTTTAATTGAATAAAAGACGCTTATTAATTTTCTATTATAATAGTTTAAAAACAGTAATAATCTATACATAAAGGTATCACGATTTATGTATTTTTTTATGTCTTTTTCAACATATATATATATATATATATATATATATATATATTATATTTAATAAAAAAAAAGAAACTTCCATGAAATATAGGCTTACTAAATATTTTTTTCCTTCTCAACTTTATTATTTAAATAAAAACATCATCAGCGCCATAATTTATATACTAAGAGTACGTATATAATACTGACATTGCACAATTAATATGTTGGCGAATGATGATTGTTTTTTTTTCTTTCTTTTGATAGGAAAAAAAAAGAAGAAAACAGAGAATTTTTAAAAAATAAAGATGCCTATCAGCATTGAACAACTCGTGTACAACAATCATTGTTTTTCCTTGATATATCATTAAAAATAAAAGATGTATTACTATATATAAATATATATATATATATATATATACATCTTTTACTATTTATATATTTATACGTATATACTTGTTTAATAATTTTATATATATATATATATATATATAGATATATATATATATGAACTTTTTACAAATTGTCGACAAGCACAACGGACAAAGTAATATAATAGCATAAACGTAAAAGTATATGGTATATCTGTAAAAGCGATATATGAAAAAAAAAAAAGAGAAGAAAATTTTAAGAGAATTTTTAATAGTTCGTATACAGAATTTTCTTTCCATTTTTTTTTCGAGTATAATCTGCACCGCGACTACAAATAGCCTAAATCTAAGGCGTGGTGGAGAGCGGCTAAATCGTTATGTTGACAAACTCGCCAGAACGGCCAATTGACCTGCTTGGAAATAAAATAGGCAACGAATTAGTTTACTAAATAAATAGAATAAAAGAAAAAAACCTTTTTAGCTGCGGTTTCCTCGTCTCTTCCATCGCCAATAACTACGTAAGTACATTTGCGACCGAAGCGCGATTGTATTCGTTCGAAGCAGCTGTCTTTTCCTATTTTAGGGAGAAAAAAAAATTTATTTTGTTTGTAATAAAAGAAGGTTTTCGATAGGATTTAATTAAGAGTGACGAACCGATTTTGGTGGCGCTATAAATGTTCTCTATGTTGAAAACGCCTCCCAATCCGTAGAGCAAGACCTTGGCTAAGGCGGGCACAAGTTGAGTCGTCGTGACTAGTACATTCACGCAGTTTGACCTCTCATGAACAATGTTGAGTGAACGAAGTGCCAAAGTCAACCAATTATCAGTCATTGTCTCAATTTCGGCCCTCAACTGCAACCATTGATCCCGCTTTTGCGGTCCCAGCATACCTGTTAGATGGCGACACTCGTGAATATAGATAGTGTACGAGAAGGGTGATTTAGCGGACAAACTAGCTAGTAGGCGACCTACCTCCGACATTGCTTCTGTACGTATTATACAATTCCTTTATTCTTCGATACCTGAACGCCAATTTTCGCATCCAATCGACGCCTCCACGAACGCCTGTCGCTAAACATAGGTTAGCGTTTGATGCAGCTGCGTGGAAGCCATCCTGAGCGAAGTTGTAATTAGATAAATCTTGCCCGTTATCATCCGAACTGACATCATCGATGTGAACTTGGTCACAGTCCTTAAGAAGATAATGAAAAGGAAAACGTTAACGTCCCGCATAACAAATAACAACAACAAATTTTATGCCAAACATTCGCGCACTTGAAATGAAAAAAAATGCAAACATCTCAAACGGAACTAAGAGAAAAAAGCGCAAAAATTTGAAAACAACAAGCGTACTCTTATCAGTAGCGGTCTCGGTCTCGTGACACGCGCGTAGTTCGCTACTGCCAAAATTTCGACGTAGGTTCGATAAGAGATAAGAAAAACGGAATAGTAATATTTCGTTTATATCCAATTCGTCGGCCTGTTTTTTTTCCGCCTTAATAAGAAAACCTTGGGCCACCTGTTGTTTCCAGTCCGTGCTTTATCGGAGCGTTCCGCAAACGCTTACGTAAAACGAATCGGAGCGAAAAACGAAAAACGTGCCGTAAAACAACTTACCTCCAAATCGTTGAAGAAGAGGCTGTTGTCGGCCAAACTGAAGATCATTTCTTCCATCCTCAGGCCTAACGCTACGGATGCTTGCGCGTCCTGAAAAGCGTGTTAAAAAAAATAAGTTAAATAAAAAAAAAAAATGGAGAAAACATTTGAAAACACGTTCGTCGCGGTCGGGGAAGTGTAAAATTGGCGAAAATATGAGCAGGGGGATATTTTGCTTTTAGAGATGATGACTAGCAGTTGTATAAAGTAGGTTATATACGCAGGAGGTGCGTGCCGAGCGCTTTTTGTCGAAAAACCGAAGACGGAGTCCATCACCGACACTAGAATCGAATCCCGGAGGACCGCTACTTATCAGTTCGGCACCGACTCCGTTCGGCGGCGATGAGTGAAGAGTGACAGGATGCTGTTTACACTCGCCGCTGATGCGCGCGGAATGAAGGACTGACGCAACGGACGAATTCAACGTAGACGCTATACCGCAATCTAATCAAGCGAGTAAGCGAATACGGCAAGGCGTAATTAGTCGACGCCTGACGTCACTTCTCCTTCTTGTATACCATGCAATCGGTTTTTAGTCTTATAAATGTATAAAAATGCGAATAATCCCATACAATGGTTACGCAATAAGGAACTTATAGATATATAATGTGTATATAGTATATATAGACAAGAATCGCGAAAACATTCTATGCCGTTATGCGCCGCTTGAAGCGTGTTTATCGTGCGCTATGGCAGGCAGTTCGCACCCTTTTCTTCTTTCTTTATATTTTCAATGAGAAGTGGAAGACGCGCGATAGAGATAAGCGAAGATGAATGACGTATCAAGCTGAGAAGCTTGCACTCACCTTTTGATATCGCTGAGCAAATGAACCAGTAAGCAGTGTATGGAATATAATAATCGTCTCGTCCAAATCCCAAACGAACACACGTTCCAAATCGTTTTCGGGTGATGGTGATGGATTATTCGTTCTCCTAGTCCTACTTCTGTTTCTCGACGCTGATTTCATTGAAAAGAGAATAAAAAACATTAACGTTAGAAGTTGTAAGTAAAAAAAAACTACACGGCAAAAAAGTTATAGGTAAAGATAAAGTAGAAGGATTTAGAGTTAGCGTGGAAAAAACTCCTAACCATTCGGGGGTGAAGGTCAAGTGAAACCTAACCTGCGCCGGCAAATAGGCATGCGCCGACCTAAATCAACGGGTCGCGGGTCAAATTGATGCTCAGTGTGACGTGACTGCCAAACTAATCATTGTTTATCTCTTATCAGGCCGCAGTCGTTTGCATAATTCACTCTAATCTATGCGCGCGTGTGAGAGCGTATAAACACGACATGCAGAATTAAATGCAAGACGTCTGCTGAAGGTGACGTCTCTTAACTGCCATTCTCGCCTGTCGAGAAAATGACGCTTGGAGCGAGGCGACCGTATCCGGTAACTCTACTACTATAAGTACCTTCTTTGGCAGGCGGAGGTGAAGGACTGGTGGGAAGGCCAGCAGCGAACGATACGTCGGTGGAAGTGGGAGGTAGTAGCTGATAAGTTTGCGTTGTCGGCGTTGTAGTTGCGTTCGACGTGGCGTTTAAGTAGGAATAGTAGTAAGGATTTTGAGCTTGGCTGTAGTAGTAGGAACAATAATCGGCAGACGCCTGTTCGATGAAAAAAAAAAAGGAAGATCTCGGTCAATTCAGAAATTTGATACTGATGCGACGACTTTGAAATTGAAAAGGCAACTGCGACTGCTTTTTTATTCAATTTGCCGCCAAAGGCATTGTTTAGTAAGTGCACACCTGCTACGTCCCTTTTTATAATTAACCGCCGAATATTAAAAATCTATGTCCATAAATTCCTATGACAACTCACGCGGCGTGACGACGATCTCTTCAACGCCGAGAAAGGGGTCTCGACCCGATTTTTTTCGTTTTTCCCCCTCATTTTTTTTGTTAGTATTATTATACCCTGATCTTCTAAGAGCACAGATACTGCATACAGTGTACACAATATTATTACTATGGCAAATAGTTTCTATACCCTGGATATGTCGTGTTTTTACAAAATGTTCATCAAGAAATATTTATATCTTTTATCTAAATAAATCTTAAGTTAAAGTTGTTCAACTTTCATTTAAAAACGGATTAATCATTCTCCAAAAAAAAGAAACCCTTCTTAATAAGAAAAATGCAAATCTTATTTACTAACCGTCGTTTGTCCTGCCGCAAAGGCTGCCGCATTCTGACCGTTGTTGGCGTATGCACCTGTTTTCGATTTCGACAAGTTCAATAAAAAAAAATACGATCTATTTTCATAAACGTTCTATATACTACACGAGCATCGCGTTACAAGCGTATAATTATATATTGCTAAAAATATTACCATAGTAGCTTGATGGAAAATACGAGCCATAATTAGTAGCTTGACCATTAGTCGTACTTGATGATTGGCCTTTTAATTGCTTAGCTGTTAAATAACAAGACACGCGTCAAAGCTACACCTGTGTTAGTCGGTTATTAAAACCCACAAATCATGCAATTTAACAAATACATGCAATTTTATTTTAAATACTGTTCTAAATATACAAAATGTATATATATTATCTCCTATGCAAATATATACATAATACAAATATCAAAATTTACCCTCACCCGTGTCAGTAGTGTAGGCAGACGGATTAAGACTTCCATAGAGTCCTTGCGTCTGGTAATAAGGGGATCCTTGGACGCCGAATGACGCCGCATTATGGTAGGCCTGCATTGCAGTATCGTTTGACGTCGTAGTCGACGTTGTGGTCGCCGCAGAATCGTTTATGTCTCCGTCGTTTGGAGTACTTTCTCCTAAGTAATTTGCTGTATTCGTTGCAGGACTACTCGAATTACTGTTTTATAAGCAAAAGCAATCAATTATTCAACAGTTCAATAGACTATTAAGAGTAGAGAAATCCATATATATTGGTATATATATATATATATATAGGTGTCGCGACAAACGTCTCTCGTTCTTCTTTCCTCGCTCAATCTAATTTGTCGAGAGACCGTGCAAATTCACAAACTCATCTGGACGCACGGATCAAATGACGCTTTCAGAGGGAGACGCCGACGAGCATTCCGACAACTATAGGCAAATCGCTCACGCCCTGCATTCAACACTAATTTACACTAAATGGTAGCGGCTCTATGAAGAATCAATTAGCCGTTCACTTCAAACGACTAAAGCGCCCGATAATAGAATCAACAAGTTTCATCGACTGTCAAGCTATACAATAGTAAATGAGTATAACGGCCGTATTGCGCCGCAAGCTACGAAGCTCTTATCGACGCCAATATCGACGTCGGCGTTAAAATCTATAAAGCAAACACATTTCAAGAATAAATAGACGCCCGCCAAATCCCTCAAGAGATTCTCTACAACAAACGCGCATCAGCCGCCCCTTTTTTCTGGCTTCCATATAAATATATATAAATATATCTTAATATATATATATATATATAGTATATAAAACGTGCTATATACATATAAAATAGACGCATACTTATATATAAATGTGCATTAAAGAAAGTATATTTACGCTCTTGTATGTATTTTTCCGATTTGCATACTCAATTTTAACTTATCTGTTTACGTAAATATAAGTTTTTCTGCACTAACTCACTTGTTTACAGACTGTTATTATTTTGTAATAAACAGAAGGAACTATAGGACAAAAAATAATATAAGGTGTGGTCATATTCGATCGTTTACTATTACACATCCGGTTGGATATAGCGTATCGAGAAACACACGTCGACCGTATCGAATGTACTAGCCGATATGCGAAGAAAAGGGGGAATATTCCCAATAACCCTACTCTTTCTACCTATACGTTTATATACGGTATGTAATGGTTTAAGGGATAAAAATCTCTATCTCGGATTGCAAGTGGCAGCCGTCGTTCCTAAGGGAATTGCGGCTGCCCTGCTTAGGACAAAACGGATTTCTCTTCTCTTTCGTGCACGCATTCGTGCATCGCGCGTGTATAAACATCAAACGAACCTGTTAAAGTAGGGATAAGACGGTGGGGATGCAACACCTGAATTGGTATTCGTACAATCTGTTGGAAAGAAAGAAAAAAAAAGATAATGGAATAAAATGTGAATATTCCTCATTTTCTTTTAAAAGTTTTTATTTATATATTGTATATAGTTTAGTGTCGAATTTTTTTCTAGATTGCAAACGAAACGTGTCGTTTTGAATAGAAATTGGCCGCGTCTCCGACCCCCAAAGTCGCTTGTTGACCAACATACAACATTATTTACTCTCGGTCTGACTTCTTTTGTGCGAAAGTCGAAGTAAAACTGGTGACAAATGTCTGTTTAATCAACAAACTATACTACAATTTTCTTTCAACAACCTTTCCATTTAGACCGGCGAATCCAAAGTCGGGTCAAAAGGTTACGACAATAAAATGATTTTTTTCTCTTTTTGTGTTATTTTTTAACAATAAGCTTTGTATAAAATCTAAAGATTCTAACACTCAAGAAAACCGTAATGCGCCCGCAGATCCTCCCTTTTTATTTACCCAAATTTACATAATGCCCTGCGCACAGCGAGCAAAGGATTAATCAGATTTGGTAAATACGATAAAGCATCTATCAATCTTTCCCTAATCCCCTTGCAAGAATTAGTTAGAAACAATAAGAAGACACTAACCTGTGTTTGCGTACACCGACGACGCAAAATGCGATTCAACCGGTTCACTTTTCACTGCAAAAAAAATACATAAGTAAAATTAGATGTCAAACAAATTCTCTATATATGCGTAGATGCTTAAGTTTTTTTAATTACACGAATGAAAGCAAAAGGAAAAGACTACTCGCGCTAACATCCATCACGCTTAAAACAAATTTTTTATAATCTAAGTTTACATCACGATGCAATTAGCAGAATTCGCAGAAGATTTTTATACGTAGGAGAGCGAGAAGAAAACATTAATCTATAAAATTTTTTCATATCGGTAATATATATTATATCGAGTACGTTATATCGAATATAAGCTATAAATAAAGTATCATTATCTAATGATGAACATGATATGCCTGCCCGCGTTGAAACAAAACTTGCAAACCAGCGAACATATGCAGATTTAAAAGTCGTAGGAAAAGTTGAAGAAACGTATAAAATATAATCCAGTAAAAACACAAACACGGCAATAAATGTAAGCCTTAATCCATAATCGCAGTGTTGGATTACGAAAATTAGAGCGAGTTTGCGACTCGAATGGCCAAACTGTACCTTGAGTGAGCAGCATGCCTCAACTCACTATACTCCACACAATCAATTACTTTCCTCTTTCCCCTCCAGTCTACGCCCAGATTGGACACTGATTGGCTGTGAACAGTACTGGGCGGAGTCTCCACTCTAAACGACGAGTTGTGTATGGCTACAGTGGGAGGAGCTTATCTACTTGACTGACAACTTAGAGAAAAGACGCCTTTGCCGATCCTTCATCGTTCACTAGTCACTTGCTTTTTAGAACGCCTAATATTTAATTATATATTGTGTGTCATATTTAGATGACATTTTCCTGATTTAACTTTTCTAAGGATTTAATACCAATAACTATTCATTAGCAAACTACAGTATTTAACGAATATTAAGAAAAAACGTCAGTAAATATACAAAATGGGGATTTACGTTGAAAAAAAAAAACCTTATTTGTATAAAAAAAAACTGTGTATCTTACTTTATCGGGCGACTCTTTTAAATTGAAATATATATATATATATCTTCTGCATTTATGGTCTAACCGTTCTTGTGTTAAAAGTGCATTTAGTTAGAAATGAAAGGTCAAAAAAAACTTGAAAAGAGCAAAAACCTATCTTTCTGTGAATGATTTATACATATATATATATATGTACACACAAGTAGACAAGTGCATTTTGTATATACATATATACGCTCTATATTCTATTAAAACATTCTCAAGAGATGCAAGGGAAAGGCCGACATCTGCAAACGAGTCCATATAGTCGATTCTCAGCTGGTAGCCTTCTGAGGAGTTGTACAAAATAAACACTTTCCTCTCGATTACCCACCATCATTCGCTAAAGAATCGTCAACACGCATTCCTTCCCCTCTATCTACACACTCACCCATTTATTTACATACGCATGTACTAATATACAGATTTTTATCATGCTTAGTACGAGTTGCGTATGCGCTATCTGTGTTGAATATAAACAGAAATGAAGGATAATGAAGGGAATGACGTAATAATAAACACAAAAAGATTTACAAATGGCTGCGGGGAGACTTAAACGCAGTTGGGGGCTAATGTAGACACGCATGCACGCAGGCATACTGCACCCGAATAAAACTGTACATGTACACTCAAACGCATCAGACACTTTTCCGCCAAGTTACTTAGATGAGCGAAAGTTTTAATACAAATAAACAATTTGTATATAAAACTGACGTCACAAAGTTGGGGACAATTAGCAACTACTAAACATTGGCGAGATAAAAGGCTACGAAAAGTATCGAAAATCATGCCCCTCGTCCCCAAACCACTTAGAGCATTTTACACGCCGCTACAAACTCTGACAAACGAAAACAAACAACTTTTACAACGTGCAGCAAACAGTGTTTTTGTTTTCTTACTAGTTAATAGCTTTTCAACTCCCGTGAGATTTTTATCTTTTTATCTCAACACGAACTCGCTAACTATTTTAAATTAATGGTAAACTAGCAATGACTAGTACGGTAGGAAAAAATAAAAATATAATCTTTAAGCAGCCGCCAGATGGCGGTACTGTTGCTACTTACCAGTCCAAGTGTCGTTAGTTGTGGTAGAGAATGTATTTTCGTGCGTGTTCTTCACGGTCCCAGTCACGTCAGTGTTATCTTTAAAAAAGGGAAAAAATACAATAGAGAAACATTACAACAATTGGGACATAAAACAATAATTAAAACAATCGCAAAACAAGAAATAAGAGACGAAGCGGGCTATGAATTTATGGTAACGACACAAAAAGCAACTTTTCGTAATATCTCTATAAAACGGCAAACGTTTTACGGTTGGAGAGGCGGCTGTATAGTGAGATGATTTAGGAGACCTTTACTTGTGACAAACAACGTGCTGCAGCTGTACAAACAATGCCTATTGTTTCTAGCGATGGCAGACATCTGGGTCAGTGTATGCAAATTCTGATTTTTATGTTATAAGTTAATATAAATGT